AAAATTAAGATGACAATGCAAGATATATAAAAACAAAATACATTGAGTGGTAAAAATAAAAATTGTAATTAGACGTAATGTATTATGTATAAGTAAATCTTCTTAAATTAAAGAAGTTCAAGTCAAAAAGAAGTTTGATGAAAACTGTAATACTAAAGCGAACATGGGAATGTAATCTGCTGCAAGACTAAGATATATATTCGTCTTCCTTCTAGGTTCATTGCCTGTTTTGGTTGAGGTCTGTAAGCATAGGTTAAACATCGCCATGTTTTCATATATCGCGATGCAAACCACGTTCTCTCCCCTCTTACTTAGTAATCGCCTCCTCTTCCCATTGTTTTCAACACGCTTATAAAGAAAAAATATCCCACCCCTCTACTTGAGACATAAAATACAAAAGTGTATTGTGCCTTGTCGTCACAGAAAACAAAAAGGGTGGCGTCTAATGTTGTTAAGCATTGTCTTCCTAAATTATTTTTTAACTTGTTAAAGAAATTGAATGTTTAGTTAAGGATTCTGACGACAATTTTTTCACAAGGGCCGTTACTCGTGGCTGTAAACAAGGCTGTTCTAAATTTAGAACAGTTGTCTTTCCTCTCGTTTCTCTATTAGGGAAGACACGTGGGGACGACACGCGACACGTCTTTTAAAATGTAAACAAGAGCGCACGGGGTGCACTTAAAATAAACCCCGCTGGGAAAATGACAACGGCATGGTGACACTTTTTGGAAAACACTCTTTCATGTAAATAAAATAAGGGTCGCTTTTGTTGTTACCATGATAATGTATACCTATGAGTTCTCTCGCCTTTACCGACCTAGTATGAATTTCGTGTGTGTGTGTGTGTGTGTGTGTGTGTGTGTGTGTGTGTGTGTGTGTGTGTGTGTGTGTGTGTGTGTGTACGTGTATCTCAAAAAAAAACGTATCATGTCAACACCTGGACAACAAGTCATAGTCAAAAAGGCCTAATTCATTACATATCTATGGGAAACCCGCCTTTACATGTACTTACGTTAGGGAAAGTAAACTCGGTTGAATCAAAAAATGTATTTAAATATATAGAGTTATAGAACCTTAAAGTTAACAGATGACGAAAAAATAAAAAAAAATAAAATAAGCCTAGTACAAAAAAACTTAAAAACAAGGTAATGAAAAAAGCTCTAGAGCCTCCGTTAAGTGTGGCGCCCAACACACGAGGTCGACGCGGGTCGATCAACATTATTTCTTTACTCGATCAAAAAACCTATGATACTGTACGTATAACTATTAGTGCGTAGGACATGTGGAAACAATAATTTTAATATGATCAAAGAATGTCCGGTCGTACGATATGTGAACATAGTTAATGGACAGTGGTAGTCTACAATCTTGTCAGCATACCCCCCTATGGTGTTCGGGTTTTCCAATGCATTCATTGCCCGCCATAAATCAACCGCGCCTGTCAAACCGACCGAGAAAATCGATTCATCACTGCACGGTCTTTGTCAAACGGGAAGCTTTGCTGGTGGATCGATGCGTGCCAGGTGTCGTTAACGAGTAACAGCTGATGTTTAAGTCAGGCCCTATACAAAGAATTTTCTATTTTTATACACGTTCGTTGTGGTGGAGAATTTAACCTGTTTTTGTACACGTTCGTTGTGTTTGAGAATTTAAAAATTAAAAAACATACCAAGAAATAAAATGAATTAAACCAAACAAATAAACAACAAGTAAACAACAAATAAAAAAATTTAAAATTTAAAATTAAAAAAAATAAAATTTTAAAATTTTAAAACTCAAACAAATAATCAAATTAGGCAATTAAAGTAAAAAATAATAATTAAACTAATTAATAAATAAACAAATATAAAATTAAAATCAAACTAATTAAAATCTCATTAAAATTACGTAACTATGTCACCGCTGGTGATTACGTAACTAGGTCACCGTGGTGATTACGTCACAAGTTCACCGGTGGTGACCTACTCACCCTCCCCCTCACCCTTCACCCTGCGCCTGCGCCTGAGGTCCAAAAGGGACCTAATATATTACTAATGTACCGCAAAACGCTCATCAAGCTTTTTTAATGTGTGACGAAAAAATATTTCCAACAGTATACAAACTACTGCAAATATTTGTAACATTGCCTGTAACAACTGCCGTTAGTGAACGCTCTTTTTCCACTCTCAGACGGCTAAAAACGCGCTTGCGAAATACTACTTGCGAGGATAGAGTAAATGGATTGGCATTATTAAATATTCACCGACAAATTGAAATTTTAGCGGATGAGATTCTTGATGAATTAGCCAAGAGTCCAAGAAGACTTAAACTACGATTGTAGGTAAGTAACGTTATAAGTTCTTTTATCTGTTTGCAGTGTTCTAATATTGTTATTGCGTCTTCTGAATTTCCCCCATTAGACGATCCTGGCTACGCCACTGGTTGACACCAACTACAAAATTTACAGATAAAAGGGGGGGGGGGGTGACACCATAAAGTGACACCCGACCTGGCGACACCACTGCATATATATATATATATATATATATATATATATATATATAGATAGATATAGATATATATATATATATATATCCGTGCAGAAGACTCAAAAAAATGTTGTTCATTACCTTCAGATTCCATTGAAGCATTCAAAATATGCAAGCCCTCTTCTAAATCATGACTATAGAGAGTTTCAGAAGTTTTCAGCAGATTCTCTAATTTAAACTGCTTAGCATCTTCTACTAAATGACCACCTTGTTTGGCACAATCATTTTCTTTAATCGGATTTTCGTTATGCTGCATGAGATTCCCTGCATCGATCGAAATCTAGAAAGAAGTAGTAGGCACATCCAGTATTGTATAAATTGTATAAAGATATGTGGCACTCCTCACTATTACCTCAATCACTCACAAAGAAAATCTGTTTACGTGTTATATAATGGTTATTTTTTTAAACTTTAGGTAATGCGTAGTTTGTGTAGTGGTAGTGTTGCGAAGCATATGGTTGCATAACTTAGCTTAGTGTAGCGACGTCAGAGGCGTAACTGGCGGGGGGGGGGGTTAAGAGGTACGAAAAAGAAATTATTACTAATTTCAAGCTGCAAAATTTAATTATTCACAGCAAAAGTTAAATAAACAGCTATAAGGCTTTACACATCGATTGAATTATAATCTACCTTAATTGTGGAAGAGTAAAATAAAATATCTCACGCCTTAAGAGTTTGCTAAAAACGCTCACCATGAAAGGGAGGGAGGGATCGCTTTTTTTACTTTCTCGCATATACGAAGTATAGAGAAAGTCTTGTAATGCACATCACTGATACGGAAAAACATAATTTTGCAATCTTGTCCGTATGTCTGTGTGTGTGTCTGTGTGTGTGTAAACACGATAACTTGAGTACCGTTACAGCTAGGTTGATGAAATTTCATATATAAGTATTATTTCAAAATCGTAGATCCGTATCAACTTTTGAGCGATTTCCAATAACCGAAAGTGGTACTTTTTCTACTTTGAATTTTTCAAAACTATAACTTGAGTACTATTTCAGATAGATAAATGAAATTTCACATGTAAGTAAAAGATCTAGTTCTCTACCTTCTCTCAAATTTTGAGTAATTTCCGTAGACCGTAAGTACTAATTTACGCTATTTCCACTTTTTCAAAAAAAAAACATGTAAATTTATAAAGTACTAATAATATTCCGCACTATTATGCACATTTTGTTTTGGCGTTCGCTTGGTGCGCAATTCTTTTTTCTACGAGATTCTATTTTTTTTTTTCATTTTTAAAAGTTTAAGTATTTAAAATGGTATTAAGCTACCTCCAAGAAAGCAACCCAGAACTTTGGCAGTTTGCACAGATCTGTGTGAGAAACATCAAACAGCTCATACAGATAAAGTCGTTAAAATGGAGAAAGAATACAATCGTATTTTTATCTCAGGGAGTACAAGAAAATAAGGATAAAGTGTTGGATAATAGGAATATCAAAAACAAAAAATGAAAACTCATACTCAGTTTCCCAGATATCTTTGAGGCCCATTCATTGTTATAATTATCAAAAGGTAGGTCATGTAAGGAAGGAATTGTCCAGATATGGTAAGTGTTAAGTATAAGTTAGGAACAAAGTCACAAGTCATGTTTTCATTGCAATAGTCCTGGTCATGTGCAGAGAGATTGTTGGGTAAACCCAGTCACTAGATAAGTGTGGAATACATGGTCCCCAGTTATAAAAAAAAATTGAAAATTTTCGTTGCCGCGCTATTTTCAATCCCTTCCTCTATCGGCAGTTTAAAATCGTGCTGTACAGATCTTACGCGTGTTCTTAATTTTCCTTCGTTTCAACTTAATATTAATGTTTTCAAGACCAAATATTTTTTATTTTGCATCTTCAATAGTCAGGTAAGTGTGTTTAACTTCTATTTAAATAGTTTTCATCAAACTGTTCTTGTATTAGATCAATGTTTAAAAGAATACTTAGGAGTATCGTTATGTTTGGGGATTTTTTGGGAATTGCAGAATTTAGATGTGGATTGACATAAATATTATTTGGATAGTAAATTATCTCGAAATGTAGGTACTCAAAATGATATTTATATACGGACAAGATTGCAAAATTATGTTTTTCCGTATCCTTTAGGTGTAAACGTCGAGATTTCTAAAATCGCGATTATTATTTTTTTTAACGATTACAAGACTTTCTCTATACTTCGTATATACGAGAAAGTAAAAAGTGTAAAAGAAACCCTGTATTTTCTGGCAATAAATCAGGGTTCTATATTCTTTCATCTCACTTTCAGTTAAACCATGGCAAGCATCCAGTCTATTACCTCCTATCAGTACTAATAACTGTGTCTCCCCCCTCCCCCCCACTGTGACTCATGAACATTGGTGGTTCGTGCGATAGTGACATAGCTTCTTATGTATGAATCAAGGCTGTCCTTGTACTCGTCAAATTTTGGGATCTTTCTTAGTATTTTACTATCATAATAGTTTTTCCCCTCCATTGTTGTATGTTTGCCCACGGTTTCTAATTCCAATTTTTTCTATTTCCATTTTTGCTTGCTCAGCAGCCTGAACACTACATTTCATTAGATCAAATTCCTGTCTTGCAGCTTCAGATTTCATGTGTCTTGCTACCTGGTTTTCTAATTCCTCACCCTTAAATTCTAAACTTCGGGGATCACAGCGACCTCTTAACATCTAACATACACATGCCCTTTATGCCGCTTTTATTTTCCCAAACTTAAGTTAGGTACTCATCAGAGCTGCTTTAAATCAGAGACGTACTAAAGACAAGATCCTAAATCGAGACTTTCGGGTTAGCAGCCGAACGCTCTACCATTCAACCCCGCCATCCATTTATCACACACATTTAATATATTAATACATTAATAAACCGTAGCCTATATAGAACATGATAAAGTCGTCCCGGCCAATGCGCTTACTGGAAGGCCAATGCCATCCTTCTGACTTCGACTGAAACACACTTACACACACACGGTTCCATGACAAATTATCTCAGGAAAAATTATCTCAGGACAAATGATCTCAAGGATTAATGATCGCACCGACAAAAGATACCATGACAAAATATATCAGGACAAATGATATCATGGACATATTATCTCAGACAAAATATCTCACAGCAAAATTTAAATAGTGTATTGGATGATTTTAGTTGATCTGAACATTTTTTATTGACTGTCATATGGTTTACTACCTTTAATATTGTTTATAGTCTGAGATATTTGTCGGAGATAATTTGTCCTGAGATCATTTGTCCTGTCACCCACACACACATATTTCAGTGGCGTGGTTTAGCGTAGCGTAGCGTAGTAAAGTGATGTGAAGTGAAGTAAAGTAACAAGTTTTCTGTTCTTACTTCTTTAAGATCAAGCTCGGTATCTTTGTTTATGCCATTTTCAGCGTGGTCCTTTCTGTTCATTTTCAGCCCAGTGGTTTAAAGCCTACAAGTTAAAAATTATAAAGAACATTATATATATATATATATATATATATATATATATATATATATATATATATATATATATATATATATATATATATATATATATATATATATATATATATATATATATATATATATATATATATATATATATATGAGCGGGTGAATGGATTATTTTGTATTATTTTATTTGTTGCGAATCTGGGAGTGCATGGTGGTCCAATGGGAAACGGCCACGGGGTCCCCTTCCGTCCGAAGCGGTCAGTATAAATTGACCGCTCGGACGATTTTCTTCCTTTTTTTGACCCGCGGCGAGATGTAGGTCGGGTCAGGTTTCTGTGTGGGCGCGTGGCGCACCTCACGCGTGGAGGTATTTGTTTTTTTTTTATACTTTATCTTTGAGTGATTTGTATGAATGCGACTGCCGATGTTTCTCGTTTTCTTTCATTTTCGTCTAAAACGAGATAGTGAGCATCGGCATGTCTGGTATGCACGTGGTGTGTTATTTTGAGAGATTTTAAATTTGTATTTTCTAAACCCTTGGCGTGGGTTTCGGACCACGTGGTTTAGGCCAGTGTGTTTAGGAGTGTTTCCTAAACTAGTGTGAATGCGTGTGTGCATTTACTTGATTGTTTTATTATGTGTTGTTATTGACTAGGATTGGCTTAGTCAATAGTCGGTTGTTTTAGACAGTAATTAGATTAGTATATTTTAGTTGCCTCGAGTTTTAGGTTGTTTAAAATTAATGTGTGTGCTGTTTCATGTTGAGTATCGCTTGCTTTGTGTCTGCCTTCATTGGGGCCTTAGCGGAGTGTGTTAACTTTAATGTTATCAATATGGATATTGTTTATGTAGACCAATGGCTTCGGGCTGCTCCTTGTGTAGGAAAGATTGGTTCTACAATGAATTTGTTTACACGTTATTTTTAAGTTGCTAGTTCTTCTTTAGACAGTGGTTAGTTGTTTTTGAGAATTGCTTTTAGAATTGTATAGTAAGGATTAGTTTTACTCGAGGCTTTAGCTAGATAGTAGTAGTAGGTAGTATTTTGAACTTGTGTATATATTTATGTATATATCTGCCATTACCATGCATTTTTCTTATGTTTTCCTTTTCTTTTTCTCTCCCCCCCCCCCCCCTTCCAGTGAGGTTGCTTGTGCAGCTTGGCTGGGTGTTTTGTTATATATGAATTGTTTTGTTTGTAAAAAGTTTGTTGTGTACGTATTGTGTTCTACGTAATGTATTGTACGTAACGTATTGTACGTAGTGGTTTTACGTAGTGTTTTGTTTGGTGTGGACTTTTGGATGTCGAGAATGGATGAAGGGAGGTTTCTGTGTGTCAGGGCCTGGACCATCCTAGACATCATAAGTCGGCGCAACACCAGCAAATGGTCGAACGTAATGTTTTGTTGTATATAAACTGTTTTGTTTGGTTTTGTTTTGTCTGTTTTGTGTCAGTAGTTTTTATCTATTCTTTTTTTGTGATTTTGATCGGTTCCATGAAATAAATTTTATTAAATTGTTAAAAGTTTTTTTGTTTTTAATTTAGACTAAGGTTAGGTTATTAACCAGTCTGGGTTTATCCGGGCTTGCACTGACCGGACAGTAGTTAGTTAGATAAGCCTAGAAGGGTAGATTTTAGGTATCCCCCCCTAGCAGGGCTTACATATATATATATATATATATATATATATATATATATATATATATATATATATATATATATATATATATATATATATATAAAACATACTAGGATCAAATTATTTAAAAAGAGCTAGAGAACCACTATTCGCTTACTACATATTGATCTGTAACATATAATTTATAAATAGGCCTAACAGCGTGAGTCAGGTTCTACAACTAACGAAGCTTTCTCAGAACAAAGAAAAATAATCAATAAAATCGAAGCCCAAGGTAGATATATATATAGTAGTCCTTGAGCATCGCTCTGCAACTTTGAATTATGTTGAAAAGCTTATGGGTCATCCAGAAAATGACGTCAAGCTTTATTTGACGATTTTTACCTCCCCCCCCCCTCCCCTCCGTCACACGTCGGCACAAAAAGCCAGACGCCCCCCCCCCCCCTAAAATGACGTCACACCTCAGCCAACAACCCACCTCAAAATTGCAGCACTTATTACTTCCCTTGAAAAATTAGGAAAACACTATTACTTCCCTTTTAAAAAATTCATCGGGTGGAAAAGAATTTTTTATTTATTCTATATACTGACGTACTGTTTACTAATATTTTTTTTTAAATTAATAACAGTTAATAAGCCAGCTCCTAAATTTCCCATATCCTGTGAACGCTTCGGTGCATAATTTCGCTTTAAACATTGCGATAGACTATGGATAAGAAAGGTAACTATAGTCTTTAAGTGAATCAAATCCAGGCGTCCTCCTGCACCCCGAAAGGGTGCTATTTGGCGCCACGAGCCTTTCCGTGTTCGCTGTTGCGACTACGTTCGTTTAAGTGAGTGCAATAGCATATGGATACGTTGGGGTACTATAGTCGTTTACTAAGCTGAAACAGGCGGTTCCGCCGGCACCCCAGCATGGTGCGATTTTGGCACCACAGGCTAGACTGTGATCACTTTGAGTTTATGTTTGCGTTTGTGTTTTCTTTGTGTTTGGGTTAAGGTTGGGGGTGGGTTTGTGTTTGCATTTAGTATGTTTTCGTTTACTTTTTTGTTTGTGTTAGTGTTTTCTTTATGTTTGTGGTTGGGTTTGTGTTTGTGTTATATTTGCGGGGTTTTTTTTCTTTTGTTTTTTTTTTTAGTTTTGGTTGGTTGTGGTTAGGGTTGGCAATGCCAGGTATATGCTGATTACTAAACACACGTCATGGTCCTTTACAGATAGGTTTTTCACAGAGGCCAGTGCAGGGCCTGGCCGGGATGGCTAGTATATTTATAAAGTTGAAATGGACTCTGTGCATCTGTATGTATATTTGTGGAAGACAAGCATATTTGATAGGTAAAAAGGTATTTTAACTACTACTTTTCTTTAATTTTATACACTGAATTTACTGTTAACTAATTATATAATTTGTGATCAATAACAGTGTAGAAGCCGTTCATAAATGTCCTCTATATTTACGTTCATGTTTCAATTTTCGCTATTGTTTGCGTTTAAAATTGCGTTTGTGTTTGTATTTGCGTTTGAGTTTGTATTTGTGTTTGCATTTGCATTTGTGTTTTCGTTTGAGTTTGGGTTATCGTTTGTGTTTGTGTTTGCGTTAGTGTTTGTGTTTGTGTTTCTTTAGCGTTTGTGTTTGCGTTTGTTTTTTTTATCCTTGCCTAGCATCAGAAAACATTCTACAAATGTCTGATATTAGTTTAGAAGGTGGTTCTTGTTGGGTGCAAATTAAAGTGATGGTCCAGTTTTTATATAAAAAAAACCATCAACATAGTTTGTTATAATGAGAAGTATAAATGTGGTCGAGCAAAAATCACAAATAAGTAGTTGTCCCCCTCCCCCGAACGAAATATAATTTATACAGAAAAATATATACTTTTATCAGTGTCCCCCTCTTTTGCCATGGTACTGGATGCCATCTAGGATTTATTTTACAATTTTAATATTGAAATAACTTTTTTTAATTATTATTAAAATGTATCTAAATTTTCTCTTGTTATTCTGTATACATATACCAACAAAACTGATAAAACACGTTTTTGAAAATGTGTATGGTTTTCACAAGCTTACACTTCCTCTGTCTGTCGTCAGTCTAGATCGAAATGCCGGAGCGAAAATTCGGACACTTCTAACTGACAGATACGGTTCGTAATTGCTCCGTGGGTCAAGACATGAAGACAATGCAATCTGAAATTAAATTTGACTTAATTGGATGCCTAATTAATTTTTACTTTCTCGTATATACGAAGTATAGAGAAAGTCTTGTAATCGTGCAAAAAAAATCGAGATTTTTGCAAATCTCGACGTTTTAGGGCTCCCTGAGTCGGAAAAACATAATTTTGCAATCTTGTCCGTATGTCTGTGTGTATGTGTGTCTGTGTGTTGTGTCTGTGTGTGTGTAAACACTATAACTTGAGTACCGTTACAGATAGGTTGATGAAATTTCATATATATATATATATATATATATATATATATATATATATATATATATATATATATATATATATATATATATATATATATATATATATATATAATTTCAAAATCGTAGATCCGTATCAACTTTTGAGCGATTTCCGATAATCGGAAGTGGATTTTTTTGTACTTTGAATTTTTCAAAAGCCTATAACTTGAGTACTATTTCAGATAAATAAATTAAATTTCACATGTGCGTAAAAGATATAATTCTCTGCCTTCTATCAAATTTTGAGTAATTTCCATTAACCGGAAGTAATAATTTACGCTATTTTCGATTTCTCAAAAAAACGCATGTGAATTTATAAAGTACTAATAATATCCCGCACTATTATGCACATTTTATTAGGCGTTCACTTGGTGTGCAAATCTTTTTTTACGAGAATCTATTCTATTATAAAATGTTTAAGTAATTAAAAATGGATTACAAATATTGTCTATGTCCTGAGTTGCCATCCCCGTAGTTTTATATTAGAATATTCGAGAAAGTTTAGGGGAGATCACTCCCGGTTTATTTATGAATTAATTACAATTTTGACCAAATTAGTAGGCATTTCTATCCAACCACACCACACGCGTCATCACGATCAATAGCGCGTCATCACGTTCAATAGGCGCGCAATGGTTTTTAGTTATGTAACTCTATTGTAAATAAAAGAAAAGCGTGGGTCTCTTCCTAAACATTAGTAAAGGTAACCAATAGGTACTAAAGTGACCCAAGCTTTTCTTTATAGTTATTTAAATAGTAGTCTATAATTTATTTTCTACTTTTTAGTGCATTAGTACATAAAAGCTTGTTATTAAAACGTTTTTTACGAAAAAAAAAATTTCTTGTACAGTTAAATTGATTGTATTTTTTGCACAAATTTGGATTTTTTTAAAAGTGATTTTTAGAAATAAAATTGTAGAAACAAAAGTATTTTGAAATTTGAAAATGTAATATACCAGGATTGTTACCAACATGTGTCTCTATAATCCTGCAAGATTTTATTGAAGTCGTATTAGACATCTTTTAGTTATTTCGGTGTTAAAAACGTAAATAAAATCCAAGATGGCCACCTTCATCATGGAAACGGCATGAAATTTTTGGGCATTTTTTTTTTTATTTTTGGATTTAACTCTTTGAGTCATAACTATTTGCAAAATATTATAGTATTATGTTTAGAAATAAATATGTTTGGTCTTTGCCTTTATCGACATGTTTCCGTCGCGTTCCTCACTTACACCTAATGGCCTTTTTTTTAAAAATCCCATCCAATGTTTCTCGTATCTCAAACATATCGTATGTCACGGCACTGTTATGGAGACGTACAACTGTATTTTAAGTAAGTGTTGTATTTGTAAAATTTAATAATTATTATAACTTTATTAATAGAAGCTCTTGTTAATTTGTTTTTCTATTTTCTTAAAACTTCGGCAAAACAGCTCCCTCGTTCCCCAACCTACTCGCTCGACAATTAACCACTATAGACTTCTTGGTCCATCCTGATGGCACACCGCCTTGAAGTGGTGGGATGGCTTGTGTGCCCCAGCGACCACCAGAGCTATGCCGGCGGGAGCCTAGTGCTCCTGGCAGGTCTAACTAAGTCTGACAGATCTGCGCGAGTAGGGGCCAGACCAAACTTTGTGCCCTGGTCCTCCAGGTTGGGGGTTGTGCGATAGGCTAACTACTCGTCCACATTATAAAAAACTATAGTTACAGAAACCGAAATTAATCCAGTCCTCGGAAGAACCAGGGCTCCACTTAGGAGAAGTATGACGCAATGCAGCCAAATCCGCAAGGAAGCTACAGAGCCGACCCCCCTTCTTCAACCGAGGAAAACTAAATTCACAGCCCCAAAACTACTGTCGCAAAAGAAACCTATCCTCATTGGAACATGGAACGTCAGAACACTATGGGAAGCAGGGAAGTGTGCACAGGCAGTGAAAGAAATGCAACAGTATCATCTTACAGTGCTCGGCCTGTGCGAAACAAGATGGAACACCTTTGGAGAGACAAAATTCCAGACGGGAGAAACACTGTTATACTCGGGAAAAGAAAATGAGGACGACCCACGAGAGGCAGGCGTAGCCTTGCTATTGACAAAGGAGGCAACAAAAAGCCTGATGGAATGGGATCCTGTATCTGATCGAATAATTAAAGCTAGATTTGAATCCAGGTTTCAAAAGACCTCCATTATCATGTGCTACGCTCCTACAAACAACGCAGACGAGGATGAAAAAAACCGCTTTTACGGGCAGCTTCAGTCGGTGGTTGATAAGGTACCCAAGCGCGACATGCTGATCCTCATGTGTGATTTAAATGCCACAGTAGGTAAAGACAACAGAGGCAGGGAAATGGAGATGGGAATCAATGGCCTAGGGGAAATGAATGAAAATGGTGAACTCTTCACAAACTTTTGTGCCTCAAATGAGCTTACTATCGGCGGTACACTTTTCCCACACCGAAATTGTCATAAAGCCACCTGGATATCACCAGATCATAGCGAAAACCAGATTGATCATGTCGTGGTACGGCGTCGTTGGAGGGCCTCACTGCAGGATGTGAGAACAAAGCGAGGAGCCGACATAGGATCCGATCACTACCTGGTTGTTGCTAAACTGAAGATGAAGCTAAAGGCGAAGAAGAGGCAACAAGAAATTAATCCACGAAGAAAATTTGATGTAAGTAAACTTAAGACGCAAGATAACAGGACAAATTGTCAGGTCACCTTAAAAATCGGTTTGAAGCTCCACAGACAGAAGAAAAAGATTTGGATTCAGTTGAACACACCTGGGAAATATTTAAGCAAGCCACTATTGAAGCCTACGAAGAGGCTCCAGGAGGTAGAGCGCCCAACAGGAAGCCCTGGATCACAGATGATACATGGCAGAATGTGGAAGAAAGAAAAAGCCTAAAGAGCGAACTAAATCAAGCAAAACACGGCAGCAGAAACAAGCAGCAGCCTCTCGATATAACGAAAAGGCTAAAGAGGTGAAAAGGAAACTAAGAAATGACAAGAGATTGTTTATAAATGAAATGGTAGAGCAGGCCGAAACAGCTGCTAGTAAGGGAGATCTCAAGATGCTTTATGCAACAACCAGAGCTCTGAGTGGGAGGAAAACCAATCCCAACAGGCCAGTGAGGAGCAAAAATGGTAAACTTCTAACGTCAATTGAGGAACAATTGGCACGATGGAGAGAGCACTTCCAGGAAATACTAAACGGCCCAGCACCTCAAGATCCACCAGACCTGGAGCCAGGGGAACCCCTTAACATCAATACCGAGGAAATCACCAGACAGGAAATTATCAACACCTTAAATAGTTTGAAGAGTGGCAAGGCATCAGGGCCAGATAATATCCCAGCAGATACATTAAAGCAAGGTGGAGAAGAAGTAGTAAATCGACTTCATAAATTACTTAACTTAGTCTGGAACACAGGCCAGATCCCAACCGATTGGAAGAGGGGCCTCCATGTGAAGTTGCCTAAGAACGGTAACTTATCTCAGTGTGGAAAATGGAGGGGTATTACCTTGTTGTCCATACCAAGTAAAGTCCTTACCAGAGTTATTTTGGACAGAATGAAAGAGGCGGTTGACCTTAAGCGAGGAACAAGCAGTGTTCAGGAAGGAAAGATCTTGTACAGATCAGATAGCCACTCTTAGAATTATTGTAGAACAGACGATAGAATGGCAAGCCCCGCTTTACATCTGCTTTGTTGATTTTGAGAAGGCCTTTGATAGTGTGGATAGGCAAACAATATGGAATCTGTTGAGACACTATGGTGTACCTGGTAAGTTAGTGGAAATAATCCAGCAACTTTACAATGGATTTTCATGCCAAGTTAGCCATGCTGGGAAGCTGTCTAAAGAGTTCCAGGTCAACACAGGTGTGAGACAAGGATGTCTGCTGTCGCCCCTCCTCTTCTTCGTGGTTCTCGATTGGGTGACACGCACAGCCTATGCCAGTTCTGGAAAAGGTATTCAGTGGACACTCACTGGGAAACTAGAGGATCTGGAGTTTGCAGATGACCTTGCCTTACTCTCGCACAGGCTACAAGACATGCAAGAAAAAGTTGATGCATTAGGAGCCATCTCTCAGCGCATAGGTCTCAAGATCCACAAAGAAAAGACAGAAGTGATGAAAATTAACAGTAACCAGGAGGCTCCAGTGACAATAGACGGAATAAAGGTAAATGATGTGCAAGAGTTTGTCTACCTTGGCAGCAAGATCAGCAAAACGGGAGGCACAGGGGAGGACATACGTGCTAGAATTAATAGAGCCTACGACCCATATGGAAAAGTTCGGCCATCTCCATTACCACAAATGTCAAGGCAGTTCTGCTGTATAGAGACAGCAAAAATACAGACCTTCATGAATAGATGCCTTAGACAGATATTGAAACTGAGATGGCAAGACAAAGTGCCGAACATAGAACTATGGAGGAAAGCTAGGCAGGAGCCTTTGGTTGTGCAAATAAGAAGGAAGTGGCGCTGGGTGGGTCACACACTGCGAAAGGCTCACCCAAATGTTACACGCCAAGCGCTTGAGTGGAACCCCCATGGAAAGCGGAAAAGAGGGCGCCCAAGACAGACCTGGAGGCGGAGTCTTCTTGAAGAACTGAAGCCAACAGGGATGTCTTGGGAGATGACAAAATTAATAGCCGGGGATAGGAAGAAATGGAAGGAAATGGTGGAGGCCCTATGTTCATAAGGAGCAAAGAGGACTAAAGTAAGTAGTAGACTTCTTGGTATTTATCTCTCTGTGATTAAATAGATACACAGATTATCTGTAGCAATTTAAAACATTATTCATCAGTAGATTTTAAATTGAGAGAAGCGTACCTTTTGCACATTTTGAAATTGTAACAGTGGACTACAAAACTTAAATTTGTATCATTTGTTTCTTTTCTAAGTGATAAAATATTTCTCTACATACCATTCCATATCCTTCTGAATTACACCCCAAAGGGGCGCCAAAACGGGTTATAGGAATACTTAATAGCTTTTTTGAGATGCATTTCAGAGGTAGGGGGGTGCTCTTTTCCACATAAATGATGTGAATATTATGAAAACGTTGACATCAAAGCATTAAAAGTAGTCTTTATCATCGGACTTCTATTTTCTCTTTGTTCGTAATGGTAATGTTGGAAAGGATCAGTGGCGTAGCGAGGTCGGGTGTTACCCGGTGCGGCACTTAATGGTGTCACCCCCCAGAGGCGTAGCGACCCTTCCCGGCGCCCGGGGACCAACTGTCAATTTTCGATTTGCACCCCACCCCCCTCAAACTTTCAATTTGCAACCCCCCCCCCACCCACCCTCCACCCTTGTCAGGATTTGTCAAATTTGCTCTTAAAATACTTTAACACTTGAATTAATAACTTAATTAAGTGGAATTATAAATTTTTCTCTATATATTTTGCTATTTTTTCCCTTGGTGTCACCCCCCCCCTAAATAGTGTCACCCGGAGCGGTCCGCACCCCCCCCCCCCCCCGCACCCCCCCCCCCCTCGCTACGCCACTGGAAGGGATTACCCCCAACATATTTAAGTAAACGTGTCAACTTGTTATGCGCCATGTGGTCTGTTGACTCAGATTTCAGCCTGCTTTTTTTTTTTTTTTGCTTCAATAGTCTTTGTCCAACCAAGAACAAACTACAAGTCAGAAGTTGTTTGATTTTGGAGTTTGTTTTCTCTCATAGATGGGTTGCTGTCCTCAGCTATAGAGCCTCATCTGCCCGGGAGTATGAATTTGGGACTTTTCGGTTAAGTAACCATGAGCTTTTCAGACCCGACCGACCCCTTATCATTGGACGAAAATATGTTCAAATTATACGCTTTGCCTAACCAGCTGATAGTTTATGGATTACACGTCTGATTCTTAAATGTATAAATCAAGTATCGAAAATAGGTAAAAGTAATGTCCTTATTCGAAGTACTACGAAATGCTACTTATATTTTGTAAAAATCTAAATTTTTCTATAATTATTACACTATTTTACAAATAGTTGCCTTGTTATCATCTCAGTTATTTAAGTTTTAAGGGTGTCAAATTTTTTTTTAAAGTTAATGTCACTCTAGTATTATACTTACCAAAATTAATGAAAAATGAGATTACCTGTATGACACAAGAACAAACACGAGTGGAAAAGTTAATTGGTACGCTAACACACATTTATTTCATTTTTTTCATTTTGAAATAAGAGTTACATAGCCTATTAGATTAAAGTTTATTGCATTTTGAGTTAATCTAAACAAATAAAAGCGTAGTATATAGATCTAAGTGCATTTACACAACGGGTTACAGCTTCGAGTCTCTTTCTGGATTTGTACCGCGGCTCAGGCCTTCTGTATAAAGAGTGGTTCCCAAAGCGGTGTTTTTTGGCATCTGGTGGATGACTCACGTGATATTAGAACTGTATACAGATGTAGTCCGGTAAAATTTGATTGTAAGAGGAGAATAGTGCGTTTAGATGTTTAAAATGTATTAGGTCGTTTTATCCTCAAGATAAGATGGCAAAAAAATCTCAAATTCGCATATGTGGCAAAGGACGAGACAGCAGTCCATGGACAATGATGTTAAGTGGGTATGGATTGGAGAAGCCCTAAGAAAAAAGATGAAAGCATGAAGAGGCAAACGTTGGAACTAAACCCACAGGAGAAGTGAAAAGTGGGCTCGTCGAGAAAATGCTGAAGATTTGTCAAAAGCCTGATAGGATAGAGAACCACCCAAATCAGTCCGTTGGAGAGATGTAGCTGTAACCTTTTGATTCTCATGGGTTTTACAACATTAAATCAAGTAAGTCAAGTTATCTATGAATTATATCGTACGAGAAGCAATCTAACAGAAGAAACAAGAATTTAATTTGTTGAATATAGTTTTAGACCTATAACCATGCAAAGTAGCGCAAGAAATAGGAAGGGTGACGAGGTAGGGTTAACATGCGAGGAATAGAGGAAAAACCCTAACGAACAACGTTATATGCATATATGTGAGTATATAATGTGTGTGCGTGTGTGTGTGTAGATGTTCTTTGATCAGCTTCCTCCATTTCTCAGAATTTTATATTGACTACTCTTTTTCGTTTGCCCAGATATTTGAAAAAAAGGCATTTTAAAACAAATTATTTAAAATTAAATTATCTCTCCTGAACTTTCTCATATTTTACATGTTTTAAATAGAATAGAATCGCAAATTAATGAATTAGTAAGTTTGTGAAATAAAAAAATTTTAAACATATTAGTTATTATTAGGATCAAATTATTTAAAAAGAGCTAGAGAACCACTATTCGCTTACTACATATTGATCTGAACATATAATTTATAAATAGGCCTAACAGCGTGAGTCAGGTTCTACAACTAACGAAGCTTTCTCAGAACAAAGAAAAATAATCAATAAAATCGAAGCCCAATGTAGATCTATATATAGAAGCCCTTGAGCATCACTCTGCAAATTTGAGTTATGTTGAAAAGCTTAGGTAGAAATGTTCAATAAAAAGACTGTTGGTCTAAGGAAAACGTATTTAAAGTTATTATTCGGTATAAATGTTTTTGTACCTCAGTTTTGACCCACTTCTAACGCTGCTATTTCGTTGACACTTTCCAGATGCATTCGTCTCCAAAAAAAACGCAAGAATTTCCAATTGTATCTAATTAGAATTTTAGCTAATTAGATATTTAACAATTAAAAGATTCCAAAATTCAATCCTATATATATATATATATATATATATATATATATATATATATATATATATATATATATATATATATATATATATATATATATATATATATATATATAGTTACAAGCCCTTGCGATTTTTTCCTGGTCTGTCCCTATTTGAGGGTAAGATGTCCATACATTTGTTAGGCAGGTGACCAGCACTTGATAGCCACTCTTAGGCCGTGCAAGCAATTAAATGCTGAAACATGCTCGTAGACTGGCCATTGCGATCACCTGACCAATTTAGCAACAAGGCTTCCTACTACACACATACCCTTCCAAACACATCTGTGAATGTTGCAGCTTACCAAGCACCCTTAGCTTCAGTCTTTGGCTCCAGTACACCTTGCATTACAAATTTCAACAGACACACCATTTGTACATTGATGAAATGAGCAACAAAAGATGTATCAAACATTTTATTCATGGAATAAATGTCATGCCAGAAGACAACAAAGGAAGGGACCATAGGAATGCCACTTTCAATATGACAGCATGAAAACATACAAAGGCTTTGATATATTTGCTACTAAAGTTATATACTGCTGGTAACTGCCTAAAACAGATCATCTGATGTTTACTTATCTGGAGCTGTTACAGGGTGGAATATAGATTTGAATAGAGCATTATGTACTTTGTATAAATAGAGTTCACATATATACAAGAGATAAGAACAATAACCCTGGAAGAAATGTAACACAAACAAATTACATTGTATCATTTGTTAAACAGTGATTCAAATACAGAAATAAATATTCAACAAGAAAAATTCTTCTTACAATTTACAAAATAATAATTAACCTGTGCTAATTAAACCCGATCTGTTTAAAATCAACTCAGATGTACAAGAGAAAACCTTAATGCAACGATGGTATACCCATGTAAACTGTTGAAATAAAATTTAGCATGACTGGCCAAATCAAGTTTATCAAGTACAAAAGAATTATGAGAAGCTAGTACCAAATAATGATGGGCTTATGTGGCAATGGCCAGGGCCAACCCTTGCTGGTGAAAACACTGGACAAATCAAGAAATGCTTACAGTAACAAGATGAACTATATCTATGTACAAACTTAGCCAATGTCTATCACAAAAAGGAACTGAATGTGTTCGCTACCATGACCAACAAAATGTACAGCCCCTCTCATCCACACGCAGCTGCTTTGTGTTAGTCCAACCCCACACTTCTAGTACTTGTTAAACTAGTTCCACACACACGCTCACACACAAGGCAACTACATATCCTAAGTCTTGTTTCAACAAAAAAATACAAAGTTTAGTGAGGTGCAAGACCTCACCAACAGCTAGTGGTAACTACAGGAAGAAAAACATTCGTGCTAGTAGAGCAAAGAGATGAACCACCCCATATATAACTACAAGAGAAAAAACCATTCATGCTAGTAAAGCGGAGAGATGAACCACCCAAAGTATAACTACAAGAGAAAAAACCATTCATGCAAGAGACATGAACATGACAAGCTGGGCGTAATAGAAAAAAAACATTCAGGTTAGAATTGCATAGTTATTATTTTAACATATAATTTTTTATAAAATATTCTAAATCATAGCCGGCATTCAAACAATTAGTTAGGCCTACTTGTAAAAAAAAAATTTTTAAAACATTAACATTTTTAAATAAATTATTTGCTAAAAAAATATTTCTGTTAGTGCCAAACAGTAAGTTATTATTTTTTTTAAGAAGCCTAAAATATACAAACTGTTAACATGATTGTTTTATTGCTTTAAACATTTCTATTCTATTCCAAATGCTGAAATATTATCCTACTGTAAACAAAACAGAACATTTTTAAAACTAGTTGCAGAAAGTGAATAGAAAAGTGGTCATGAAATGTTAGGATTGTCCACCTTTTGAACTGCGCAAGTAACCTCTTTCTTTAATTGGCTGACTGAAAGAAGAAAAAAAAGGAGAGAAAGGAAAGAATTGGTGAATAAGAAAATGTCTACACAACACTTAAGTACAAAAAAATAAACAATCTATAAAAGAAATAAGTTAGGTATTATTTCTACAAGCCATTGAAGAGGAAATAAATACAACAAGAACAAACTTGACCAAATCCCAGCCAATTATTCTGATTGTATGGTCATTGTTTGAAATGAATTAACTCAAATAACTGATCAAACATGTTCAGAGAGCTTTTCTAAGTTGTAAGAGAGGTCAAAACAATGAGTCATTAAAAAATATCACAAGAACAACTTTGGTTAAATGTGTTCACAAGAGCTTTGATCCAATAAAAAAGTAATGTACCATGTAAGGGTGAACACACGCCATGTTGTAATTGACTATAACAACACACCACGTTGTAATTGACAATAACAACACACCATGTGGTAACATTACCACCAACAACACAATTAGAGGGGAGCTAGTGTACTGTGTTTTACTAAGTGATCACCAACCTTATGCCCCTCCCAAGCACTGCATTAAATGTACCATTTTTATTGAAGTGCTTTTTAAAATGCCAATGGAAACATTTAATTTACAATTTTTAAAGAATGAAAAACCAATGTATAGCATAACGTTGAAAAAAGTAATTTTTTAAAAAGATATTTAAAAGGGCCTAATAAATTTGAAGAGATTTTGTACTAACAATTAAGCACAAAATCTTGTAGTAGAAAGTCGATAGAGATTTAACAGATGACTAACAAACAAAATAACTAGGTTGGTCAAGATAAATACTTTTGAAAACAAATACCAGATTTAATCATTGATTGCAGAAGTTAAAATAATTTGTACATGAAAATGTTAAAAATATGTATAAATAGTACAAAAATAAATGAAAGTGTAATCATGTCAAGTTTCCCATAACCCTATTAAAGTGAGTATAACAATGAATACTTGAGTCCAGTTTATTATGACACCAGAAACATTCAGCAGCGAATACACATTAACAATAGCTAAGTTCAATCGAGCAAAATTCTCCATTATTTCTGAATTATTCTTACTTTATTTTAAAATAGGGATAGTACAATTAAGTAGATATTTAATGTTAACTTCTGAAAATTGTTAAAAACAATATTTTGTTAAAGCATCTAAATAAATTGAGACAGTTTGGGCAAACTTTTATACGTTTTTTTTTTAAAATAACAAATCAAGTAATTACTAAAACTATACAAATTGTAATGGTGTATAATTATGGAGAAAGGTGGGTCAAATCTATTTATTGCTATCTACATATTTTATCATTGTTTTTTATTATTATTTTAACATACATTTTTAAAGTTAATTTAGCAAGAAAACTGGCTGATGTTAGTGTCAAACAAAAACTTCATTAGGCTGATGTTAGTGAAAACAAAAACATCATGAGGCTGATGTTAGTGACAAACAAAAACATCACATCATGATGATCATAGAGAACTTTGTGGAATGATCAAGAGCTCCTGGCAAACAAATATATCTCACAAGAGAAGACTTATCAACAATATACTCTGCAGCACTGAGTTTAAATAATATTTAAATAAAAAAACAATATCATTTTAGAACACTACATGGCAGGTATAAGCACTGAAATGAACGGTAGAAAAGCTTAACTTAAATATAAAGCGAAACGAAATAGTGAGACATGCAATCAAGCTTTTTCACTTACGCAGCTTTCCAAGGGAGAGAATAAATAAAATAGAATGAAAACTGACACAATCACTGGCTATTACTGAAGCATACACCAGGCAGCTTGTAAGTTAATAAATATTTTTAACATTTTTCTTCAATGTCTGAATATGTCTTTTTCAACTGAATGTATAAAATACTACTAATGGGATACTAGGCTATGCGGTACAGCAAAGAATAATTTGATAAATGGAAGGGATTTAATGATATAACATTGTTCATTAGATGAAGTGGGTCTGGTAAACAAATATTTATACTAACAATTTAAGGAGCATTGGTTATGATGTAAAAAAAATAACTAAATGGTTGAATTAATAAGACTTAATCCAGTGGAACAAGCCAATCGTACAGGCTCATGAATTACGAGCGTTAGGTGGCGGCAATGTGGCAGATTTACCAGCCTGGGGGTGGCCCCTCTGCTGAGGTCCATAAGAAGAATATTGCTTTGTGCCCCTGACAGTACCAGTACTGGGAAAAATAAACAACAGAAATAAAAATGTTAGCCCACAACACATAAGCCAAAATATTGCTGGATCCTCCCATTGTGACAACCAAATAAAACAGTAACCAAAATAGAAGGTCTAAACCAGCTACAAATATTGATTTGTTAATGTTAATATAATAACAAAGTTAAAAATGTTGATTCAGAGTTAAACATTAGTAAAAAAATATATTTAATGTAAAATGTATAAAAGATTAATAAATTACTTAATACCAATAAAATGAACAAATTGAAAAATTATTTTAAAACTTAGCCTACTTCTCCCATTAGCAAATAAATTAAAAGTATTAAAGTATGGAAAGATGAAGAAAAGTTGTTGAGCAAATAATTTTTACATGTAATTTGTGAGTCACCTCCAGTAGATTATTAATGAAAATAAAAACTTTTTTTTTTTCATTTTCTCAAGCTATTTCTTGTTTTAAGAGTAAAATCAATTTTTTTTCTTAACTAATTTGTTTCCACTCACTGTAGTTCACTTCTCTAAACAAAGCTAAACAACAATAAATACAACAACTATTTTTAACTAACAAGAAGTTTTTGACAGTAAAAAAGCAAAGATTTGATCACACTAACATACATAAAACTACACCATAAAACTGTGTATTTCAACAGATTACTTACTTACAGATAGCAAATTAAAAGAAACACCTGGGCTAAAAGCACATTGTACTTAACAAGAACACTGAAGGTAAAAAAAAAATAAACCAATAAGGAAGAAGACACCTATGTTGACCTACCTGACATTACCATCTGAGTAAGCAGTTCTAATGTAGAAAGTAAAATATTTGAGCCATGAGCCAACCATAGATTTCTGGATGAGCTACATGCTGTGATATGGAGGTATGAGAATGAACACACACATGTACTGTACATGACAAACTTGTGTATCTACCTGAGGTTTCCTGTACTGACTATCCCTTTTTTAGATACTTTTTTACTTAGATGTTGAACCCAGTTTTTCTGTTTCTCAGTTGACTCTGCCAGCAGTAACATTTCCTTTGCCTGAATACTTGAATCGTAATTTACTGGAAATAAAGGGTTGAAAATGTGAATTTTTATCTGATCAAAGCAAGTTAAATGTCTATTTTATGCATTACATAGTAAACAAAGCAAGGCTCACCTTTACAGTAGGGTAGAAACTCTTCATTCTTGTCATAGTGGTCTCGATGTACTTTTACATGGCAACCTGGTAAAACAAAACTTATTTAAAATACTTGGCTCTTTAAAATTATAGTCTTGTAATATTTGGGGTGGAGTGGTCAGGTGGTAGGGAGCTTAATAGCTAGACGGAAGGTCTAGAGTTAGGATCTTAGTCCGCACTCAAAACTACAGGTCATCCACCCAGCTCTAATAGGGACCTGACTCACAATAGGGAAAGTGCTGGCCACAACATGTCAAGAAACCTGGATTCTACTTCATCTTCCCTACTTAATATAGGCGATTTCTATGTTTAAATAAAAATTTTGTATGATAGAAAAGCATGTTCAAGAGAAACAGAGCACTTACGTTTACACTCCAAGGCTGGAGGAGGGTGAATCATATGCCAGACAGTTTTATGGCACGAGTCACAGGAAGTTGGTGTACGAAAGCTTATTGGAACTAAATCATGACCTTTATAGATGATAACACCTGAGCGATCTAAAGGAGCAATTGCACTTTCTTGATTAACCTCGTCTGGTTTTCTGTTCTCACCTTCACTTGCATATAAAATCTATAAACAGGTTTAAAAACAAGTAAATTTAAAAAGGGATTTAATTTTTGTATTCTAAAATATACTGGTACTTATGATACCATTATAGTGAAACCACTATGAATGTCTAGACATTGTTCTCTGATTAGGCTTGTACAAGGTTTCAAGCTATGTTAAACAAATTACCTGAAAAATTCTAGGAATATCTTTGGCGTCTGCCCTGTACACATCTCCCTGTGTCACTGGTCGAACATGGAAGAGTTTGCTGCAGGGGAAAATTTTAACCAGCAATAATTTTAAGATAATGTATGCTTTAATTTGCTGGTTTTATTTAATATAGTACTCAATTCAAAATTAAGTTTTTAAAAAAATCACCTATATATAAAAAACTGAAAAGCATGATATAACCCAAATATAACCATCAACTGTATTTATAGAGTGACCAGCTGATTACTTACTCTATATCTAATACCATTATTGGATCTGTATTTTGTTTATCATTTTCTGTGTTGAAGAAGAGAACTTTACGACTGCTGACAACCACATACTGCTTCTTCCAGCCATACTTCTTTATGTTGTTGCGATTGGGCACTGCCAGCCACCCCTCCATGTGGGAATCTGATGACACTGGTGAATGAAGAAGTTGTGTGGCTGTATAAACAAGGTAATCAACTGTCCTACATTATACAAGGTATCCAGTTAGTGGTGCTGAATCATGAAATGAACGACATTGATTTATTTTTAAATAGAAACAATCTTCGAATATGTCAAGAAAAAATAATTTGTCCCTTTAATTTTTCAACTTAATTATTAAAGCTTTAGGCGGTTTTCACTCATTAGATTCTGCACCTCTAAAAATGGACTTTTAATATCACTATAAATGAATCTTTATTCACACAAGTTATGAAGATTTTAACTTAGCAGTTTTAAAAAAGATTTTTCGCTTGGGTATCATTTAACTATTTTTATCATGCGTTATTATACAACTTTCTATTTAAAAGAAAAACTAAGAAAAAAGTAATTTCCTTTTTTCCAACAATTTTAAATATTACAGTAAATACCTCCTGAATCCTCTGACACATTAATGCTATCATCTGGATTGCCACTGTGAACAGAGACAGTGTCTGAGTTGGAAAAAGCTAATATCTGCCTTAGCTGCTCTAGTTCTGAGTCCTTAGCATCTATTTCTAACTGAAGTCTTTGCCTAGCTTGGCTTTCTTCATACACAGACTGCTGAGCTTCTAAGACATCCCTCTGCATTTTCTCTACCATTTTGTTATATTTTTCACGCTCCTAGGATTATTAAAATTGATAATTAGAATTAATTTTTTAAGCAATTATTTTTACTGTTGAAATTAACTCCTCTTTCACCTGACTAAAGCTAAAAAAAAACAACATGGGAGTAGGAGCTAGTTTGAAAATTATACGAAATTTTTTTTTTTTTAAATAATCAAAAACCTAAAATTTTTAAAAAGCAATGACATCTAAGAATGTGTATCTTTGTAGCTGATTTAACAAAAATTATTTGAACTTACCATAGTGAGTTCCTGCTGCAGCTTTCTGTTTTCCTTCTCTCTCTTTTTTAAATCAGACTCGGCAGCTTTGTTTTTCCCGCTTTTAACAAAGTCTTTTCTGTTCATGATTTCAGCCAGCTTGTTAACAGCCTAGAGAGTTGCAAGTTATGCTCAATAATTTTTTTTTTGAACATTTTATAAAATAACTTTGTGGGTCCCTCTCAACCCAAGTTAAAAAATAAGATGTTACTGCCAAATGAGCTCGTTATATCACTTTAAGTATATGATTGCTGATTAGTTTATTGACCTTCACTTCTCCATGTCTATCAAACCTCTAATGCTTATAAACTGATCAATGACAATTAAAACCTCATATAAAAAGAAGGGTTTTTAAATGACAAAAAATGACAAGAAAAGTTTCAAAACAGAGGAAAAGACAACATAAGCTTAAAATTTCTTTGAACAAAGAACTCAGAATTGAAAATTACATTCATTTTCCTAACATTCAATAAAATAGACTTACTTGGATTTTCTTAAGTTTCTCTTCCTCCAACATCTTCTTTAACTTATCAAAATCAGCATTATTTTTGGAGTTATTCACTTCTGCAATAGTTTGAAGGCACAATCAGTTAGATTGAAAAAGAAATTACATGAAATAATGACAAGAAATAATTTTTGTTTAAAAATCTGTACCTTCAGATAGTGTCTTTATTTTATTATTAAGATTATCTTTTTCTTGTTGAAGTTTTTCAATATCAGTTGAAAAGTTGTGCTTAAGAATCTCAGTCTGGGGAAAAAATTATTTTGAATAAAGCAAAAACAAAAAAATTCTATACAATAACTTTACATTGTGTTAAAATTGTAAAGTATCACACTAAATTGTAAAATTTTCCTTGATAGATTATGAATGAAGCTTATTTCAGACTAATCAATGTAATGAAAAAAACGAGGAGGATAAGACTTACATTTTTCACTTCAGATTTGAAGCGACTCATCAATTCTTTTATTTCAAGTTCAAACATGGTTTTCTCTTTCTCAACGTCTGACAACTGCTCCTCAGCGATTTGCCTGGCCAGTGTTTCACTGTCAGCTTTAGCGAGGGCCAACTGAAGCTGAGCACCTATAGAGTCCCTGCAATGTCCAACACTTCAATTAACACAGATATTTATTCTTATTCAAATAATAGTTTATTAAAAAAAAAAAACAGGTAACAAGTGAAGAACAATTAGATTACCAAATTGAGATAAAAGTCCACCCACTACACTATATATTTTAAGTTTTTTTTCAAGTTTCCTTGGGTTTGTTCTTCACTCTTGATTGTTTTTTTTTATTTTACAGAGCTAAATCTGATATAAAATAATGTACTTGAGTAACAACTCAAGAAATTGTTTTTTTAAGATATATCACACAAATCCTGATATTCTTGTGTAAGAAAATACATGAGACACACCAGTAAATAATTTCTTTTTTTTAAACTTACTTTTCTTGCAACATGCTTTGAACATCTGATGTAAGATCTTGTATCTGCTTATTCTTTTCACTAACTTCATCTTTTAAATCTTTCACTTGAGTCTTGTACAAAGACTTTAAAAAAAATAATTTCAACATACATTAATAGATTACCAATTTCAATTAAATCTTTAAAAAAATCAGAAGTTTCATTAACTTACTGAGAAATATGTCTCTGCCTCCAATTGTTCCTTTAGTTCTGTTATCTGCAACTCATTTACTTGCAGATCACTGTTGTGAGAATTCAATGGTTGTGAGAATTCAATACATGAAAGTTTAATCATTTATATATCAAATACTCTATATTAATTAGTAAAATAATTATTAAAGTATGCTGGTTTACTGCTCTACTCACTCTTTCAACTTTTTAATTTCATCGTCTAAGTTCTTTTTCTCTTCTTTTAAATCTTGAATTTCCTGAGATAAGAAAATTTATTCAAATATCAATTGTTACACTGTGAGTTTATGTTTAACTCAAATCCACCATTTCACAAATTACATTCTTAATCGATGCTAGTTTTATAAGATCTGTTAGGTGAGCTTTTATAAAATGTTCTGGAAAACACTTATCATATTACCTTTGTAAGCTGTTTCTCTTTCGTCTTAGCTTTTTGCAACTCGTGAGTCTGATTTTTATAATCACTTTGCATTAGATTTCTTCTTTGGACTTCCTGTTCAACTTGAAGTCCTAAATTCTTGCTCTACAAAGATTTAAAGTAATGTGAATTCAAGTTTGGATTCATAACAAATAAAAAGATAATTTTTAAAATTGACACTACTAAATGATAACATAAACCTACCTTATCTGATTCACTCCTGAGTTCTTCTTGAATGGATTGAACTTTCTGTCTAAGCTGCGTCAAGTCTACACTGAGTTCACTGTTTTTTTTCTCAGTATCGAATAATTTACTCTCTGAAATCGCCCTCTGTGCTTTCTCGTAGTCTAATTTGTCTTGAATATCTTAAGTATATAAAAAGAGTAGTTAATCAGGAGTATAAAATAAAATGTATTTATAAACCGTTCCTATAATTATAAAAAAATTATTTTACATAAGTTAAAAACTTACCCTTTATTGCTTGTAGATTGGCATGATCTGAAGTGCTCCTATGAGAACCTCTCTCTGCCCTATACTTCTCTTCTGTCTCTTTGTGTGCCTTTAATTCTCCTTCCCATTTCCTCTTAAAATCCTCTTTATCATATTCTAATGTTGTTGCTTTCTGTAAACAAAGATGTAAATATATGTATGTCTTCTGACACATAATAACAACCATAAGTATATTGGTATAAAAAGTTCTGAAACCTATACAGCAAAAGAGAACTGTTGGCAAATATCACTGATGTGACTCATTCTTATATTTGAATTTATCTTCTGGCATGAGAACTTTTCATTTAAGGTTGAGTAAAACTAGAAATATCCTGCTTTAATTATTGTCACAAATCTCAACTGTTTGTAACACTACAAGATTCAGATTAAAGTTTTATTTTACAGATATTTTACTTGTTTGAGGTTTATGTGTCAAGCTAAAATGCAAGAAGTAAGTGCTACCTTTTCAAGATGGAAAATGTTTTGTTGCATTTGCTGGAGGTTCTGGTTATTGGATCTTTCTCTCTCTTCTGCCTTTATTTTTTCTTCTTGTAAAAACTGGATTTGTTCTATGTATATAAAATACTTTTTAACATAAAACAAATTCAAACAAAGCTTATTCTAATATGAAATTAGAATAAACTGATATAATAATTTTTTAATGTAAAAAATAGAAGAAACCAGTTTAGAATTGAAGAATTTAGAACATTTTCAAAAGGAAACATACCAATCAACTCCTGTGATCGCTGATATTCTTGAACTTTATTGCTTCTCTCATTGTCCAGAGTTGTCTGCAGTGTGAAGAGGTCGTTCTGCAAAGACTGTCTGATTACTTGGACCTCATGGTACTTGCTGTTTAAATCATTAAAGTTTTGCTCTAGCATGGAATACTTCTGCTGGAGATCTGAGTATAATTTTTTCTGTTTATTAGACGTTTCACTTTCTTGCTGTAGTTTTTCTGTGAAATCTGAAATCTAATCAGAAATTAAATTCGTTTTTTTTAAATAAAAATATTGGGTAAATAATCAAAATATATATTTACTAATTAATAAACATTTGAGTCAAATTTTGTTAAAATTTTATCAGTTTATGGTTAACAACTATTTTATTGCCAGAAAAAAATGAATTTATTGATCTGGTATCAAAGGTAGGGCAAAACTAATAAAGGTAAATAGCTAAAGATAGTAGATTGAAATAAATATCCCTAATTTAAAATATTAAAAAACAATTTACCATTGAAACATATCTAACACAAGTTAAGTATCTTATTCTTTATATTTTAAAATGGACTCATATAAATGTATATTACACTAGTGTCCCCACTTAAAAAAAAACTAAAAATAAAAACTTACAGATTTTTCTAAGCTAGATACTCTCTCAGATGAGTAAGCAGAATTGTTAGACATTTGTAGTCGAGCAGTTATTTCAGCTTGTAGTTGATTTTCTTTTTCTTTCAACACAAATTCAATTTTCTTTCTGCTATCAGATTCTAATTCAAGCTTCCTCTGAACCTGAGGGTTGAATGTTTTAATAAAATTGGAGCCGTTCTTTTAAACAATTGACAACAGAGTACATATGCATCCTAATAGTTGATGAATGAAAAGATCAGGTAAAAGATTGACAACTACCTCTTTCATTTCATGTTTAACAAGCGCCAAATTTCTTTCCAATTCACGATATTCCCGTTTCATATTAGCTTCTTCATTTGAAAGATGATCTATCTCTTCTAATGTTTGTCTGTGAACAAAAAAATATTTCATAATTGTGAGACAGAAATATATACTAAAACCAAACAGATAGTCCATTTGCAAGCCAATCATTTTAACACCAAAAACATTTATAACCAAACATAAAAGACCATCTGCAGTCATAACAGCCCGATAATATTTAAAAACCTGATTTATTAAGTTCATTACCCTCTTAAACTTACTTGTATTTTTTTTCTAATTCAGTTTTTTGAATTCTCTCTTGCTCCAGCTGTTGTTCTAATTTTTTCTGTGTAAAATCACCAGCTCCTGATGGTGCCTTTTTAAAGATATTTTTAAAATATTTACAAACAACAAAGTAATATTAATGTGTTTTCTATGCAGTTATTTTGGTAATCAAATGGTGACAAGGAATTATTTGAAAAGGTAAAAAAAAAAATGTTAACTAGAAATGATACTCACCGGGGTATCAGCTCTTGTATTATTAGATGGACTGAAAAAATGTTTTTAAAATACCAATTATCTTCTCTTTTAAATATTTCTGCATAACCTAAAAAGAGTTACGTATTTCTTAAACATTGTAAATCAGTGATAAGCACTTTAAAATGTCTGGTGGGAAACTATTTTCTATGAAATTGATATGGTTCTACTAGTGAAGTTACTACTTAAAAACATGAAAAAAAAACATAAAAATAATGAGCTCATACTTCCATCCTTTACTGTATGTAAAACCAATAAAAGGCAAATGATTCCCAGCAAAAGCTTTAGGAGGTTGAAATGTTTCTTCGGGTGTTTCATCTTTTTCTATATCATCAAAATTGCTGGTGTCAACATCACTAGATAGTTCTGGGACCACAGGCGGAACAGCTGCAGATACATCATGAAGAAATAACTACTGTGTGTTTATGGCAGTTCCTTAATTATAATTCATAATTAATTAGTGTAAGAATTACTTTGTCGTATGTTTTCCCATGTCCATGTATCATTTTTGAAAAATGGATGCCGTTTAATTTCATCTACGCCATTTCTACCTAATCTTTCAGTTCTGAAAATTAAAAAAGTTTAACATTTTATCAGGCATACAGTTTAGTTATCAAAGGCTATAAATGTTTTAAATAATACTTATAAATGTCTTTATTTGCATTTATTATACTTAACTTTATTTGCTTATTCATAAATCATGTGTGTTATTATAAAAAAATAAACAATATTTGTGAATCTAAAGCCATAAACATATTTACCTGTCAGTCAGAAAGGCACATATAAGACTTTTTGCCTTTTCAGACATTTCAACATCAGTGGGAAAGTTAAGAGACCGTTTGTGATCCATAATTTTACCATAAGTTCCCACAAGGGAATCTGCGTAAAAAGGTGTATCACCTGCAAAAGAAATGATCCCCTTAATTGAGCTGTAAAAACAGTAGTTTGACAAACACTTAGGATAAAACTATTAAAGATGGAAGTTCTAATGCGCAAGTGTGTCCTTACCAACAAGCATTTCATACAGGAAGACACCCACAGACCACCAATCACACTCTCTACCATAACAGCCCTCTCCACCCTGGGACTTCAAAACTTCTGGTGAGATGTAATCTGGTGTGCCAACAGCTGTATCTGAGTGCACAAGACCATCCTTAGGACAGACAACAATGACCAAGTTAATCAAGGTGGTGGGAAATATTGTACTATTTCAACAGATGAGACTAGGTAAAGGTAAAGCATGCTGGCTATCTCAGGTCAAGATGGTTCAATCCAGTGTTTCTTCCAGACTGTTTTCTCCGGGGGGGGGGGGGGGGGGGGGGGGGGGGAGACGGGGGGGGGGGACCACACACACTGTTAAAAGTATATATTTTCTATATAAATTATATAAATTTCATTTCGTTCGGGGGGGGGGGGGGGGGGGGGTAAAAAAAAATTTGGGGGGGGGGGGGGGGGGGGGGGGAATGCCTGGAAGAAACTCTGGTTCAATCTATACTCTAAATGTTGAACTTTTGATCTGGTTTCTAGACACATGAAGCTAAAGCTGGGGGAATTACCTTATCCATCCTCATACAAGTTCCAAAATCAGTGAGCTTGAGATGGCCATTGGCATCTAACAACATATTGTCTGGCTTGACATCCCTGAAAGAAAATTGTGCAGTTTGGTTACAATGCAACTACACCTGTCAGCACAGCTGTCTTAAACTAGACTGCAGTAAAAGTGTCCTGTAAGAACTTACCTATGTACAAACCCCATACAATGAATAGCATCAAGAGCTAACACTACTTCAGCACAGTAAAATTTAGCCCATTTCTCTGGCACATCATAATTGCTCATCAGATTGACCAGGTCCCCACCTGGCATGTAGTCCATGACCATGTACAAATATTTGTTGTTTTGGAAGGCAAAATGGAGCTGCAATAGTATAAAATATTATTTGCAATCTATTAAAATATGTTTTACATTCAATAGTATAATGCCATTAATACTCCACAGCACAACAACTTTTTCTGATGATACCAATGTATAAACATCAAGTACCTGTACTATCCATTCACTGTTTGCATTAGCCATGATCTCCCTTTCTTCCCAGTAATAGGCTGAATCTGATCTTTTTATCTAAATAATGAGGAAAAGGAATGGTATCATTTTAGAATAAAAAGAAAAAAACAACTGTTGATTTTGTGGTTACTGGATATTTATTACTGCATTAGAGACAATTACCTGAGCTAACAAGCAGAGCTAAACAAGCAGAAAGAATGCAAGCACTGCAGTGCAATAAGTAGGGGGTCATCCATTGACATCCACAAAAAGGATGAATTTCAAAACACCCGCCTACACACCACAAAAGTCAATACCCCCCTTCTCAGTGTATAAGTCATACATGGATAACTCCTAGTGTAAGAGTAAGCTGGTATGTTTAAGTAAAGAGTTGTTCATTAACTAACCAATTAAAAGAAAACCAAATAATAATGATATAGTAGTAGGATTATTGAGTCCAGCCAAGTCAAGGTTTATTTTTTATTCAACTTGATTTTTTTCCAAAAAGTTTTTTAATATGCAATAAATTTCATTTTTAATTAGAGTTAAAAAGGGATGTTTTATTATTCTCTTGAGCCAGCCTTATATTAAAAACAACTTGTTTTTAAAAGTTTCTAAAATATACTCTATCTTTCTATAAGTAGTATGTGATCATTGTTTTATTTGGAGGGGGGGGTAAAGTAAACATAATTTAGCACTACTCTGCAAGGAAATTAGTTGTGTGGATCTCCCATAAAGACTTGTTTACCGGCTAACCTGACACACCTTAATGACACACCACATGGGCTATAAATAGAAATGCTTTATAAATAACCCCGCGAGGCCGCATGGAGCAAAAAGACAACTCACTTTCATCACCAACTGTAAATAGCTCATGCGCTAATGTGAGACCGCCTCCCTCTCCCCTCCCGCCACGCTAGCAGACGGTGCTCAACAAAAAACGTTTCCCCATGTTCCCGTCCGGTAACTTTGGCTTGTTTTAAATCGCGTGTAAAAAAAAACATTGGATTGTTCTACAGCGTACGTGTGCTTAAAAAGTGGGCCATGTTTGAGCATTAGACCGATATAAGTAAATATGGTAGTTTACACGACTGTAGGAATTTGTTTGAAATGCGATGAACATGTGATAACACACGTAAAACAATCTTGTTATTCACTACTTCGTATGCCGAGATGTCTTCACTCTGTAGACCGCCGAGCTCGACCTGTGGCCATTCAGCCAGACAAGATCGTTAAGTAACTGACACAGCGTGATTTTGAATACGCTTTTCTTATTGCCGTTAGTGCGAAGTTAAACATTACTTCAAGCGCGTCTTTACAACTGCTCTAGGACTGATTGACAGAGTAATCTCCCTTTCATCTACGTCACAGGTTCCCAAACGTTTTTGAGTGGCGACCCCTTATAAAATAGCCAAATAACCCGCGACCCCCCTACAAAAAAATAAAAATATTTTTTTTTGTTTTGTCTTCAAGTTGGTGACCCCCGGAAAACCATAGAAGATCCATACTTATACACTACATATTGACACGTGACGGGGTCACCAAATCAAAACCCTAGAACTCAGTGTTTCTTCCAGACTTTTTTCTCCGGGGGGGCACTTGAAATCTTCGGGGGGGCGGTAAACTTTCTTCGGGGGGGCGGACACTGTTAAAAGTATATATTTTCTATATAAATTATATAAATTTCATTTCGTTCGGGGTGGCGGTAAAAAATTTTCGGGGGGGCTTTGCCCCCCCCCGAAGAGATGCCTGGAAGAAACTCTGCTAGAACTTGTAGATCACAATTACTGGCTTTCTTGTTCCACACAAGATTAATAAGTAGTCTGGATAATAATGAATAAATATTTGAAAACATCAGAAACCGAGATTAACCTATCAGTACACACGTTATAATTGTGCCGCCAATTAATTAAAACATGAGACACATACTATGGGTGAAATAACGTGAGGGTTGAAAACTGTAACTAGACATGTCAGGGATTTAAAATGTGTACAATATGGACATCACCATACGAACTATCCATGTAAACTAACCATTTAAAAAGTTAATAAGACTCAATAAAATAGATCTAGTAAACAAGTATGAGGCTAAAAAAAAGTGTCGAAAAAATGTCGAGAACAAACGCGATGTTTAAAATAGGCTGGTACGGCGGGTGTGGAGTTGGGAAACAGCTAATTTTAGAATACACGACAGCCTTCACGTTTTTCTCCAACAGATTCACAAACGTGTACCGTAAACAAAGCGAGGGAGAACGGTGTCTACTGGGATGGCCTTGGCTATATTTTAAGTTTAGTAGATCTAGTAGTATGTGTCGCGAAAATGTGTGATCTACTTAACTTTATGACATTAAAAAATTCAAACAGTTAAACGTTTCAAGATATCATCATACTCTTTAAAAGTAATGGCACTTTAGTAACTATCTGGAGCAGACAGCTATTAACTTGATTAGTTATTAGCATATCCGTCTCATTTTGCCGCGATCTAGTCCTACAGAACACAGTGACGCAACTCTTATAAGGGTTTCAGTATTTTTGGCGGGTTATCTTGTTTTCTAAAACTGAGTGTGTAAACAATGCTAGCGCTAACTTTTTTTCCCCCGAGTTTCGCCAATGCATCTCTTCAGGGGAGCTGAGCGCCCCACCCCCTCCCCGAACGAAATGAAATTTAAATTATATATAAAATATCCCCCCCCCCCCCCGGGAGAAATAAGTTTGAAAGAAACACAGTGGTGCGGGTTTGTCAACACTACTGCCCAGACGCCCCAGGTCAGCATTTTGGAGTTTAAACAACCATCGGCGACCGCCCTGGTGTCAGGGGCGTCGAGAGCGCTCTCACGGAAGCCACCGATTGCACTACCGCAGGGCGCCGGGTACGACCACTAGTTCGTTTTGTGTAAGCCGTCTTTAGAATGAACGTACGCGTCATAATTCCCCTAGCGGAGCCTGGGGACACGGGGTCATACGGTCATACGACCGTCAGATACCATCAAATGTTATTATCTGACTGAATGGGAAGCTTGGTGTGCCAGAAGAAGAATGATTGCAACTTAAAACATGGACGATAAACTAGCCTATATAACTAAAGGGACAAACATTAAGACGAGCTCATATGTTCTATACACTGACACGACTGAATGGGAAGCTTGGTGTGCCATAAGAAGAATGATTGCAACTTAAAACATGGACGATAAACTAGCCTATATAACTAAAGGGACAAACATTAAGACGAGCTCATATGTTCTATACACTGACACGACTGAATGGGAAGCTTGGTGTGCCATAAGAAGAATGATTGCAACTTAAAACATGGACGATAAACTAGCCCATGGGTTCCCAACCTTTTTTTTACTCTAGAGCACATTCTAAAATATCGGTAGGGTGGCGGGCACCATCTATTTTAAATCGACAAACTCCTTCCAGAGGCGTAGCGACCCTTCCCGTCACCCGGGGACAAAACTTTCGATTTGCACCCCCCCCCCTCAAACTTTCGATTTCCATCCCCTTCAACCGTTCAATAATGTTTATGAAAAAAATTCTGTCTCTGTCGAATAGTGAGAGGCGGGCACATACGAATCGTTCGGCGGGCGCCATGGCGCCCGCGGGCACGGGGTTGGGAACCCCTGAACTAGCCTATATAACTAAAGGGACAAACATAAAGACGAGCTCATATGTTCTATACACTGACGCGACATGAATCAGGACTTCACATGACTACATCTCCAATGGCCGGATATTGTTGGGATCTATGCGAACATGCACATGTAAACTTGAACATCAAAATGTTTCATGATTACTTTATTTTGACTGGATACAATATGTAATCATTTTAGCGGTTATGGTGAGTACTTAAAAGCAGCACAGTAGTAGCGGCTTTTAGAGGCATACAAGCTATGAACGAAACACTGAAGGGAGGGGGAGAGACACCATATTGGACCAGACGCTCCAGGCCGGGTAATAGTTAAAACTATGCATTATAGACAAAACTGATGCTATTTAACAGCAAATATTTAAATAATAACTGTTCAAATTATCAGCATTGCTATGCACATGTCATTGAATTAGTGTAATGAAAGCTTAACTTTAAGAAAACCACTGATTTATAATTTTTGTTTCTGAAAGTCATAAATGGATGATACCACATTTAAAAAAAACAATTTCAGAGTATAAATAATCTGTTTTAAAAATCTACACCAAGTCTTTATAAAAATTAAGTCATACACTGCAGTATACACCAAAGGGTCCAGTCCATCAGTCAGTAAAGCCTAAGTTGTATATTAGCTATATAAATTCATAAACAATACATTATGATCTGTATTTATTTTATTTACCTGACATCATTGATATGTAATAAGCTTTTTAAAAATTGTTTTCTTTTTTTTATAAAAAAGAAGAAATTATGGCATGATTGATTATGACATTACAGGCTATTTAAAATGTCAGTACATCCATTGTTCAAGAGCCCACAAAGAATTTCTTGGGTGAAAGAACCAGGAACTTGAAAGGCCTAGAATTGTGTGCTTTTATTAGTTACAATAATAACTGTTTTAGTCCTCAGTAAAGTTTGTTTTTAATTCTTAGACAAACACAGAGAGCAATATGCCATGTTAAAAGGAAGTTTTTACTCCAGCTAGATTCAAGATTTTGGTTAGTGATATGTTAAATGTAAAAATGCAAATTAATAAAATATACATTAAACCAACCACTGTATTAAAAATGCTGTAAATTCTATTATATGAAAAATTATGGTTTTCTCAGAGGTTACTTCTGTTGAAAGCCTAATTCATTTCTTAAGATTACTGGAAGATAAAGTAAGTACCTTAGAGAATTATATAATAAGATGGAAGCAGATGCTCAATACATTTACACCTGGTATGGATGGATGGTCTATGTACAACCCCTAAGCTGCAGTCTTCAGGGTTTGTACTGGAAGACTTAACGCTTCAAAAAGCAGTTTACCAACAACCACAACTCAACATAGTTTATCAGCTGCCACAGGCTGGGCATTGAACAAAAGAAGCTAAAAGCTTTGATTCTAAAGTTAACTTTCTTCAATGTCTACTTCATGCTCAATCCATTGAATGGATGAAGATGACATTACAAGAACATTTTGATCAGTACAATTTGCAGAAATAATAAGACTTCTCATACTAATCTGCTTTTAACATGTATATAATTATAAACAAGTTTGATAGGCATATTAAGATAAAATTTAAAAGATTCTTTTTTTTGTGCTGTTCCCTAAACATTTTAACAACAAAGTGGTATCTAATTTTATACTCAATACACTGATTATCACTGAATACATTTTTTTAAAACAATAAATAATTTACTACACTGAACAAATAATTTATAACAATTAAACTGTATTGTGATTTTTTTAGTGTCAGAACTAGAAATTACTCTTTGGAGCTGTAATTTAAATAAGACGTTACTCTCCCGCACCCACCCCTAAACTGCAGGACATTATACCCTATAATTTACCACATCATAATATCTGTATAGAGATGAGACAGACAGAGATAAAGGATAAATTAGGATTATGAATTGGAAGATGGTTAGTTTAGAGTTACCAAGAGGGTTAAGGAGCTGAGTAGGTATAATAAATTCATTGGATACTTTTTATACATATCTAATATTCTTTTATTATATTATTGATTCACTGTAAACATTAAATTTTGTAAACTTGTACCTATATTTAAATGTTTTGAAATAAGATAAATACCAAAACTGTTGAATGTAGAGCTAAACAATGTTGATATAAATAATAGCTTTTATCCTATAATAAGCAAAAAATATGCTTGGGACTTTCTTTAATTCTTATGAGAGGACTCTACTTAAGAGAGCATTAATGGCTTAAAGTCAAGCAATAGGATGTAGCTCAGGTTCTTCTCACATCTATTGCCAGCACTAGGACTCTCCCAAGTTAATTGCACCACCTGGTTTGGATAGGGTGTTGGGATAGTGGATGAGCCCCTAGAACAAGACCAAGAACCCAACATTCAAACTAACAAGTAAATGTCTTAACTCTAGAATTCAATTATAATACAGACATTTGTATTTGTTCCTTTATCTCTATTCTGTGAGTAAAATTTGTCAATGTTTTTCTACTTAAGTGGTTTCTTTTTAATTTAAGTACTCCTATTATAACATAGATAAGTAATGAAGACTATTGCGTTCTCCATTTGTCAAATATTTTTTCAACAGTTTGCGAATGAAATAAATGAAAAGTGATACAACTGCTTGTGAGCTGATAAATGGAAAAAAAACCTCACCATTTCATATTTGCTTAAAAGCTTCATGGCAAAAACTGATCTTGTAGTTCTATGCCGCACCTAAATGGATAGAAAATTATTTATTATTAAGTCTATCAATTTAAACAAGATATATGAAAGAAAGAGTCCTATAGGACAGCTCATGAATCATAGAGAATTATTCACTAGAACATAATACTTGGGGAAAAAGAGCTTTAATTTAAGGGCTATAATTTAAAATGTTGAATTAATTTATGCAATAACAGTGTAAGGTGAAAATTAGAGAAAATCACTTTTCATTTTACAATTTGAATTTTCTTATTTTCTTCTTAAAAAGCCATGAACATACATATCAGTAGGTATTTTGCAACATTCGCTTTTGTTTTTTTTAATAATTAATATTAATTTTGGTTAGGTTGTAGCTTAGGGTCTCTAGAAAAATATGTGTTGGTTACAAATTTTATTCATAGATAAATAAACAGCATGAAATTTGGCAACATATTAAAAAATTTAAATAAATCACATTACTTACTAGTTGGACTTCACCAAATGCACCTCTCCCTATAACCTTAACAACTTCAAAGTCAGATGCTTTCATACGAGAATTTTTAATAAGATCAACGGATTCACCATCTGTAAAAAAAAAAGTTAAGCAATAACTAAAGTTCATCTTAAAATTTTTACAAAAAATTCAATGGCAAAATATACTACAGTAAAACAAATTAAGAATTCTAAAAAAAAATTGTTTATACTTTAACCTACATTTTTACTGCAATTTTTTTCAAACTATATGAAGACATTGTGATATGCATAAAATGTTAAACAACCTTTTTAAAAGCCAGCAAGTCAAATCTAAGCTAATCTGATTATGACAGAGGTTCTCTTAACCTTTGTGGAGGTACCAAACCCCATCAATTTCATATGCACATTCACCTTACCATTCTTAATAGTTTTAGCATTTGGACTGACAAAATATGATCGTCAATCATGTGAGTTAGGTGTGTCTTCAGTGTCAACGGACCCCTGAGATGGCTCACCAAACCATCGAAACCAGGTTAAGAACCACTGGATTATGATGTATTTCAAAAGTTACTTACATCTCTCCAAAAAATGCTCAACATTCTTAATTCTTTTAATAGCAGGAAAATCCAAATCTGCTACCAATGCTGTTATACCATCCTGAAGGAAACAAAGGAACAGTATATCATGATTCAAACTAGAGTATGCTTTGTTTACTTTTATATAACAACATTTTATAATACACTCTAAAAAGTAACTTACCAATAATCCATCTATATTAATGGCAGAGTTTGCATTGAACATCTTTTCTTCAAGAGTAGCAAGGCGCTTGCGATAATCAGGATCGGACATCACCATTTTTAATTTTTTTTTTATGTCACACAAAACAATCTAAAATAGAGTAAGCAAAATATAATTATAAGCAATTAAAGAGAGATTCTAATTTATTTTAAAATCTTTCAGAATTTCGAAAACCTTTAGAAATGAAAAATGCAAGGACATTTTAAAAGAAAAACTGCAGTGTCTCCTAAAAACAAACCATTTTAAGTATATTTGTAAACGAGCCGACCCGCGGCGTATCATACGCCGCTATTTAGTTGATTTATTTTCTACTTTCAGTAATTCATAATTTGTGAATTCGACAGTACCAATGCTGCCACTGAAAATATTTGCTTTAAAACACTAACCCCCCTCCTTTCCCCTAACCCCGACCCTACACCCCCCAGTGAAAGCAGCCTCCTCTTAGTTACCTCCTGTAAGTTTAAAGTCGGTTCAAACTTAATTATCTGCCCCTAATAGCCGTCACTAAACCTGGCTGTACGGTTTGTAAACATTAACGTGACCACAGCTCAGCAGACCATGTGGGGGTGGGGTAGGGTGGTAGTGATAGTGATAGAGAGAGAGAGAGGGGACTGTAAGGAGGCGCTTGCAGCTTGTTTTCTAACGGCTCGCAGAGGAGAATTATATATATAGATACTTGTATTAGTGTATTTCTTATATTCATTGCTTATTTCCATAGGCAAGTTAAAATTTACAAAATACAAACTGTAACATTTTGTTATCTTCATTGTTGAATTGGGCATACAATTGGTGGAAGACTTTTAGTTATAAGTAGGTAAAGTTCTATTTTGAACCTGGCAGCCCATGAGACAGGTGAAATAAAGTTCACCTGTTTATGAGACTTCTGCATACGAAGGGATAGTGTGGTTAGCAATATGCCCAGCTGCCTTTACTTTCCCTTTAAAAATAACTTCAACATAAATTTTTCATGTGTAGATGATGACTTATCAGTGACGAGTATCATTTTAAAAGTCTCAAGTTCAGGTCACAGGCTAGAGTTAGGGGTCATCCATAAATGACGTCACTCTTTTTTTTTTATTATTTTTACCTCCCCCTCCCCTCAGTCACACAAAGCCAGACCCCCCTAAAATGACGTTACACCTCAGTCTACAACACCCTCAAAATTGCAGTTGAATTTTTTTTTTAAACATCGATATTTTTCCAAAATCTTGTCTGAACTCTGTCAAAATAGAGTATTTTAATCAATTCTTATTACAATTTATTAAAACAGTTTTCTAAAATGCAAAATAACGTCTAAAACTAATTTTCTAACACTGCTTTTTTATAAAGCAAAAGTGTGACGTCACACCATCTGAACCCCACCCCCTCCCCACACACTGTCACAAAATTACTGACCCCCCCCCCCCCCTACGAGTGTGACGTCATTTATGGACGACCCAGGGTAGCGAGCAACACTATTACCATGTATTGAGCCTGTTTAACTGTTAGAGAGTACTGCAATGTAGTAACTTAGTCTGTAATATGTACACTCAAAACTGTACTCATGTTCTGACTTATATTATAGGCCTAGAATCAACTCCAGAAGACTCATGTCAACTTTCATCATTAATCAACTAGATTCTAAATCTAGTCATTCTAGAATTTAATTCAAATCTAGATTAGAATAATTTAGCCTACTAACTACTAGCTAGTAAAACTAGTAAGTAGATTCTAAACTAGAATAACTAGATCTACTAACTACACTTACTACTACACTCTACACTACTACTGGAGTACTGGAGTAGATCTAGATCTGGAGGTATGTGAACTTGTGAAGTATGTGTGTTCGAGTTGATGAATATGAATACTGAATACAGAATCTTGAATCAAGGCTTGATATCTTTCATGTTTAGTTTAAAGTAAAGTTTAAAAAAGACTCTTGGAGTTAGTTTAGACTTTTTAGAATCTAGATCTAGATTCTAGATTAGATGTAGAATCTCGATTTACCTGTCCTGTGGTGTGTTGTTGACTTCTAAGACCGCCGTCCTCAGCAGTCAACTTTTTCCCAACTCACAGCTCAGTTACCAACAAGTAACCAGTTTAAATGATAAATAGTTCAACTGCATTGTCAGTAATCCACAGGCTAATACATTTAATAAAATAAAATAGTATAATTTTCGTAAGCAAGTGTATAATTCTTCAAATACTGTTTGCTTTTCCGGAATGCGCCACTACCTAATTTATCTGTGTACGTTCAGTCAGGGGAACATGGCGTCATAACACACATATTTTATAAGTTAGTTTCGTAGTAAATTTAGCAATGTAATGTAGGCCTAAGCTTACTAGATCTAGATCTAGTAGTACTATATCTAGATCTATATTTATTAGATCAGCACTATTATATTTTGTAATTGATTGATTTTCATTTGTTTAATGTGTGATTCTTTCATTGTTAAAAAAATTGAAATTAGATGTAGATTATCCACTATCTTTTTTGTTTTTTAATTGCTCGAAACTGGAAGCAATAAAAGTGCGAAAAAATGTTCTGCTTATCTAGAAATAGACTAATCATAAAATATCCCAAGGCTAAAGTGAGCATTTAATTTAAAAAAATAAATTAGATCTATAAATTATATTAATGCTAATTTTTTTTTAATTTGCATTTCTTTTATTTTGAATCTAACCAAAGCTGTAAAACACATCACAAGTGCGTGTCGCGAGTTGTAGGCTACCAATGGGGCTTGGAGGTGTCTTTAATGAAGATGAAGGCTTATAAGTTACATTACCGACGCTTCAATTTCTTTTAATTAAAGAGATAATGTGTAAAGCGCCAAAACGACACGTGACAAAAAGGACCTGACAAATGACTTCGTCAAACGAATCCCGTCAAAAAGACCAGTGAAAATGAACCCAGTTATTACGGCTCCCAACAACTGGGCTCTCGTCGATTCAGCTCCCGACATAACAACCACCTTCAATATGGCTCCCAACTAAACAGTCCAGATGCAATATATTAAAATAATATTACTAGAGTAGCTCTAGTCCGGCATGTTATTAAAGGTATATTCTATTATGTAATGTAAGAATGATTTTATTACAAGAATGTGTGGTTAACCTTTAAGGCATTCATACAGTTGAAGAGGGGATGGGGGTGTTCCAACTAAGGTCGACTTTATTGGATGTGAGGGCATGGGAGTTTATGTCGTTGCTATGATTAATTGCCTATATTTGGTAGCTTTATCTACTTATGGCTTTAATATAGTACGTGCTAAATCCTGCAGTGGGCATTATAATTACAACAACAAAAACTTCATTTTAAGATAAGGTAATACTGAGGTTGTGAACATAGTTTACATCAGTCGTGGACTATATTATTTTATTTAAGGACCAGAAAAACGCCATAGAAGACGATTATTTTCACATTTTCTCATCACACAACAGGTGGCAACAATCGATGCGAGTCTTTATCTTTATTTCTTTTTTTATGTGTTACTGTATGTCTTTTTTCTGTCTAATCTGTAACCACACTGTTGTGTGCTGACGAAGACCTTGGGTCGAAACGTCCATAGTATTTGTAACTGTCTTTAACTGGTGAGGTAACGAACACTATCTGTTTTATTACTAATTGATAATTGAATCAACCTCACTGCAGCTACCATTTGTAATTTTAGTTAACTTTATAAGGTGCTTACGTGTTATTTAAAATTGATTTATGAAGATTTCAAAATGTAATCAACTTTTGTGGTGTCAGGATCTCTATAGATTTTCTTGGTTATCAAAGTTCATAAGTTAAAACACAACTATCAACTATTAAATTGGATAATAAATTAAATAGATTTAGGCCCTATAATGTTATTTTTTTTAACTCTTAGTCTATTTTATTTGATACAATCACAATTTAGTTTAAGGCGAAAATATTACGTTATAACATTAGCCAAAATCAACGATTTCTAAACATCCGAGAGAAGAGTTCTAATCCAACCAACTCCCGCCAAACATACCACGAAGTAAACAAACAATAAGTGCATATCCAAGGTCTAGATCTATATCTATTATCTAAATCTACTCTCGATCAGCCGTAAATTAGAACCAGTGTTGTTATCTCGGTCACTAATATCTCAATAAGAGGCGCAACATGTGGAATACTGGTAAAGTGTGGCAATGTCTCAGTTTACGTGTGAATGTGTGTGTACTCACTGGTCTGTTTTTTAGTGTTATTAATCTAGGTATTCTAAATGAGCCGAAAAAAACGTACTGCGCGCAAAAAAATTTGGTCGGGTTGCGCTAACGCTCGGAGATCCGATACCATAATACATACGATTACACTAAAAACTAATATAGAGCAAATTACATTGTCCGAACACTACATGGTACCGAACACTTCGTCGGTTTTTGGCTCATAGAAACTTTAATTAGCATGTCTCATGCGAAACCACGGCGCCTGCACGTAAACTGTTCATTTATGAACACTTCCGTGTCAAGTACTTCCGTTTCCTCTCTCAAGAATTATTTTTAGAAAATTTTTAACGTTGCATGGTACGCACATTTCTATTTTTACACCAGCCGGATGAAGTGACCTAGGGTTGGACTTAGGGGCAAAACTTGAACCAATCAACGCTTAGCTAAAAGGTTACACTATAAATAGCTTCTATATATGTATGGAACATCGTAAATGTCAAGGTTAATGGGTTATTTTGTGCTTGAACAATAAAAAAGGGGTGTTCGCTAACTTTTTTGACCTTACATGGGACCGGACAGCAACACAAAAATATTATTAAATAAGAATTTAGATCATAAAAGGGGCTGGTTATTGAAGGGAAAGGGTCAAAATAAGGTCAAGAAGGCAGTGGAATGCGAAAGAGGAGGGGGAATCATGTGACCTGGCTGGCTTAGCAGCGTACTGCGCGAGCCGCAATGGCTGAATGGGATGAACTTTGGGAGTGTGGGAAAAAGGTTTTATACTATTAAAATTACCTCACAAACAATCAATAACACAATATAAATGCATATATGTTTTTATTCATTAAATTGACTTTAAATTATTCTAAATGAACAAAAAGTGCTTTGTCCGATGACGGGTAAAGGTGTCCGAACACATTTGAAATTGTATTACATGTGTCCGAACACACGTTAAGACCCCCCAGTCACTATAACAAGAATAGCTAAAGTTCTATGCGTATGAATACAAAATGACACACACATTATTAAAGTAGAATGATTGCGGATAGATATGATACTTTTTTTTCCTTCCTATGTTAAGCGGTTACTGAATGAGACCGCATGGAAGTTTTAAGTTGCGTTTTTTCGCGGTGTGTGTCCGGACAGTGTAATTTGCTCTAGAAAGTAGAATGGACGCCCTTTAAGATGATATGACTTTGCCCGCTGTAAAATATAATTTAATGCTAAAAATAATAGATTTAAAAGTTTCAAATGATTTTTTTACACGAAAAAAATATTTTACAGCCGGCAAAATTATATATTCAGATAGGGCGCCCAATTTACTATAAAAATGTTATAATTTAATTAACACTTAATGTATGGTATCGGATCGCAGAAATAAAAACGAACGCATACGTATCGTGATGACCCGCGCTAACTTTTGCCGGCTTAAATCTAGTTTTGCGTAATGTCACGGAACACCCGGCTCAAGTTCAAAGCAGGATTTTGTGTTTATTCGCGGATTACCATGGATTTTAAACAATGTCTAGGTAAGTTAAGTGCTTTATAAATTATTAGCTATATTCATTTTATTTATAATAAACTGCTGCTTTAAACCATTTGCGTTTTAGTGTCCACTTATCGGTAATTGCTACACGCTTAAAAAAACATTTAACAAAAAATTATCTAGACCTTTTTAAAAGTTCTTTGTATTTAATTTACGATTACCAAAATAAAAAAGGAATGCACAGTTAAATCAAAAAGATGTTTAAAAGAGTGATAGAATTTAATTTGTATTCGTGAATTTTATTAATTACTAACATCGACCGATTAAACTATCAATATATTGTTGATATTTCAAGCCGCTTGTCGGCCATTTTTTTTTTTTGCCTTCTCGTAATGTTGGATTCAACTATTATATTACGCAGGGTTAACAGCATACTTTCAATTTATTGTAGCATTGTTTATTTTGTTTTTCCTAGTTTAATAGTTAACTATTCTATATAATTGCAGTAATTACATTAAATTTTAGAATACTACGATCGTTAATGTTTCTTATCTCTAGGTTTATTGAACTGACGACATTAAAATAAAATGTAGCCCCCCTGCCATAATAGTTTAACCCAAAATTGTTTCTAGATCTACTTAGATTAGTTAGATTCACTATTGCTTTCATGTTAATATTTAGATTCTAGTAGTAGAACTATCTAAAGTGTTTACATTTAATATCTAAAAAAGCATTGAGCAGCCTTACTTTTAATATTATTCTATTTACAGAGCAAGATATTAGCAAAAGAAAGGGGAAACTGAAAGGCCTGTCAAAAATGTGTATTGTTTGTGTAAGCACCAACAGGACTACGGAATACTTTTGAAGGAAACCATATGTCAGATGTTAGTATTTTCTTCACTTTGCTTATTAGTTATAATGATGTAATGTTACATGATTGATATCTAAGTAGGTATAAAGATATACAGACCTACTATATAAGTCAGTATATTGGAAATGCTAATTAATTGTTTTTATTCACAGACATTTTCTATACTCTGGACCAATGGAAGGATCCCTTACTAGTTTCCATAATTTGATGTGTGCTGCCAGTTCACAATAATTTATTACAATGCTACTCCAAACCTTGAAGAAGAAGACTAACTCAACCAAGATATTGACTATTAATTACAATGCTACCCAACCTCATAGAAAACTTTCCCAATCAGGATATTGACCTGTCTTTTTGAACCTGCTCTAAGATTTCTGATAAGTTAGGACCTAGACATTTCCAGAAGTTGACATTGATCAATAACTAACTAGAAGAAATAAATTTACTGATAACAAGTAAATTTAGGCTAAGCATGTCATGATTAGGGAGCAGAGTAACAAAACTAGATGAACATCACAAAGCTAACAGTTAGGATCATTTATAAAGAATTTTAGTTTAATTAGTTATCTTACTTCATCAGTGTTAAAAAGGCATGAAATTTCTTCTTAGTAAGTATATAATTAAAGTAATAGTATAGTTATTTAATTTTTTATAACAAAGTAATGCTAACATGTTTCCTACACAATTTATATTACTTTCTTAAAAGTAAGGACACTTTTTGCAAGATGTTAGGTAATGAAAATTCTTGATTTTGGGCGTTAAGGAAGGATGCCTTATATTGTTTTGCAGAATGATTATTTTATGTTTCTGTGTTTATTATATATTAAGAACATCATGTGCTTTAAGATGGTGTAAAATTTATAAAGATACCTTACTTTAATATTTTTTAATCATTTTTTGAAAAAGAGTGTAATTTCTAATTTTTATAAACTGACCTCGCAGAATCTGGTCTCGCTAATTACTTTCTTTATTAATTCTTTACCTGCTTATTTCATATTAACATGCTTTAAATTTCCTTTCTTAGAACATTTATATTATCAATGTGGCTTAATTAGTTTATTTTATATGATTTTTTAAAAATGACTGTAAATTGACTTTTTGTCTCCCTTTTCGTACTTTGGTAAAATTGTGCTTTGGCTCATTTTTAAGTGAATAAATTTTCCATTTATATCTGTCTGACAACCTTGAAAAAAATTGGGTTTGCTATTTGTATTACTGGCTGTGTGTGCAAGAAATTTGTGAGTTCTAACTTAGTTATTTTAGAAGTTAGCAGGGGTCTCAAATAGACCCTTTACTGCTCGAAAAGCGAACACAGTTTTCGAGTTTTAAAAAATTCATAACTTTTTAAAAAATGGACATACATCAATAAATTTGGTGTTTCTGTTCTGATGAAAGCAATCCCTATCAGGTGGAAGTGTTAAATTTTATTTAATTTCATTATGAAAATTTCATTTAGAATACCTATTATTACTACTTATTAGTTATGATGGTGGGGGGGGGGGGGGGGAAGAGAGAAATGAAAATCAAACCAAAATGCCTGATCTTGGTTAAAATTTAAAATGAAAATCAAATTAAACACAAAAAATGCCAGACTCGAACTGGCAAAGCGTTTTAAAAATACAAGAAGGGTGCTCAAATGCAGGTCACTGGAATCTTTGTCTGGCTTTAGTTTAGAGTTTATTGGCTTTAAAAAAATTAAAGTTAAACTTTTAGTGTTAGGCCAGGCCAATTTATTTAATAATTAATATATTTATTAGTATTTAATTTAGGCCTAAATTAGTAATTAATAATTTATTTTATATATTTAGGCCTACATGGCTACAACTATTAACTATTTATTAAAAATCAATAGGCCAATTAGGCTAAATTAAATTATTAGGCTTAAATACGTAAATCATCACTTGTTGGTATATTTCCTTTGTTCTTGGTGGGGGTAAATTCAAAATTGCTCTGATTTTAGCTTAATTTTCAAATTTTAAAATCAAATATGTGATTTTAACTAAACTTAAATTTTGACCTGCCAATGATTTACCCAAACTTTGATGGAGACTTTTTTTTAAACTCTTTATTTAAGTTCGTATTGTTAAAATGTAGCAGCACCACCACCAACAATGTGCTAATTCAAGTTTAATAGTGAATATGATGTTCCTATTTTTACAGCACCCATAATTTGTTAATAATTGAACAACTTATTTGTATTGTCTCGACTTTGAATACCACCTAGATGGGTTTTGGTATATTGCGAAACATGGTAAATTACGAGAAGAAAATTTGAGACATACTTGCGGAATCACGGATAAATTGCTAGACATGATGTGCGAGACTTATTTTTGTTTCGTGCTTTTGGTGGTTTTTTTTCCCACCAGATGTGCAAGTAGAAAAGCTATCAACTAACAAAAAGTGGAGGGGGGGGGGGGGGCTTATTTTAAAGTTCCGGTGGTTTTTTATTAGTTGAATATGGGATAATATTGTCTTTCATTAAGATAACTTATTAATGATCCCTATTATAACTTGAAATAAACGTGTATTTGTTTATAGTAAGCCCATACTATATTAAATATTGTATTTGTACATTCTAGATCAATTTGATCATCAAGGTGGTTTTAGCACACCACAAGCAGAGGATAAAAAGGTAATCATTAATGCCAATGTATTGTCATTAGTAGTCTCTAATTAATATACAGGCCTACCCTCATTGCAGTGAAACGTAGGTAGGGTTGTTGATGATGATCATATAAACATTGCAACTTTAATAATTAAGGGACACATTCATTTTGTTTTTTATCTTGTATTTATTTTTGCATATACCGCACAAACAATCAGTCTAAGAATGAACCTTTTATACTCCATCTACCAAAATATACTGCTTTTTCTTCCTAGTTTATATTTGATTGAACACTATTTATGTACTTGTGTACACTATTTTGTTTTTAATAATTACTTTAAAGGAACAATCATTTTATATAAACACAGTTGGTGAAAGGTTGTTTCATCTTTTCATTCACTCTTCATTTTGACATTCGGTCGGCAATCATTTTTTTTCTAAAGGAAATTAAATGCTAAAAATGTTTCACAGCTAAATATATATTACTACTTTGTATTGGATCAAATATTTTATCTGTATTTGTAGAAAGGAAGTAAACGAAGCAGCAGTATTGTTCCTGTGACTGTTGCACAGATCTTAACAGCTAAACATGAGGATGACGTTTTTGTGTCAGGAAATTTAGAACTCTCTATGGTAATAGAAAAAGTTTACTTTGCTCTTTGGTTAGCTTTAATTTTATCTTCTTTTTTTTTTCATGTAGACCAGTCTGATAATAAGATGGCTATTGAACTTTAATTGAAATTACTACACCTGTATTAACAAGTAGATATAAAACTAATACTTTTTGCTCTTGTTTTATCCAATTAGTTTTAAAGTAAATGTTGTTCCAATCTCATATGCAGTTGTATATTTGTAAGAAAATATTTTTCAGATAACACTTGTGGGCCTGATTACATCAGTTAATGAATCACCAACTAGAATAGATTACATGATAGATGATATGACAGGACCCCCTATTGAAGTCAGATTTTTTAACACAGCAGACGTGAGTGTAAATTTAGTCTATTTAATGTGATAATGTAAAGTAATATCAACATGGTAATGTTTTTCTTTTATCTTTGTGTAATGAAGTATATTTTTGAGGCTGATAAGTTTTATTTTTAATTAAGGTTGCTATTGTATCCACAGGATAATGAAAACCCTGATAGCAAAGAGTCCACCACACACCCAACTAACATTTATGTCAGGATCTCTGGTAACCTTCGTGCATTTGGAGGCAAAAGAACAGTAAATGCCATTAAAATCACTCCCCTCACTGATATGAACGAACTAACGTATCACATTTTGGATGTTATTCATGCAAACGGTAGTTCAGAACAGGTAAATGAAAACATTTTTATACACGAAACATATGAATCTAATTTTAAAATAGATACTATACATTTTTATACTTTAATGAAAAGGTGTAAATTTATAACAGATGTGGTTAAAATCCAGTTTTGAACCTTATTATGTCTGTTGTGGTTAGTAATCATGGCATCATATGTTAGGGAATTAAAATCTAATGCCCATACTTATTGTTTTAAAAGTGAAATGACTACATAGTGGGAAACCGCTAACAAAAAGTGTATAATTGTAGGTTTTAAAAAGTGTTAGTTATTCATTCAGGGCTGTTCATAAGTTGCATTGGTCAAGTACATTTTTAAACATCCTCACAAGATGTTGATTTTTTTGTTGGATTTTTTTCTTTGAAGGTGTGATGAGAGCCCACTGGACATTATTTCTCTCACATTGCACTGTATATCTGTTTATTTTATTAATAAAGCAGCATAACTCTTTATCAGCGAACAAGCAAAATAATTAATTCCAAATGTTCTGAAAATTCTAGTAGTAGGGCCTACATAGATTCAAGGAAATTTCCTAAGCATAAGATATGGTCAGTGGCGTAGCGAGGTCGGGTGTCACCCGGTGTGGCACTTAATGGTGTGTGTCCCCCCCGTCCCCCAGAGGCGTAGCGACCCTTCCCGGGGACAGACTTTCAATTTTCAACTTGCACCCCCCCCCCCCCCCCCCCCTCAAATTTTTCTCTATATATTTTGCTATTTTTTGCCTTGGTGTCATCCCCCTAAATGGTGTCACCCATTGCGGTCCGCACCCCCTGCCCCCCCCCCCCCCCCTCCCTCTTTACGCCCCTGGATATGTTTACACATGTTTATCTACTGTATCGTGCATAGCATTTCATCATAGTGTGATAATGAATTTCAAAATTAAACATACATGTTTTATATTGTGTTGGATGTTAAATAATTTATTTTGAAAATATCCACCATCGTTTGGGCGTAGCTGTTTTTCTTGGATAGAGCATCTAAAGTTTGATAAGTTAGGTTAAGTGGGTGGTAGACTAGCTGTACCAATTTCTTTAATCTTGAGTCAACTGGAAGTGCCATACTGTTATATTTCAATATAAAATAGAGATATATTTTAGGGGAGCTCACTCCTTGAATAATTTTATCCTTTGTTTCTTCTCTTTTCCAATGTTTTCTAAGTCGTGCTTCTAATCCACAGATTTCTGGTTCTAGCCAAGCTGGTAACAAGCAGCCGACAATGGGTAAGATGGATACAGGCAGAGAAACACAGATCCCTGGGTTGACTACAATACAGGCACAGGTATACGATGCTACAAGATTGAAGTGTTTTTAAACTTTGTGTTAAGAACTTCCCTTGAACTGTTTATTAACAGCAGTGATATATGTTGTTAACTTAACATTATGTTGTTAGCTTAACAACATAGCACATAGAGATCTTCAATAGTTAAACAAACTTCTAGTTTCAATTCGTCATATATTGCTAATGTTGTTTTTGTTTAGTTTTTAATTCTTTGTAAGTTTATGGTTAAAAAATATATTTTCCAGATTCAAATGATCATCAAAAACAAAACATTAGAAAATGGTGACAATGGTTGCAGCATTGATGAGATTTGCCAGCAGTTAAAAAGTGTGGCCCCCAAAGCTATCAGGTATAGATGTTATCCTTTTGAATTAAAATTGAGCACAATAACTTGAATAAGCTTGCATATTACAATAGCATATATCTATTTTGTTTTGAAAATTGTTTTGTACTTTGAAGTTACAATACTCTGTGATATTTAAAAACACCATTTTATTTCAAATAAATTTAAGTGATATAATTGTTTCTTTTTTTTCTCAGGGACGCAATTGAGTTTTTAAGTGGTGAAGGGCATATTTATTCAACAATAGATGATGAACATTTCAGTTCAACTGATTAACTGCAGAATTATCACTTGTATATTATGAATGAATCTTTTTAAATAAACACAGGTTTAAAAGTTACAAGTTTGATGTATTTTTAATGCTGGTTGTTTGTTTTTTTACAATGTTTAAAAAAACGTAATTCAATTTCAAACTACTGAAGTTGTTGTATTGTAATTTAAAATGAACTGCCTATTTACCACATTAAAAAAAAAGATTTTTAAATTAATCTCTAGAAAATGACAGTTGCACAATTAATACAATCACTAACTATGCAAGTTCTCTGAACTCCTACGCTAATAATTACTTAACAGCTGTACGATTCTTTCCATTAGACATGATGTGTTAAGAAAATTATAGGTTTAGATTTTAAAACGTACAAATAAAACTAGGTTCTATCTGTATCTTGTTTCAAGGGAGGCTACTTTGAGTTAATTTTCGTGTTCGATTATATTCAGTAATGTCCCTTGAAATTTCAACAGCTTATACGCTGCAGTCGTATCACCCACCACCACTATAGTAGATACCTAATAAACACTGCATACACATGATAGTTATAACAATATATTAGCATTTTTCGCTATACATGGAGATGTTAAGAAATGTATGGAATTACAAAAATGAAATCGTTATGGACATATTAAACAGATTTATATTGTTTTTATTTGTTTACTCCTTGAGTTACATCTGTGAATATAACGTGGGAAATAAGGATTGTTTATTTTTCTGTTATTTAACACGGACTTCATTTATTTTTGTTATCACAATTTGATGAATAACACAAATGGCTTACTATAATATATATTATATATATATATATATAGTAATTCATTAACGTACTGTGATTTAATTTTTAAATCCCCCACACTTATTAGAATTACTATAACAAACTGTGTCCTCATTTATGGACAGATGGTGTCTGTGGCTATAGAGACGTTACATAACATCGTCACCTCCTTAAAATGAAATCACTAAACTTCCAATCCCGTTCTAAAGTAACCACCGTAAAACAGCATATTTTTCATCCACTTTTGTTTTTAAAAGACCCAAAAATAAATTCTACATCACATTCACACCCCCACCCTATCGCTCACAAGGCACATCGTCACAAGTCTTAATCTCTAACCCCCCCCCCCCCCCAACCTAACCTCGACGTTTGAACATGTTTCGACGACCTCGGTGTAGTTTGCTGGTTTTGTTGTAGGAAGTGCATCCTGCTGGTGGCTCTTTTTTTACTTTCTCGTATATACGTAGTATAGAGAAAGTATTGTAATCGTGCAAAAAAAAAAAAAAATAGAGATTTTTACAAATCTCGACGTTTTACACCTCACTGATACGGAAAAACATACTTTTGCAATCTTGTCCGTATGTCTGTGTGTGTGTGTCTGTCTGTGTGTCCGTGTGTAAACACGATAACTTGAGTACCGTTACAGCTAGGTTGATGAAATTTCATATATAAGTATTATATCAAAATCGTAGATCCGTATCAACTTTTGAGCGATTTCCGACAACCGGAAGTGGTACTTTTTCTACTTTGAATTTTTCAAAAGCCTATAACTTGAGTACTATTTCAGATAGATAAATGAAATTTCACATGTAAGTAAAAGATCTAATTCTCTACCTTCTGTTAAATTTTGAGTAATTTCCGTTGACCGGAAGTAGTAATTTACGCTACTTCCGATTTCTCAAAAAACTAATGTAAATTTATTAAGTACTAATACTATTGCGCACTATTATACACACCTTTATTAGGCGTTCGCTTGGTGCGCAATTGTTTTTTACTGAGATTCTATTCTATTTTTAAAAGTTTCAGTATTTAAAATGGATTAAAAATCATAACTATATCCCCAGTTACCATCCCCTGTTGTTTTATATAAGAATATTCGAGAAAGTTTAGGGGAGATCACTACCGGTTTATTTTTTTTTAAATTCTCCCCGATGTATGCATGCGTACATAGAGTAGGCTGGGCATAGTGCTGACCTCACTTTCCTTTCATACGCCGAGGTCACTAAAACAGGTGAACTCTACTTCACTTGCCCCAATGCAGGGGTAAAATATGCACACAAAAAACATTTATGCACGAGTCATTATGTTATTAACTCCATGCGTCATTTGGAAACGTTACACGGTTGTGTATGATTTACCGCATAGTCACAAGTTCACAGAATTTTAATTGATGAATGGAGCACCACAAGAAATAAACATAGGAAGGCAAAGTGTAATGACATTGGTTTGTTTATGTGGGGCTAACGATAGACATGACCGGATTAGCGGTAGATTATGACAGGACTGTTGATAAAGGACGTTAAGGGAGTATAAAAATAAAAGAAATACACACAAAAACTTGCTTTTCTAATGTAAGCTATTAAACATAAGAAAATAAAACAAATTTTCTTTTTTAGTAAAAGCGTTGGTAGCTAAAATGTATTTGGAGTATTTATAATAGCATACGCAATCAACGTTTCACTAAAAAAGGAAAGTTTATTTTCTTATGTTCATAATATGACATTTTTTAAATGTTCCATTTCTCACAGCCGGTAAATATTCAAAATAAAATGTACAGGCCTTCTTTGGTGTGTCAGCATGATCTAGTGTTAAGCCATATTGGTTTACATTACCATGTGGACATAAGAAAAAAAATCAAATTGCTTAGCTTTGTTATTTTTTTATTTCCAAAAAATAGTATAAACAACCACTTTACATACGTCCAATCTATAGAAATGTCACACAAAAAATAACCCACACACAATCAAGCTTAATAATATCACGTTTAATAACACAAAACTATTTTTAAAATATTAAATGGGGCCCTTTCAAGAGCCCAACCCGTTCAATGCCGTTAAGTCCACACCCCTAATGACCATTTAAGACCTGTTTAGTAGTCTCTACCTTGGCTCTAGGTGACAATTATCTGCCCCTTGTTGACGACCTAGCGAAAAACAACCCCGAATACATCTCACCACAGCTCCCCTTTGTTACTGAGGGTGGACTCAGGTACGTTCTACTGACTTGCACCCGGATTCGAACTTGAGACCTTCAGGTTAACAGCCTAGCTCTTTACCGCTTAGGCGTCCCATTACTGAAGATAGTCATCTTTAAATTAATAAGTAGGAGCCGACCCGAGGAGTATCATATGCCGCTATTTAGTTGTTTTATTTTCTACTTTTCAGTAATTCATAATTTGTGAATTCGATAGTACCAAAGCTGCCACTGAAAACATTTGCTTTAAAACACCATCAGTAGCTCGTTAAGGACGATAACCCCCCCCCCCCCCCACACACACACCCTCCTTTCCCCCAAGCACTACCCTACACCCCCCCCCCCCCCCCCCCCGTGAAAGCAGCCTCCTCTTAGTTACCTCCCCGAAGCTTAAAATCGTTTCAAACTAAATTATCCGCCCCTAATAGCCGTCACTAAACCCGGCTCTACGATTGTAAACATTTAGCGTGAACCATGTGGGGGTGGTGGTGGTAGGGATATGCCTAGAGAGGAAGAGAGGGGGCTGCTAGGCGCGCTTACAGCTTGGTGTTTTCTATGGTCTCCATGAAGAGAATTATATATATAGATAGATAGATACATTTTAAATCACTCATTAAATATCTAATTAGATTAAAATTGAAACATTATTGCGTTGCCATCGGCAAAGAGTAGATATGGAATCCAAGTTCCGTTATAGGGGGAGCACTTATAAAGTTTGGGGGAGGGTTAAAGTGTATATTTGCTAAATAAATTAGATCTATATATTTTTGAAATGAACTTTGAAACCTATCGACATGGTGAATTAAGAAAAAAGTTTGCGGTTAGTAGATCTATATAATTATGTTTTTTTTTATATTTATTTTCACTAAAGAGCTACTAAAGAGCTACCCCTTTTCGGGGTTGGGCAATCTGAGATATCTGCAATCTTTCAGCTTTTCCCACTCCTCTGGAGGGAGAATGTTCGCACGATTATACATGTCCATATGGTCTATTCCACGGGCCAAATCTTGAATCAGCTGATCCACGGTAAACGATGACCTCCTGTTGGTTGCTCGTCTCTCGACACTTAGACTCTTCCTACGAGGGGTGTTAACTCTTGGAGATTCGCGCGATATCGAAGCAAAAGACACTGAAATACTGTTGCTCCGCGGTCGTGCTATTTCAGATTTTTTTTCTTTGAAAATTAAATTGTCTCTACTCCCAGTGAAATTTTGTGTCGCAGTAGAAGATTCGAGATAAGAAACGGGTGGGAAAATTGACGGTACTGAAGAGCTCCTATTTCGCCTAGGAGTTGGCGATAAAGATTGTTTATTTTCATAACCATTAACCGGAAGTTGTAGCATTGTTTCGTTTTCAGTCACGACTTTTGGGTTGTCTTCACGCGGGTACTCTTCCGCGCTTACAACTATCTGAGGTATGTTGATAAGCGACCCCCCGCGTATTTCACCCACATTGTCGTGACCAACAGAGGAATATTTTCTCGCAGTGGATATACGTCCGTTGACTGACTCAATGTTCATTTGGCCTTCGTTGCTTGGACGTCTGTTTATTAAGAGACGTTTTTTAGACTCGGGTGACGACGACGGAGAACTCTCGACGGATGTGTACGAAGATGATCTTGGCGTGGGAGACCTGGCTCCCGCTGTTGCCATGGTTTCCAAAGACCTAGACAACAAACGCGTCTGTGTGACGTCACGCGGACTGTACCACCCGTAGAGCTCCCCTGATGCGGAGCCTGGTGATTTCTGGAAACCTTGCGAAGAAAAGTCTGTGTTCCATTTGCTAAAATGAAATAAATATATTATGCTTAAGTGTGGTGACGGGGTGAAAATATATAACTTCACGCGCAGTGATAAGTAATGGGGTGAAAATATATAACTTCTCTGCGGTGATAAGTAATGGGGTGAAAATATATAACTTCTCTGCGGTGATAAGTAATGGGGTGAAAATATATAACTTCTCTGCGGTGATAAGTAATGGGGTGAAAATATATAACTTCTCTGCGGTGATAAGTAATGGGGTGAAAATATATAACTTCTCTGCGGTGATAAGTAATGGGGTGAAAATATATAACTTCTCTGCGGTGATAAGTAATGGGGTGAAAATATATAACTTCTCATGCTGTGATAGGTGATGCGATAAAAATATATATCTTCACGTCATTTATGAACGACCTCAAAGGGCTAACAAAGAGGATAAACATAAAATAGCCCTAAACCCGTTGTGTTGAAACATTGAAATCTCAAGATTTATGTAAAGTTCGTAGAGTACGTGTATAAATCTGTAACTATATGTACGGCTCGCCGATTCACATTTATAAATGTGTAACTATATGTTCGGCTCGTCGATTAAATTACATTTATAAATGTGTAACTATATGTTCGGCTCGTCGATTAAATTACATTTATAAATGTGTAACCATATGTTCGGCTCGTCGATTAAATTACATTTATAAATGTGTAACTATATGTTCGGCTCGTCGATTACATTTATAAATGTGTAACTAAACCAAGAACAAAAAAATCAATACGATGACGCTAATTAAATTTAACCCCACTGTGTTTAAAACATAGTTACTGGTCTTGAACAAACGTGGCGGACATGTTACCTGTCAAACACATTGTTAAGGACCACAGGCGTTCATTTATCATTCAATTTTTTAAAAATTATCTGCGGTCATTAGTCTCGTATTTCTGGTGTTGTATTGTGGGAGACCGTGACACATTAGCCTCGGGTTTGGGTGGTTGTGTAAAGTGTATTGTGTTTGGGTGGTTGTGTAAAGTGTATTGTGGTAAGCCTAGACGCAAGGGTAGACCGTGGAACGGTAAGCGCAGGGGAGATCATGACTAAGATAATTGCCTGATCATTACGGCGAACAAACGTCGGGTTATCTACACAAGGATCTTTACGCCATGAATGGTTTGGGTAAATAGAAAGAAAAAAAATAGCCCAGAGGTAAAGGACACCAATCGATGACCATCAGTTTTTTTTTTAATGAATTCAGGAATTTATGGAGGAGGAGGGCTTCCACACAAGATTTTGTCTAGTACTAATGTAGTACGCAGGATCCTAACTTTGGGACAATTAGACATACTATACATTTTGAGTTTCTATCATTTCTTAAGAGTAAAAATAAGGCTGAAATGTTCAAGATAGTTAGATTTAGAGGGTGTAGAAGCGTCAATTGTATAGGGGAGCTGGCATTTTGAGATGAATAGGAGTGTGGACAAGACAAAACGGCAAAAACTACGACCCCCTCCCCCACTCCTAATTTTTTCTATAAATAAAATATTACAAAACAAAACATGTGATTTTAAGTTTGATTATTCAATTAGAAGCCTCCACATTTTAAACTAAATCTTACATTTTACATATTATAAACACATAATGCAAACCAAAATAGGGAAATAAAATCACGAATAAGAAAATGCTGGGCTTAGCGTGAAAATTAAACCATCAGGGGTTAGAGTAAAAGTTAACCTACCAGGATGAGGGGTTAGAGTGAAAGTTAACCAGGATGGGAGGTTAGAGTGAAAGTTAACCCACCATGATGGGGGGTTAGAGTGAAAGTTAACCAGGATGGGAGGTTAGAGTGAAAGTTAACCCACCATGATGGGGGGTTAGAGTGAAAGTTAACCCACCAGGATGAGGGGTTAGAGTGAAAGTTAACCCACCAGTATGAGGGGTTAGTGTGAAAGTTAACCCACCAGGATGAGGGGTTAGAGTAAAAGTTAACCCACTAGTATGAGGGTTAGAGTCAAAGTTAACCCACCAGGATGAGGGGCTAGTGAAAGTTAACCCACCAGTATGAGGGGTTAGAGTGAAAGTTAACCCACCATGATGGGGGGTTAGAGTGAAAGTTAACCCACCAGGATGAGGGGTTAGTGTGAAAGTTAACCCACCAGGATGAGGGGTTAGAGTGAAAGTTAACCAGGATGGGAGGTTAGAGTGAAAGTTAACCCCAAGGGCGGAACTACAGTGCCGCCAGACCCCGCATTGCGGGGGGGGGGGGGGGCCCACGCCATTTAGGGGCCCATCACCGACCATAATAAATTTTTTTATAGTTAAAAAAAAATAATTTTCTTGCATTTTTGACTTAACGGTAAAAACTTTTGTAAATAACAAACAGATCTACTACAGTAGTGATGTTATACAGTAGCTAACACATGATGTTGCGTTAAAAAACTATGCCTGAGCTGTAGTGTGAAAGATAGGAAAACGTTCAGAACACTTCCATGACTTATTTCCCTTTTTTAATAGTTAAATAGGGGTGCTCATAAGCTCCTTTTAATATATTTGTACTAAACAAAAGAAAAAGCAATTAATTTTCTTAGTTATTTTTTTTTTAAAAATACATACCAAAGAATGACATAGCATAAATTGGAAATATATTTAAAACAAATAGTATAAATAAAAAAACATAAAAATAAACATAACACGAGAAACCATTACACACACAAAGCTTTCATGTTTTATATTCTTTTGACCGGCTAAGTACTGTGGGTAGGCAGGATTACAGCAAACATTGAATAAACTAGTTCTAAATACATAGGTGAAATACAAAACAGACAAACGGACTCACACACATAACATGCTGTAATTTGTTTAAATTTAAAAAAAAAGACATTTTTTTTCAAAACCCGATCGGGCAAGAAATGAGTATTCAATGTAAATATATATATATATATATATATATATATATATATATATATATATATATATATATATATATATATATATATATATATATATATAGGAGGGGGCCCCAGAATTATTTTTTTTTGCGGGGTGGCCCTTTTTTTCTAGTTCCGCCACTGGAGTTAACCCACCATGATGGGGGGTTAGAGTGAAAGTTAACCCACCAGGATGGGGGGTTAGAGTGAAAGTTAACCCACCAGTATGAGGGGTTAGAGTGAAAGTTAACCCACCAGTATGAGGGGTTAGTGTGAAAGTTAACCCACCAGGATGAGGGGTTAGAGTGAAAGTTAACCCACCAGGATGGGGGGTTAGAGTGAAAGTTAACCCACCAGGATGGGAGGTTAGGGTGAAAGTTAACCCACCAGTATGAGGGGTTAGAGTGAAAGTTAACCCACCAGTTTCAGAGGTTAGAGTGAAAGTCAACCCACCAGGATGAGGGGTTAGAGTTAAAGTTAACCCACCAGGATGAGCTGTTCAGAAACTGCCTGCTCTCGTTGTTCAGTTCCCGTAACGCAGCTTTCCGTTCCTTCTCCAGGCGACGCAGCTTTTTCTCCAACTCTTTGCTTGTGCGGAGGTTGACGTGAATCACACGGCTTGTTGTAGACTTGTGCTGGTACTGGTGCGTCATGATTTCCAATCTGTAAAAAAAGACCGTGTATACTATAAGTACTGCATGGGTAATCTTAACCCGAACAGTACATTAGCTGTTGTCTTTTCGTAGAAAATAGTTTTTTAATTGGAGGTCTTACTAAATTAAACGATGCTATTTTAAAAAAATAGTATCACATAACCACCCCAAGCGGATCAGTATTTAGCTCGTGTACCAATCTAATCCCCCCCCCCCCCCCCACACACACACATCCTCCTACTATTTGGGGATTTTTTTTTTGTCGAAGGCTTTCAGAAAAATACAATTTGTAATAATATTTGTAACAGTGGCATCGGCAGGGGGGGCAGGTGCTAGTGTGTTAGGGGTAGTGTCAATCCCACCTGGATTCGATATATATATATATATATATATATATATATATATATATATATATATATATATATATATATATATATATATATATATATATATATAATATATATATATATATATATATATATATATATATATATATATATATATATATATATATATATATATATATATATATGTGTGTGTGTGTGTGTGCGCGCATGCGTTTGTATGTGGATATATTGTAAACACCAATAGAATAAAATTCTGGCTACGTCACTGGGCTGTTAAGCTGAAAGGGGGAAAAATATTTCACTAGAAACTAACGTGAGCTTAAATTGGTCTGAATTTATAAAGAACATAATTTGAGAGTACTTGTTATTTTTTTTTAGATACGAAACATGCCATTGCACTTGTATTTTCGACCTGCACTTTTCACACGTCCTTACTCACTGGGCGAGGTGTCCTCTACTATTTCGTTGCGCAAATCGCCTTTGCTTGTTGAAGCTGGGGCGTGTATTGATTTCACGGGCTAAAACCGGAAGTGTGTCCTCACAGCCAGGTCACTTTCAGCAGTTGCATAATGTTGAGATTTAGAAATGATTCGGTCCTGGTAATTTCTATTGATCCGATCGTCCTGACCATGTTCGATATTTAAACAATTTGTGTCTTTATTGATTCACTCGTGGACAATGGAAATGCTGGATTTTATATCATCACCAACCGCCCCTCCCCCCCCCCTTATTCCCCCCTCCCCCTATTCATATGTGCACAACACGATAGCTACTTTGCATATACATTTTTAAAAAATTTCGAAAAAATAATACATTAAGCGAGGTCAGAACAAAAACCGAAAGATCGTAAAGTGGATACAAGGCCTTTCGTCTATATTGTCTTTTTGTTAAATTGTGGGGTCGGCGTGGTCGGGTCGGTAGAGTTCCGAGTTCGAACCTCAAGGGCAGATGAGGTTCGGTAGTAGGGGACAGCAACCCATCCAGGAGAGACAACTCCAAAATCAAACTGCTGCCTTGTAGTTTGTTCTGGGGTGAATAAGGCTATGGAAGCATACTAAAATCGGAATCAAAGACTTATATGGCGCATAAAAGATTGAGACGTAATGCTCAATTGTGTTGGAGGAAGATGAAAAAAAAAAGTTTATTTAATTAGACAAGCCTTAATAACTAACTTTATTTATAAAGTCTTAGACGTAGCCTACGTTTTGAATATTAACCTAAGATTACCCTATGCTGAAATTATTTGACGTTAGGTTTTTATAACAGGTAGGTATAGTTGTCTAACTTTTTTTTAAACTTACAAGATAGATTTTTAAAACTTCCATCACAGTGGCGTAGCGAGGTCGGGTGTCACCCGGTGCGGCACTAAATGGTGTCACCCCCCCCCCCCCCCCGCCCCAAGAGGCGTAGCGACTCTTCCCGGGGACAAACTTTCAATTTTCGATTTGCACCCCCCCCCTCAAACTTTCGATTTCCACCCCACCCCCTCAAACTTTCGATTTGCACCCCCACTCAAATTTTTCTCTATATATTTTTACTATTTTTTACCTTGGTGTCATCCTCCTAAATGGTGTCACCCGTTGCGGTCCGCACCCCCGCCCCCCCCCCCCTCTCGCTACGCCTCGCTTCAACAGTCTATTTTTCTATCTGTGTGTGTGTGTGTTGCGTATGGTGAGCATATGCATGTATATACATGTACTTTGATGTACTCATTTTAATCAAATGCAGTTGAAATACTTACGGTTTTAACGAAAATTTAAAACTATAAATCCCTTAAGCAGGCTTCAATATAGGTCCTGTAAAAGAAAATAACCCCCTTACAGATACAAACACTAAAATACACAATCTTTCAACATAATGAAGAGCAATATCAAAAGAATGGCAAAAGAAGAACTGTTTATTTTTGCAATCATTTTTGCAATCGAATAAACTGTAGCAATTAACTACCAACAACAAATAATATGTTAGGATGTTAATATGACGAACGACTAACTAGTATGGTTAACAGACCAAAAAGATACGCCCATCGTATCCATCTATTCGCAATACACACTGAATACAACAAAGCACGCAAGTCCAGCAACTCGACGAAACAAAGTAACTCACTCTTTTCTCCGTGAAATTGGTTAGGTTTATGTACCACAAGCAAACATCAATTCACGCTTTAAAACTGTCTATTTAGTTTAGCTGTAGATACGGGGATGAATGTGTAAACATCACTTTCTTCGCGAGACAAAAGGCCCTTCGATTGATAGCCACACATAGCAACTGAACTCGTAACATTTGCTTGTAGGCAAAACAACATTGAAACCCATACTATTCCTACTTCACCCCAGTTTATTTCTCACATAACCCCCCTCCCCCTAGTATCCCCTTACACAATACGATATCTCAGATTATCCAATTAAACAGCTAGATTTAATTGCAGCAAGGCAATAAATTGCGGTGATCAATTAAATATTAAACCGCGCGATATTAAAGTATAAAATCATTATTTTTTAAAAAAAACTTAATAGGTTGTGGCGGTTGGAGACTTTTTTTTATTTTTAACAAATTTTACAACTTTTTTCTGAGCTCTTTTTTTTTAAATATATCAGGCCGATACCTCCACGTGGATACTGGATAGATATATTTTTCTTTTAAATAATATCTCTAAGTAGTCTAGGGGCAGCCGGATGCAAAAACCCACCCCGGTGCTAGTGTACTGATTCACCTAAGATAAAACCATGCGAAAACAACAAAACAGCATGGTACATAAAGACTACAGACAGAATATGAATGAAAAATAAACTTACCCAGCTCCAGCATATTGTTCCGTTAAATATTTACACTCTTCTTTTATACCCTGTCGCATTTAACACAGAACAGCCACTTAAAATAGAATAGCCATTCTAAATATAGAATGTTGGATGAATTTCAAATAATTGGATGACTATTTTAGGTTTCCGTAAGAGATATCACATCTCTAATGAATAAAGTATTGATTCGCAGGAACACAAGTTCCAATTTTTATTTTTCCACGCGACAGACTTGAGCGATTGAGTCGAAAGAAACGCTTACTACGCCTACATTTTTTACAATAATATAACGCAAAAAAAAAAAAAAATGACGTGCTCTGATTGCTACAGCTCCACGGTCCAGTGATTTCAACACGTATTGGAAATTATTAATCGCCCACCTGACAATTGTCCAGTCACAAAGGCGGCGCCTCGACACGCGTCGAATGAACTCTTACAATAGCCCACAATCCCCCAGTCAAAAACAACAAGCCATCAACCACGGTCATGAGACCCGTAATTAAACCTATCTAAAGAGACGTAAATAGAAGCAGTATCACGTTACTCTAAAACAGTAGCTGCCGGTGTTTTAGCCACATTATCTCGTCACGAGTAGACTTATTTGTGTGTGACAAACTGGCAACCACACCGATATTTGTTAGAACTCAGCACAAGTAATGTTAAGAAATAAGAACAGATGTACTCAAAGCATTTTATAAATTGAATATAGCTGAGTTAAAAATACGAAATCAGTATCTGCATGTGTGTGTGTGTTTCAGTGGGTCCAACAACGCAGCCAATTCTATTTTAGGAAACATTTAAGCATTTTAAGTTATATAATAAAAAATGAATACAGCGGTCAGTGTCTAGGGCAGCGCGCCCTGTCTACTTTGCTCCTAAGTGACAATATCCTTCAATTATTAAGTGAGTATTGAATCAACCTCAACGCTGATTTACGCCCTAAGGCATAAGGTCAAAAGGCCTATACGTTTTGTAATCTTAATTAATTGTATAGGTCAGAAAATTCTTTTAAATAAGAAGCTTCGAAGTGAAATCGGTGCACAATGCACAATATATATATATATATATATATATATATATATATATATATATATATATAATACTAATAGCCTATATGTACGCCAAGGGCTAAAAAGATACCGTTGCAATTAGATTTACCCACAATTCAGGGGACCACATAAAGCTTTGAGCATTATATATTAGTATCAGACCCAATACGAAGACGACGGATAGGCTGGGTCTAAGACGTGGAGGCAGAGGAGGGAGAGGGCGCTATAAATTCTAATGACAGAACTCGGTATGGTCTGATTAAAGGTTATGTCACGCACATAGTGCATCATTTTATAAAATGCGTGGAACTTTAAAGAAGTTTTTAAAAAGAATGCTTTTGATGTGGGATTTCATTTAACTTGATTTTAAGTGATAAATAGCCGACAAAATGAATGTTTGATGGTCACTTAGTAGTTGCTTTGTTGGATTAATTAGACTACCCACTTAATGTACCTACATTGCTAAATTATAGAATAAAGAGAAAATCAAAGAGAATCTTCGCCCGATGTTTTTAATAGGCTTTCTTGTTCTCTGTTGTCACCTATTTAACTCTTATAAATGAGGTCATGATCCCTCATGATATCTTGTGCCGGTATAGTCCAAAGGACTGCTAGGCAATACAGTGTTTCTTCCAGACTTTTTTCCCCGGAGGGGGGGGGGGCGGCGGACTAAAATTTCCGGGGGGGCGGACACTGTTAAAAAAATATTTTCTGTATTTAATGTATTTAATTCCATTTCATTCGGCGCCCCCCCCCCCCCCCCCCCACCCCCATCCCCGAAGAGATGCCTGGAAGAAACTCTAGCAAAAAATCTTTTGCAATCTCGGTTGCAAAAGCTGCCGAAAATAAACCAGAACTGGTAATTTTTTCACATACGGGGCCCCACTCCTGATATTACCTCGAGGTTTTCTCCAGAAAAACATGCGTGGGTTTAGAATCAGAGTGGCTCCTCTACTCGATGATCTGCCCGTGGCTCCCGATTAATTTATTTTTTTTTGGCACCAGGTATCCGTCATCACCCAGTTTCGCCGGGGTTAAGCCACACAAGCAGACTATGTGCTGGACTTAGTTGTTAGAGTCTATTTGAGACTTACGTCATTGGGGAGTATTTTATAGACAAAGGGAGCTTAGTTTAACTTTTAGTTCGGCTTAACAGAAACAGACATACCATTAATCAACGGGAAACCGGGTCATCTAGTTCTTATTATTGTGAGACTTCAGGAAATGCGCTATTTTTATCGGATAATTGCATCGCAGTAATGCCTGATACCAAGGCATCTGTTAAATTAAGGAAAGATAAGAAAACTTGTACAAATAGCGCATTGAGAGCAATCTGGGCCTCTAGACAAAACAGTGTGCCGTGTACCTGCGACAACCATCTAATATTTAGCTATACGTAACAGAAGCGTTGCGACAAAATTCCGGTGTTCGGGGCGACTATCAGTGTTGTGTCCATTCATGTATATATAGATATTCACGTTGGTGAAACAGTGCCCCCCCCCCCAGTCCCAACTCCGATTTAGAACGGTTCTGGAACTTTTTTTACCAGGCACTTTTTTTGTTTCATTGATGTAGAAAACAGTTACATATTAAGTCCTAAGCAATTTTCGTTACATTAACTGTGGATGATTCATTAATGCAGCTTAAAATTAGCTTTTAATGTATTTTTTTCTACCTAGGCCGGACACTTGGGACGGCCGCCCCACCCTCCCTCCCCTCGCTACGCCTCTGATATGTTAATTACTTAGAACGCTTTAAAACGTGTGAAAAACTAAGTGGTTGATTGAGAATGTGACTTAACTTCACTAGATCAAAAAAAAAAATTCATAAAAAACGTTTTAATAACAAGCTTTTATGTAATGATGCACTAAAAAGTAGAAAATAAATTATAGACTACTATTTAAATAACTATAAAGAAAAGCGTGGGTCACTTTAGTATCTATTGGATACCTTTACTAATGTTAAGGAAGACACCCACGCTTTTCTTTATAGTTATTTAAATAGTAGTCTATAATTTATTTTCTACTTTTTAGTGCATCATTACATAAAAGCTTGCTATTAAAACGTTTTTTATGAATTTTTTTTTCAGTACTTTACATGTTTTATTTACAATAGAGTTACATGACTAAAAACCATTGCGCGCCTACTGAACATCACGTTCAGTAGGCGCGCAATGGTTTTTGAACGCAGCCATTACGTGATGGCGCAGCTATTGAAGGTGATGACGCGTGTGGTGTGGTTGGCTAGACATGCCTACTAATTCGGTCCAAATTTTAATTAATTCATTAAAAATCAATTAGGCATCCAATTAAGTCAAATTTAGTTTCAGATTGCATTGTCTTCATGTCTTGACCCACGTGCCAAATGTGAATCGTATCGGTCAAGTAGAACTGTCCGAATTTTCACTCCTGCGTTTCCGTCTGGACTGACGACAGAGGAAGTGAGTTAAATAAAAGCTTGTAAAAAAAATTCATAAAAAACGTTTTAATAACAAGCTTTTATGTAATGATGCACTAAAAAGTAGAAAATAAATTATAGACTACTATTTAAATAACTATAAAGAAAAGCGTGGGTCACTTTAGTATCTATTGGATACCTTTACTAATGTTAAGGAAGACACCCACGCTTTTCTTTATAGTTATTTAAATAGTAGTCTATAATTTATTTTCTACTTTTTAGTGCATCATTACATAAAAGCTTGTTATTAAAACGTTTTTTATGAATTTTTTTTTCAGTACTTTACATGTTTTATCTACAATCGAGTTACATGACTAAAAACCATTGCGCGCCTACTGAATATCACGTTCAGTAGGCGCGCAATGGTTTTTGAACGCAGCCATTACGTGGTCGTGATGGCGCAGCTATTGATGACGCGTGTGGTGTGGTTGGGTAGACATGCCTACTAATTCGGTCCAAATTTTAATTAATTCATAAAAAATCAATTAGGCATCCAATTAAGTCAAATTTAGTTTCAGATTGCATTGTCTTCATGTCTTGACCCACGTGCCAACTGTGAATCGTGTCGGTCAAGTAGAACTGTCCGAATTTTCACTCCTGCGTTTCCGTCTAGACAGACAGACAGACTGTCGAGGAAGTGAGTTAAATAAAAGCTTGTAAAAAGCGACCCGTGCTATGTTATGGGGTTAAAAAGTTGTGGATCAGTTTGTCGGGAGCAGTTTTATCGAAGGTCCTTTTGCGTAATGGAAGCTAAATAGTCAATAGTTTATTTGTCAGTTTGTCATTTAGTCGGTGGGTTCTTTCGGGTCTGTATTAGCTCCGTCTCAATTAAAACTTGAAGGAGATGCCAGTTAAGTCTTATATTTTGTGGCCAGATAAACGTTAAAATTAGATGCGAGGTTGCATTAAAAAAAATTAAACACCAGTAAAACATGCCGTGAGTACTCTTCTAATCGCTCACCCTTGGATGACGTCTCAAGATGAAAACACGAAGGTCAACTGCAATTCTGTGACCAGTCAGTCAAGACAAGTCTAGCCAGAGTTAGCCGCATAAGGTGTCGACACTTATTTGAAACTCTAATCAGGCATGTACGGCATCGATCAATACCCCATCAGTGTAATCAATAATTCCTCCACCATTCATCTCGGCAGTGTTTAACTATAGAGCAGCCAGCGGGAAAAAAAATTGGGACTAAGTTGGATGGTAGCATGCGAGCAACAAGCAAGTTCTGGGGAAACGCGTAAGTGGTGGGGATATTGTAGAACGACGGTTAGCAGTTTCCTTAACGATCATGTAGATGCCATCGAAGGACGGGGTACAATCGTTACAGCGTGCACGGCCCATTAGCCTCCACAATGGCGAGATTAGAAGAAAAGACGACATTGATCCAAATGTTGGAACAAGTTGCTGGAACACCGCGGCAACTCTGTCACAGAAGTGGCAGCGACGTTAGGAGATAAAGGGTAGCCATGGATTATAAATATAGGAGATAAAAGGTAGCCATGGATTATAAATATAGGAGATAAAAGGTAGCCGTGGATTATAAATATAGGAGATAAAAGGTAGCCATGGATTATAAATATAGGAGATAAAAGGTAGCAATGGATTATAAATATAGGAGATAAAAGGTAGCCATGGATTATAAATATAGGAGATAAAAGGTAGAACCTGAACTACTCATAAATATCCTAATATATAAATCCCCAAGTTCGCACATCTCTCTCTCTCTCTCTCTCTCTTTCTCTGTCCGCAAAAAATTTTCGCCGGACATCACGTCAGAATCGGCAGCGATATATCGAGAACTTTTTACGGACTTTTGTTGAAAAAAATATGTTAGATGTTTTAAATGTATAACCACAATTTTAGTTAAAGAAGAAAAATAAAAATTAAAGGCGTATTCGAATGTAGAGAAACAGTATTATTTATGCAACCGGAAAAGCATTAATATATGTGAAAAAGAACGCATAAAACTGTGACGTCACTATTGCTTATACATTAACTAATGACGTCATCTGCCGTGTTTAGAATGAAAAGAAATGAACTATTTCATTCAAATTTGATTTAGATCTACGTAGCCTACACTATGAAATGTATACAATACAATTTTTCCGGCCTAAACTCATAAAATTTATTTTATGTATTTGGATTCTAGATCTAGAGATTCTAGATCTAGACTAAATCTAAATCTACGCAATAACTAGATCTAGACGTAGACGCTAAGATCTAGATTTAGACTCTAACTTCTCTAAAATCAATTCCAAAAATAAATTTCTAGATTCTTATATTAGGACTCAACTATTTCAAGACTTATTTATTTTATTCAAAATCTTTGTTTGGAACTGGCTAATTTGGGATAAAAAATTAATTTGAAAGAATAGGCATATTCGCGTAAGTTAAGATTTTAAAATACGTGTTTCATTCTCCGTATTTTATAAGTTGCCTAAATAGCGGAGATGTTAGTGTACATTAAACCACGCAGGTGGTGCAGGTTCGAGACACAGCAAGTCAACTTGGTTAATGTATTATTTTTTATTATGCTCGGGCTAAACTTAAAAAAAAAATTCTTTTAGAAATCTAGATCTAGATCTAGATTGTCGGGTGTCCGATAGGGCACTTCCCGGCGCCGCAGGCGCTTCAAATTTGGCATGATCTTGCCTTGATGCGACAGAACACGGGGGCCGGTTGGCCGAAAAGTCTACGATGTGGGGGTCAAAACTGACCTCGACTGACCGGTACCTTATATGAGCTATAAATCGAAAAAAAAATGTCCACGGAGGAACCTCTTCATAACTCTTGAGGTCGTAGACCGACCTTCGGGCGAATTAATTAAGCATTCAAATTCTCAATGTTTTCGAAAGCCTAAGCGAAGCTGGGCAGCATGCCTAGTAGGATATAAAAGCCATAGATTACTTGATCCACGACCTATAACTATAAATATAGGTGATAAGTTAGTACCTGAACCACTTATAAATATAGGAGATAAAAGGTAGCCATGGATTCCTTGATCAATGACATTCATCACCAACAACCGACCTCGAATTTACAAAACGATTATATCCCCCCCCCCTTTGCGGTTGGTATTGATCTGGAACTGACCCGTACGTCTTGAGGTGACGGCGTACAGTTCTTCACGGGGGTCGTCACACACGTCACGCGAAACATGAGATTTGGGAGGGGGGGGGGGCGTCTAGAGTTGCAGACAGGTTAAACGGGGGTCTTGGTTTGTAGAGATGATAATCTTGGTGTGTCTCTATTTTTAGATGTATAAAATTACAATGGTATGAGATGGGTAGCCGGGTGTTCATTTACCAGGATGGTTATCTACTTCCTGGTTTAAACACGGGCGGTGAAAATATCTAGTTCTGTCCCTTGTTTCAGTATACTGGGTAGAAGACAATATCTAGTTCTGTCACCTGTTTCAGTATACTGGCTAGATGACAATATCTAGTTATGTCCCATGTTTCAGTATAGTGGGTAGAAGACAATATCTAGTTCTATCCCTTGTTTCAGTATACTGGGTAGATGGAAACATCTAATTTTGTCCTTTGTTTCAGAACACTGGCTAAATTATAATACCTAGTTCTGTCCCTTGTTTCAGTGTAGTGGATAGATGACATTATCTAGTTCTGTCCGTTTCAGTATACTGGCTAGATGGCAATATCTAGTTATGTCCCTTGTTTCAATAAACCGGGGCACAGAAACAATTGATAATTCAAACCATAAGTATGTAAGTATCACTGCAACTACGCCAAGTGCCCCAAAGAAAGCAATGATAAATGTACACACAGAAAAAATCCTGTAAACATAAAACCTTAATGGGACAGCATGATCAGATGATAGAGTGCACCACAGCTAACCCAAAAAATCTAGAGTTCGGATGCTGGGCTTGAGTCCATAGGAGATCCTTTGAGGTTAACCGCAATTCATCAATATCCCCACAATAGTAGTGTTGACCTCCATAGCAACAGGTAAACTCTACGACTACTTCATCTGTCCCACAGACTTTTTTTGAAATTGTGAGAGATTTGAAAATATTGTTATAAAAATCTCAAATTCATCTGGGTTATGAGTTGTTTTCATAATATTGTTAGATGCACTATGTCATTGGTAACTAAAACCAGTTGAGGGGTATTTTTTATTTGATAACTATTTAATTTTTTTTTAAAACCTATCAATTGTGTAAAGATCTGAACATATCAAGCATAAAAATAAATGGTGTAATGTGAAGGTTACTAATGGTGAAAAGCTGACAAACTACATGTCTTATATAATATGACAAAGTTTATTACCAAATAGATATATGCAAACATAACATTACGTCAATAAAACAAATCCTGTCAACAAATATAGTCAAGGGAAATTACTTACATTTGTAACTAAACTAACTATATATAGATTAATGTAAGGATATTCTTAGATCTTTGTCTCAATCATATTATATAAATTTTGTAATCCACTTAATTATAAGTAATTTCAAATAATAGTAAAGAATACTAAAATAATAGCCATTTTGGCAATGATTGTTGTACATGATGAAAGTATACATTGTCATTAGAACTGTGTTATAGCACAACTTTATTTATGGTGTATTTGTAAACTTGCATTTTAAATTGTCTCATTTTTTACGACACAAGTCTCATAATAAATAAATAAACAATCATAGTTTGATGATTACTACTTCATTAGAAGCATAGCTTCTGATGTGAAAAAAATATTTACATTGTTTTTTAAACACTTAAAGACTTTAACAAAATGAGTTTTTTTTCTAGTTCCCCCTTCCTTTGCCAGGCTTGTTTCCACCACCACTACCACCGCCCCTGCCACCACCTCGACCTCCTCCACGACCACCTGGTTGAAATGCTCCTGTTAAAAAAAAATACATAAAAATAAGAGTCTCAGGACTTGTAACACATAAAGAAAAATTCACGGATAGAAAGAAATTAGTTAACTTTATTTATCACATGTTCTTGAGTGAGCTTTACTTCAATAAATAGTTGAAGAAACACAAGAAAAATCATAATAGTATAGGGAAAACATATAAGCCCCAATCTCAACCTCAGATTACTGCACTTTAGCCTTGCTGAGGTATGGGCTGCCAACCAAAGTAATGATGACACTTACCCCTTCCCCTGCCTCTCTGACCAGCTCCTCTTCCACCTTTAAAGTCACCCCTGCCTTTGGATTTCTGAACAACTTCTTCTTTAACCATATCAATCACTTCATCTGGTATACGAAGGTATTTTATGGTACTCCCCCGAATGTAGCATTCTGGCATTCTCCAAAACCTATCACCATCCTTTGATCATAAAAATAAGAAGAGCATGCAAATGAAAAAAAAGATTTATAATAATATAAAAGTAAATTTAAGAAGAAAACAAATTTCTATTTACAAAAATTCTAATTCAAAAGCAAACTTTTACCCTGGATGTGCAAATAACTTCACGAAGATTGATGTTCATCCAATTGTCACAGCTCACTAAATGACCATTGTAAGTTTCGCCATTCTTTAACTCCACAAGCTGCATTAGCAATAAAGTTAAAATAAGCTTTAAGTGTTTTTACTTAAAAGAAAACTAGATAAGTGATAAAGAGAATTTGGAAAAAAAACTCTGAAAGCCCTTATGGCAAGTTTCTTTTCCCTTTTGTTCTGTATAATTCAGTAATTGATCAAGTTTAGGCGCATAACCAGTTGACACGTATCCTTAATTGTAATGGAGGCGTGGTTGAGTGTTAAATTTGAAAAAAAAAGTCTCGAGTTCAAACCCGCTGGCAGATAATTCTCGATCCCTTCCAACACTAATAATTAAGAACGAAGAAGAAGAAGATCAAGTTTATAAGTTCTATCTTGCAAAATAAATAATATTAAGTAAGGCCTTTATAACAATGCATAATTTTTTTATTCTTACCATAGGATGATTAACAGCAGTTCGAAGAAGAGATAAAGGTAGCTGAAAAAGAAAATTAAATGAATAAATTTTCCAATGCGTTTTTGTACTTGTTGCTCTTTTAGTAGCTATTTTAGTGAAATACTCCGTCATCTGGCTGTTAATAAGTTAGTAATAATTAACAATTTAGTAGCAACCTATTAATATCCAAAACCAAATCACGTGTGCTGTATCAGAAAGTAATGGTTTTCCTGAGTGCACAGCCGATACAGAAAACCCTAAATTAATTTATTCAATTTTGCTGTATTTAGCGGTTTTGAAATAGGCATGGATCTCTTGTTTTTACTGAAACTGTTTAATTTCTAGTTTAGGCCTAAATGAAAAATTACTTTTTTTTTTAAATTCAGAAATCTAGTGATAAATGTAATAAATTCAACTGTAAACTAACTGGTAGTGTGCATCACTGTAACATTGTTGTCTGTTGAGTACTCAACATCAACTGTAGTAAAGTGAAATTACAGACTAGAATCTAGATCTAGTAATAACTGGTAGACTAGATCTATTCTAGATCTAGTAACTGGCCCTGCTGTTGGTTGAATTTGAGAGTGAGACAGAGAGTTTGTTAGTTGTTAACTAGGAAATTTTCTACTTACCATCCTTAATACAGATATGTTCACGTTACTCGGCAATCAATGAAATTGAGAATTTATTTACAGATCTAGATTCTATAAGTGTTTTGAGAATAAGTGAATTTCTATGTTTACATGACATAGAATGCTTTCCAACGTCTATAACAATCGTCGAAGGATCCTCAGTGTAAAATTCGAGTCTAAATTTGTTAAACGCATCAATGCCGTAAAATTTACTAGATCTAGATAAGTAGGCCTTTAAAAATAAAAACCGTATCAAATATTAATTTTACCTAATAATTGATAATAATTAAATGACTATTAAACTATAAGTCATAAATATAATTTATACGCAAAGTATTTAATGAAATATTAATTATGATAAGAAATAAAAGATGCTACGACAACAGTTTCTTGTCAAAAATAGGTAGCTGAAAGTTTTCTTAAAAACACTCCGGCTTTTTAATGCAGCAGAACAAACCTTGTAACGAAGATGGACTTGGGTTTGGCATTTGATGATGAAGATCTTGAATTTGTGAAAAAGAAAGATAAAGAAGGCCGAGCTGGGACGTACTGCGCAAGGATGTTAAAACCAATTGTAAGATTAACGTTACGGGTAAAATCTTAGTCAAGTTTAGCGTCGTAAATTCCAACGTAGCTAGTAATGTGCGATGAAGGTAACTAATGAATATTTCTTTCATGTGGCCATATTTATGTCATATTTTACATAATATAACAGATAATTGAATAACAAATCACAATCCACGACAAAAACAATAAAAAATATCCTGGAATAAACTTTAAACTACCCCGTTCGAGACAACAATGAGTAAATACAAGCAGCGGCCATGTTTCAAAAACCATAAATTGTCTATTCGCATGTCTTTTGTGTTGATTTTGTGGTTTAATATGATTGTTTTGTATTGATTTAATATATGCCTGGGGGTCGTCCATAAATGACGTCACACTCGTAGGGCGGAGGGGGGTCCGTAATTTTGTGACGTTGTGTGATGAGGGGGGGGGGGGGGTTGTAGGCTGAGGTGTGACTCAGAGGCGTAGCGATGGGGGGACGGGGGACATATGTCCCCGGGCGCCGACCTTAGGGGGCACCAAATTGGGTTGGAAAAAGTAATCGAAAGTTTGAGGGGGGGTGCAAATCAAAAGGTTGAGGGGGGTGCAAATCGAAAGTTTGTCCCCGGGCGCCGAGAAGGTTCGCTACGTCTCTGAATCTTGATGCATTAAAAGTGATATTCGGAAATTAAGAGCCAGACAGTCAACATGATATTTCAATTTAAGTCCAAGAAAATAAATTTCCTCAAACGATGGAACATTACTAAATTTTCATGATACCGACACGTCATAATTTGCAGAGCCGCCTGAATTGACGTCACAAATCTCCACTCACTCCCGTAGCAAATCATATGTGACATCATTTATGGACAACCCCATATCACTCACTTGGGTACTTGATATTGACAATTTGACAACAAAGGATAACCAAAATGTGTTTGACAGGTGGAGACTTGCGATCGACCATAATGACAACACGCACTTAAGGGGTGGACTGGCTCATTGTTTTAGATGATGTTTTACAAGGGAAGCTGGTGGAAAATACATTTTGTCTCTCTGTATATATAAATGATGACAAACATTTAATGTTGTCAAAATTATGGTTAGAGATCTTAGATAAGGCAGAGTGAAGCGTAATTTTTTACATTATGACTTGTTGTGACATTGACAACAAAAATATGACGGAGGTTGGGGTTTAATTAAGGTAAAGAGAAGTAAAAAAATGTCATAAGTTACGATAGAATCACTAATTGATGAAAAGAAAAACCTGAAATGAAAATAGTGAACATTCAAACAATAAGAAAAAACTCAAACTATATAGTAATAGTAAGATCAAATAAACATTAGTAAAAAAAAACGTGATTTAATACATGGATACAAGTTGCATCTCACAATGCTTCTAGAATTAATAAAGTTGTTTGTTAGGAAATTCAGTTTTTAAAGGGCAGAATTTAAAAAAAAATTGCTTTGTAATACGGAGTATACAACAAGACAACTATACAACAAGACAATCATATTTAAATACATTTTCATACGAATAGAAATGAAAGGGAAGCTACTCTAAATAACATTTTCTTAAGATGGCTGCTGTTTTTAATAGCAAATTTACTATCTCGAACAGGGTTGATAAAAATTAATTTCAGGATACTTAAATTGATTTAGTCATAAATTGTGATCTATTATTCAATTATCTATAATATTTTATCAAAATATACGAAAATATACTCATATTTAATGACATATTCATTAATTCACTCTCTCCCACATTACTAGTTTTGGCCGAATTTTCGATGCTTAACTAAGATTTTACCACGTTACGTTTTAAAGAGAAGTTAGATTAATAATAATTAATATTAAACTAATAAAATAAACTAATAATTTTTATACGAGCCGACCCCCGGTGTCATATTCCCGGTCCGCTATTAAAATTTACTAATTTAGATCTAGATCTAGTCAAATTTAGTTGAAGTTGTTTTATAAATGTTCTACTTTTCAGTAATTCATAATTTGTGAATTCGACAGTATCAATGCTGCCACTGAAAATATTTGCTTCAAAACACTAACAGTAGGTCGTTAAGGACGACGATACCCCCCCCCCCCCCTCCTTTCCCCCTACACTACCCCCCCCCCCCCCTGTGAAAGCAACCTCCTCTTAGTTACCTCCCCTAAGTTTAAAATCATTTCAAACTAAATTATCTGCCCCTAATAACCATCACTAAACCCGGCTCTACGATTGTAAGCATTATGCTCACCAGACCATGTGGGGGTGGGGAGTGGTAGGGATATGCCTAGAGAGGAAGAGAGGGGGCTGCTAGGCGCGCTTACAGCTTGGTGTTTTCTATGGTCTCCATGAAGAGAATTATATATATAGATAGTATATAGGCCTATTAAATTAAATTTTTAAATATTAAATGAAAATAGTCATAGGCCTATCTTTACTTTAAGATAATTAGTAATAAGTTTAATATAGTAGCCTACTATAAGTAGGGCCTAACTAAATAAATATTAGGCCTAATAATTAATAAATATACAATTTTATATATATGCTTCAACATCAAAGCCTTACCTTTGACAAAGGTAATTATACTAAGTACATTTACATTAAGTACAGTAGTGAAGTCAGAAGTAAAATCATGTAATGAAGTTTTTTATATTATTTCTTGTTACTGCAAAAAAAATATCTATTTTCACAGTGGTTTGATTCAGTTCTGGAGTCACATTTAAAAGGCTCCCCATGTGCAACAGATTTAGACCCTGAGCAAGTCCCTCATACATTTAAGATGAGTGGTGATTACCACTACCATCAACAAAATTTTGATAAAGCAGCTGAACAGTATCTGGCATCTTTGGGTGAATACAGAAATCTTACACTCTAAAATGTGTTTATGTGTAACTTCTCTTTGAACTAATAAAATAATAAAGTTTTCAGTTATCATGCATTTCTTTGTGTCATCTAGATAGTTTAGAATGTTTTATCTTATAGGTGGTTGCAATTCTCATGCAGTCTTCCATAAACAAATTTTACAACTTTCAAGTTTTTTTTTAACTAGATATATTGCCCCATAACTATGTAGCAGTACGCCAGGATATCACTGAATCACTGTGTCGGTGTTACATTTATTCTGGCCATACAGAAAAAAGTTTGCAGTTGGCTAGAAATTTGGTGAGAAAAGCAAGCACCTTCAATCTATTCACTTAATTGTCTGTTGTAGCTTATAGAAACTGGTAGAAGTAGAAAATATTTAAACTTAAATAACAAACACTAATTAATAATAATTAACGGAAGTTGATCTTGCAAGAATGTAACATTTATAGTTTATAGAAATTTTCTTTGACTGAACAGGTTTATTTTTAGGTGAAGGAATTGATGAAAGAAGACGTTGCCCACCAAAGACAGTCATTAATATTATTGTGTACAGTGTGTGAATTAGCAGAAAGGTGGGAAGGTATTAAATTTTTTTTTACTAAACTGATGTCAGATATTATTTAATAGATACCATGAATAAATGTCAAAAAATATGTAATTAATACTAAGAATAGGTTTTTATATATATGTATATATGTGTGTATGTGTATATATATATGTATATATATATATGTATATATATATATATATATATATATATATATATATATATATATATATATATATATATATATAAATGATTGTCAAATTGTATTACAACAGAATGTGTAGAGTGTCTAGAAAAATTGTGTTTGATGCAGCCTTATTATGCTCATTTTTGGAACCAACTGGGAGATGCTTACCTAAAGCTGCTGGAGCATTCAGATTCAAGTCTGATCAATGATGATGAATCAGCTAGAAAATATCACATTAAAAGACTTACTTGCTACATCAGAGCTAAGTGAGTTACAAAGTCTGAATTAAAATATCAAGTTATTTTTAGAACAGCATGAACTTAGTTTATGGAAGCCTGTCATTGAGAGGAAGTTGGAATATTGTAATGCTTTACTTTCAGACTTCTACACCAGGCAATTATTGGGACTGCTAGCTGTTTTATCCGACTAAGGAATGTCAGTTTAATAGACAAGGTAATATTAGATTTGGTTACCTTGGAACTGTTTAATGTGTAATTGAATTGAATGTTAATGCAGCTTTTTTTTTAATATTGAAATTCCATTTTGAATGATTTAATTAAGAGGAAATCTTAAGCTTTCGTATTTTTTTTACATTTTTCCAGCTTGAAAATAAAATTAATACCATTCCTTGTTCACCTGAGGAAAAAGTTCTTGCCACAGAGGTATTTAAATTTTCTAAAAGTAAAACAAAATTATTGAAACATTTTATGAGTAGAGGAAAAGCACGCAGCTATATATTTGTAGATTTGATGGTTATATACATTGGTCAAAACTACATTATAGAAAATTATAAAAATATATATAAATCTAAGGATTGATGGAGCAGAAAAATTTGTGATTTGATTTCATGCACATCAAGTTTTACTTCTTCAGACGTATATAAAAATGATTTTTCTAATTACAGTTTACCCAGCAAGAAATTGAGACACAAGGAATTGATTCAAAAGTGAGATTTTTCTTATTGAAAAATATATTCAGCATTTCAATTTTTTTTTAAGTTCTGAAAAAATAAATTGCTTTTTAAACTTGGCCATAAAACTAAGTAATTTAATACCATTTATTATTTTAAAATTTATGGTCCAGTTGAAATTGTGTTTTTCTTTCAGGACTCAGTGGAAGAAAATTGTTTACCAGAAACTGTTTTAGCAGAATCTAAAAACAACACAACACACTCAGATCTGTTTTATCAAAGATTCTGCTCTTGGTGCCCCAGTACAACTTCTCAAGAAATACCTAATACTTAAAACTTCAATAAATTTATTGTAATAGTTCTTTCAAGAAGTCTTTTTGTAATTTATGTTTGCCATAATTTTGAATGATTTGTGATCTAACTTTATTGTGAATAGATAATACTAATCTGCAATCAAGATTCTTCATAATCATAAATGCAAACAATTAAAAAGTTTGTTGACACTTTATTAAACATAAATATTGCACACAATGTATTGGTATGGAATGAAATTAAATTAACACAAAGATTTGCAATCAGTTTAAGTAACTATTAAAAAGCTTACAAAATCTCATCAATTACAAAATGCTTGAGGTACTATATTCCAAGATTTAATATTTAATTTTCTTGTTCCCTTGATTTTAAATATGGCTAAATATTTCATTGGAAAAAAAAACTAGATAAAAGTGTACAAAAAGAGGGTACCCAGAAAAATAGAAAAGACAAACTCACTTTTCACTCTATCAAAACAGTTGAGCAGAGCAGCCAACTTCTGCCTGTTTATAACTAGCAATTCCAGGCATTCATAACTTAACGCAATCTCTCTCTCTCTCTTCTAACCAACTCATGCAATAGCCAAAAATAACAAAAGGTATTTAGATTCTGAATTATAATGAAATCCTCACAGTATTTAAATGTTTTGATGGACTTCATCAATAAAAACATTTGGTGTTACTGTCAATTGATTGATCTAGAGTTACTGGATGAAAACTTTGGATACATATATAAGATATACATGCTTACCCCCCCCCCCCCCCCCCTCCAAGTATTCTGTTATACTCAAAACAGAATATATCACAAAAACTGTCTGATTCTTCTAAGACAGAATCTATGTCATTTTAAGACAGGCCACAGGAAATCCATCCCCTTTATGTTTGCTGACCAAATCCAGAATGGCTTGCTTCTTGTGTAAAGCCCTCGAAGTCTCCAGCTCGTACAAAGTACACAAATTAAAGAGCACGCCTTCATGTAAATTATTGGCAGGGTCACTGTGTACCAGCTGTTCCAGGGTGTTGAGGGCATCTTTTAACCTGCCCAGGTACAGTGAACAGACTGCCATATTGTTCACAGCCTGTAAAGTAGAACATTGAGTTACATCATAATAAACTATACACATGAAATCAATTATCACATAAAAACAGTAATTACAACAAAGATCCCTATATATATCTGGTAAAGAAGGTAGAGATCATGCAATTCAGGTACTAAAATGTGCTTGATGAACTCTGGAATATTGTACAAATTTAATACAAAGGCAAGTTTGTGAACAAGATTTTAACGTAACATCCAGTCAAATTTTTCTCCTTCACACGACTTTATATTTCTTGAACAGCCATTTAGCTTTTATTAAGCCAGGTTACTCTGTTCCCATGTACAATTTCTGAACTTACTAGTACAACAGGCAAAACTTGTTTAAAGAACCACTTACACAAGTGTTATGAGGCTGCATTTGCACTGCGGATTTAAAGTGTTGGTATGCATCAAAGAAGTTGGCCCCACACATTGCCACCAAACCCCTAGAAAAAAACTTCTGGTTTAATACAGATATAAGGTTTTTTTTAATATTCAAATACTTATTAAAGGCTGTTTCAGTTTTTCTACAACTCAACACTGAATTATTCTCACAAGTTTAAAATATAATGAAATAGTTGGGTAAAAAGAAGATGTAGACGTACCTGTTGATTAAATTGTGACAGGAAACAGTGCTATCTATCTTTGAGGATTCAGTTTCAACTTCTTTCATAATCCTTGTAGCTTCTGCAATATTCCCCATCTAAACTCCAGAAAATAATGTAAAAAGGGATGAATAATAGTTTTGTTTATTTTTTGTTTCTTAACATTTACAACTATTGAAAACATCAATATAGTGTAGCTAAATAGTCGCTCAAAAATAACATTACCTGTAAATGAATTCTACCTATTCCAGCCAAAAGTTCCAGATGTGAATTTTTATCCTTTTCTAATAAACTGTTGTATATTGATAGGGCACCTTCATAGTCCTAGAGGTGTTAATAAAATAAAAAGTATCATAAAAGCTGTTATTGAAAATTGATTAGATGGTATTTAAATAGTATTTCTTAAAAACGTCATAATATATTTTTAAATTATATTAACTTTGTATTCATCGATGCACAAAGTAATATTTCAAATGGTCCACAGTACCCCTCCCCATGATGCACTTACCTAATTATAAAGTCACAAATTACTTGATGTCACTCACCTTTACTGCCAACATAGTGGAACCAATTTTGTAGGTTATATCAATTTCTCTTTTCATCCACAGTTCTAAAGAAACTGTTAAAATAAAATAAAAGACATGTTTTAATCTTGAACTCCTCCTCAAAATTAAGAAGTTTTTTTCTAAAGATTCTGGAGCAATACTAACCTTTTCTGGCCTCATAAGTCATGTGCGTAGCACTACCATCTTCACTTAAGTCTGAGCTAAGATTTGATTTAATCTGTATTCAATCAAAAAAAGAAAGTCTTGATGCCAAAAAAACAACGTTAAAACAAATTGAACATCAAGTTATGAAGTTGTGACCAAAGAAAAATATGAAACTAACAAAAATAAATGTTGTTTACCCTGTTACAGACAGCAAGCATGTAGTACAACCTATCAAGGCTTTCCTGGCTACGTCCACAAAGTAAAGGTAGCTCTGCATGCAATAAACGCATTGAGAAAGAAACCATGGAACCTGAAAGTAAAATAATGAGGTGATCTTAAATTTAAAAGCTATGATAAAAGCAATCAAAAATGCAAAAACAAGTTTATGTAATATTAGTAATAAGAGAATCAATGTTACAGTTTATCTAATCTAACAGTCTAAAAAATAGTTGAACAATGTGACAGTTAATCCAACTAAACAAAGTCTAAAAATAGTCAAAGGTTCACAACACTTATTCAGTTGTATGTTAACAATTACCTCTCCTCCCTGGATATGTGTTAGCATAAAACTGGAAATACAAATCTGGTGTATCTAGGTTATGAAAAGCTCTCATTTCAGCATCTGCTTGTTCATACATTCTCATCTTAACCATCAAGGCAAAACGACAAAACCAAAGCTGGAGCGAATGTGGGGTGTGAACAGTCTGAAGATTAAGTTTGCCAAAACCTTGTCCAACCTGTTCCAGTAGACGGCCTGTCAAATCTATTGCAGCACCAAGACATCCTGCCTCCTGTTTAAGATTATTTTTATTAAATGTAAAGATATTATCAACATATCCAAGTATTTTTTTAAGAACAAAATATCCCTAACTTTCTCCTTTATTTAACTACTGGCTATAGCAGTGCAATACTTGACTAGATGATAAGTACAACCCTAGCAATTATTAAACTTACAATAAGCTTTTTAAGACCATCAGCGTCTTGTGTTACACTATTGACAGTTAACACTGATCGTTTGACAGCTTCCTGTTCACCCATATAACGAAGTACTAAATCTTTCACTGGATCTCCCTAGTAAATAGTGTATATAAAAGCTTGAATATGTAAAATAAAAGCATTACCAATACAAGAATCAATTACAATATTACATTTTTCATGCTTATATTATTTAGGGTTTCCAGGTGTCCAGTTTTGAACTGGACAGTCCAGTATTTGAGCAGACTGTCCAGGATAAAATAAATATAAATACTGGACAAGTATATGAATAATACTCTGTTACCCCCCTTCTTCTGCTTTGCGGCATACCTGAGAAGGGAAGGATGGAAAGGTGTCCAGTATTTTCGGAAAAGGTATCTGGCAACCCTAATATTATTATATTTAAAATTTCAAAGTTATAGCCTACTATAAAAGATAAAAAATAACATGAAATCATCTTTAAATTGTTATTTTAAAAATGCAATGTAACACATACTTGTGGTTCATTACTAATAATGCCTGGTGAGCTCAGAAGTTCAATGGCTGGCATAAAAGTTCCAAATGGGCTGGTAGCCATCGTTTTTAAAACATGGCTTGTAGCATCAGACGGAATCCAAGCATCATGTCTCCGGTCAGCATCACTCATACTGAGAATAGATGTAAACACATCATCATTGGCTCCAGCTGATCCAAATGGTGAAAATATGGATCCGCTCTTGGTCTCTGGGCTGGGAATATGAAAGGGGCTACCAGGAACAGAGTTCTGTGCATCTAGACCAAGTGTGTTCATGGGACCCAGTGGGGGGCTGGATGTTAGAATGTCTTTGTTAGAATCCCCTGACTGGTGAACGGGTGTGCCCATGGGAGACAACTGGGACGGTGTTGTTCCAACGACTGGACCCTGGTGCTTCAAGCCGGTGTCAACAGGTGGGTTGAGAACAGCAGGTGCCTGTTGACTTGCAGGTATATTTGCTACAACTGGAGCTGATTCAGCGTGCTCTGAACTACGAGACACCTGGGACATAAACCCTGGCTTGTCGTCATTTTGTGTAAACTCTTCTATCTCCTCTTCTGCTAGGTCAGCAATCTGCAGGTCTGCTTGTTCAATCATGCCAGCCTCTGTCTCCCCTGAATAAAAAGAATATTTATATAATACAACTATTTTATAAATGGGAGACAACTTGCAATTATAAATATCCAAAGATATTTTTATTTAAATAGCTAAGCTTACAAATATAGAGCTGGTAGAAAAACTAATTGATACAAATATTGTAGCAGAAAGCTTCTCAAGAATACCCAAAGTTCTCAAAAGTTTATTTGGTTATAAAGTTTTTATTTGCCTGAAAATTTATAAAAAACATTTAATATTTAGTAATGGGTGATAGAGGTGATCTGGATTATGATTGCAATCTGGGAGTGGTTCATTTTATAATCAGATGCCTCACCTATACATTGAGGATTAACTGCATTATAATATGTTGCAGAAAGCTATAAAAATATTAAATCTTTTCAGAAATGAAGCACATTGAAAATACCTTCAAAAACTATGGTCTCTGGTTCACAAGTAGATGATTTGTGTTCCCTGTGATGAAAATGCGTGACAATTTGTGAGGGTATATTCTCTTCAGTCTCTTCAAAAACTTCAGATACTTCCTCATTTATCTTCTCGTTTTGTTCAGTAAATATTGAAGAATCAGCATCCCACTTATCGAGTTCTTTAAAGTCTTCTTCTTCCCGTTTCCTCAAAAAAGAATTTTCTCTCCTCATACCTTCCTCACTTTCTGGAGATAAAGTGGTTGGAATAACATCTGTATCTTTTATTTCTGTCGCATTCATTTCTGATACTCTTATGTCTTCATCAGATTTTGATATAGCTATGGACATAAACAGGTCACTTCCTAGTTGATTGTCATCTTTAACTGCACCAAGCGAGTCGAATATGTCATCAGAGGAATTAGCAAAGTAGCTGCTAATGCTAGCAGCTCCATCTTGGCCTTTTGTCTGAAAAATTAACATTAAAAATTAATAACCATAAAAACTGAATAACGTATTTTCAAAAACATATATAAAGGGTTTGAAATCACCCACTTTTTCTTGAGTATTAAACAGAATATTATTAGACACTGTTTCCTGGCCATCATCCTTTTCAACAGATTTGCTGATAAATTCATCTCCAACTTGTTTTTCAATGTTAATTTCAATGCCTATTTCCTCCCCGGGGGGCTCAAGATCAACAGTTTCATCCAGTGGGAGAGCATCCTATGTTAGTAAACAGTTACAGAAATATAACTTAAAGTAAACTTATACAAATGTACAATCATTAAACAACAACCCTTCTTTAAAGTGCTGTACCTTTCCAACATCTTCAAAAGCAGAGGGCTCCAGAACGACAGAGTCTAAAGTGTCTGTAGTTGGTGAACTAACCATAGCAGAACTCAGACTGCTGTAAGGAGGTTGTAGATGACCTGATTCCTCATCATCATCTTCAAGCATAAAGTCATCTATTGGACTTGACATTTTTACTGCAAGATTTAGGGCTTACATTAAATTAATACATTTAGATCTAGGCCTATACTACTACTAGGCCTATTTATTATTTAATTTGATAAAAACTAATACTAATAGAAAAACTAACATTACTGTTCAGGAAGGTAGCTAAAGTTGAACAGCAACTAGTACTAATAACTAGATCTATGTGTTAGAGTGTTTGACTGCTAACCCAAAAAAACTGGGTTTGATTCTGGGTGCAAGTCAGTAGAATTAAGTAGAACATCCCTGAGTCCACCTAGTTCACTCTGATGGATCATCAGATTTGAAAAAGGTAACTCTTAACTTTTTATTAACTAATGTGATTTTAACTATGAATACAATAACAATACTTTCACACTTTGTTACACTCATTGAAATTCTCATACACTGTCTGGCTGCTAGGAGAAACTCAAAACTGAAAGTCTCCTCTCAGCTCAGCAGCAATGAGTATTATGAATAGAATCTAGATCTAGACTCTAGATAGTCTAGTTACTAGTAAATAATAGATCTAATTAATAATTATACTAATAAGATAGAGATAGAGTATCTAGACTCTAGAGTGCGCTAGAGTCTAGACCAGGGGTCTCCAAACTACGGCCCGCGGGCCGGATGCGGCCCGCGATGTCCTCTCATCCGGCCCGCGGAGATCTTTTTGTTTGTTGCAGATGGCTGAGGAACTTTGCCCAGAAAAATCAAAGACATGCCTGGAAGAAACTGGCCCCCGAACTGAAATTTTATAGTTAATGCGGCCCTCGGACTGAAAAGTTTGGAGACCCCTGGTCTAGACTCTAGGGCTAGACTCAGACTGTGTCTACGTCTACTCTACTGTCTAGACTAGACTACTAGTACTACTACTAGTACTAGTACTTGCTTCCTTAGTGACCTTAGTACTAGATCTAGATCTAGTACTAGATCTAGAATCTCTAGACAGTCTAGACTCTAGCTAGAGTGAGTAGAGTCCTAGGACCTAAGTCCTAATCTATTAATCTAGTAATCTAGATCTAGTCCTGGCTAGAGTCCTGGACAGTAGACTGGTAGAGAGAGTAAAAAAAAAAAAGAGTAGAGTAGAGTTAGAGAGGTGTGTACATAGTCTTACCACATCAAGATCTAGCCTGGATCTCGAGTGAGGTTTAGAATTAGCTTCAGTGACTCTAGTATTATATTATATTAAATGAGTAGGCAGTGCCAGTAGGCTAGGCCTAATTTTTATTTATTTTAGAACATACAAAAAAGTGCTTAGTAGTTGTCAGAAATTACCAAACAATACCAAAACGTATGACCGTAATAGTATTTGACCTTTTTGGAACCATATTATGTATAATAATAATATAGGCCTAAATTATAGTTGAAATTTGTGTAACAAATTGTAAAGATTTCTAGATCTATATGGTAATTAAACATACGCCCTATAAAAAGACTTTTTTTTTCATTTCACTAGCAGCTTCTACCAGTGGCCTAGGTAAGGGTGTGATTAGGGAGTTAGAATCCACCTACGCTACATCACCCTAAGCTATATCTAAGTTATTATTCTAAGGGATCAACAGTAAGCAGGTTTTATTACGATGTGTAACGGTGGGGAGGGAGAAGGTTAAAATCGAATGCGTTCTAAAGCTTCAGTAAGTAAGTCAGTGTCCATCATAGTGATATATACGTTAACTACTTTAAAAAGAACCTTAGTGTATAGTGCGACGATGAAGTTGGGTAAACATTGATAAAAGATCGTGTAACGTCATCTTTCCACAACCTCTTTTTGTCTTTTTTATATTTTAATAGACAGCTTATAGAATAAAAATATAGTCTTATATGTGTAAATGATTAGAAATAATTCGCAGATGAAGGGATATTGTAGTCGTGCAGTACGTATACAATTGCGCGACAACCATGTAACTAAGTCCATAAATGACGTCACACTCGTAGGGGGGAGGGGGTCCGTTATTTTGTGACGGTGTTTGATGAGGAGAGAAGGGGGTGTTCAGATAGTGTAACGTCACACTTTTGCATTATAAAAAAGCAATGCTATAAAAAGAATTTTAGCCGTTATTACGCGTTTTAGAAAACTGTTCATTTTAAAACACTCTAGGTTGACAACAGATTTTTTTTCTACGCATTTCCCCTTAATAAGTATGGTTATTAGTACGACCTAATATTATTTATTTAGATTGCATTGTTTTCGAACTATTTGATACTGTACATACTAGATCTAGATCTAATTGCTAATTATTACAATATTTATGCCACACTATCATATTTTTACGAAATCATTAATTTCTAATTTCATAACTTTTTTTTCTCTGATACGTAAACATGTATTCGAAATGAAAGCTAGTTTTTGTATTCTTCAAAATGGCGTCATCCACAGACTTCTACTTACGTTATTATGTTGGCCACAAAGGGAAATTTGGACATGAATTTTTGGAATTTGAGTTTCGACCTGATGGTAATAATTTACTAAATTTATCATTGCTTTGCTGTAGCTAAATATGGTAAAATCACGATATAGCGTCGGAAATTATTGGGTAATGTTCGTTGAGTTTCGGTAACATTCAATACATTCGTTACTGTAAACCATAGTTTATTTGACCGGTGAAATAAAAATAAAGTCAAGTGCATTAAATTAATGTTTTAACTTAATTTACAGTTTAATTGACAGAAAATTAATAACAGATAGAAAATCTAAACATTATTAATAAACTCGAGTGTAGTAATTAATGTTTTTTTTTTTAAGAAACAGAAAAAACCTGCAGAAGATTTGCGACAACCAGCTCTAGTTCTGTTAGTAAATAAGACGATTAGATTAACTAAAGTTAAAAGTAGTAAGAATAACTAGAATAATGTTTAGTAGCAGCAATAATTAGCACATACACTTAATATAATTAGAAATACAAAATAATTAGCAAAACAGTATTTAAAATGCAACTAAAATCAATCCTTGCACATTTTTAAACATTATGTATTAAAAATAATATGGCGGCAAATAAATGATGGTTTACGGTATTTCCGGTGGTTTCCGGAACGGCTCGACAGACTACGCCATGGTTTTACTGTTTTTTACTGCTGTACAGTTCCGGAATAATAACCGACGCTATATCGTGATTTTACCCTAAATATTAGTTATCTAATTAGACAAAATCAAAGTTCTTTTTAAAAAAAACTCCATTTGTATGATGTCCGATTTTGTGCACCTGTGACTTTTTTCATTTTATTAGACTGGGAATAGCCGCTATTAACTTTTCCTGGTCGCAACTGTTTTTAATACATTGAATGTTTAAAAAGCATGTACGGCACAATGCTGAGTGGTCAAGTGGAACAATGAGTGGCTGGAATGCTGGATGTTGTGAGTTCGAACCTATCGACTATCAAGTAGCGATTCAAAAGCCTTCATACTTTTTTTACACTAGCTAGATCTAGACTAGATCTAGAATTAAATGACTTGAGATCTATTTATTAAAGGGTTAGGCCTATTTTCCTTAATTTTTTTCTCATTTCTGACGTGATTGCGAGCATATTTGCAGGAAGAAAAAACAATTTCACCTATGCAGCTGCTCCACCACAGAAGTTTTGTCAGAAAAATAAAGAAAAAAGAGTAGTTGTTCCTATTGCGCAGCTGTAAAAGAATAAATTGGGTCCATTGTGTTTAATGGTGTTTAATTTGTGCCTATTTCGCACTTATTTAGGTCATTGCGTCTTTGCCAACAAGATGGCGTTGGGGGGGGGGGGGGATCTTCTTCGGAGTAGTTACTTCGAATTAAAAAATTGCTATTATTAGGGGCCTAAGCCCTGGTTTATAACTGTAGATTTAGAGTGCATAATTGATCATCTAGGCCTATGGAGCAGATATGAAAAGAAACTACACTTAAACCATAATACTTTTTCTTATTGGCCAAAGAACACAGCTTTCTTAATGATCTATACCCCACTCCCCAGTCAGACATTATTTTCAGTTGTATTTAGTATGAAAAGTCTACTGGGAATAATCCCAATACTGCTGTTCTCAACAGACTGGGTATAGGTTTGTTCTTTCACACTTGGATTTTGATTTAGCTGCATTATTTTACTTAATCTGGATTTCTATTTTTATTTTACTTTTCCAGATCTCTACTATCCTAGTCTGTCTCATTGCAATTTGAATTTAGTGACTAAATTTTAAATCAAATTAGCCAGGGTAATCTCATTGATATTGGATTGTTGTACAATCGATCAAACCATTCCAGAAGTATTGTAAAATGTAATTTTTTGGCACTAACTTTTGTAATACATTTAAAAATTTGGATAGGTAGATTTTAGTTGCATGTTTTAACATGCTTCTAAAAATTTTCTAATCATATTTTATTACCAATCATTTTTCTAGTCTTTTTATTTTGGTAGACATTTTTTACTAGGTCCTAATTGTCACACATTTTCTACAACTTTATAATTCTGTTGTTTTTTTTAAATACATTAGCCCAAGTACTAAACTTTACTTATTATTTTATTTAGATCTACTAGATAGCCACTGAACAAAATAGCTGAAAAGGTTTTGAACACTCTGCACTCCGTATAGTCGTGGCATTTTAATTTATTAAAGCCAATATTAAAAGCACAGGATCTCTAGTAATAGCCTATTTGACAATTTTAAGTTAATTCTATTGCAAAGAATATCCTTTAAGATAGAAAACACAAAAATGTAAGCCCCAAAACAACCTAGAGTATAACCTAAACTTAATGTCATTTTATAATTCTAACAGATTTCCTAAATTGTTCTTGTGGCTATATTTTGCTAAATGATTTTTTCTATTTTCTGAAACAGGTAAGCTTAGGTATGCTAACAACTCCAACTACAAAAATGACACCATGATCAGAAAAGAGGTATGTTATTCTACATTGTAGTTAAAGCCCTTAAGTACTTGTAAAACTATGCATTGCCTTTTCACATATATCTTTACATAAATTTAATTTGTTTTTCACACTTTGTAAATGTCATTACTGTAAAAAACATTTCATCAATTGTAGGCTTTTGTACATAAATCTGTTATGGAAGAGTTGAAGCGTATTATTGAAGATTCTGAGATCATGCAAGAAGATGACAGTGCTTGGCCATCACCAGACAGAGTAGGAAGACAGGTGATACTTTGTGTATTAAAATTATTGAATTAATTTGTCCCAAAAGCTCAGTTTAAACATTTGTTTATATTTATAATATAGTATCTCAAAGTCATGATATTTGTTTTAAGGAATTGGAAATTGTAATAGGAGATGAACACATTTCTTTCACAACATCAAAGATAGGATCATTGCTGGATGTCAATCAGAGCAAGTAAGTGTTGAGTAAAATTTCAATTTTTGAGAAAATGTTATTTCAGTCTTGATATCCAATGTCGATAATGTCACACTTGTTTTAAAATATCCTTTATTTTACATTATTTTGTTTGTAAAATACACTATTATGTTTCTTGGAATGTCTTTTTTGTTTTATTTTTCCCTAGATACTTTTCCTGTAATTTTTTTGTAATGCTGACTTTTTAAGGGGACACATGAGATTTTATGTAAAATACCTTGAAAATATATAGTTTTCGATTGTGACAATCTAACTTTTCAACATCTTAGGAATGTTTCTTTCATTTATTTTGTCTAATATTGTATATAAATAAGTTTTAAAAGCGTTTTTAAAATCATAACTCTTGATAAATTAAGCCGAAAATGTACTATTTAGCCTACTTTGACAACTCATAAACATACTTTGTATTGATACCCCTCGCACGTCATATATCAAATTATCAATGGAAAGCTCTCGAAGGGCTGCTTTATTTAGAATCATGACCTGTTTTCATCTAAAAAAAATAGCAATAGACACAAGGGCTTAGAAAATTTCAAATATACACATTTCTATAGGCTATTGTTTAAAAAAAGTTGAGTTTGAAGAGCCACTGTTAAAAGCACATTGGTCCAAGAAGTTTCAGTTCCATCTCTCAGTTTCCAGAATAACCAATTATTGGCAGCCATTTTTAACAAAACTAGCATTTTCTATTGGCAAGTATTGATTTATACAAGTTTCAGTGTATTTTAGCTAAAATTTTACTGACTAATAGAATGTTAGAATGGTTTTCATAAATATTAGAATTAGGTTACTTTTACTAGGTAAAATAGAATTTAAAACATGGCCTTGAACTAGATTAAGATTATGGTACCATTAGAGTACTACTACACTACTTAGAATATCTTGATTAGTCTAGATCTATATTTCATAAAATAATAATAGAATATAATAATAATATAATAGATCTAAAAAAAAACTATAACTAAATCTTCTTGAAAGCTGCAACTTCAGCTGTGCCTAGCTATGTGGAAAGCAACTTCTGCTGCTGCTTCAGATAGTAAAGTCATAACAACAGTGAAGCCCAGCTCCACCCAACCCAGCCAAATGATTCTGCCTTCAAGCAAAAACTTGATTACTGTGATGCTGAACAAACTTCCCCTGCACTGCTTACATCGAGTCTGACCAGATATTTTATTGACTTTTGTTTCATGCAACATCTGTTCACTGAACCTTTACAGCTCAGGGTAGATAGCAGCAAGTCAAAAGGCTTGGTACTCTGCTGCCGTATTCATTGTAGCACATGCAACAAGGAGGTATCAAAAACAATGTCATTTGCTAAAATAAATTACTTTACCTGTGATGTCAACCAACTGTTTGTAGCAGGGATGCTAAATGCTGGTCTTGGCTTATGTGCTGATAAATTGTGTGATGTAACGGGATTATCCAACATGAGCCACACAATACATTATGGAGCATATAAATGCCATTTTTAATGCCTCAAAGGAATTTTCCTCTCTTCAAAAAGAAAAGGCAATTTAAAAAGTTACAGAGGTTGACTGTGGCTGTTGGTTTTTATGTGCCTTGGCTGAAACGATGCCACATAAGGAAACTAAGAATTGGTGCTGTCATAGAGCACAAGGCAGGACTGGTAATTGATTACCACATACTATCCAGCTACTGTCAGGTTAGTTTGGTGAGAATTACTTATTTTGTAAAAGGATCTTATAATGGTCATATAATTTTCATTTTACTGAATATGGGAATTATATTGTACTAAATGTTCATTTTCAGACTGGCCAAGACATGAAAAAATCATCAGGCTATGCTAAATGGCTGTAGGAGCAAAGCCAGACTGCTGCACTAACCATACTTAGTCAGCAGCTGTAATGGAGGTAGTTGCTTCCAAAGTACTTTGGACAGTGCCCTGAGCTGTACAAAGCAAATCAGAGGTGGTGACTCGAAAACTTTTGGCAGAGCTCCAGAAACAACCAAACGAAATTTTTTTAGAAGGCTGTCATCATCAATGTCCAGGAGCTTCAAAATAAAATATGGCATCATATTACCATTCTATATCATCTGACACCAAGCCAACACATGATCTGTGTCCTGAAGGAGAAGACTTTTCTACCAAAAGGCAGTGGCACAAGGAGGGGTTTTTTCCAGTCAGGAACAAATTAAAACATTTTTAGATGCAGTAGTTGCTCAGTATGTGAAGCCAGTTTATGAGCTGCTAACTGACAAACTAATGTCTCTAATGTGTCTGTTGGGCGTGGCCTGAATGCAAAGGAGAGCTTCCACTCAGTTATGTGGTCACATTGCCCTCAGCATATATTTGTAGACAGCAAAAGAGTAGCTATAACCACAGCCCTTGCAGTGGCTCATTTTAACAGGAGTCTAGAGGGGTGTTAGAATTTGCCAAGGAGATATGCTGCAGTGTAACTAGAGGAATGGAAACTCAGATTGTTAAAAGAGATCAGCTTTTGAGTTCGTAAAACTGAGAAGCAGGAAATAACTGAGATAAAGTGTAGGAAGGCAAAGAGGACTTAAAATAATGCTAGTAGGGAGGGGGGATTAGCTGTCGCTGAGAGAAATCTTTATTTAGCTGGGGTTGCTCACGATAAGGTTAGGTTACTTTATCGTTTTCTTATGTATTAACATTTTAAAATATTAATCATTTTTATTAATCTTTGATTGTTTTTTTTATAAATTCATAATTGAGGAATAACTCGATTAATTTTTTTTGTTGTAAATATACAATTTCACCTCATTTCTTTTTTTTTTTGTACTTGTAGGTATATGTTTGAAATTTAATGTCTGATTATTTTTCTGACAGCATTGCCATTGTATTTTTTAAATATATTTGTGTAAATAACCATGTTTACATTTCTAAAATTCCATTTCGAAATTGTTTTATGATTTTTTTTACATTTAAAGCTACACGGATGATTCTCTGTAAGGGAAGGTCGACTGAATGGAAATTTCCTATGATCATTTCAAATACACTAATCTATTGTATGACCTAGAGGAATTTTTTTTTTTTTTTTTTAGGGTTTTTTTTTTAAATCTTTTTTTTCCCTCTAGGAGTTGATTTATTTTCTAAACAATGTATAAATTAAATCCTTTTGTCATCCAGTAGAATATTACAAAGCAAAGCAAACTGTAAATAGCTACAACTCTTTCTATTATTATTATTTTCTGTATAATTGCTAAATATGATGAAACTTAATCATGGCTTCATCTCCTAAATCTTTATTTTTTTTTTTAAATACCTACAAGTAAAGTTTTAAAATGTTTGTTGATACTTTGCTAACATAAAATAGGGAAATAAAATGAATCAGGGATGTGACTTTTCCGAATTTTAGCGGAAATCCGATTTTTCCGTTTCAGTTGCGTTTTTCCTCCGCTGATTTAATTTTCGCCGAATTTTTCCGCGGACTTTCAATTTTTGTCGATTTTTTACGAAGTTTTAAAAATTAGGAAAAAAAACGGAAATGTCTTCTACGGAAAGGGCCGACAAGCTCATTCCACTTATTCGTATTTAAATTTAAATCGACAACTACTGTACTTAGGTCAAACGGACACTCGAATATGCGCATTTCTTTTCGATTGGTCGATTGCGCTAGGTATGACGGTGCTAGATCAAGATTAAATGTAGATTAAGATTCGGAATTTCGGCAGACTTACAAATTTTTCAAAGCACAATTTTTTATTCCAAATTTTCCGCTGATGTTTTTAGTTAACTATTTATCAAAAACACGGGAAAATGTAATCTAAAATAATGCAGTTATTCAAATAAAACTTACATCTCTTGAGCTTGGTAATCTATCTATCGATATAGCCTAATTTATCTATCGGTATTTTAACCCACCTAAATCTACAGTTTCTCTCTGATTCTATTTTATTTCGCGATCTCAAATTAATATGGAAATCCTTGCTAAAATTGACTATGAGGACTAGACTAACCCGCCCCACCTCGTACTAACGGTGTCTCTTGTGACCTCACCTTGACCCCAAGTACGTGTTCGGTACTGCTTGTGGGGGAAAAAATGACGTCACAGTCAATTTCAAATAGCTGTTCCTGCAATACGTATGCTTCGTAGGCCTACAGATAAAAAAAAAAATACTAAACTCAACGTGACTACGACCGTGTCTTGTTTGTGGAAGAAAAAATACGTACAGACTGTTTTTAAATTTTTAATAAGGGGTCTTCCATAAATAACGTCACACTCGTAAGATAGTGTAACGTCATATTTCTGCATTCAAAAAAGTAATGTTAGAAACAACTGCATTTTAGCCGCTATTACGAGTTTTAGAAAACTGTTGTAAAACATAGAAATTGAATAAGATACCCTATGTTGGTCGACCTCAGTCAATATTTTAGAAAAAAATCGATGTTTAAAAAAAAAATATTCAAATTCAATTCAATTCATTATAGGGGGGGGGGGGTCTGGATTTTGTAGGACAGAGGGGAGGTAAATATTGTCAAAAAACGTGGATGACCCCTAACAATTTACAGCTATTCCAAAAAAACAAAAATATCGATGTGGCTTGGCTATCAAAATGATTAACTTTGGTTCACACATCAGACCATTTCTAATCTTAGCTAACCTGGTCCATTTCATTTTTCCATCACATGAACATAAAACTTTCAAATTGTAACTAATCTTAATCTAGGCTCTTTACAGTTGAAGACAAATATTTTTACCAATCCAATCTTTAAAAGAATATTGAATATAGTGTATTAGGCCCCCTATTTAAAATTGAAAACAGGAGTACATCTAGAAATTAGAATCTACACCAGATTAGTAGGCCGTCAGTTTAAATTAGCTTAATGGTAAAATAAAACTTAATAGCTACTTTTGTTACATTGTAATTTTTAAAAAGTTGTTTATAAGGTAAACATTAAATTGCAATTAGACAAGACTTTCAATGTTATTTTAGAGTAACATTAACTTCTTGTATTTAGAATATTAACTTCATAAAACAATTTATTAGTACAGTAACAGTATGAAGCTGCTTAACCGCGATAAAAAGTAGATAAAGCATATTGAGTTATTATCCAAAAAAAAATTTCCTAATTTTTTTTCCTGGTCTGGTCACATCCCTGATGAATACACAGGCATTAAGAAAAAAACCTCATGAGTCTCCCATAAAATCAATGTTTATTTCTCTGTATCACTTGCAGCTTTATTTGTTATTTGTTTGAATTTTTTTATTGATTTCTCATGTTTTTTTCTTGCAGAGATCCTGATGGTTTGAGAACATTTTACTATCTGGTGCAAGATTTGAAGTGCTTGGTGTTTTCGCTAATTGGACTCCACTTTAAAATTAAACCCATCTAACTGTATTCCCATCCTGTCATTTTATTCTTCATCATTGGTTTCATTAAAATGTTTTTAATTTTACAATTTTCTTGTTATACTTTTATGGTATATATTATTTAGTAGCATTATGATTTAACAAATAGCCTGCTTGGGAGGACATATGACTGGTGTGTAGACTGTTTGACTTTTGGGTGTGCAGTCATTTCAATCTTTCATGCTCAAGTTTATGGTTTTACTAATTGTTAATTAATAAAACTAAATAGTATAACTTTTGTGTCTACTGAATCTGAGTGAGAGGATATAGATCTATATATACACATATATAAAAGTGTGTCTGACTCAGGAAACAACTTCTAACAGGTATATCATAATGATTTTTTAAAAACGGTCACAGCGCTTTTTTTTGAAAGCTGCTATATTAAGATTTCAGTATTCTAAGATACCAAATTGGTTCATATATCTCAAATAGTAAAAAAGTTATGAGGTTTTAAAATTTTGGTGGGGTTTTTTTTTAATGAGATCCTACAGAGTGCCATGTTTGGGAGGTTATATCTGTAAAAGTATATGACATAACCGATAATCATTTGAACTAACACAAAGATAGCAGAGAACAGACGTAATTTTTCTCAAACTTCAAAAATAAGTTCATCGTTGATATTGGGGGTCGTCCATAAATGATGTCACACTCGTAGAGGGGAGGGGGTCCGTAATCTTGTGTCGTCACTTTTTTGCATTATAAAAAAAGCAGAGTTAAAAAACGAGTTTTAGTGCCGTTATTTCGCGTTTTAGAACAAGGCTTTAATAAATTGTAATAGGAATTAATCAAAATACTCTATGTTAGCAGAGTTCTGACAAGATTTTGGAAAAAAATTCAACATCAGTTTTGAGGGGGGGGGGTTGTAGGCTGAGGTGTGACGTAATTTTAGGGGGGGGGGGGGGTCTGGCTTTTTGTGACGACTTGTGGGGGAGGGGGGGGGGAGGTAAAAATCGGCCAAAAAAGCGTGACGTCATTTATGGATGACCCCTTGGCTGTTCTCACATTTTGATAAAATTAAAATGGGAAGTAAAAAGAACAAATTGTGTACATTAAAAATAATAATAAAAAATCACCAAACATTTTCTAAAGAAAGAGCATACTTGATAAGTATGTAGGGAACAACGCTTCTTTGATTTTATTTTGAGTAACTGTGTATGCCTATAACATGTACGTTTGAAACGCACGTTTAATCAGAAGAGTGCAGGGGTTCACAATTTGTCAAATAATAATCATTAAAAAAGTTTTAAAAAACCCACGTTTTCTGATTGAACTAAAAAGTAGAAAATAAACGCTATACATCACAATAATGCAAGCGATCACTCTACTATAAGCGATGAAAAACGTGGGGCGCCGAAGTAAAAGTTATATTACTATTGATTAGATAATACTATTGACTTTTATTAGGGAGCTTGTAGAGAGTCAACAGTATTAGAAACTGTAAGAAAATCACGGCGCCCCACGTTTTTGATCGCTTATAGTAGAGTGATCGCTTGCATTATTGTGATGTATAGCGTTTATTTTCTACTTTTTAGTTCAATCAGAAAACGTGGGTTTTTTTAAACTTTTTTAATGATTATTATTTTTTACTTTTTAGTCTTTGTTTGTTTGCATTAAAATCTTGCTATCGATTTTATCTTTTCACTTTTTTTGGGTAAACGAAGACAACTCGTAAAAAGACAACTCGTAAAAAGACAACTCGTAAAAAGACAACTCGTAAAAAGACAACTCGTAAAAAGACAACTCGTAAAAAGACAACTCGTAAAAAACACGTTGTGTTAACACATAGATTTGAACCCGTGTCGAGTGGGATAGCAATCGTGTGCCCAACCACTCGACCATATCGTCTCCCCCAAACTGGCCTACCTCCTGTAACTTTAAACTCGGTTCAAACTAATTATCTGCCCCTAAGCCTGTGGCGATTTGGGATCGTTCGCTTCACTGCGCGCGAGGTACGCGTCGCTCGTTTTTTTTCTAATGGCTCGCAGAGGATAATTATATATATAGATTATATAGCGGTCTAAAATGCTCAATAAAATGTTTCCATTGATCAATTTAGTAATAATAACAATTGAATATTCAATGGTCATCCAAAAGAAAGCTTCCCTGAAAATTTCAGCGCGCTAGCTAACTGGGAAGTGCCAGAAATTTCGATCGCAAGATTTGATTGGAAAGACAAACAAACACAGAAAGACACAGAGAAAGCAAGTTAAAGAAAACGTGGGAAAATGCTTCTTTTTCCCACGTTTTCTTTAACTTGCTTTCTCTGTTTGTCTGTTTTTCCAATCCAATCTTGCGATGGAAATTTCTGGCACTTCCCAGTTAGCTAGCGCGCTGAAATTTTCAGGGAAGCTTTCTTTTGGATGACCATTGAATATTCAATTGTTTTTATTACTAAATTGATCAATGGAAACATTTTATTGAGCATTTTAGACCGCTATATAATCTATATATATAATTCTCCTCTGCGAGCCATTAGAAAAAAAAACGAGCGACGCGAACCTCGCGCGCAGTGAAGCGAACGATCCCACGTCGCCACAGGCTTAGGGGCAGATAATTTAGTTTGAACCGAGTTTAAACTTACAGGAGGTAGGCCAGTTTGGGGGAGACGATATGGTCGAGTGGTTGGGCACACGATTGCTATCCCACTCGACACGGGTTCAAATCTATGTGTTCTAGCCCCACGTTTTTCATCGCTTATAGTAGAGTGATCGCTTGCATTATTGTGATGTATAGCGTTTATTTTCTACTTTTTAGTTCAATCAGAAAACGTGGGTTTTTTTTAACTTTTTTAATGATTATTATTAAAAATAAACCGGGAGTGATCGCCCCTAAACTTTCTCGAATATTCTTATATAAAACAACAGAGGATGGGAACTCGGGATATACTAGACATGATTTTTTTTATCCATTTTAATTGCACACCATGTGAACGCCAAATGCAATGTACATAATAAGGCGGGATATTATTAGTACTTTATAAATTTACATGCGTTTTTTGAGAAATCGGAAATAGTGTAAATTAGTACTTCCGGTCAACGGAAATTACTAAAAATTTGACAGAAGGTAGAGATATAGATCTTTTACTTACATGTGAAATTTCATTTATCTATCTGAAATAGTACTCTAGTTATAGGCTTTTGAAAAATTCAAAGTAGAAAAAGTACCACTTCCGGTTATCGAAAATCGCTCAAAAGTTTATACGAATCTACGATTTTTAATAAAATCCTTATATATGAAATTTCATCAACCTAGCTGTAACTGTACTCAAGTTATCGTGTTTACACACACAGAGACACACACACCCACCCACAGACATACGGACAAGATTGCAAAAATATGTTTTACCGACTCAGGGAGGTGTCAAGGGTTTTTTTTTTTTTTTTTTTTTTTGCACGATTACAAGACTTTCTCTATACTTTGTATATAAGAGAAAGTAAAAATCACAAAAAATAAATTATGATACCTAAATTAGATCTGGCTATATCGAAATACAGAATTACCATACCATAGCTCTTAATAAGTAAAAGCCTTGTGTTTGTAACTTATTTATATGCGTTCCAATGGTGACTAGAACAGTGCAAGGGTCCCATAAGAAAATATTTTTTGTCGAAATAATTATTAGTCTCCTGACGAGTAATGCATTGAGGGGCCATACTTTGGGGAGTTGATTAGAACATTAGAACACTCCAGGTGAAGTTTCTGTAAAAAAAAAAAAAGTATTTTTTAATTTCACAAGGGCGGCGACCTGGGAGGGTACGATTCTTCTCTATATACGGATAATTATAAAATGACAGTCGGATGCGGTTCGACGTCGTTTATCCGAGTGCTATAAAATTTTTGGGAGTTGATGAGTATACTCCCGAGAAGGTTTCTGAGTGGGAAAATGTAATTTCGCAAGGGCGGCCTCCGGCGATTTGGGATGCGATTTGGCGCCCCGGTCTTTCCCGTGAGCGCTATGGCGCCTACGTTCAGAGGCGTAGCGAACCTTCCCGGCGCCCGGGGACAATCTTTTCGATTTGCACCCCCTCAAGATTTTGATTTGCACCCCCCCCCTCAAACTTTCGATTTGCACCCCCTCGACCTTTCAATTTATTTTTCCAACCCATTTTGGCGCCCCCTAAGGTCGGTGCCCGGGGACATATGTTCCCCCCCCCCCTCGCTACGCTACTGCCTACGTTCGTTTTAAACAGTGAAATAGGCTATGGTTAACACGGAACGTTATAGTCGTTCACTAAACATAATCAGACGTGTCCGCCGGCGCCCCGGTAGGTGCGATTTGGCGCCCCGGGTCCCGATAAATATGATCAAAGCGCAGGCAATATTTACATTTAAATAACTCAGTTTTAGAAAACAAGGTCACTCGTTTTATCTAAGAATATAGGATTGGTAAAGCATTAATAAAACCCTCCTAATATATTTCGTCAGATTTTATTTGTCTTTTATGCGTTGCTACACCTTTCATCTGATCGCGTATGAAACTCTTGGGAAGTTGTTGAGACTACTCATGAGGAGGTTACTGCGAAAAGCAAACTTCAATTTCGCACGATCGGCACCCCGACAGGATGTAACTCAGCGTCTCGGGCGCTGATAGACTATGAATAAGATGGGACATTTAGTCGTTCACTAAATTGGATTAAACGCGTTCACCGTCGCCCGACATGTTGCGCTATGACGCATACGTCCGTTTTAAAGAGTGTGATAGAATATGGATAAAAGTAGTATTATAGTCGTTCACTAAACTGAATCAGGCGTGTCTGACCGCGCCCCGGCAGGGTACAATTTGACCCGGACAATCCTGACGGGCACGCTAGTTCTTTATAAAAGGGCTCTAATAAAGGTATATTTCCAAGCTGACTGCAAAGTGCAAATACATCTGTCACTCGTGCACTGATCATTAATTTATATGCACATTGATACAACTGTAAAAACGATCTCGCCCCCCCCCCCCCCTCCTCTATTCCAGGTGAGCGTTGGAGGCATTAAGCATAACATATCGCCTAATATAGAGTTGAAGAACACACTAACACGTCGATTTTTGGTAATGTAAAGTAATGTAAAGTATTTCAAGCAACACACCATGTACTATTTAGTTTAAAATCATCATTAAAAGAATAAAACCCAAACCACAGAGTTTCTTCCAGGCATCTCTTCTACCGCCCCCGAACGAAATGAAATTCATATAATTTATAAAGAAAATATATACTTTTAACAGCAGTGGCGTAGCCAGGATCGTCTCAAGGGGGGGTTCCAATTTTACCCGGGGACAAACTTTCGATTTGCACCCCCGCCCTCAAACTTTCGATTTGCACCCCCCCTCAAACTTTCGATTTGCACCCCCCCCCCTCAAACTTTCGATTTGCACCCCCCCCTCAAACTTTCGATTTGCACCCCCCCCCCTCATACTTTTTATATATACCGAGGGGTCTATGGGGGGGGGGGGGTTATGACCCCCCCTAACCCCCCCCTGCCTACGCCACTGTTTAACAGTATCCGCCCCCACCCCTCGAAAATTTCAAGTGCCCCCCCCCCCCCACCGAGAAAAAAGTCTGGAAGAAACACTGCCAAACCATCCATGAACTTTGCGGTGTTTTCTACTATACCCTTATAATAAAATAGTATTGGAGAGGGTGACACCAACATTTTGTAGACGGCATATGTCCCAGAAAGGGCGACAGGCTAACCTAAGCCTAAGCCCTTAAAGGCCTAGTCCAGGGGTCGGCAACCTGCGGCTCGCGAGCCGCATGCGGCTCTTTTGATATCAAGATGCGGCTCTCCAGCTCCTTGCACAAATACTAATAATCTTAATAAAAAATAAAATATTTGAAATTAAAAAAATGTTAGTGGCTCTTTAAAACCAGAGAAATTTTGAAAATTGTAACTTTTGGCTCTTCCGCTTGAAAAGGTTGCCGACCCCTGGCCTAGTCAGCTCACTCGTTGAGTCGTTCTACACTATAGACAAAAATCAATGATAAAACTTGATGTAACTAATTTCATTGATATAATATGTCATCTTGGCTTATTTATCCAACCATTATAAAAAGCAGAAATTTTATGAACATACGAATTTTAAACTGCATGGGGATCATGCTGGCAATAATATTAATAAATAGCTTTACTTGAAAATGGGCATACTGCGATTCCAAACAGCAGTACAAAAACAAATTACATCAAAGCTACAACCAATTGGAAATTACCTTCAGCATCTTTATGCATTATTGTAAACGCTCATTTCCAACGAAACGCAAATTTACGTTTTTAAACTACTAGATCTAGAATGTATTATTACATCATTACACTTAACAAAAACAACTCTTAAAAATGCCTGGAGGAGATGGTGATAAAGGGAACGATTTAAAAGAAAAAATTACACTTTTTGTCGATGAATTAAAAAAGGGGTAGGTGAATATTTCCTATTGCTCAAGATATTATAGGCCTAGTAAAATAGTATGAATGTACATCTGTTCTAGATCAGTGTTTCTTAACCTCCTGGGTTCTATCGAGCACCAGGCTGATCTGATCACTGACAACAGGCAGTGTCCAGCAAAACAGAAACCTGATATTGATAACTGAACTAATTTGATAATTTCGATGGTGAATCAGTCTCTCAGGCTCAGTCACTGATTTTCTCAGGCGTTCGGCAGAGGTCAAGACACACACCCAACTCATATGACATAATGATTTGTGTCCGAACTTTGTCAGTGCAGACAATAGAACTAATACTAATGGCTGATAATGAAGAGTTACTAAGTGGTAACAGTTTAAATGTGACAGTGCGGCATAGTTATAAAATGAGCCAGAGCAAGATAACACATGTATCAGTATTGTGGACCTGTAACATCATGACACACATACATCTTGACACTTGACACACTTCACAAATCGTTTCAACGTCACAGATACATACATGCATTAATTTTGTATAGGCCTACATGTTGTGATGACCATACTTTTAATTTCTATTTCCTGACTCAGTAGTAAACTTGTGACTATCATGTTGAGCTAAAAAAAAAGTGATCAGGCGAATATGTACAATATGGACTCTCATATTATGTTTTTGTGAGAAAAATAGTATTTTAATTTTGTTCTTTGAACACAGTGATGTTGATTTGCGGTTCAATTTGAAAAAGATAGTTTATTTTTACAATTTAGGTTTCAGTTAATGTGAATATGAAGTTGGTGGGGTTTGGTTCTTCTAAAAAAGTTAAGAACCACTGATCTAGCTTCTATATCTATGCATACTTTAGCTAGCTAGTCTCTAACACTCTAACATTAATTAAATTAAATTTAGACTCAACTGAAGTCAATTTTTTTTTTCTGACTTTTCATTTCATAGTAAAAATAAAAAATTAAATAGTGTAATGAACAACTTGTCTCATCAAAATACAAGACATTTTGAATTAAATTTGTTTTCCTAATCTAACTTATACGATTGCAAAGTAGATCTAACCTTTTAGTAAATAGATCTATATCCATTAAAAATTAAAAGATGAAACTTTTTTAAAATACAAAATTAATTAAATAAAAAGTAACATGCCTGGCCGATTCAGAGTCTGAGGTAGTTAACTCATTTCATGGACAAATCTGGCAAGCTGGTCAATAATTTATGGGCCATAGATACATGGAGTGCAGGTACTCTTGTTAATCTGTTCAATTGGTTGAGTGTCCAATTAGTTAATGAGCCTAATAATTAAATATAAATTAAATTTAGCTTCAATAAATATGATCTTTGTATTTATGCTAGTATAGCAGTTGAGTTATGTATGCACACACAAGAAATAACATGTTTTTTCCCCAATTAAATTTTATAACCCATGTAATTGCAACCTCCAGGAGTACGCAGGGGTCATGTGATGTAGCAATCAAAACAATTGACTTGTTGACTCAAGTTATAGCTCAGGCAGAGTTTTTGCAAGTCAGGTATGCTCATTTGATCAAGATTGCATTTACTTTTGAAATTCAATTCATATTTTTAATCTAACCATAATCATAATAGCATTGATAGTGATGTTTGAAATGAAATCATTTTTTTATAATGTACATATAATAAGTTATTACCATTTTTAAAATAGTGAGTTGATAAAGCATGTTGCAAATGAAGGGAAACAAATTCAGGCGGGAGATCCTTCAGAAAATATTATAGGAAACATAATCTACAGAGTTCTCAAGATTATCAGAGAAGAATGCAAGTATGTATTTTTTTTAAACTGCAATTTATAAATGATACATTGTAAATAACATTTTAAAAAACAATTTTAAAATTTCATTTTATGTTACATTTTAAAATTTGTATTTTGTTTTACTGCTGATTATTTTGTATCTGCACTCTTGTTTTTATTTCACAGAGATCAAGAAAATGCAGAAAATCAAAAACCTTCAGAAGCAAAGGTGATAAATTGCAATATTCGACTTAAAACTTTTAAAACTAATAAACAATTATCATTAATTTTTATGTTATTGACAAAAATCTCTTTTTTACTTCTAGAATGTATGTAAAATAGCAGATCTTAAGGTAAAAAGTATATTCTTTTATTTGAAGTTGATCTTCATTTATATTAATATTTTTTTTTAATTTAAAACTGTTGATATGTAGAAGAAATAGATAATTTTTTATTGGAATGCTTTTTTTTTTCTAAACCTAACTTAACTTCTCTAAGGTTTCTTTAAAGATGATTATTCAGTGGATTCAAACAACTGTCATATTTAATAGTAACAAAGCACAATCTTTGAGCTTTATGTTACAATTGCTGTTTTTTTCCCCAACTTTTAAAAATTTCAACACCACTTTTTTAGGCCTGTATTATCGAAGCTGTGACTGAACTAAAATCTGAGATTGAAGGATGGTACGTCAGATCAATTATTTACTCTTATTAAGTTTAATTAAACAAGGAAGTAAAATTCACTCTAACATATAAAAAGGGGAAAATATTGTGATGGTACCAAAGGATTATTTAAATTTTTTTCAAATAGATATATTCTTACTCTTTAGCTTCAAAAGTGTAAAATAACTTTACTTCTTATTTTTAGTGTTGAAAATATAGCAGTGCAAGCCCCAAACTATATAAATAAAAATGATAAAATTCTTACCATTGGGAGATCAAGGACAGTAGAAGCCTTTTTAAAGGTTGGTAATAAAATCAATTAACATGTTGGTAGATTAAAAAATATAAACATGTTATAAATAAAGTATTTTATTATTTATTATTAATCACAACATTGTTTTTAATTTATCCAGGATATTAATAAAAACATTTATTTTTTAATTTAAAGAATGCTGCCAGCAAAGGAATTAAATTTGAAGTTTTTGTTTCTGAATGTGCTCCATTTTATCAGGTAACAGTTCTTTAAATGTAAATCTTTGTCTCTCTGATTGTTGTTTAGCAATTCTTATATTTTTGTTTTGTACTTAATACAGATACACTTTTTTTCTTAAGGGTCATGAAATGGCAAAAAACCTGGCTGAATCAAAAATAAACACAACACTTATCACTGAGTGTCAGATTGGATTTATTATGCCTAAAGTAAACAAAGTCCTCATAGGAACTCACTCTTTTATGGCAAACGGAGGGTATTTAGTTTCAAAAGTTTTTTAAATTTGTTTTGTAGCAGGATAGATCAGTTGTATGACAAGTAATTACTTGAAATTTGGTAAGAATAATTATTTTTTTTCAGATTAAAGGCTGTTACAGGTGCTAACATCATGGCAGTGTTGGCTAAAGAACATGGCATACCTGTAAGAATTTCATCTTTTTATACTGTTTGCTCTGGCCTTAATATGTGGCCAAATTAGTGTCTGTTTATTTGTTTTCTGTTGATTTTAGTTTGTTGAATAATTAGTCTTTAATCTATAAATTAGGTTACAAATTTGTATTTTATAATAAAAAGTGTTATTTTACTCCTGTAACATTTTTTTTAACATCAAATTTTGTCCAGGTGATTGTTTGTTCCAGTTTGTATAAATTGTCTCCACTGTTTCACAGCACACCTGAACATGTGAGTTACCTGTTCTATTTATAACACAGATTTCTTGCCCTTTATTTTCAACTTTTGGGCAAAATTAATGGAAGTAATTACTGATGCACAAAAAGTTAAAATAGCTGATAAGTTCTCATTCTCTGATTTTGTTGATGTTAGTGAAAATATGAAATAATGGTTTCGGGGATTATCATATTAGATAAACAAATTGCGGATCATCTGTTGTGTTTAAGATACTATAACTTGATCTTAGGTACACAATTTTTCATGAAGAAGAATACTTTGGTTTAGAATAGTGTCCTCATAGTTTTTACTTTAATTTTTCAGGCCTCGTTTAATAAATTTGCCAGTCCATGTGAGATGCTAGATTATGATGATGCTGACTTGTTATCCAAGGTTGAAGTTATAAATCCAATATTTGATTATGTACCCCCTCACCTGGTGTATATGATTGTTAGTAACATGTAAGTCATCTTTTCATTTGGAATTATCCCATCACTAATTTTAAAATTTAACTCTGTTAGACAAAAATCAGATAATATTCTTTTCATATCTCCTTATTAGTGTTAAACTTCACCAAAATATAATTTTTTAAAAAGTTGATGTTGTTATATTTGCCATAAAATTTCCTTTCTATACATTTGTTTAAATTAATTGTACATTTATTAACTGGATAGCAAATATTATAAATTATTTCATACTGAATAATTGTCAAAATTCAAAATGGTGTATAGAAGGCATTATTTTCTCTTCCAATTTCTTAATTTTTTATGGTGAAGATAGTAATTATTAATCTTAATTATTATTCTGACTTACAAATTTCATAAATCTGGATTTTAATTGTAATCACATTATATTTTATATTCCTTTATTTTTCAGAGGTGCCCAATCTGTTTCCTATGTTTATAGGCTAGTCAAAGATTTCTATCACCCTGATGATGTGAAACTGAAGTAACCACATTTATTGTGGTGTTGAAGCTGGTTCATTTGGTTTTGGAATGAAATTTGGTCAAAGGAAACTAAAAATAAAATATTTATAAAAGAACCTGTAGTCTTATTTCGTCTTATTCAAATTAAACAACTGTGTTGTATGTTTTTGCACTTACAGTTTCAATTTATGAAAGTCCATAATACAATTTTCAAGAATCAAATAGTTAAGCACATGAGATGTCAATAAACAATTAAAAAGTGAACAATATTTTTGTGAACAATTTATTTTATATTAAACTTAAAAAAATATAATTCCATAAGTTAACACAGCAAGTCTGATTGTTGAAGATTTTCTACAGTTAAACCAAAACATAACTTTCTTTTTGTTGCCTGGTTAAAAATAATTTACAAATGACCATTGTGGTCTAGGAAATGAAGTCATTTTCCAAATTGCGTCAATTAAGTGGCAAAAGTCCTAAAAGTAGTTACCCTTATCAGAAAAAACTTTCTTTGTTAAACACTTCATTTTAATCAAAACCGCAACTGATGTGTATGTTTGTACCCAACAGTTTTACCACAATTAAAAGTCCTTGAAAACTATAGTATATATAAACTGTTGGTATTACAAAATAAAAGTGTATTTGTTATCCTATAGTTAATCCATAATTTAAAAACTAATTTCTCACAACTACAAAAATATTTTAAATTTGGAAAATAACTATTTGGGCTAAAAAATAAAGTTCAATTTAACCATTGTATTTAGAAAATAGGCATAAGAACAACTAGCTATCTAAATTTTCTAAACATTTAAAATATGATTACAGTAATGTAGATTATAGCCTACTTAGTACAAAAGCTGCATATAGGAAAAACTGTATATCAAAACATAGAATAACAACACCATAAAAAGGTGCTCATAAACTATTGCTTAAGCTGAAAAAAATCTGTATTTATAATTATTCAAATGGAAGTTGCATAGTAGTATTATAAAATGTGTAAACAGATGAACCAGTTTAAAGTATATCCAATAAAACTAATGATTTTTGTGAGAAGGCTAAAAACAAAGCCAAGGCAGAAATAGCTGGAATGTGACCAGGAAGAAGTAACAAGGAGAGGTTCCAACAGGGAAAAGAGAGACTACTACTTTTTACTGAGGTTCCAACAGGGAACAGAGAGACTACTACTTTTTACTGAGGTTCCAACAGGGAACAGAGAGACTACTACTTTTTACTGAGGTTCCAAAAGGAAACTGAGAGACTACTACTTTTACTGCAGCCTGACAAATCTTTGTTAGAACGTCAGAAATAGAACACATTCCAAGCATCTGCATCATTAATAATAATACTATTTGTATATTAGATACCTTAATTATAACCAAAAAAATTATAAAAAATTTGAAGACACTGTAAATAAATTTTAGAAGAGGCAGTAATGAACACTAGCTCAATTTAAATGGTGAATGAAAAAAAAATCTGGATATGTGTGAATGAGTGAGATATATCTTGAGCATAAGAAACTAAGGCAGTACTTGGCAAAACTACTTACTCTATGTGAACTTGTGTTTTTAAATGGCAGTTTTACTGAACACATTATTTTGTAACATTAACGAGTGGGCTGTAGTGTTGTAAACAAGCAAAAATATTAGTAAGGATTGTATAATCAGTTAAAATTATTGAAATATAACAGTTATTGACCATTCTAGGCCTATATTTTCTATGTAAGTATGTAGGTTTTCTAAAGCAATAATTTAAAACAAAAATACATAGATACTTTTAAAACACATTATTTCTAATCAAGTATAAGCATGTAGAACCCAAAAACAATGGCACACACGTTGTTTTATTATGATAGGGTTATTAAGTAAAAATGTAATTGCTAATTACAGCAAAAGCACATATTGCTATTTACATACTGTATATAAAAAGGGTATAAGAATCACATTCAAAATGAGCGTCTGAATATTCAAAAGCATTTGCAATAACACAACTCAAAATTACTTTAAAAATGTCATTAACAACCAATTAACACCAGAATATGTACATTATTTCTTACATTTTAAGGACGGTTGAATATAAGAAGATGCTAATTTTAGATATCACTTATGGTGAGTTAATAATTTTTCTTTTGTAATTTTTTCATGTAAAAATAAAAATAAATTAAAAATATAAAAAAGTTATGTACATATGGCTGGAATATTGTAAATGGCAGGAATTTTCATTACATCATTCATTGATTGTTAAATAGCTGCTTTTAAAATGTTACTTCTTTTATCATAGTTTTTTTAATAAAGCAGGGGGGAATTTATCTACAAGCAAATTTAAATAAAAGCAAGAACATATAAATTGAGCAAATATATAAAGCTTTCAAAAAAAAGCATTAAAAAGTTTCAAGTATTGCATTTTTAAACAGTTTATGTTAAACAAAGTATTTTTAAACAACATTTTAGTTTATGAAATCCGTAACAGTCTTAATAGGTAAAATATATTACACTTAGAAAAAATGCAAAAAGAAATCTTTCGAATTATTTACTTAGTCAACAAAAGAATAATTAAACATTTTATCTATTAACCATTTGTGCCCTACATATTTAAATCTGCACCATATCAAGCAAAAATTATAAGCAAATTTTTTATTCATATTTACACAGAAAAGGCATCTAGGTCTAGTTGAACATAGAAAATAATGAAGATGAATTCTTATAGAAATACATACTTAGATAAGATAAATAGTTAGATTTTGACTATCCTATTTTATTTTAAATTCTATCTTGGATAGCAGATACCAATCAATATTATCCAAGGTATTCTTTCACAGAAAATAAGGTCAATTTGATGTAGTTTTAAAGATAACAATACTTTAGTTACACAATTAAAAATGAAATATTTTTTAATAGAAAAAAGCTCCAATGTATATTCACAATTAAATAATGTATTGTTTCTTTATTTGGCATGGTTCTTAAAAAAATACAGTTATAATAAGCCATCAATTAATAATTAAATATATAAACGAGGTAAGAAACAAAATCTCTATACTCATTTAAAAAAACATGTATTTAAAGTAAAATATTCAAAAAGCTTCCATTAGAACGAATGCTGGTATTTTTTGCAGCAGTGAAATGAAACAAAAAGTTTCATTAACAACATCAAGAATTGTTGAACATTCTTTGATTTGGCTTGTTTAACTCTGTTAAAAACACCATAACTTATTACTTAAGAAGGACTTTTAGCACAGATGTATAAATCACTGATCCTTTATAATAAAAAGTGATTTAATTTACCACTGTAAGTTTTGGATCTGAAATATGAAAACAATATAAACTTGAGCCTTGTTGCCAAACATATTTACTGTGTGCCATTACATTTTTCAGTTTTAACAGAAAAAAACAAGAAAATAAACCATAACATTTGTGCAGTCTTAATGGTCTTGGCAAAGACCATTGAAAACATGTCATGTCATATTGTAAATAAGTTACAGAATTAGATATAATTATAATTTTTGTATTTGTAAGTACTTTTTACAGTATTTCCAGATACATTTTCTTATTAAATTACATTAATATTATTATTATAAATAAGAAATCACATATTAAAAATTAATTTTAATAGTTTTTTTCCATTTAAAAAGCCAATATTAATTGTTTTCTAAAAACAAATGAAATGATACACTTTAACATTTAGAGAGTTCAATCAAAGCTAGTGCAGAAATGTAACGATCCTTTTCTCTGTTTTTTGGTGCTATCCTGTAGCTAAGTGAGTGCCTTGTTTCTGACGTTTGTGTCTTGGGGCTGCTAGAATTACAGCTTGATTCACAGTGGTTGAAGCTATTTTCAGATTTCATAGGAACCAGTTCCTCGGCTGAGACAACAGGAGGCTTTAGTATTGAGAGATTGAGAGGAGAATCAGGTTCAGATTTAATGGGACTCACTGGTGAAGTTATGAAAGAATTATTAGGCTGTGGACTTAAACATAGCCCCATATCAGGTTTAGGTGTGGTATACATTGGAGTATTGAATGTGAATTCACTAAAATTTCCTGGGCTTACAGGAGATATGGGGATAGGCTCATATAAAACAGGACTTGCTGAGCTTAGTAGATGTTTGGAATGAACAGAATGAATTTGGTTTGAAAAATGTTTGCTTTTGCTGTGATCCAGTGCCCAATGGCTTTTACGTTTTTGTTGTGTAGAGTTAGCAAGTGGATATACTTCATGGTTAGAATGACACGTTGAAGATGGAATGATTCTAACTGTCTCCAAAGCTGGTAGTTTATACAGTGGAGGAGAGTTTATCATTTGGAAGTTAACAGCTGGGCGGTCCAGGTTATATTTTCTGTAGTCAATAGGCTTCACATCAGACAATGCTGATAAAGTCGACGATATTTGGCACGGTTCATTATAATGTCCTTGTAAAATCATCTGGCTGGAGTAGATATAATCTGTATCATCCGGCCTTGGTTCCGTACTTAACAGGGAAGAAGTGGATGACATGGATGACACACCAGAAGATGAGGATCCTGTTGATGATGCTGATGGTTGTCTTGGCAACTTAGGTATGGCTGTAGAGGCAGGAGGTGATGATAGAGGTGACAGGCTCCTGCTGGTGGACTGAACCAGAGATGTAGTAGAAGGTGTGCAGTGAGAAGTTATGTGAGGTAAAGACCAGCTCCTAGTAGCATTGCTGTTGTTTGGTATGATTTTTAACACACTGTCTTCCATGCTTTCTGTAGAAGATGTTCTTTTGAGGGGTGATTTAGGAATGATTCTTTCTTGACATTGTTTGATGTATCTAAATAAAATAAAACAAAGTTTGAGTTACAGTGTTATGTATATTACATATAGATATAATTACAATCATAGACTGTATAAGTAACAAACATAAACTAAAATATCAAAGTAATTTTAAAAATAAGGAGTTATTTTTGAAAATTAATTACCTGGTAATCCATTTTTTAATCTCTGGATTTAATTCTTCACTACATAACTTTGTGACATATGACAAATCCATCTCTTGGCGCTTTAGTCCAACAAATGGATGTTGACTGCAGTGGCGATTAGCATGGGTGAATCTACTTGCACACCCTAATGAAAAGATGCATGTTGACCACTGAAGCTTTCAGTCTACAAGTATTTCATATTTAAAATATTGAAATAAAACAAAATTTTATTTAAGAAAAAGTATTTAAAAAAATATTTTTACCATCCACAGCACAGGCAAAGGGCTTTTCTCCAGTGTGTAGCCTCTGGTGTGTTTTAAGCTGACCACTTTGGCAAAATGCTTTCGTACAGCCAGGATAATCACAAGTGTAAGGCCGTTCTCCTGTAGAATATAAAAATATTTATTGGTACAAAAATAAATCTAAGTGTAGATTGTTATAATATTATAATGAAATTGTTTTTGAAATCAAAGATATTACAAGGTTCTTTTTTTGTGATGCATTTTTTTCTACATTGTGATGAGTGTTAATGATATTTAAATGGTATGTAAAATGTTTAAAGTTTGTAATATAGAAGAAGGGGATAAATGGTATTTATTGTTTATTGAAGAGAAGTTGCATTTCTGGGACACAAGTGACCAACAATTAAGGCTTATGACATTTAGCTGACCAAAATAATCATAATGTCACAGATCTGCAATCCAAACCAGTTTAAAAAGAAGTATGCCTAGCATCATCAATGTGTCACTTGTAAATTGTATTTGTGTTGGATTTAACATGAGCTTATTGTGTTGCAAGTATACTGGGTATTTTTTTTTTACTAAAGTTTATGATGTCATTCTGATTGGACAGTTAGTTCAAGTCTTACATTTAAAAGTGGAAGATTATTATAGACTAGGGATGATTCTGCACATACATAGAAGAGTCTATATTAATATTTATTATTTAACTATATATTAAATTATATTATAAAATTATATGAAATATGCATGAACAAGTCAACATATTCTGGGGTAAAAACCTATTGCCTGCTTACAAATGTTTCACAGCTCTCAATATGAAATAGTTTGCCTGAATGTTTCTTAAACTCTACCCACAGGCATCACCTTCTAATAACTACTTTGTGTCAACAGGCATTAAACAAATTATTTACCACCAACATCAAGTGAATCAAGAGAATATATTTTGAATTGTTTCCCCTTTAGGAAGATATGTATCAGGGGAGATAAAAATCTAAAGATACATAACCTCAGCCTTAAGGGGGAAGGCTCCGGTAAAAAAAACCAATAATGAGAACCCCAACTAAAAGATTTTTACAAAAAGGCTTATAGGCTTATTAGCCCTGAAGGCCCTATAATATTTAGCATTAAAGGCATCCTTTAAATATAATAACATTTTTAAAAAATTAATACTTTAATAATGTTCGATGTTACTAATGTGACCTAACTTTAAAAATTTTTTTTTTTCCTTTAAAGTTTCGGTTAAGATTGAAAATTGTACAGATGAACTTAATGAACCATTTAGAAATAGACACGTTTTCCAGATTAGAATTGATTAATTATGTTTATAGCCAACGAGTAGTTAATACACGACTTTGCCAACTTTTTACACAACACCCCGCCGCCAATAGTCATACCCCCTAAAATGAACGTCACCCCCCCCCCCCCCGTTTCTTTCTATAACCATCAATCGAAGTTTCTTGCAAGGGGATATAACCAAGCTAGGTTGATTTTGGCGTCAGTATAAATTGAGCTATTTCCCTTTACAATTGAAATGAAATTTTTAAAAAATATCTAGTCTACTGATGCTGGCGAGTTCAATTTAGCCGAAAACATTGCCAATCGCCATTTGATACACATAGGAAACACGGGTCTATTTCCATTACAATTTCAATTAACAGCAAAAAGAATCCGAATTGCAAAATACCTGGTAAAAGTTTAATCTTTCTTAAACTTCCAGTTGCACACATCATTACCAAATTACGACCCATCCTTCCCCCTCCCCCCCACCCCAAACCCATCCAACCGAAGAAACAACGGGCAGATTATTAAAAGAATCTGCCTTTGTAAGTGTATTAAAACCATTTGTAATAGCATCGATATACTTACTATAACATCTTTTACGGTAGGTCAAATCTCAAATCGATAATCTGGGTAGCGGCATCAGAACCCCCTCCCCCCACCCAACACAAAAAAAAAACAAAAAAAAACTTCATTACAGCACTGTTTGTGAAGAGAGAAGTAGAAGTATATTGCAGCCGTGGCACTGCGGGCAAATGCCATGTGGAACGATATTTGCACAAGTATAGTCGATTATCGCCAACAGGACTATAAATAGAACTGTTACTGTAAAATCAAGGAAGTGCTTATTTTGGTTAACGGCTAAAGCATAAGTTGGTTGATGTTATGTTTAGATCGGGAATTTCGCGATGCGTCTCTAAGGCCATGTGTTTTTGTTAACAAAATCAATTGCTGTTCGTTTCTCTGCATCAGGCTTAAATGGAAATGAACCTTTAACTTAAAAAAAAAAAAAAAAAAAATTATCTTTTTACTTTAAGTCCAGCCGTTATCAGTGTCACGTGCTATTATTTTCAAACTGTTTTTTTTTTTACCTTGGAAGTTAATTTAAAAAAAAAATTAAATATTACATTATTGGAACATAAGGATTAGACTACTATCTTGCATATAAAAATCTTACAAGAAATAAATTAATTAAAGCAGTGTATGTTTACTATTTTCAAGGGGCTATTTTTTAAAGCGCATTCTTAATTTTTAAGCTAAGTGCAGCGGTTTTCCATTATTTAAAGGTCGGAGGCGGAGCTTAGTGACCCTTGAGGTTCCGATATACCAACCACTTGATTTGATTGATCGGCCCGAACGGGACTATACATGTTATTTCATGATCAAAGTTCTGAGCGTCGCGTTTTTGTTAAAACCCGTTAGGCCTAGGTTAAATTCCGCGAACGTATAACGTATCTTTAACTTTAAAAAAAATACAATTACATGTCCAAGCAAGTTAGTAAACAGGGCTTTGTCAACCACACTCTTTAAATACCTTCACTGAGGTATGAGATAACGGAAATAGTAATAAATAATAATAACGATTAATAGCAGTAAGATAAATGAACTGGAAATTTAACTGTATTTTAAATTAGACTGACTTTTTACTATTAGAATTATTATTGTGGTAGCTAAATAGGATAATTATTTATGTCACATAGACCTATGTTTGTTAACTGTTAAAAGTCATCAATAAATGTAATGCTAATTGTTGCCAATTCCCCCCCCCCCCCCCCCCATTGCCATCGTCACAAAAAGTCACTACCTCTCTCTCTATATATATATATTAGCCAGGCGTCACCCTTCAGCCTACCACCCTAAACAATGTAAATTTCTTTTAAACTATAAATTGGACTGCTTCAAGATTAGTGTTTTTATCAAGTTTTGTTTAATTTTAGAAGGAAGACTAAAAGCAATGCGAAACAACTGCTAATTTGATTAACTTTTATAACTTTTAAAAACGCCGAAGTGTGATACATTCTTACCCCCCCCTCCCAATTTTTTGTCACACATCGTCACACGGACCAGCCCCTCCTAGCTACACCAATGACTTGGAATCGTGTGATATAAACAATAGAGATATGTTATGATTTTCTTTACTTATTTTCGCAAAATGTCTGGTGGTCAACCATAAATGACGTCACGCTTTTTTGACGATTTTTACCCCCCCCCCCTCCCCTCCCTCACACGTCGTCACAAAAAGCCAGACCCCCCCCCCCCCCTAAAATGACGTCACACCTCAACCTACAACCCCCCTCAAAATTGCAGTTGAATTTTTTTTAAACATCGATATTTTTCCAAAATCTTGTCTAAACTATTACAATTTATTAAAACAGTTATCTAAAACGCAAAATAACGTCTAAAATTCGTTTTCTAACATTGCTTTTTTATAATGCAAAAATGTGACGTCGCAATATCTGAACCCCCCCCCCCTCCCCTCATCACACATCTCACAAAATAACGGACCCCCTCGCCCCTACGAGTGTGACGTCATTTATGGATGACCCCCTGTCATTTAGAATTATCGGATAGACCTGCTACGTCTGGAAATGTTGGATAACGTTAGGGCTTTTAGAGGGTGGGCTTAACATAATATATAGGCTAATAAGTGTACGATCTCACTATACGGCTTTGGGTCTTTTAAGCAATTTATTAAAAGACTGTATAAGACCTATTCGATTAACGAGCTCGTACAGTGTAGTATGCAAAAACAGATTAAAACAGAATAGGCTTCCTGCAATTTAATGGGGTTGGGGGGGGGGGGGGGGGGGGGGGGGGAAGGGGGGGAAGGGTCTATGGCCCAAACAGGGCGAAGAAAAATTAATTGACCACGCCATACAATCGTCGCAATTTAAAGAAATCTAGTTTTACTACAACAACGCAAATAAGTAGGCCTAAATCTAACTTTTAATCGTGATATTTTACACGTGTGAGTTGCTTTTGGACTTACACACGTACTCTAGTTTACACATTGATTAATTAACACTCGATGACTTCCCCTTACTATTACTCACATCACATAGAATAACGCCTTTCTCTCCCACTAACATAAATAACATACAATGATTTACTATAATTTTAAGATGTGAAAAAAAAGTGTTGAGCGAACGCTTTTCGTTTAAAATTAACTATGGCTTATTTTTCCTTTTGAGATTGAGTAATGCGTAGGTTTTGACAAAAACAACACGTAATATATTTATACGGTTTAAACTGCATCGATCTATTTATACTCGCAGGTTTCCTATGCAAGAACGGTTAATCATGCAATGGCCTATATACATGAATTATCAAAAGATTGATCTTTTAGATACCGATAGAAATGAAGGAACAAATAGCTATATAAAAGTTACCATTATGAACAAGCCACGAGAATAAGTTGGAGCATGTTTAATGGGGCCGAGGTACGAAATTGTGGTAAAAAAACACTTAAGAAATCACGAAGATAAAAAAAGCAGTTTTTAAAATTCAATAGTGATTGTACAATCGGGATTTCGCGAAAAACGTTTTACTTGCTGCATAGCGTTTGCAGTGTTGCACTAGATTTTAAACGTGTTGCGGTCACATAGCAACCACCAAAACGTGTAATATTATTATTACTATTATTAATTATCATTATATTATACGGAATTGTCTGCGTTACATACGATTAAATGCACGCACATACTCTATTTAGGGCACACTCTTAAACTGAAGGGCTGTCCATGAATGATGTCACATCATTCATAATGTCACAATAAGTAATCCCCTCCCACCCAAATAAAAAAAAAAAAAAAAAAAAAACGCCACAAAGTTGTTTAACTTAACCTTAATTCTACCAAACAATTTTTTTTTTAAATCGCAAAGGTATAATATAGCCTGTAATGTTCAATTTCGTAACCTCCTCCCCCCCCCCCCACATATACCGTAAAATATCACCAAACAAAAAGAAAACCATATGCGCGTGGCGTTATTTGGGGGAGGCCCAGACATATATCGTTAAAGTGAGCAGCCATATATAAAAGTGGGTCCCATAGGGTCCCGTAATGTTTTTTTTGTTTTGTGGAGTCACTTTAGTCACAGCCTAACATAGAAGAAGTCATTGAAAGCTAAACGACTAATTTTATTACACATAATATTACTTCATGCGTAGTAATTTAACTATTATTTTTAACGTAAGCTAAGCTGATTTAGTAGTAATTTCTCTCAATAATAGTTCGTCGGTCTAGTTATGGTTAGGCTGAGGAGTTATGGAACAACATTCACACTACAAACGCCCTAGTCCATCTTTGATAGCTGAAATGGAAAAAGTACTTCTCTTAAAAGCAAGCTAATTAGCTAAATTATTTGCCACTTCTAATTGTTATCTTTTCACAGATAGCAATGTAAAAGTACTTACACGTTGGAAACACCCAAGAACATCAGAACTACATTTATTTTCATCCCCATGCTAGATGCGAACTCGTGTCCGTAAGGTATCACTGAGTTCACCCAGCTCTGATGGGTACCTGACTCACGGACTTCCGTTACGGAAAATAGGCAGCTGAGCAAACAACTGACCACACTATTACTTTCTTTACCGATTTCACAGAAACATGTGAACTCTACTTCATCTGTCATATAAACCGCCATGTCCTAAAGGTAACTTTACTTTTACCATGCTGGGCGGAAGAGCATTTAATTAAAATCAAAGTTCAAAAAAAGTAATGTTCACTCAAGTAGACAATCTGGTACATGCACACCTAAATTAGCACTCAGCCAGAAAGAAATAAAGCGAGAGTGATATCCCTTACAGTGTTTCTTCCAGACTTTTTTCTCCGGGGGGGGGGGGGCACTTGAAATTTTCGAAGGGGGGGGGGGGCGAAAACTGTTAAAAGTATATATTTTCTATATAAATTTCATTTCGTTCGGGGGAGGGGGGGGGGGGGTGCGGTAGACTTACTTCGAGGGGGACCCCCCCCCCCCCCCCCGAAGAGATGCCTGGAAGAAACTCTGATCCCTTAAACCAGTTGCGTCGCTAGGTCGGGTGTCGCCCGGTGCGGTTCTCCGTGGTGTCACCCCCCACCAAGAAACAAAGTATGTGTGTGTCGGCCTACATAGGCTTATAATTTCAACATATGCCGCATACATGTACATGTATAAGCTTTGATCATAGTAACGATGCTTATCTATAACTTGTTAATAATACAGTTGGATGTAACATTGTTTCTCTATAGTTAGCACGTTTACGTCATGGTGTCACCCCCCCACACTCTTGTAATAGTTGTCGTTTTGTACTTAAAAAGACTATTTAACTTTAATTAATCATTAAGGAACTGGCAAAAAAGCATTTTTCTTCTGTACTGTTTGCATTTTTTTTGCCATGGTGTCACCCGGTGCGGTCCGCACCCCACGCCCCGCCCTTGATACTTCTCTGCCCTTAACTTTATCGTATATTCTTATATAACAGTAGGGTAATAGTACTTCCAGTATATATATCGCCTAGATAGTTCTAGATTAACCTATATCAATAAAATATTTCCTTTGTAAAAATTTACAATGGTAAGGTTTGTCGCGATTACTATACTGGTATTTCCAAATATAACGTGTCAATATTTTTTGTTACATTGTTTTACTAAAAAGACCACGGCATGTGTGAAGTGTGTCACATAAATCAATCGATGACTTACTTAAACTTAAACTCTAGGCCTACACGCTTCCTGATTGGAACACATCACTGATTTAAATAATTATCCAGAGTTAAGTCCCCTTAACATCCCGAGGGCAGTATGCCTGTTTCCCGAAAAAAATAATCAACTGGCAAATTTAATTATTTTTCTGTCACACACGCTAACAGTGAGTGATGACTAATTATATTGACATTTACAGATTGAGGTGGCGATCGACATTACTAGTGTGTGTGTGGGGGGGGGGGGGTATTTTGTGCACGTGCGAATAAATTCGATAACAATAGCAACATGTGTGTATTGTGTGCATTAAAGCAAATTACAAATCCTTTTAATTCATCGAAATTTTATGTGTGTGCGTAGAATTTTTTAAATACTTTTTTTAATTAACTACGCTTAGAAATTACACCAGAAGTATCGCAACTAACATTAAGGATAATGTTATTTTCAATTTACTATTCATGAGGTTCTGTTAAGAGGCAAATATTTCTTTGCGATTTTGTGGAGATTTTCATATTATTTTCTCAAGCGTAAAAAAGTTATAACTAAGTTTGAGCCAGCCTTTAACATTCGCAATGGCATATGGGAATTTAGCCAATGCGCGTGAAATAAGGCAGACGCACAAAGATGTATCACTGCCAGAATCTGAAGAAATTAGCAGACCGCTAGACTGGGTGCAGCGGAGTTTGAATGAAAATTTCAACCCTCAATCACACCCTCGCCCCAAAAACACCAGAAGATAACGAAAATATTTTAATAATGTTTTTTTTTTGTAATAGTATTTAAAATTCATCGGCCTATTAACACAAATCACAAATGAGTGGGTAGTTCCTACAACTCCTAGTAGCCCAATAATGTTTGAATAAAATTAGTCTTGGTTGAGTCAATCCGCATCATGCGTTTCGGTAGAATAAAAAACACGTTACTTAAAAAATTCAAACAATTTAAATTAATTAGATAGGCCTACTAGGAAGACTAACCTGTGTGTGTCCTCAAATGAGCTTGTAAGGATTTTTCTCTTGGGAAAACACGTCCACATTTATTGCATCGTATCCTAGATCTGGATGAGGACCCTTCAACCATTAGAGCTGTTAAAACATCAGCTCTTGGTCGGCCGCGTTTTCCTTGGTCTTTTTCTTTTCTGCTTACATGTATGGTATTTTGGCTCACGCTTTCGCCTAGATTAGCGCCTGTCACGTGGATCTCTGAATTTATATTTTTTGAGTTTGTAGCTAAAGTCGGTGCTTTTGGACTTAAGTCGAGAGGATGCATTTTAAATCGCATATGAAGAAACTGTTAAGCGAATTATGGTCAGCTCCTGTCAGCTCTGATTTTGTTGTATGTTCCATACCTCATTTTGTTTTCATGCCTAAGCCTGTTGGGCTAACATTACTGGGCCCCGCTTTCATATTTAAAAATAGATCGGGAAAATACCCACACACTAGTAATGCATCCGACCCTACTCCTCCCCCATTATTGATTTTTACTGGGATGTATCGTTAGCCTAGAAAATTTCTAATAGACAAAATTCAAACTTTGCAATATTTATATGTAATATTTGTTTTTAACATAAACTTAAAGTTAGTTTCAATAAATAAACACCTTTTTAGTTTTTTGCTATAGTACAGATTAGCTCAAAAAAGGTAATATCAGTCCGCTTTTCCAAATTTGGTCGATTTACATCACCGGAAGTAGAGTAACAAAATTCACCTTGCATGCGCATTATTTTGTGCGCGAAGCACGCCATCTTGCTGAACTGAAGTCTTACAGGGGAAAAGGCCGTAAGGTCCAAATCTAAAAACATCCTCTCATCCAAAGAGGAAAATGGACCATCAATACGGCATAGCAGTTAACAACAAATTTGCGCTCTTCCTGGACGAAGATGAAGACCCCTTAGAGGTCTTATCAAGACAGGAGGAGCAGGCTAAGAACAAGAAAAAAGACGATGGGGAAAAGAAGCCGTCAAAATCGAAACAGAAGAAGCCTGCTGTACCTGAGACAAAAGCTAAAGTGCCTGAGCAGCCGGTAGTAAAAAAGGAAGGTAAGTTAAAAATTCACCAGTGTGTGTATTTTCTTGTTTGCATTTGTATATTTTGTAATTTAAAAATTTACACGATGTCTGCTTAAAGATGGCAGCTCGACCAGCATGGTCGACCAACCTGTAAACTGCCATGTGACAGTTAAGGGGCATACCCAATCAGTCTTACAAGAGTCGGCTAGATTAAACAGTTCACTTAAAACATATTTTTTGCGTTCTTTGTGAGAAAACCCATTTTGTGGAACTAAAGACAGCTAGGAAAAGTTGATTCTTCCTTGATTTACTTTTTTCCACCTAAAGACTAGAATCAAGAACCTATCCTAATCTACTGCTAAATCTAGAATCTAGTGTATATTCCTCTAGAAAAAAGCTTGCCAGATTCTAAACCCAGACGCTAGATCTACATAGTGCTACTGCTACTACTAAGCTAATTTGGACTTATCTTTTCCTGTTGTTTTCCACAAAACTGGCTTGTTACAGTAAATATTCAATTGCAAACTTCTCCAGCTTTAGTATTTTCTTAGTAACACACCAATAACTCCCAAGTCTTCAGGTGGAAAATTATTTTTCATAATCTAAATTGTATTGCTTTGTCAGATCAATAGACCTACTTTGCAGGAAATTATGTGTAAGCCTATTCTTAGTATACCTGTGATCCTTAGGCATTAAGTTTGCCTACTGTTGATTCTAACTATCCGTACCAAATGTATAAGCCATGCTGTTATATGGTGGTAAAACAACCAATGACAATTTGCAATGACAGAATGACCTAGAGGGTTTGCTGGCATTGATAGTATTTTGGGATTATTAGGAAATTACACTACAATGAGCCTAAGTTTTTATGCAGTTGGTTAACTATACATTTATTGTATTAGACTTTTTTTTTTCTAAAAATAAATGCATGAGTTTATCAATGCATATTATATGTAGTAGTTGGACTAATTGTTAATATTAATGAAAACAAATTTTTGCAGAAAAAACCACACCTGCACGGCAGAATGAGAGAGGCCGTGGTGGGAACAGAAACAGAGAGCCACGTGAAATTAGGGACAATGAGAATGATAAGCGTCCACCCCGAAGGCAGGCCCCTAAAGAAAATCGTGAAGTGAGAGTAGGTGATGAGAATGTGCCCCCTGAATTTAGGTATTGTTTTTTTTTTAATCTAAGATAAAGTTCTATCTGTTATTCTCATTTTGACCTATTTAACCTAGTTAGTGATCTTGTTTATTTGACAGGGAAAGACCAGACACTGGCTTCCGTAGAAGAGAAGATCGTGGTGATAGAGAAGGTGGATTTGGTGGAGAAAGAGGACGGGGTCGTGGAAGAGGCAGGGGCAGAGGTGGTCGAGGGAGTGATAGAGGAGGCTTTAGTGGACCTCGTGGTGGCTTTGGTGAGCGATTGGATAGGAAGAGGGAGTTTGATCGCCACAGCGGAACCGACAAAACGTGAGTACATTTTATAGAATACTGGCCATGGTTCTTAATTTATGGATATGAATCACAAATTCAAGTACAAAAATAAGTGCATGTTTTGTCCAGTACATTTGACTAAAAGTAAAAAAAATTTGTTCTGTTGCCATGATTTATTGATCTACGATGCTGTAACAAATTCTATTTAGTATTTACCCAATTTTCAAACTGCTTACTTTGCATGATTTCCTGAGGGAAGACATACTGAAAATGTAATACTCAAGCTCTACCTAATTTTTTTTTTACAGTGGTGTCAAGCCTGTAGAAAAAAAAGAAGGTGGGGGCTCTTACAATTGGGGAAATTTCAAGGATGACCTAGAGTATGTACTAAATAAAATTTGTTTAAAATGAGTATTAGTTATCTGGTAGCTTGAAATGATGAAATTTATATTAAGACTTTAATGGTTACATTTACCGGATACTGATCAAGCAAGTTATTTTAAATAAAACTAAGTTGTGTGTGTTGGTATTCTTTGACTAATTTCTCAAAATTTGTTTAGGGAGTCTGCACCACAGACTGAGGCCAATGAGTGGGCTAATCAGCCAGAGCCAGGGAATGAAAACCCTGATCTCAAGTAAGTAGGCTATGTTTATAAGATCAGCGATAAGCTTTTTCTTCTATCGTTAATAGTATGTATTTCATTACCCTTGTAATGCAACTTTCAGTGAGGCTGTTGAAGGTGAGCAAGCTCCTGTAGGAGAGGCTTCGTCAAATGAAATGACATTGGATGAATGGAAAGCTTTGCAGACTCAAAATAAACCCAAGGCAGAGTTCAACATCAGACAGCCTGGGGAAGGTGAAGACGGATCTAGATGGTCTAAGGGTCGCGAGTATCATAAAAAGCATGAGGAGGAAGAAGAAGAGGAAGAAGAATCCGAGGAAGAGGATGAGGTAATGTTATGGTTTAGCCTTTTTCATGTTAATGTCCAGCCTATTTTTAGAAATTTAGGTTAAAGTAAATGTTTACCTGTTACTAAATTTGTGTACATTTTTTTAAACAGGAGGATCGCCATGCTCGTGGCAAGCATTTGGTGACAGATATTCGCATTACCTTTAATGATCCTCCAAGGCGAGGTCGTGGTAGGCGTGGAGGCAGAGCCGGTATGGAGAGGGGCGGCATAGAAAGAGGTGGTCGTGGATCCCGCGGAGGTACAAAAGGTATGGGTGGCAAGCCCAGAGAATCAGCCCCACGATTCGATGATGAAGCTGATTTCCCTTCTCTTGTGAAGTCTGCTGCCTAATGGGCAATGAAACCAATGTTAAATTGTTCAGTTTTTACACTGGATAGGCTTAGTTCAAGGACATCTTAATATTGGTGTACAAGAATTATTTTATTTTCATAATCTAGGGAAATTCGTTTCTCTAGTGCATCTGCAGATTCCTTTAAAACTCTTTGTAAATATGGTGACGACTGCCATGGAAAATTGGTCTTTGTTGACACTTCGCCGAGAATGTTTTTCACTTTGATAATGTGTTGCAAGTAAACTTTTGCATAAATATAGTTCATTACCTCTTATGTGAGTGGCAGACATGTATCAGACCAGTTAGTGTGCCAGGTATAGTGGTCATATACTAAGTACATGACCTGGTTTAAATTTTTTGCCAGGGCAAAATACCTGGATAAGACAAAGACAGTAACCACTGATGACAGTTTTTTAAGGTGTTCTATTGTCAGGAAGTGTCCATTTTTTCGCTTATTCCATGCATCATGTACATTTTTGCTCCATATACACTTCAGTGTAAGTGCACACTGTTATTTCTAAGAATGTTTATTGTATGACTAAAACACATCCATCTCATTTGTCAGTTCATTCATCACAGACTGCCATTGTTCTCGTTTTATTGGTTCTTATCATGTACTGTATTTATTTGAACCAAACAAGATAGGTTTTTTTTAAGGTAGTTTTTAAAAGTTAGTATTTAATGATGGTAGATTTATCAAAATGTTTCAAAATGTTCTAAGCAGTTAAATTGCTAACATCTTATGTTTTAGTTGATTTTAAGATTTTACTTTTTCAAAATTCTTATTAATGGAGAGAATCACTTGTGGCTTTTAATTTTCCTCACATTTATAATAAAAGAACTTGCAACATTGCCAAAGTGCTGCTGTCTCTAAGAAGTGAGATTCTGCATGGGTATGCTGTGTGGATGGTTTTGTTTTGCGAGATCTCAGTCTTGCATGTGGTATAAATTTTGACAGAACAGAATGTTGCCTTCAAGGTTGTCTGTGTATTTGTGTGATTTGTTTTTGAAACAAATTAAATTAAAAAAAAATATCCCTTTTCCTTCATTTCTTCAGTTATTTTTCTAAATGTTGTTTACTATGCAAGGTGAAATATTTTCCCATAAACACATTTAGAAATTTTCATTTCTTTATTTGAAACATTTCTAATAAAATCTCTTAAAAAGTATCACATTTTACACTATTTGCATCTGCACAAAAGATCTTATTTATATGTCAATGCAATGAGTTGACTGTTCAATTAAACCTTATAATCATAAAATGAGAATTCCAGTAAATTGCTACATATCCCATTTAATGAAATAGGAACACTTGCTATATATGTAATTTCATAATGTTACTGATAGCAGTGAAAGAAACCAGAACATTAACAAAGCTTTTGTATCCAAGTATAACAAGAGAACACATGATTCAAGTTGTTGAATCTGAATTAATAGTTCATTCTTAGTTCATTTAGAATTCACTAGCGCAGCAGACGTCATCCACTTGAATTTAAGACGTACTCGACGTGAATTAATACTCTATCCCAATGATGAATATTTGTCGCAGAGGAAATCTTTTGAGCATTGACTTTAACTTTAAATTTATAGTTAAAGATCTATCTAGATCTAAAAATCTACACTAAGTAAGTACATACTAAAAAATGCAGCTAGGCCTGAATGTTTTGTATCCGTATTTTTAAATAGACATCAAATATAAAGTTATAGTCTTAGATAAACAAAAATATGAAATTTCACCTCCCCCCACCCCCTCCTTCCTATGCGGTTGTCATAAAAATAAATTTTTTATCATCACTGGATTTCTGTAGTATAGTAATAGTCTTATTCTTACAGCCGAATTAAATATTATTTTTTAAATATTTGACGTAAAAAAAAATTAATGCAGTTCATATAAAATAAACGCGAATTGCGCTCGGAAACATAATCGTTTTCAGTGCGTTTCCGGTTAGGGTAGGGCCTAGTCTAAAAATGAATTTTAAAAGTTCTATCTAGATCTAGATCTAGATTCTACTTCTAGATTAGATTCCAAATCAGTGTAAAGTATTTTAGATTTTACTACTGGATTTACCCGGTAATCTCACGATATAGCGTCGGAAATTATCTGGTAATGTTTGTTGAGTTTCAGTAACATTCGTAAACCATAGAGGGTAATCTATCGTTTTAGGTACGTAAAATCGCCCGCGACTAGTAATGTGAAAAACAGGTAACTCCTTACATTTTAATAATTATTTCACATTTTGAGGAGGATTTATGTTTTGTAAAATACAAAAATGTTTCCTTGTTTCATTTATGTACCAGTTTTTAAACAATTGAACTAAAACTTTTCACTAATAAATGAACACCAGCGATGTTTTCAACAGATGCAACCATGCTCATTTACTATAACTATAACAGCCATCTTGTTAAAGTTTTATTTTTATAGACTTATAGCGCGACATTCAGGCGGAAGTCACTCTATTTTAGTATTTTACAAATGGCTGCTGTTTATATAGCAAATCTTGCTTGCAGACACTGCTGTTTAAAGTTAATTTCTGGCCTATATTGATATATTTAGCCATTGATTTAGATTTATTATTCATTTATCTATAATATTTGACACAAACATATCACAATATACTTCTATTACAGCCTTAATAATGAGGTAACGTTTTCGTACATTAATAGCCGCGGGCGATTTTACGTACCCAAAACGATAGATTACCAACCATAGATCTATAATCATCCCTAGATTATAGTTTATAGTAAGTTAAAGTTTGTTAATAAAATCTAAAAACAGGTAGGTAGGCATACATATTAATTATTATATTACATAAATGAAACAAGGAAACATTTTTGTATTTTTCAAAACATAAATCCTCCTCAAAATGTGTAATAATTATTAAAATTTAAAGAGTCACCTGTTTTTCACATTACTAGTCGCGGGCGATTTTACGTACCTAAAACTAAAAACGACAGATTACCGTTTATTTGACTGTTGAAATAAAGTCTAGATGGAGAAGTGATTTGTGCAGCATTATTAAAATTCATTAAATTATTTAATCTATCGCTAGTTTTAGGTACGAAAAATCAGCTGAGACTAGTAATGTGAAATAAAGGTGACTCTGCGTAGGCGCACAATTATAAAATTTTCAAATAAGTATTTTTAAATGCATTTTTAAAAAATGAGCATCTCTACCAAGATATTAATAAATTATTTAATTTAAAAGTGGTTTATTAAAAATCATTTAAAAAAAAATATACCACTTGATATATTCAATAATTTAACTCAAACGTCATAGTAATAGTAAAAATAAAAGAAACTGGCTGAGTAAAAAAGAATAAACATTCTTAATTCCTTGGTAAACGGTATAATAGAGACAGCTCAGTACAGTGCAACATATATGAGTGTTTTTGACATATTGGAAGCATGTCATTTAAGAGATAATCTTTGGGTGTCGTTAGATAACTGAACATAGCTAGCGCAAAACAAACAGCAACGTTATCAAGAATCGAGCATTTCACACAGCTACGTAGACAGACGCTAGGCACGAGGGTTTCTGTCCGACTTTTGCCTCCAGTTTTAAATAAGACATCTTGCCACCTGGTTTTGAACGTGATAGACAGCTTGGTTGTGGGATGACCTACGGTCACCAGGTCGGGTACCGATCTATCAGTTTAGTTAGTGGGCGTAATACATACTAGACCACACTGTCCAGTTGTGATAACATTTAACAAAATCTTGGGGATATCGGGTCTGCAAAAACGTCTTACAACAATGAGGATAAGCTATGGATGGGGGAGGGGAATGTGTGTAAAAAAAAAGAGTGCCTTTATTTGTGGATGATGAAAGACAGATTCAATTCCGTACCACGTTTAGAAAAGCAAAAGGTACCCCAGTACTACATAGCTAACTTATAAACCATACTTTACATACTTTCAACTTCATTTTAGATGTAGTATTCGAAAAAATCAACCACAATAACTTAACAAAAGCAACTCAATTAGCACCTGACTCAAAGGTCTTTAACTCAGAAAGTCTCCCTCCCCCTCCTCATGCAATCGTTATTTGAGTGTGAGTGGGTATCAAGCAAATAAATATAGGCGTTTGTTGTTTACAAGGGTATATTTTATTCTTTAGCAAGATAAACTAATGGGATATGAAATAAATGAAGACTATCAGTGTACACATTCAGCTTGTTACAATAGAATGAACACTCTCGTAAAAACTAAAATGTGGTGTTTTAACTAATATTTCTTATATTAATAAGTCTACTTAGTGAATTTAACCACTATTCAATTAATAATTTCGACCTTTGGCTTATAATGTTTAAGACAGCTTAGATACATCTTTATTTTACATTTTAAATAGACCTAATGGCCTAATAATATAAAACAAATATAACGGAATACGAAAGCGGAGTAAGGTAGAATCAATATCGCCAATACTTAGGCCTACGGTATCTATTTTGTTAGTCGGGGTTTACAGCTTGTGAACGTCTGAAGAAGAAAGTAAAAACATTTGTGAAAATAACAGTAAAAATTTACCGACTCACACTAAATTCAAATTAAGTCTGAATGTTTTCTTATTTTAATTGATCAAAATACCAACGGATATAGCGACAAAACATTAGCGATACCGTTTTTCTCGATTTTTAGATTTAAGCCTCTACTATAATGCATTATGAAAAAGGTGATTTTCGTAGTTAAAAAATTAAACTAAAAATCGTATAGTCTTACTCAAATCGAACCTAGTGTCATTATTTTTAGTTTTAAATCATTATATGTATAAGTTAATTTCAACTTTGTGTTGAGTTATCGTATACCTTATTCAATCATTAGTAGCACGTAGTACAGACCGCAACATATTAGCTCAATTCATACAACTTTTACTATTTTAAAAAGGTTAATTTATTATCTTTCAATCCTCTCATTTACTAGTTTAATTATTAAAATTCTTTAAGAAAAAAAATGTATAAAAATTGGTGACATAATTCATATAAAACGAAGGAACATGAAAATGCGGTATCGATACAGCTAATAGGGTACCTAGTTTGTGAGACATATTGCATAGTCTGCTAAACGGATAAACCTAAAATAAGTATGCTTGTTAGAAAGCTTAATAAAAAATGAAGATAATCCTACTAAAAACAGAGTTATTCTCAATGTTCTACTATTTTATGTAAATTTTTGAAAACTCACCTTTTAAACTCAATATGAGATTAAGTAAAAAGTTGAAACAAAAATTATACGACGGTAACGGCCAATAAGCGCATTCTACCGTTTTTTAAATGGTTAACATAGCAATGCGAACGACTACATTTGAATTAGATTTTATTGTGCACGAAAGGTTTAGAGCCTGTGACGTCATATTTTATTTACTTGTGCAACTAGCTATATTAAAGACTAGCGATGTTTTCATCAGATGCAACCGAGCTAATTTACTTTAGAAGCCATCTTGATAAGTTTTTTTTGGGTAAAATTATAGTTAGAGATTCAGGGGAAACCACTCTGACTTACATATGGAGGTTTTTATATAGCAAATCCTGCTAGCAAACACTGCTGTTTAAAGTTAATTTGTTGCATAGGCCTATATTGATATATTTAGCCTTTGATTTTAGTTTATTATTCAGTTATCTATAATATATTTGACACAAGTATATCACAATATACTTCTATTAAAGCCTTGACATTGAGGAAACTTTTTCGCACATTACTAGCCTCTGCCGATTTTACGCACCTAAAATGATAGATTAGCCATATTTCTCTTAGAGAGGTTGTCAAATTAAGCTCTTCATGAATGTGATTGTAATATCAGTAAAACTAAAACTGTTCAGTGATGATTTAATGAAACTGGGGATAAGTAAAGGCAGTAAAGCAATCTAAGCTTTTTATTTATTTATAGTATAGGCTGTCATTGTCACTTATTTTCCTAGTGCTATTAAAATGTAACAATTTATCTATATATAGATCTATATGATTTTAACTTAGGCCGATTCTAGCCGGAAGAAGATATGCATTGCAGGCCGAAGAAATGCGCATATCGCTACAATGACCTGGTTTTTCTTGTATCTATATGTTCGTTGTTTAGTCCTATCTATGTGTTGTCTTGATGGGACATGGATTAACTCGATCAATACTTAAAGACTTATATAGAAGATTTAAATCGGCTATTAAAATAGATTTTTAAAAATATTGTATACTTCACTTATTGAGTAGACTCCTATCTAGCTATCTACTATTACTTAATACTATGAACCTTCAACCCCTGACGACCTGCCCAAAGCACAACTGTTTGAACACACAGTACAGATAGTTTTGTCAGAATAATAAGGCTAAAAAGAAAATTTGATCCCATTGCACAGCCATTAAAGGATAATTTGAGCCCATTGTGCAGCTATTAATAGTATTTAATTTGAGTCAATTGCACATCTATTAAGGTCATTGCATTTTTCATCTTCGTTAGTTATTATATATAGGCCTATTATATTGTATTTACCTGCTAATTATAACTTTAAATGTGGCAAATATAAATGTGCTTATATCTGTACACAGACTAGAAAATGGATTCTGGCCACTCAATTATCATCAAGCGTGTACTCTCAGCACTTTTTTATGGAGTATCATCTATGCTTATAGTAATTGTGAACAAACTTGTTTTAACATCTTATGGGTAAGTAAATTGCTAGTTGTCGTCTACAGTTTAATCTGAAAAAACACATAGCTCTATATACTTAAAGTGATTTCATATTATTTTCTGGAACTTGTGAAATACATTGTTTTATTATTTGTCAACATTGTGTTTATTTCAGTTTTCCCTCATTTCAAGTGCTAGGATTAGGGCAGGTTAGTTCACAATGTTGATATAAAACAAAATTGTCATTGAAACAAGAAAACCTTTTTTTTTGTTAAGAAATAAAACAAAATTGTCATTGAAACAAAGTCTGTCACAGCATTTCTGTAATAATTGTTTTATTCCTTTCAGATAATCTCAGGAATCTGTGTTTTACATGCTGCCAAAGTATTCAGACTGGTTAATTTTCCTGACTTGTCCATGGACACTATAGGAAAGGTAAATGTAATGCTTTTAAAAGAAGATCGTAAGTAGATTAGTAACTGGTATTGACTAGCAATGCATGTTTCTGTCTATGAGGAACTAATCTAGGATATGTATGAAGATTCTATCCAGTGTTTCTTATTTATGAGGATATATTTATCTTTTTAATAAGGATATATGTTTCTTTTTATGAAGATATATTTACTGGATATGCTTGTAAATTTTCAAGAAATAACACTTGACTTCTGCTAACAGGTTTGGCCACTACCTGTTATATACTTAGCAAACTTAATTTTTGGGCTTGGAGGGACAAAAAAACTAAGGTAAGGTTTGTTTCTGTGTTGTCTTTGCTTGTTTTAGTGTTTTGCTGTTTGCTGTACTGTTTTGCTGCTAGTTTTGCTGTTGTCTTTTACTGCTGTGCCTTGCTGAAGTAACAGTGATGTAGTATTGCTCTTCATACTTCTCTTAGATGTTGAAATTAGTCAATTGGATATGTAATCAATCATCTCCCTTTGGCTTTTTTGTTATGGTCTTGGTCTGACTGCCTAATGACCATTCTATTACTAGGGTCAATTAATGATACTTGTAAGCATATGTTGTATAATTTTTTACCTGATAGATGATCCAGGTTTCACTCAGCTAACTTGGGGTAGTCTATAAATTAAATGACATCACTTTTTTTTACTCACCCCTACCATTCATTGTCATGCAACATCACAAAAATGAGTCCCCCCACGACTACCTAATAATAATTTTGTTTTTTGAAGCTGCGATTTCTTAATAAAATATTAGCTGTACTATATCAATATTAGGTATATACATCAATTTTTAATTTTCAGTTTATTAGAAAGGCTTTAACATTTCACAATAACTGACAAAATCTAGTTTAAAAGGTTGCTGTAAAAGAGTGACGTCACACTTTCTGACCCTCTTCCTTTCCCTTATCACACAGCATCTGAATTCCTAATCTCCCTAAGTGTGTGATGATATTTGTGGATGACCATCTATCATGACATATACTAGAGTAGTACTTGATTCTTTGACTTTCAGGACTGTCTCACTGTTCCATGTTATGCAGATAAAATGATACATTTTTATTCTCCAGCCTGCCAATGTTTACAGTCCTGCGTAGATTCTCTATTTTATTTACAATGATAGCTGAATATTACATTTTGAAGTAAGTTTCTTCTCTGCCTTGAAATTCACATTATAAATTCTTAAAACAATCTTAATCGCTAGGAATACTTACTTGAAGCATTTTTTATTTTTAATACAATTAAAAAAATGTGTAGGCCTGCACAATACTAGTTCTGTTTATTTTGTTCCAGTGTGCGAGCCAGTAGATTTGTACAGTTTACAGTTTACCTCATGATACTTGGTGCAGTGATAGCAGCAGGGTACAGTGCTCTTTATTAACTTTTTCAAAATGAGAGATGTATGATTGCACTGGAAAAATCAAACTTTATGTATATATTATATGAAATAGGCCTAGATGAATTTTCAATATTGTCAAATCGGTTGCAGTTTTTATTAAATTACATATTTATTTGTTTTACTTACTAACTGGTTTGCCCCTATAGCTGTACGGTTAACAGTTTTTATTGATTCAATCCTGGGCAACTCATTTAAACTATTTTTTTCTATTAACAACTTTGAATAAACTAATTATGTTGTGTTTTTATACAGAGCTGATCTCGCCTTTGATTTGATGGGATATTCATTTATTTTATTAAATGATTTGGCAACAGCTGCTAATGGTGTTTACACTAAGCAGAAATTGGATGCTAAGGTTTGTTTGCAGTTGTATTGACACTCCAGTTTACTTTGATAAACATCTTTTTTAGACCTAATAGCCAGAGTATTAGAGTTGTTTGTGTGGCCAAATTAATGCCCAACTACTTTTTAATTTAGCACTCATGTCATGCCCACAGTGGTGTTAATTAGACTCCAAACCTGATATAGAGTCAAATCTAGGTACAATTTGTCAATAGGTTTTAAACTTTTTCAAAACTTTGGAGTTATTTGTGCTCCTTACTCCTTGGCCGCACAACTGTACTTACTAGTGTAATAATGCTTTACACTTTTAACATTGATATCATTTAACCTAAAAAAATAATACATATTTGTTTGTTTAATTTTTTCACAAACAACTTAAAAATCCTCTTATACCTAGCAAGACGAAAGACACTTCAATGAATTAATCACACAAGAACCAACATCAACTTACCCATAACATTTCCAGCTCTTTATTTGTTGAGAATGTATAAGCTCCCTTACTCTGTTACCAACATAGACATAACACAATCTTCTTACTAAAACTCTCAGTAACTTAGCTCAACACATCTCACATGAATCATGTTTCAGATGTTTCCCAATGTTTTAGCTTTTGAAAATTGTGGCCCCACTTGTGTTTTTATTTCAGGGTCTTGGCAAATATGGGCTGTTGTACTACAACTCTTTATTTATGTTCCTGCCAACATTTATGTTATGTATGTACAGTGGAGAGTTAGTTGAGGTGGGTGATTAAAGATCTTTTTATTTTTACTGCTTTTTTAAAGATAAGCCATTAAATGTAAGAAATTTACACCAGCTCAATAAAAAAAGTGAAGACTGAATGCATCAAGTTAATCCATGTGATTTTTAATATGCTGAACTCTTATTAATGCTGGTGGATCAATAATTTACACCCATTTAAGGGTTTATGTTTATTGATATATTGATGTTATATCATCCTACAGTTTTTAAGGATGACAAAAAGATAACATGATACATTGAATGTTAAATTTAATAGATTGTTGCAGTAATTTTTCTTACATTTTAAAATATTTTTTCTGTACAATCGATGGTTCAGTTTTTATTAGGTTGTATAATTGTGCTAACCTCAACTTTAATTTGCAGCTTGTTGATGATCTTTCTTAAAACTATTTTCTCGCCCACAGGCTATGATGTTCACAGAGTGGGCAGACCCTGTCTTTTTGCTTTATTTTGCACTGTCATGTTTGATGGGCTTTGTGTTGAACTTCTCTGTTATACTGTGTACAGCTCACAACTCTGCCCTTACCACTACTATTGTTGGCGTCTTAAAAGTAATTTTTAAAAAATTTATATTTAAATAACTACAAGTAAACCATTATCTTTTATAGTTTTTTTTAGTGCCTCTAGCTAATTGTCACAAAAATTAATTCTTATTATAATTTTACTGTATACAAGAATGATTGTTTCTTTAAAATGTTTTATCTTCCTCTTCCAGAATTTGCTAGTTACCTACCTTGGAATGTTTCTTGGTGGAGATTACATATTCTCATTAACAAATTTTATTGGAATCAATATTAGGTACCAAAAAATGAATTTAAAAAAAAATATTTTATCTGCTAAAAGTATTATGTTAGTTTGTCACCTACAAAATATAATTTTAGCATGTTAGATAAACAAAAAGAAAGTACCATAATATAAAGATTGATCTAATTTTAAACCATGTTTTTAACCTTAATAAATACCGTGTTTATTGGAATGGTTTCTTCTCTATAAACCCTCAGATCTTGAAAGGGTAGTTTTTCTATTAAAATAGAGAAATCAATATTATTTGTGCCAATTATCTGAAGTTAAAAGTAGAAAATGGCATAGATGTTTTATGTGTACTTTGTCAATTGTTGAGGGCAATTTCTGTTGGTTAAATTACCATAATAAAAAAACTTTTCAATATTTTATGTAGATACTCTACAATTATAAGCTCTCACAGCTTCCTATTTTCAACTGTCAGTTGTATCTAAAAATAAATTTGTTACAGTGTCTTGGGCAGCATCCTGTACACCTATGTGACATTCCGTCATAGACCAGTGCCTCCCACTCCCGAAATCACGCTCAAAGGAACAGATCCTGAGATGAATATCCGAAGTGCGCGACCAATTCATCATTTGTGACATTGGATTTTTGTTTTAGTTTTGTACTTCATTTTTGTTGTTTGCTGTTTTACAGATCTCTTAATGGGAACAAAGTAATGTATAATTGATTGCAGTACTTTGAGATTATTTTTTTAGCTAGTTTTAATATGTTTGCTATAAGAACGAATATTTTTATAAAGCATTTTAAAAATTTTTTGAAAAAAAATCTCATTTTGAATTTTTTTAAAACCGTTATTCATATTGTAGTTAATCACTTAAAAAAATTATTAAATAGATTTATTTATTTTCCCAAAATAATGAGAACAAACTTCTTAAATTAATGTATTATGATGGGGAATGTTTTAAAATAATATGCAAAGCTGCAACTATTTATAAATAATATGTGTTGAAATTTATATAACTAAAGCTGAGCATATATTGTTTGCTAAAATAAACTTACCACTGCAATTTATGAGAGTGATTTTTTTAGTGGAAAAATAGTGGGAAATTTAAAAATAAAACTGTTAAATGTAATCAGCTCTGTAGAAAAAGCATAGTTCAGCATTGACATACCCACACCTAAGACAGTGACAAGTCTTCTCGCAATTTAGCAGTGACATGTCACCTCACAATTTAACAGTGACAAGTCACCTCACACCTTAGAATTAACTTGACACACACCCTTAACCTGTTACAAACTTTCTGATAGCATTTCTAATTCATTAAATGCAAATTAAAATTTAAACAGGAATTTGGTCTTATGTTGGATTACTGTTTAAAAAAATAAGTGCCTTACTATCTATTACTTCCAATGTTTTCTTGGGTTTTAATTTTTTGTACTAATTTATATTGGTGCTTCATCAAGTTTTGTTTATTATTTTACATATGAATCTTAAGTATTTTTTTTTAAGTATTTTTGCGGGCTTCCATATATGCGGTAACACTCTGTAACTTACTAAACTCATTTTTTATTGTTAAATTATTGGTACTGGATAATTTTTAACAATTGTTGTTTGTGAAAATGAAACTAATTGAGATGTACTTTTGTTCTTATAGTCTGGTCAATTATCCTATAATTTAGCGGGTATATACTTCCAAAAAAAATGTACATAGTATAATTTTATTTTGAAAATTTTATGCTTTCATTGTATATTAAGAATTATACTGTTAACAAGGTGTTTTTTAAAGAAAAGATAATTTTAAAGCCTATATTGAAACATTTGTTTTTAAAATTGTTTATTAACTTCTGTATGGGTTAGTCTTGCTTACAAAGATACAAGGGTATCACAGTTTTAAAATATTGTTATGTGTTTGTAGGTTTTAAAAAGTTTGGAATGTTGTTTGTATATTTGTTTTGTTGTACTGATAATTTATTTAGAGTATGAGAGGAGTGCAAATATATTTGTGACTCATGCATAGTTTTTTATACTGAGATATTAAAAAATAAAACATGCTGTGCTTTTGTGTGTACCATCTACAGATCAAAATGAAATATTTTTTTCAGATACTAGTAAACAATTTTTAGGAAAGTTGTTATTCATTGTTTATAAATATTTAGGAAACTAGAAATTCATTGTTAATAAACATTATTTAGGTCCTAAGCTATATATATTTGCAACTATATTGCAAAGTTCATGCATATTTTTTCATTAACTTCCCTGCAGCTCCAACAAGTCAACAGGCAATTTTTTAAAAAATTGTTTCTTTTCTTTTTAGCTACTTTTTAATTTTTTAAATCTTTACATTGGCATAATAATACTATCTTTATAATGAGAACAGGTGGTTCTTTGTGGTTAAGCTGTTGGTTTTTTGTATTGGTATTTCTGTCTGTGAAGTTATATTTCCCGGCGCATTGTATACCTCTTTACTAATATTTTATTAACAAACTGCTTTATTTTAAATGGCTATATGTGTTATTAATTTAATATGCAATTACTTTGTTTAATAACATATATCAATCAAATGTATAATTAATTACTATGTGAAGTTAAATAGGCTACTATGTTGTATGTCTAGTTACTTAAACTTGAGAAATATTAGACAGTAGACATCAAATGAACTATTTGTATACATCACAATAAATGCATTACATCTTGTTTGAGAAATGTCATTTATATTTTGACTGGTTGTATTTCAACTTAATTTTAAAATTATTTTTTTCTTGTTTATTTTATTACACATACTGCTGATATATGAACATGTATGTAATTTTATTGAAATTTTAAATACATTTTTGTATTAAAAGTGCTGGCTTTAATTCATATTTTTATTAAACACCCCGGTAATCTGTGATGCAAAAATCTTTTTTTCTAGATAGTAGAAATTTTGTTCTTTATTTTTAGTTTTCGCTTTTAAATAGTATCTTGATTGAATAAATAGTTTTGGTTTTTGAATGCAGTATAATTTTAATAAATGTAATATTTATTATTTTTGCAGTTTTATGCAGAGTAGTCAAACAAAATGAGGTAACCAGGCAAATATTTTTTATTTAAATTTAAAAACTTTTTTGTTTTTTCTTTTACAAAATTTAAAAAATGAGATGTCTTAAGAAATCTTAAATGCAATACCAAATTTATTTTTTTAATTTCACGCACATATATATATGTATGTATACAGTGGTACAATGAGAATTAATTCATTCCTTTTCCATAATCTTGCTCATACTTCAAATTGCTCATTAAAGCAATTTTCTTTATTTAAATTAATTAATTATTCATTAATCTGTTGGTGCAGAGATAGGTGGTGAGAGCTTTACTTAGTACACTTAAATTTTTCTAGTCTATCAAAGCTAAAAACAACCATGTTTGTTGGGATACTCATGTTGAGGTACCACTGTAAATACATACACATATATTATGTGACAGTTAAGTTTACTCAAATAGTTGAATATTTTAAAATATTTTATTTATTGTTTTTTCGTTTTAAAGATATTTTTAAAGGCAGTTACTATGAGTATTTTCATAAGCAGTTAAATATTTAATAAACCTAAGCTTAAATTTAAGTTGAAACAGGATGTAAAATTTTTTGTTTCTTTGTTATGGGCCAATTTATCCATCTTGCTTTCAATTTAACCCTGGTAGTATCTGGTCTTTTATTTAGAAAATTAGTTTAGGCCTAGTACTAGTAAATAATTGACTGCCACTGGTAAAGTTTTGTTAACATTTTTTTTTTAACTCTACATATAAAATGTAAATAAACAAATAGGTTACATTTGACAAATGTAGTAGGAAAGAAAAAACATTTCTTACATTGTAAAAATAACAATTTTAATTAACTCTGGGAAAAAAAAGAGGTGAACATGTAATTTAAAACAAAACTGAAGAAAAGCAGGCAGTTGTAATACCACTCCTAAAATAGGATAGTTTTTTTTTTACTACTTATAGTTGTTGCCAATCAACTTAACACTTTGTGATAAACATGGAACTGTAATTTTGAAAGATTTTTTGTATATAATGATCTATAACATAAGATGGGTATAATTATCAGTTGTGTATTTTTTGTGAGAATATTGACATTGTGACACATACTCTGTTGAACAAATAAACTAGTTCATAAATTTGGGAGATAAAGTCTTTATCTCACTAGGTTGTGTACCTGCTTTAATAATTATGCTTAGCATCATTTAGCACACAACCTTTGAAACTGCATTGAGACAGGACATTAAACATTTAAAGTTAACAAACATCAGTAATTCTTTAACTTTTTATTGTGAAGTAGATACAAATGTTTTGTGAATATCCATTAGCATAAAAGATTGTTAAAACAAACATGACGTTAAATGTAGAAAGTTATTCTAGCCACACCATAAGATGGCCTTTATGATCACACATTTTAAACATTAAGACAAATAAATAATCTCTGTAATGACAGCTTGCATCCTGCTTTTACAGTCCTTGTTAAACAGCACATGTATATCTATATCATAACAAACAGCGTATATACAAATACTACATAAATACAGTATTACATAGGTATTCAACCAATGTTCAACACGTTTTGCGATTGGATTAAAACCAGTTTTAGTTTTGAACTTGTCAATATAATTCTACAAAATACTGTATCAAACACACTTTAATATAAAGCATTTTGGAAATGCATAAAAAGAAACTAAATAAATTATGAAATATTTAGTTTTTGAAATTTTGTCAAGAGTAATTTGCTTTCTCAAAATGAAAACAAGCCAGAAATTATTCATACTGCTGACTTGGAAAGCAATATTCATAATTGTATAGAGTACCTTGTATAATATCACAAAATGAAATTGTAATAATGTAATTTAGCAAATTACTAGACTTTTAATACAGTATTAAATCCCTTCTGTGGTCTATAATTTTCTTTACCTAAAGGATTGTGAGTTTTACAATTGTTTTAATAAAAGTAAATAGTTTTAATAAAAGTCTTTTGTAATATAATAATCTTCTAATTTACTAAAAACTTTTTATCACCACGTCTTATTCTTAACTTAGACACTACCAAACAATGCTGATGTAAACGTTCCACCTATTTTGACTACTTTGCTGCCCTTCAAAAAATAATTTTAACTGATCAATAAATTAGTAGTATGGTTAAATAATCTTCAACATTACTAGTATGAAAAAATATATAAAGGATTTATAAAAATTTATTATGGTACAAATATTCTAGGTAGCACATTTATTTCCACAAAACAAAATGAAAATCCCAAATACTGTCAAAAAAATATTACACATTCAAGCTATAACAATAATAGCATGTGCAAACTATCTCAAAAATTATATTGCGTGGAAAAAGAACTATGTACAATTGGTTACAGACAATTCAACTACCGCACCTTTCTGAGTTAATTTTAACAAGACTGTTTTAGTCACTTTAAGTTAAATGCAATTCACAACAAGTACATGGTGGTACAGCGACGGGATACTACTAATGGGACGGGGTTGATCATGTCACGGATTTGTTGTTTATCAGCTCTGAACCACTCTCACCCACAATGTTCAATGGTTTGCCCAATATAGTTGGCGGAGTAGAAATTTGACCAACCGACCTTATAGAATTTGAAGACAAGCTTGGAAGCTCATTATATTGAATTTTTTCAGATAAGTTAAAGCCCTCATTTCTAGTGTTGGTGCTGTTGTCAATACTTGATTCTGGTGGGTTGCATTCTATATGCTTTGGTTGGCTTGCTTGCTCGGAAGCTCTCTCAGCTTTTATCAAGCTCTTGTATGGAGATGAAGGTAGCAATGGTTGTGATAATGCAGCTATGGATTCTTGAGAATGATCTAAAAGCTTCTGCTTTTTGGGAGAATTCTGATCTAAAGGCGACTGTAAACTTTCTAACTTTAACTTCTTTGGCACTAAATGATCAGAAGGGTTGTCAGCATTATGTGAACCATTCATTTCACCATGGTGGTGATGGTGATGATGCAAACGTTTTGCAGGACCATCACCACTTTTTGGCAAGTTTCTATCAAACTGTCTAGATGGAGACATGATGGTTGTTTTTCCGGTGTTAAATAGACCAACATTTGTCTTTGCATGATCATCCTCAGATATTTCTATTTTAGAATCTGAAGATTGCGGGGCCATTATTTGATTCAATTCAACCTCCTGTTCTTCGAGGAATCTGTCCATGTGATCTCTGTAAAACAGAAAAATAATTGGCTGTTAATTTTTTAGAAAGATAATGATATACCAAATTAAAGTTGAAAACAAAACAACAGCTGCAAGTACTTTAACAGTAATATATTATTTTAAGCAACAACAACAAAACTGCTTAAACACAAATTTGAGAATATTAAAAAGTAATTTAACCCTAACAGCCTCAGGCCCATGTTTTACCCTTCTGTATTGCACAGCCGGGGTATAATTAAAGCTTTTAAATGGATTTCATGGTGGCCATTTGCATATAATTTCCAACACTGATAATATTTACAAGCACAAAACTATGTATCTGACCTTTCCCACTAGAAATGGGCAGAATCTGACTTTTAAATCTGGGTGTAAACACTTATAACCTGAATCAGGCTGTAAAGTTACTCTCTACATATTTAGTACCGATAGTCTTTACTATGTGACTCTAGATGCTACCGTAATAATATATTTATTTAGGTTAGCAAATGAGGTTAGAACATTCAGCAATAAATTTTCTGTATCTTCATTTTTACTCATGTTAATTCAAATAATTGCTTAAATGTCATTATCTGTATATTATTTTGTAAACCACGCAAGATTGAATACATAGTTAAATAATCTTTGAGCAAGAGGGAACGGATTGTCCTATTTAGCTGGGCTGAGTGAGTATATGGCAAAAAAGATGTTGGTAATGTTTAACTTACGTGACACCAGGGTTTAATGAATATTTTCTTTTTTCTGCTCTGGTCTTGGCAGCAAATATATCATGCCTCTCCGTCTTTTTCCACAAATAATAAAAATGCACCAATTCAAAAACAGAACGAGTGCGCACCTTTGAAAAAACCAAAAACATTTTAAAAATTATTAAAATGACATCAAAAGCCTGTCTTAAGAGCTTAACATCAGATAACAAGTTAAAAAAAAGTTTCAAATAAATAATTACATACCTTATTATGATGTATTTCATGAAAGTTTTTCCCATATAAACGTAGACCATCCTCAAAATTTCGACATTCATCCTCTGACCACAGGCTCATAACATCTAGAAAAGATAATTTATACTAGGGTAATAAAACATTATGGTTACTTTAAGGCTGCTAAAAAATAAGTTCTGACAGTATCAACAGTTTTACCTGTTGGGGGGACAGCCTGCATTTTACGCCTTCGCTCTGCCTCTTCAATATTGTTATCACACTGAAGCAACAGAAACAAGGCCTGGAAAGTAAAAAACATTATTTACCCAACGATACTTAAAAATTAATTAATTGATTATTTTCCTGTTTTTTTTTTTACCTGCTCATCATCACGAATATGCTTTCCCCTGGGGATAGTTGCGACAGTATGAAGTTTCCTGTCTACTTCTCTTTGGACATTACATAAATAATCATTGAGAGCTGAAAAATAAAATAAAACACTACTAGTTGTGAAATAATAATAATTTGATCTATATGGATGGAAGAAATATTTTCAGTTCTCAATAGGACTAAATAAGCTTTGATAAGAAGCAACCTGAATCCATGTTAATATCCGAAAGCCTTCTAAAATTACCATTTTCATCCTTAATTTTGGATGGATCCCACAACAATCTGTCTTCATTTTCATAGGCAGGGGCATCACCATATGCTGAAAGACCAGCAGGAATAACTGCCTGAAAGTCTGACCCAACCTGGATAGTCTAAGATAAGAAAAAGGTCCTGTAAACATCAGTAACAACAAACATTCAAAGACAGACATCTACCACAAAAACAAATGTGAGAGACAAAGATGAAAATTAGCACCAAAAAGGTGTAAAGTTATCACAAGCACTGCAAAACAACGGAAACAGAAACATAATCACAGCACTGCAAAACAACCACATACATAATAAACCGGGAGTGATCTCCCCTAAACTTTCTCGAATATTCTTATATAAAATAACAGGGGATGGGAACTCGGGCTATAGACATGATTTTTAATCCATTTTAAATACTTAAAGTTTTAAAAATAGAATAAAATCTCGTAGACAAATTAATTGCACACCAAGTGAACGCCAAATAAAAAAGCCCATAATAGTGCGCAATATTATTAGTACTTTTAAAATTTACATTAGTTTTTTGAGAAATCGGAAGTAGCGTAAATTACTACTTCCGGTCAACGGAAATTACTCAAAATTTAACAGAAGGTAGAGAATTAGATCTTTTACTTACATGTGAAATTTCGTTTATCTGAAATAATACTCAAGTTATAGGCTTTTGAAAAATTCAAAGTAGGAAAAGTACCGGTTATCGGAAATCGCTCAAAAGTTGATACGGATCTACGATTTTGATAAAATACTTATATATGAAATTTCATCAACCTAGCAGTAACGGTACTCAAGTTATCGTGTTAACACACGGACAGACAGACAGACACACAGACAAGATTGCAAAATTATGTTTTTACGTATCAGTGAGGGGTAAAACGTCGAGATTTGTAAAAATCTCTATTTTTTTTTTTTGCACGATTACAAGACTTTCTCTATACTTCGTATATACGAGAAAGTAAAAAAAAAAAAGGTTTTGCCAATTGTAAATAACATACATAGCAATTTTTGGGCATAAAAATCAAAGGCATTTCAAGTTTTAAATTATATATTTTAACAGAATATTTCTTAAAATAACTAATAAAAGGGGATCAGTGGTCAAATCAGTAAAGCTCATGGTGGTTCGAAACCCTCAGGTAAATGAGGCTTGATAGCTGGGTACAAATTCTTCCAAAATTAAACAACTGCTGCCTTGTAGTTTGTCCTTGGTTTGGACAAAGGCTATGGAAGCAAATCCAAATAGAAAAGCTGGCGTAAATCGGAGTCAACGCCCTATATGGTGCATAATAAGTTGATATGTAATTGTAATACTTAATTGTGTTGGAGAGAATCCTACCACCACTAGAATTAAGAACAAAAAAGACTAATCAAGTTTACAGTGAGATGATGAAAATACATTAAAGTTTAAAGGAAGAAAAAAAAAAGGATGAATTACATACATCTTTGATTGATATTTTGAAAATATAAAGACAGAAATGGATATTACACCAGTTCAACCAAATATTACATTTTCTTTGAACATTTTCTTTTAAACAGCAAATTTGATCTCATGCATTGATTGCTGAGAATTTTGTTAGTGTCAGTCTGTCCATTGCTCAATCACAATTTTGTGAATTTTACTGAATGCGTTAACTCATATGGTCAGAACTTTTTTGCATGTACACATGAAATGAACAGGGAGATTTTAAGTACAAACTATATCTGCATCTCTTTTTCTCATCAATGCAGTGTTCCATGTTATTCATAATTTTATTTAGTAACATATTTGTTTTCTATATTTTATACAATAAATGTTTCCTGTTAATATTTTGCAAGTCTGGATTTTATTAGATTCATATGTAAGTAACTGCCTCTTTTTAAGTTCCTAACATAAGTCATTGTTTTTAACTTGATTATATAATAACAAATACCTTTTTATGTTCTTCAATTGGCTCATAATTTTCATCATCAGAAGAGGATTCTGAATCGTCACTTTCTGGATGACTAGTTGCTGTTACAGAAAGTATAGAATTCAATAATAAACTAGCTTGGATTGTTCAAAATCTTAGGTAAAATTTGATCAAATGGAAAGATATTTAAATATTAGTACTCACATCTGAGTAGCCTACCAGTCTGTGAGCGTGACACATTATGTATCAGTTCACTGATTTCTGTGTCCCTGTCTTCTGCACCATCGTTTAAAACATTCTGTGAGTTGACATCCTTGGCCAAATTAGGGTTTTGACCATCTAAGATTTCCTCCTCACTGCTTGAAGATGGACCTGATTGAGAATTGTCAGCTAACTCATCTGCACCTCCTGCACCTGCAGCATACTGCGCTAAGAGATCCTCAATAGGCATTTCACTCTCCTGTACATTGAGACAAAGTTAGCTCATTCACTTTTTGCTATGCAATTTAATGTTAGGTAAGAATAACTAAGACCCCTTTAATATTATTTGAGAATGGGGCTAGACATAAATATTTGGAAGAGGATCATGTACTGTTAAGCCAACATGGTAACTAGTAGCCTTGTCATAACATAAAATTTATTTGTGTCTTGCTCACTCAATAGCAGATAAAAAATACAACAAGCTAAAGTGGACATAAAATGTAAAAAAATAAATACCTTTTGTAAATCATCCAGTTCTCCTGTACAACTTTCTCCACTAGTCATTGCCTCTTCCTCATCAAGTGTTCTCTCATCATCATAATCATGAACCATCATATCAGCTGATGGATCAAAGTCCTTGTCAGTGTCTTCAAATGAACAGTACATGAAAAAATGATTAACAGTTCATAAAGACAAAAGAAAATGTACATTACAAAGATTTCTATTCAAAACAAGACATAAACTTACCAGGACTGCTTGTGTCTGAATGAGCAACCTGTGAAAAAAAAAAAAAAAATTCAGAATAGGCAAAAATATAAGGATGAATTATTATACAATTATGTTTATGGGAATCTTGCTACATTCTTAGATTTTTTAGTGTGACAATCATTTATTATATGTGTACAGATAATGCAAAGGTATGAAAATAGTGGACTGTTGTTTGAGTCAATGTTGACCTCAACATGTTACATGTAATAATAACAAATATTCAACCTGCATATAATTTAAGAGGTGGTGTTTTTCTTGTATGAAAAAAAAAAAAAAAAAAAAAAAAAAAAAAAAAAAAATCAAAACAACAACAGCTCACTGGGTATTTATATCTCTGTATCTATTATAATAAAAAAATTAACACTTCATCAGCAATGAAGCAGCAAAAATAAGGCCATGAAACCAATGTGGCCTTGAGACTTACTAGGATGCTGTGTACAGCCATAAGTAAGTTAAGTTCCCTGCCAGACCTAACAATCCATAGGGCAGATAGAGTTACGTTTCTTGAACTATGTATATTAAGGGATGGTGTAGTCAGTACTTTGCCCAACAGCATTTTTTGCAATTTAGTGGAACTATTGTGCTATGATATAATACATAGGGCCTATAATAAATATTTAAATAATATCTCAATTGATGATTAAAAAACTAATATTGTTTATTTTGAAATTACATTTTCATTTTGAGTGACGTAACATGCAAAGAACAAAATCAAAATGAATGTATTATCCTTAACAAAATTCGAATTTTGTTTGAAAAAAAGTATACAAATTTGGGTCTTTCTGTGAGTGCCTACACACATTGTAAAGAGAGCAACAGACTGTGAATAAGAAGGGGTATATAGTCCTTTATAAAACTGAATCAGCTGCATCCACCGGCGCCTCAGGAAGGTGCGATTTGGTGCCCAGGCTATACAGTGAGCACTATGCCTTAGTGTTTGTGTTTATATAATCGCATTATTTTCTGCGTTTATATTTGCATTGTTTGCTTTTATTTTAGATTTTATGATTCTGTTTAAGTCTATGAGTATGTTTGTATTTGTTTCCCTTTGCGTTGTATGTGTATTTAGGGTTTGTGTTACATATGTGTTTGTTTTTTTGTTGTGGTTAGGGTTAAGTTTTGTTTCTCAAACGTCTGAATTTGCATACAGGCATTTACTTGGAAAAGTAATATATTTCCTAAACACTAGCAATGCCGGGTATATACTGCTTAACAAGTCACTGTCCTTTACAGATTGGTTTTACAGAGGCCAGTGCAGAGCCTTGCTTGCTATTAAAAAATACCCTGATAAAACAAACACAGGAAACTACTGTAAAGCTTCAGTAACTCATATAATATAATTATTCCCTAAAGGAAGTAATGTGAAAAAAGTTTCATCTAAAGAATAAAAAATGTCATTGATAGTTACAACAATTATTTCCCCAAAAAACAAGCAATAAGAAAAACGTGAGCTCAAATAAGGCCTTCTACCATGTGTGCGACTTAAGTATTAAGAAACCAGGCTCGAGAGATAAAAGTCGGGTGCTGTAACTGTAAAATGTGAGACAAATGTCACGCGACAGGCGGTTTAAACACCCTTCTCGCAATTTACTACCTAACCTAGCTATTTTGCTGTTTACCAAGTGTTTACCTTAATTGGACTTCGTTGTTTGTGATTGGCATTTTACTAGTATTTATTTGACTTGTGTATTTCTAATACCAACATCCTTTAGCATTCATGTGCAAAGTGATATCTTGTTATCTTTAATAACAACATAGACTTGCAGTTTGAAAAGTGACCTATGGCAATCATTGTAAAAAAGGCACCACAACTCTTAATTGGGTATAATTATTTGTAGCGGCTTTCAACCATTGTTTTGTCAAATGTTGGTTTGCATTATCTGCGTTGTTAAGGAGTTATTTGATTTTAAGATAATTTTTATAGGGATTTTAGTGAAATGAAAATAAAAGATATACTTTTAGAGCTCACCTAGATGAGTATTTAAGTTATTAATTTATGGTAAATAGGCCTAATTAAGTTTAAAAGGTCATTTCCACCTATTCATTAAAAATCTGAATGGTTTCCTGTTTTATTTTTTTTTAAGCTTTGTGATGTGGTTTTTAGGCCCTCTTGTGATCAGCATTCCCTATACAAATAGGCTCGTTTCAAATATGATGTTATGATTTTTAAAGGGTATATTTAAGATGCAAGTAATATACAGATTTAATAGATCTTGTGTGCATAAAAATGATACTAATTTTTGGATTTGTTGTTTAAATCTTGAGCTATGTGCTAAATTCGTCAATAGTCTAGGTCACACTGCCCTTTTGTTATAGTTATACTTATGACCCTAGCCTTCCTGCAGGCTTATGATACATTGTTGTGTAACAGGTCTGTTGTGTTGAACACACTGTGATAAACTTCCTTTTTGTTGAATTTATCTATGAATATATGTTAAAATGAATGTTTATTTTTATTCATACTTCAATTGGATGATGTTTTTGTTTGGCCTTATAAGAAAATGCTTTTTTTTTTAAGAATGTGTAAAAGACTATTCATAATTACCAAAGCTCACTATCTATGTGTTAACTGTTATTGTAAGATCAACATAAATAAAATACCTTTTGTACTAAAAGCCCTAAACACAAAGAAGACAGTGCCTAGTAACCCTTACTTAATATTCAAAATTCACAGTATCAACACAAAGTGAACTAAGAGTGACCCTGGCTACACAGTGTCAGTATTTCTCTTGCGCTGACCAGAAAACGCGAGCGTGCGATCAATGGAGCAACGATGTTTTTATAATTGGCGTGTTTAAAAACCTAAATCTAGAAAAAATTTAATCTATTTTTTAATAAAAACAATTAAAAAAGACACTTAAACCAAACAACTCAAAGGGAATGTTAAACTTAGATAAATACACTTTACTCCACACAAAATAGAGAGCTTTGATAGGTTCCGATCCCGTAACTGATCGAGATTCGGGAGGTACTGTGTTCTCCACTCGACCACGACGTCTTTCGATAATAAATGATTTTGTATATACAGCTAAATATAGGGTATTTAGAAATAGCAACACAAGAACTAACGATAGATAATCCGCATAACTAATTACAATAAAAGACAAAATACGAGCAAATCTACAAGAAAAATCAAATAAACAAAAAAGGTATAAATTTAATACAGGTTGTACAAGGGTTTTACGAACTTAATGCCGGGTCCCAATACGGGCCTAGGCTATTAGGGTCCTAATAGCCACTTCCAATATTATTACTGCAAACTCTGCCGATAAAAACAACCTTAATTTTGAACACAAGAATCTGCTAGCTACTTTTACTAAGCGCCACTTGCGAGATGAATAAATAAGGTAAAAATTACTCCTGACTATACTTAATTAACAGAATTAGGCCTACTATTAGAAACTATAGGCCTACTAATATTTCTGATTACTAAAATAGACGATAGCTTTAAGATCATTAGTTTTATCCCTCTATCATTTAATGAAAATTAAACGAATCCTCCCTCTGATAAACTCTAATTCTATGTAAATTTTATCTTGACAATTTGGATAAATTTACAAAAAGGCCAAATTAACAATTCTATTATTAATTTACGGTAAAACTCCATTTTAGCGTATTTTATTCCCCGCTTCAAGTTCACGTCCAGTTGGGCGTATTTTATTATAAATATAAACACAACCGAAACACACAAAAACGTTAGGAAAACACTAGATCTACTTACTTTTTTATGAATGTGATTTTTAATTAGAAAAGGTAAAAAAAAAAACAACATAAAAAAGCATTAGAACCGTTCCAATTAAATATCGTGTGGTCGTCAGCAGGAGAAAAATCCTTACACTGTCGCGGGTTCACCATGAGTTTACATTGACTTTAATTATCAGCATACGTCATAGCTCGGGCAATAGCTGTTTGAAATTGTGTTGGCCTCAGTTTTGGGGTCATTGTAAGTTCATAAATGTTTATTTATAGTATCATGCCTGGGAGATACTTGTAACAATACAAACTTAACCGCCTTGCAATTGTGAGTTACGTTTACATACTTCACCCAATGCCATGAAAATTCTAACTGACACATGAACATAACACATTCAACATTCTAAATTTGGATTTTTCTTAAGTTTTGACAAAAGTAAATTATCAAAATCTAAAACAAAGTCAGTCCCTTTGTCTTTTTATTCATTTGTTAAAACAAAAATACAATACAAATAAATAAATTGTGTTTTCCTAATGTTTTTGTGTGTTTCGCTTATTATAATAAAATATGCTCAACTGGAGGTAAACAAGAAGCAGAGAATAAAATACGCTAAAATGGAGTTTTACCTAATTTACTACGGTCCTTTGAAGATTTCAGACATGACTTTAGTTGATTTATAAAAACGAGCCGACCCGCAGCGTATCATACGCCGCTATTTAGTTGTTTTATTTTCTACTTTTCAGTAATTCATAATTTGTAAATTCGACAGTACCAATGCTGCCACTGAAAATATTTGCTTTAAAACACTAACCCCCCCCACTTTCCCCTAACCCCGACCCTACACCCCCCCCTCCGTGAAAGCAGCCTCCTCTTGGTTATTTCTTAGTTACCTCCTGTAAGTTTAAAATCGAACTAAATTATCTGCCCCTAATAGAAACCCGGCTGTACGGCTCTTTGATTTGTAAACGTTTAGCTTTGTAAAAATTTAGAGTGAACACCGCTCACCAGACAATGTTGGGGTGGGGTGGGGGGTGATAGTGATAGAGAGAAAGAGAGGGGACTGCAAGGAGGCGCTTGCAGCTTGTTTTCTAACTCAACTAACTGATCCCAGAAGAGAATTATATATATAGATATTCAACAGTTTCTAATGTAAAAACAACAAAACCCCCCCTAACAACCAGCACACAAAAAAGCTAGACCCTTAATCAAGTCACTAGAATCTAGATCTAGTGTAGTAGAAAATAATCTTACATTATGATTCCCAAATAACATCCTATTTTCGATAACTGGAATCGCACACGGAACCAAACCCACTTTTAAAAAAGAGAATTTACCTGCTTCTACGATGATGAATTAAATTAAGAATTATAATTTAAAATCAATATTATGAATCAGGGCAGTTAAAATGTATCTATTAAATTAAATTTTAGAGAAAATTAATTAAAAATTAAATTAGTTATAACTAGGCAAAAGCAATAGTTTTAAAAATAAATCATAGACGAAAACACAACTGTTACAACCTCCGCCATCTTGACCGAATATTTCCAATTCTAAAACGAGGCTCATATATTTGATTGCGCGCTTTATGCAAATGTTACAAAATAGTTTATTGGAGGAACTATATTTTCACTGAATGCATTTGGTATTTTTATTATATTAAAAGAAACATTTTGATTTATAATAAAGCACATTTATTATAATTGACTGATTAGATTCTCTTCTATTTTGCCGATGAGTTGAACATATTTTGAGTTTTAACAGAACCTGTTATTTTACTTATCGTAAACACTGACCAATCAGAAAAAATGTTACTAAACAGTACTGTTTCTATTGACAACCACAAACGCCAGAAGGGCGATAACTTTATTATTTTGTTTAACAAATTTCGTGTATGGTAAACCAAACAACTTCACAATGTCTAATTCAAAAAACACTAAAATTAAAGCAGGAGGTGGAAGGTGAGTTTTAATTATGTTTTTAAATTAGTTTCATCCTTGATAAATACGTAGATATAGGCCTGATTTAGCAATTAACACAAATAATAGATAATAGATCTAGATCTAACAGTACAGTAATGATGAGTAATGTAATGAGTAAAAAAAGTATTCGATAATCTCCGACAAAAAGTTCATAGAAATTGTTTTTAGAAAGTACTATAAAAGTAGATTACTAAACTAAACAAACTACTACTGCTACTACTGTTACTTACTTTTATATTCTTCTAATACTAGATCTACTTAGAGACTCTTACTCTAAAAGTGATTATAGACCTAGTTAAATAAAATAGTAACTAGATAAAATGCAGAGAGTTAAAGATTAAAGATAAAGAATAAGATAATAAATTAATAATCTATTTCTGCAACCAGCCTAAGTCATTCTAGACTGCAAAATCTTTTCCTGTTTGTTCCCGAGACACATGGGGGTAGAAGAAGTAGAGTTTATCTGTTTCAATGACCTCTGCATACAGATGGATAATAGTGTGATCAGCAATAATCAATAAGGCCATGCTGCATTGGAATCCCTAACATGTGCCAGGTACCCATAAGAGCTGGGTAGACTCTGGAACATCTAACAGACTCAAGCCTAGGATGCATACACTACTATCTGACCATGCCATCCCTATATAAAATATATATAATAATAGTTTTGAAAAAAAATTTGCTGTGTTGTGTTAAAAGGTAGACTAGGAGGAGTATGGGGTGGTATTAAGGGACACTTAGTGGGATGAGGCATTATTGGTGTTGTGAGGATAAAATATTTGGGGGTGGGGTCGTGAGAAATTGGATGTTTGGGGGTGGGTTGTGGAGGATATTTTATGTTTCTATTTTTAAGAAAATTCTGTCGCATTACATCTAAATATACCAATCCAATATTTAGAATAAATATAATTTATATATTTTTATTACAGTAAGACAAATGAGTCTGTACTAAGTAGAAATACATCAGTTTCAAAGGCCAACAAAAGTGGTGGTAAGAATATGCCATTTACCAGTGTTCGGAGTACAGTTTTCTCATCAGCCTCTGGACAGAAAAAAGCTCCGGTCTCTGTGGGTACAGATAAGCCAATTTCTACTCAAAAAGCATTAGTTCAGGTAAATAGCTACACATGTTTATTACCATAACTTTTATAAAGTTTTATATTTTTTATCTATCTTAAAATTGTTTAAATGAATTAGTTAATAATTTAAAAACAAGTAATTTTGTAGCATGTTGCTGAAAAACTAACAAAACTATAAAAGGTCAGAGATAATAGGTTTCATTTTTGTAAATGCTATTCTGCTTGGTTTATTTATTTGACTTATGCATATAATCACATGCCAATAACTAATATGTGCCAATTTAATTTCATAAATTAATTTTCATAAAACTTAATTCAGTCTTTCAATATGAATTAATTCATCCTTTGAACAGTATGAAGATATTTTACATGTTGCCAACAGACTTTAAAAGACTAGACATTCTTTGTTTGAGTATATTTAACAAATAAATACAATACATCAGCATTTTGTGCACTATGGCAATTTTATGGCATTCCTTCGACTTGTGTTTTTTCCTCATCCAATATTTGCTATTGTACAACTTGGGCTCAGAAATAAAAACCTACTTCAAACTATTGTTTTTTGGTTTATTGCATTCAAAACTTTCAAATTTTTTATTTACAGATTATTGATGAAGCGGGACATGATGTCACACCTTTGCCTCTTATTCAACTGGATCCAAATGCTGTGAAAAAGAATCAATCTAATGTATTAGGAGAAAGTTCAGTTGGGACAGTAAGCACATTGATGCTATAGAATAGAGGTCTATTTAGCTATTTGTCGTCCGAAAATGTAGTCACGCTTTTCCCCCCAGATTTTATCCCTCCCCTAACTGCTCATTTTTATTCCAATAAATATTAATTTAGTTGTTGCCTTTGTTTCAAGGTATATAACCAGTTTAGGCGATGATGTTGAAACTATTAACTGAGTTGTTTCCCTTAGAATGACAATGCCTCTATACGGAGTCTATACTCTATACAATACAACACAAAAATGAATAAACTTACATGAAAACATCATTAAAATACCGGACGTTTTATCAAAGCTGGCTAAATATTAGATTCCTTAGCACATTTTCATTGTAATTTATAAAGCAAGTTACGTTTACAAATGTAAAAAACAAACAAAAAATTAAGTTTGAAAATGTCTTTTTAAGCATGAAATTGTGATATGGCACATTCTGATTACCCCTCCCTCTCTACCTCATTCATGGCACATTTTTAAAGTCCAAACTCCGCTCCCAGTAGTGTGATGATGGCACATTCTTATTCCCCATGCCGACTGCTTACATGTAAATGTATATATGGGATCACATTGTTACAGATTTTAACTGTCCATTCATGTTTCATTCTATTAATTCTATTAAAACTATTAGCATATGAGTAAATGTAAACTAACATACAGCCAACAGATTTGATGTCCCAAACATCGGCCTCTCTATATGGCGCAAATGCTACTCAGACAGGCACTGCCGTTACAAGTGTGTATGGTGGGGGTCCTTTTACTAGGTAAGTAAAAATACATTCCAATTTTTATTTAATAATTCAATGCTTCATTAACACAACTTACTCATTAAATCAGGACTTTAAAATAGATGAATTTACTTTGAAAACAATCATTGTAATTCCACTATATCTGTTCCTTTAGTAGGGAAAAATAGGCTTATGAATGAGTATGTTTGTGGATTACGTACTCATATCAAATTTATGCTGTATGTTTTTATGTTGTTTTATACCAGGTCTGTGTTTACTCAGTCGTATGACACAGGCTCTGATTCAGTCTTACCTGATGAAATGGGAACTCCGGATATTACTACATTTTCAGGTAATAATAAAACTTCAACATAAAGAAATGATGTAACACATTTTGCATTCCAGAGTTTCTAATTTAAAATCTTTCATATTTTGTTTTAGTACCACAATGAATTAAATTTACAATTATTATAAGCACAGAAAGTAAATTCTACAATTCTAGGAATCAGGAAAAAAAAATATCTGTCCCTATTTTTGGAAAACCAAAAAAAACTGTAATTTTGTTCTTTATCAAAAACAAGTTATTAAAAAGTCTAGTGACAATTTAAGCGCAATTTCCTTATGTTATCCATAACAATTTTAAATCGAGATAAATCATAGCTCCTCCTCCTTCGCCTGCGTCTCGCGCAGTTCGCTGCTAAGCCAGCCAGGTCACATGATTTACCCTCCTTTCCTTCGCCTTCCACTGCCTTCTTTGCTATATAGTACTGTAATGTATTATGTATAATGTAATTTTAAATAATGCGGACGTGTAGGGGGTGTTTAGTTGTCGCGCTTTTAAAAATTTTTTTGTGACCGAACGAAAGGATATTTTTGAAAACTTTCTTCGTCAATATTGTTCTAAAGTATGGCAGGAATCGATTGGTAAATGTTCAAGTCGCTAAGTGGTCTGATTGCCGAGATATGGGCCAAAAACTGCATTTTTTCGAGTTTTTTTTGGCTTTTCCGGGAAATCCAGGAAGGAATTCCTGGAATTTTTTTGGCCTATGTTCATCCTCGGAACTTGTTTAACATATTTGCTTTTGGAACTAGTCCTCGATATTGCTTCGTTGAGGAGGAGATACGACTTAAAGACATTCCCAGAAATGACGAGTTAATAAATGCAATTCTCCATAATGGAAATTGCGCTAAAAATGTCTGTAGAACATGGTTTTATCAGATATCTCCCTACAAAATATGCAATTACTATTGCAGATTAAACAAGCATTTTTTTCTTTTGGTGTTGTTAAAAAGGGTAGCAAAGAATGGTTCCCAGAAAAATGAGCAAACAGAAAGATGCCCACATACAAACTAATTATACTAATACACTTTAATTTTGTCACATTCATGGAAAAGTGTTTTATTATGCTACAATGTACATGTGGTCATTAATTTTTAATGTCTATGTATGCTTGATTTAAGAAAATAAAAATGTGAGTTTCCCATTGCGCATCTTTCTAGTCATTGCAAAGAATACTGTATCAAGAATTTATGGTAGCCTCCATGAATAACACGTACAAATTTATGTTTTTCAGAGGTACGTCACAAGCGGCAAGAGATCCAAGAAATTCCAACGGAAGAAGATTTAAACAAAATTGTTGATATAACTCTGGTAGAGACGGAAACCTTTTGGATGATTGACCTGCCAGACATTAAAGTTTCTAATGAAGGTGAAGAGGCAGTCTTGGTGACTGAGGCCAACAAAAAGTATTCAGAGGTAAGAATAGCATGGGACGATAAGCAGCTTTGTGGCCCAATGTGTTCTGAGCACTGAAGAGATAAGATGATTATTGGCTTTTGTTATTTAATGCCTAAACTGAGCAGTCATCATGTTACTTAAAGTAAAGTAAAGTATCCTTTTGAACCTGGCAGTCCATGGGGCAAGTGAAATAGAGTTAACCTGTTTCAGTGACCTCAGCATATGAAGGGATAGGCAGTGGCGTAGCGAGGTCGGGTGTCACCCGGTGCGGCACTTAATGGTGTCACCCCCCCAGAGGCATAGAGACCCTTCCCAGGGACAAACTTTCAAATTTTCGATTTGCACCCCCCCCCCCCCCCCCCTCAAGTTTTTCTCTATATATTTTGCTATTTTTTCCTTGGTGTCACCCCCCTAAATGGTGTCACCCGGTGCGGTCCGCACCCCCCGCCCGCCCCTTGCTACGCCCCTGGGGATAGGTTTCTCAGCATTATGTGGAGTCACCTTTACACTCCCTTACATGAGTCAGGTACCCATAAGAGCTGGGTGGACTCAGGTGCGTTCCACTAACACAAATCAAGGATTCCAACTCAAGACTTTTGGGTTATAAGTCTTATTCTCTACTATCTGGCCATGGAAATACTCAGACAGAAAATTTCATTGTTGCAGCTTGTGAAAAGTCGTGTGGGTAATGACCTCTACGTTGAACGAGGAATGAATACTTTCAATGAACCTCCAAAGTTAAAAAGTGTCCACACCACCAAGATCGACACAGATTCTGTATCTGTAGAATGCTCGAACTGGGACATGTATGATACCTACGATGCTCTGGAAAAATTAAAAAAAGGTAGGTAAAAAATAAACATCTTTTAACCAAATGTAATAATGTGTGTAATATAATAATAAGCTTTATTTTATTCTGCCTCTGCATTTTGTATATTATATAAGTTTGCTATTTATATAATAATAAGCTTTACTTTATTTGGTCTCTGTATTTTGTATATTTCTTTGCTATATTTTGTTTATGTGGGTACCCATAGATGTCTATAACGGGTGTATAGAATGTAGGAAAATAATGATGACAAAGCATTTTTCTCAACAGTCTATATAATTGCTGAAAAAAGCAAAAGTTGTAAAAGACAATGCTAGATTTATTACTATAAAATTTTTACACACTATTCAATTGTGTAAAATTACTTTTAATAAATTGAATTTCATAATTTTATTGATAACTAAAAGTAACATATATTTGGGTTTTTTGCTATGTTTTTCAGTGGGTTATTTTTACTCCAATATTTTGTGATTGTTATTGATACAATGTTAGTAAACAATTCATTACATTTTAAAATATTACAATACATTGTCTCAATTTCAAATTAATAAGTTGAATAATAACTTAATAAGTTAAATTGGTTTCAAGATTTTAGTGAAAAATCATTACACGAGGAAGAAGCAAATCTTGAACAAGAAATTGAAGAAGAATTAGAAGATGACATAGATGGTATAAGGAAATAGAATTTTGTTTACCAGCTTTTTCATTCAAAATTGTTTTGTTACACTTTGTCTGTTTACCTTATAATCTTCAAGAGAGATGATTAAATACATCTTTTGTGGGTCCTAATTAAACTTAGTTTTTAAATAGTGTCCTTGCTTTATAAATGAGTGGGGGATAAGTTATGATAAGTCACAGGTTTTGTTAGGTAAAAGGTCACAAAATGTCTGTGATTCCCTGCCCCCCTCCCCACCCATAGCATACTGTTAACAAAAAGAAAATTTTTCTGTTTTTAAAAAAAAAGAAAATGGAAGATAAATAGTAAGATAATTTGACATATTTTCTTGCACAAATTTAAATTCAACACAACTTGAACAGTAAAGGTTTTTGCTTTCATCAACCACTTTACAATGCTTTGATGTGGCAGCTCAAAAAAATATCACATCCACAGCTACAAAATACAGACACTCAATAACAGAAATAAATCACATAGTAGGAAACATAAACATGATTCAAAACAAATACAGTCATAGAATAAATAAATTGCACAGGAGACTGGGACATTGCAACTGTTTTCTTTTTTTTTGGTTTACCTAAAACAATAATTCAAATTTTATTTTGGAATCAGAGTAGACTGTATACCCAACACATTTCCATACTTTAGGCCATTTTTATTTTAAAGGTGTTCTTAATTCAGTTGTTTTTAATGTGTTACATTCTGATAATAATTTAAAATTATGTTTTGTTTCCTTTGTTGTAAGCTACATTGAACATTATACTGCAAGGTTAACTTTACTTGAAATTGAAACTTCTTTTAGATGACATTTATCAATAGCCCCTAAGTATTATACAATTTTTAAATAAAAAAAAATATTCCTTTAATTTTGAAGACAAATTGATATGTAGTATAATGCACATGTAAAATAAAACTTCCTTTTATATAATGAAAAAAATTAGCAGCTTAACTTACTATTCTGAAAATAATTTTAGCATATGAAAGTACTAATCATAATAAAAGCTAGAAGAACATTTTTAAAAATGCTACTAAAAAATGATGCATTTTATTTATTGTCAATATTATTAACAATTGCACACAATTTTTCTTAGCTCTAGAAGAAGCAGAGGATGAGGAGGGTACAATCAGCCGACCTCTCAGTCCCAAAGATGATATAGCGCCAACGCCAGCGCCAGTAGGCTCCCCCCTGGATCTAAAGAATGTAGAGTCTGAAGCCAGAACTGCTAAAAAAAGTTTCCATCAACTGGAAAAATGTAAGGAAAATTTATTTGACTTGTAGGCAACAATGACTAATCAGTTAAAAATAAGTTGCTAAAAATACTTCTTTTTAAAAAACACATTTCAGCATTTAGCAGAAATACATCTATAATTGGTTCAGAACTGAATTATAGCCTTGAGATTGCTGTAGAACTTACTCCAGACGAGCAATTAGAAAAAGAGTGGGATTCTATTATAATGGTAAGTAGCTAATTATGTGTTAAGACAAGCAATAAGAAAAAGAGTGGGATTCTATTGTAATGGTAAGTCTAGCTAATTAAGTGTTAATTTGTTATGCAGATTTGTAACATGGATGCAGTTTTTTTTTTTAAATGCACCCAAAGAAATAATAGTATCATTGTAATTTCTTAGAAATACTTAAAATAATCAAAGGTATTTAACTTTTTTCTTGTAATTCTTTTCAGTCAGATGAATTTTTACACCATTTGTTTATTATGGAAAGAATCATAAATTTGAACACTTATCAGCCAAAGCAAGCACTCTATCGAGGATTTCAACCACTGACAAATGGTAATGCATTTTAATTTGATTTGAATTTGGATGTAATTAAATTGTATGGTAAATTACAAATAATATTTTTTTTTACAAATATATTATTTTGTAACTATAAATAACAAATATATATTTTTTGTACATACTTTAGTTACAGTTGAAGCTAGGCGGTCAAGAGGTCTATACACGTTCTTTTAGCACTTTTTCATTTCTGTTTAAATTTTGTTTCAAGTCTTTTAAATTGTTACATTTTGTGCTTTTTATATATATTAACTGAAATTTATTTATCAATGTTCAGGGTTGTGCACATGATATAACATGAAAAGGGGAGTTGGTTTATCATTTTATTAAAACTATATTTTATGGAGTTTTTCATAATTCTTGTTTTCAAAACATTGATGATGAGTTGATACAATTTAATAAAATTTACTCAGTGTTTCAAAATGTCTTATATAATATGGTGCTGGCCTATGAAATAGTTATACAACATTATTTGGGGTAGAGTGGCGTTTTTTGTTAGTGTTATATATGTGCACATAACAATTGCATTCATAAAAAATTTAATGTAAAAATATCTTTCTTTTATATAATAAATACCTATTAATTGTCATTTTTTTAATTGAATATATATTAAAGTTCTTGAAAATGTGAAACTGGAAATAGCACAAGTTCTAAAAGACAATTTAAAAAAATGATACATGTTGTCTTCAATGTGTACAGTTGTGTTGTAACTTACATATTTTTATTCTATTAAAATAAACTTGTTTAGAATTTTAACTTCAATTAAATATCACTGATGAAATCCATTTGAACGCTGGTCTCTTAGTATAACTAGCATGCTATAAATTGAATTAAAATGTTTACATCAACATGTATTTGAATTATGGAATTCTCTCAGCTATTTTTTTAAAACTTTAATTATTTTGTTTTCTTTTTTGAAGATTCTCAAAAAACAGGTGCCTCAGACTCAATGTCAGTCCACGATGTAGGGCCAAACCTTGACAGACTCTGGTCCTACACATGTAATGTGACTAAAGGGAGGAACATCAGCTGCATGGCCTGGAACAGGAAAAACCCTGTGAGAATTTGTTTTAAATTGGGAATTACCTGACTCACTAAAAAATCTGGGCACTAAATAAAATTTTGTTTAATTAACTTGTTTCATTAAATATCTGTGCACTAATTTTTATTTTATTGATATTAAAGGTAATATGATAGAGATACATGTATTTTATTATTTAAACAGTTAACTGTTCAACATCTAAAAATATAACTTTACTGAGTTTCTCTTATAAGCCTCTCTGTACTATCAGCGTCTTCAATGGAAGTTCTATCGAAAATATGTCTTATAAAGAATTATTTGGTCAACACTTTTAATCCTGAAACATAGATTTCCTATCTTGAAAAATAATCTAACTTATAACTGTTTATACAAATTAATAATTAAAAAACCCAACTAAAATGTATCAGAAATGGAAACAAATATTTCAGAATTTTATTAAATTAAATTAACTTCTGCTCAGGATCTTCTAGCAGTTGGGTATGGACAGTTTGAGTTCACAGGTCAAAAGCCAGGAATTGTGTGTTGCTGGTGTTTAAAGAACCCAGAGGTATGGCCTCATCTCCATAGCTTATATTTCTCCATTAGTTCCAATAGCCTTGTAGTGGTGCAGATGTATGTTTGTTGTTACATGTTTGTTTATCCCCTGACAGTTCCCAGAGAGAGTCTACTTTTCAAAAGTGGGGGTGACAGCCTTGGACTTCTCTGTGTCAAATCCTAATTTTCTAGCAGTAAGATTTTTCAACAATTACTTTCATTGGTAATATTAGTCAAGTAGGAATATATATATATATATATATATATATATATATATATATATATATATATATATATATATATATATATATATATATATATATATATATATATATATATATATATATATATATATATATATATAGTCAAAATATAGTCAAATATATATGTTTACTTGAAGCAGTTATATAAAGAGCAGTCCAACAGGCTCAATGTTGCTTTGTATATCTGTGCCAAAAGGAAGCACTTTTATAATGTTTTAGCAGAAGTATTCTTTTAAAGATATGTATGTGGACTTGAAAATTTGATTAGGCAGTAAGATGGAGAGTAAAATACATTCGTTTATTGACTAACAAATTCTTAAAATTATTTACTAACAAATTCTTAAAATTATTGACTAATAAATTCTTAAAATTATGATTTTTTAAACTTTTTGTTTTCTAGGTCGGCTTTTATGATGGAGGTATAGCAGTTTACAATGTTAGAAAATCATCACTAGTAGAACCTGTTTTAGACAGTTTGTGAGTTTTTAATCTATTCTCCTTGTATTTGTGCATTATGCTCAGAGTAGCATTAAATGAGATTGTTTCAAGTCTAGCACAAAATTAATGGGATTATTTTTTTGTGTCCGTCATAAGATTAGTGAGATTATTGTCTCATGTCATCAGATTAACAAGAATTATTGTTTGTACCCAGCATAAGATTAACGTGATTATTGTTTCATGTCATAAGATTTACAAGATTATTGCATGATGCCCAGCATAAGATTAGTGAGATTATTGTCTCATGTCATAAGATTAATGAGATTATTGTATGATGCCCAGCATAAGATTAGTGAGATTGTCTCATGTCATAAGATTTACAAGATTATTGCATGATGCCCAGCATAAGATCAGTGAGATTATTGTCTCATGTCATAAGATTAACAAGATTATTGTTTGATGCCCAGCATAAGATTAGTGAGATTATTGTCTCATGTCATAAGATTAACAAGATTATTGTTTGATGCCCAGCATAAGATTAGTGAGATTATTGTCTCATGTCATAAGATTAACGAGATTATTGTATGATGCCCAGCACTGCCCCTGGCAAACATCTGGCACCAGTCTGGCAGCTGAGGTGGATTGAGAAAGAACGGGGTGCAGGTGAAGAAAGTGCCGAGGTGCTGATTTCCATCTCTACTGATGGGCGTGTCACGCAGTGGTCAATTAGAAAAGGCTTTGAAAGTTACGGTAGGATTCTTTAAAACTTCTGTCATGAGTGCGGGGAATATTGCTGCAAAAGTTATGGTAGAATTCTGTAAAACTTTTGTCATGAGTGTGGGGAATATCGTTGCTTTAACCCAACAATGTTACTTAGGCTTAATGGTTAATTAATAATTTAATGAATGGTTTGTTATGTTTTACAACTAGATGTTATGAAGCTGAAAAAAATGCCAACCAGGATAGCTGGACGAGCACGGGAGAAGAAAGGCGAAGCTTTCATTTCAAGATTTGCTGGAGGAATGTGCTTTGATTTCAACCAGCTTGACTCCAACATGTAGGTCTTGTGCCCAAACAGTATAGTTCAGTTACATGAATGTGTGATTTCTTTAGATTTTCTAAACACAATATTTTTTTTAATTTTTGGAAGGGAGATAATTTTTGCTTTTAATGAAGTAATTTTTCTGCTTTAGTTACCTGGCAGGGACAGAGGATGGGTTTGTTCACAAGTGTTCCTGTTCCCACAATGAACAGTATCTGGAGAGTTATCAAGGTCATACAGTAAGTTACAGTTATCAAGGTCATACAACAAGTTATCATTAAGTTATTAATTCATTCAGTAAGTTACATTATCTAAAAAGTTATCCAGGTCATACAAGTTGTCATTAAGTTATTAAGTCATTCAGTAAATTACAGTATCTAACATGTTATCGAGGTCATACAGTACGTTGGGTGGTTTGCTGTTACTAATCAGTAGTATAGTGTGCAAAAACAAGGAAAAAAATAAATAATATCCTATGTCATTTAAAAAAAATATTAAATTTAACTCTAGTGAAATAACTTAATATATTTTTTATGGTACATTCAGTATTTGCTGAAGTAATTAACAAATGAATACATTTTTTTCTTTGACAGGGACCCGTGTATTCCATTCAATGGTCACCCTTTGTAGAGGACATTTTCCTTAGCTGCAGCGCTGATTGGACCATAAAACTTTGGCACCAGGACAAGACTAGGCATATTCTCTCTTTTCATTCTTGCACAGTAAGGATTGTAAACATATTTTAAAAACCTTACACTGGAAATATTTCACAATTTTTAACATCAATTTAACTTTTAAAAGGATAAATATTAGCTAAAAGTTAAATTTAAAACTAAGGTAAGTGTAATAAAAAGCTGTAATGTGCCACTTGTGTATATTTCTTAATTTAAAAAGAGTTGTTGTTCACATGAACTTTTACAATAAACATTTAAAAGGAAGGAACTCTCCAGACTGCAAAGTTTATTTAGTTTGAATAAATTTCTTTCTTTCAATTCATCACATAAAGTAAAGTTCCCTTTTCAAACCTGACGGTCTATGGGGCAAGTGAAGTAGAGTTTACTTGTTTCTGTGACCTCGGCATATGAAGAGATAGTGTGGTCAGCACTATGCCCAGCCGCCTTTACTTTCCCTAACGTGAGTTAGGTACCCATCAGAGTTGGGTGGACTCAGGGACGGTCTACTGACTTGAACCCGGTTTCGAACTTGAGACTTACGGGTTAGCAGTCCAGCTCTCTACCGCTAGACCACTCCGTCCCTTAATTCATCACATAACATTGCTAAAAAAAATTGTTTTTTTTGACAAATGTTTGTTATTATTTTCTGACAGAAAGCTGTGAATGACATCTGTTGGTCACCATGGTCTTCCACTGTATTTGCCTGTGTGAATGAAGGTGCAGTTGAAGTATGGGATCTTGCTCAAAGCACGTCAGTAACACTTGTAACATATCCTAGCAACATAATTAACAATAAATTGTTCCTTTTAAACTCTGGGTGGATGAAATAGTTTTTTTGTGGTATTGTTGTCATGCTGGATTAGCTACTCTTGAAAACAAATGGCCTCAAACACACTGACATTGTTATACTTACCCAATGTTTGCTTGATAAATATTGAATAAAATGTGTTTTCTTAGTTAACTAAATTAGGTTTTGAAGTTACATTTAGTTTAGTTTATTAAAGCAATTATTTTATTGTTACAAAAAAATAATTATTTTATTGATATTTAGTTTATTAAATTTAAAACAATTATTTTATTATTTTAAATCACAGATATTATATATTAGTTTATTGGCTAACTCATTAAAAATGAGGTATTAATCATATTAGTTTCGATTGACCGGTTAAAAAAAAATTGTTGATGTTGCGTTATTTAGGTTAGATCCAGTCTACACCATTACCCCAACCTCAGGAGCTAAACAGACTAAAGTATTGTTTAGTAAAAATTCACAGGTTTGTTTACATAAACATTTTCATCACTTTTTAAATCTACTGGCTTAACTGTAGCGTGTTTCTACGATCTTAGAGGAAATACCAATGTGAAAAAAAACCAATTCCTTATTGAACGCCCAAACAGTGCCTTAATTTTATTCAATTCTGTTGAAACTGGTCATTTATTTTTGGTTGACAAAAGTATTCCCTTGATTGTCCGTGTTTGAATTGGATGCTAAGTTTGCTTTGAAGAGAACTATCTTCTGTATCTGTAATTAATTTAAAAATATAACATTACTTCTCAAGTTGCATAATTAAATGTTTTACATTTGAATGTCTTTATTTTTATGACCCACTTTAAATAAATTGTTTATACATTCAGTATAGCCAGCACATTGTTCTGAACATAAGTATTTCTCTATGAGTTCTACATTTATTGTTGACAATTTTAATCTCATAACCTTGGACAAAGTGTCTCAAACAGAGAGAGAAGTGCGCACATAGGCTTTTATATACTAAGATTGTTAATTATCCCCTGATATAAGCACTTGTTTACTTCTCATTCAGTGTTTGCTGGTGGGGGACAGTGATGGCCAGGTCACAGTTTATCAGCTGCGCTGTATGCCAAAGCCACCTGAGAATCAGGTAAAATTAAATAGTCCCATTTAATTTAACCATTTTAAGATGTCTGATAACATAAAAATTTCTTTCCATTTGTAAATTATTTTGAGATATCTGGTAAATATTTAAAATTCTTTTCATCAATCACATATTTATTATTTTGTGTTGTTTGCTTAAAAAAATATATTTGAATTATTGCTCTATGTTTACAGATGACTAGTATTGAACTCAATGTAAATATTTATTTGTATATGATTAAAGTGGTAATTGAATTAGAGAAGTTTGCATTTGGTCTGTGTTGTAAGAGGCCCTAGAGATTGATAATTTATAACTGTTCTAATTATATAGGAACATGCTTTAAAATGTATACTGATGTATAACTGATTTGGTTTTGTAGGAGGAGGCACTAAAAGAGGTCATCAAGGCATCACTAGCAAGTCAGCTGTCTGGTGCCACAGATTCTGCAGAAAATAGTGAAGACAAGGAAGCAGAAGATGAAGAAGTTGTAGAAGAGGAAGATGTCGAGTAGATGCTGGGTCCACACTCTACATAGGATATTTTTTAAAACAAATTTTCTATGTTTAGTTCCCAATTAATTAAGTTGAAATGAAATGTATGCTTTTTTTCTTTTAATGTTCTAAATATGCTGTTAAATTAAACTTTTTATTTTGTGTTACAAACACTAAATAAAAAAATTTCTAGTTTGAAATTAAGAAAAAAATATTTTTAGTGTTTTATTACATTTTTTTCAAGGGGTGTGTAGGATAAGCATATTATATATGCTGTGATGTGTTTAAATTATTCAGCTTAAATGTTAAGCTGTGATGAATCATTTATGTTTCTTTAGCAATACTCACAAAAGACAGGTTAGGCCAACTCACCAACCAGATAGTACCATTTTCTCCCTTAAATTATAACATTCGAATTTTGTACAGACTGTAGTTCTGCAGTGTAAAAAGTTGGCTTATTAAAATTTTAAACTTTTGTAGCGATCATGAGATATTTATTTTTGTTGCTAATACATTATTTAAAATCTTTTAAAATTGTTTTTTAAAATGTGGATTTGTAAATTATTTATTTGTTCTATTAAAGGAATGTTCTAATAAATAAACATTGTATATAATCAATGATAAAACCAATGCAGAATTAAAAATTTAATCAAACAGTTTTTATTGTCCTGTCTGGTTCAGACATAAAACAAAACATCTGTTGTCAACTTGTTGAACGTGAATAGGATAATTTAACTATATTTTGAGTTGTTCAACTCCTGACAGCTGAACTAGATTTAATAAACAAGTAGCCTATATACAAATAAACAAAGGTGTGACATAGAGGATCAATAGAACTTTAAATTATTTATTTCTCACTTGTTAACACAAGATCACAAACCATCTACAAAATAAATAATATCTGCCTTGTGCTTGAAACATGCCATCACTTATGCAAACCAAATACACTTTCGGATTGGTCTTTTTGTTTATAAAATATTTTTACAAGTTGTATAATGACCCCTGATCCACATATAAAAATTTTATGATGACATTCACGTCACACCAAATGTTAACACATCAGAAATCCTAGCACTAAGTAAGTATTTACTTGAATATTGTCTATACACATGTTAAGATGCTTTAGGGTATTCAATTTTTCCAGTGCTCCAGTTATATTGAAAGCCTGGTAATGTAGCTTTTTTTACTTCTGAAACCTCACTGTAGGTGAAAGGAAAAACAGTCAAGGTTAATATTTATAAATAGAAATTAAATAAGAAAAAATATTTCTGTGCTGAAAACAATGTGCATAGCAACATTTCTCTCAAATGCAATGCCGTGTGAAAATTTAACTGGAAAAAATTACCAAACGCTACATCTCTGCTTAAAGAATTAAACAAATAGTTTTGTGTATCTAACAAATTGTCACAAAAGTAAAAAATAAATAAAAAAACAACCCACCAGTACAGCAGCTCATTTGGAACTTAGCTCTAAACTTTATAAGTTTATTCTTAACCTTAATAGCAACAAAGGCAAAAAAAAACACTTTTAGCCTACATTATTAATGAAATTGAAAACCCATAGAAAAAAAAAGAATACTACAGTTATACACCACAATGTTCCTGTATTTATCTCGTCAAGACATCAAAGCTGTTTCTTGACTTGTTATTTAGTACAATAAGGATTTAGTACTTACCCAGATTGTAGCTGTTTTTGTGAGGCATCAAAAACTTGGGTAGGTGGCTGAACTTCACGACGCCCATCCCTAGTACAGTAGTAGTTACTGGAGAGTTTTGATGACACCCCAGGAGGGAGGTTGGGCAAGGGCTGCGTTCTAAATGAAAACAATGAGATTGAAATCAGTTTTTAAAGAACTTTTTATCATGCAGAACATGACAAATGCATTATTTTCATTTCTATGCTTACTTATTTCATACACCAATTTAAGCGACTCAACAGAACACATTTTGAAACATCTCATAACTATTGAGGTTTTATCATGATTTGACATTACACTTCAGTTAACTTCACTTTTTGTAAATTGAACTTAATTGTAAAAAACATGCATTAAGTATTTTTCATTTATTAACTTCTCATAATAACAGTATTAACAGCTGATCAAAGAATAGACTTACCTTTTAGCAAGATAGCCTTCATACCTATGGTTAAGTTTTGTTTCTTCATGCTAGGGAAAAGAAATGGTATAGGTCAGACCACATGACTGGGGGGGGGGGGGGTGTGTGTGTGTTGGGAGAAATCTTTTGTGATGTGAGGCCTGCTGTTGTATGGTATTGCTAGTGATGTGGGACGGGTCAGCTGTACTTCTCCTATTCCATGCACCAACTGAAATGTGCTGATACTAAAGAAAACCAAGTTCAGTGGTCCACTATCAATAGAATTTCAAGTAGATTTGGGAGAAACAGTTTACAATACTTCCAAATAGCCTGACAGACTAAACCATTGTTTTACTGTTTTTAATAACTTTTTACTGCTATACTAGTGCTATACCATTCCAGAATAATAGCCAACGCCATACTGGGGGATTGCCTCTCCTTGTTGTCTCGCTATTTACCAGATTTTCTCACTAAGTCTAAAATTTCCTCAAATTTCAATTTAAACATGATCATTGAATAATAGACATCCATATTTAATCAATTAGAGCAATTAGGCACTAATTTTGAGGTTTTTAGTTCGTTTTAAACTAAATTACTAAATTTAATATTTATTGTCCCTCACAGCTATGGCATGACACACCCTTCTATAACAGCCTATGTTATATCACTCTTACATTGTTTGAGGCCATGGCAAACCACGAATGGGTTTGACTTTTTAATTGACTATGCACCAGAGTTCCTCACTAGTGATCAACCAAATAGCGATCATGTGGTTAAAAAAAAATGGTTGTCATTCAAATGTAGTGTTTTATAAAAAAGTGGCATACAATATTTGATTTTTTTTTATAGACTGATAAACCTAATAGTTCTACAATCTTCAAATCATTTTTGTACTCGCCGGGCTGATATTTTAAAAGTTCTATTTTTTTTAATGACACCAACTTTAAAATTTAGCCTTCACTCTCCAAAGCAAATTTTAAAATGCTTTTTCTGGCATATTTAGCCCTGCCACCTAGATCTATAACTTGTTTTTATAACATGAAAACCCTGCCTTTTTGCATGTGGTAAACATTTTAAAATGTAATTTAAGAAGGTCATTGGAACGGTGATGAAAAGTCGTCGGAAACCATGCATCCGGTGTGGACGCCATATTGATGTTAGCAACCAGCCACGCCTCCAGGGGTAGCAAGCAAAACTACTATTTACCCGTCGTTCCGCAGGTATATCTCGAATTTCCCATTTTATTAAATAATTTACTAATTTACCCTCACTCATCAGCAATGACTTTAATAATTTTTATTATAATAATTTTTTTATATAAATAAGTTATAGTTATGGTAGCCTGTCACTTGACCTACTTTTTTTTACCATCATCATGGTAATGATGACAGCTGAAAATGATGATACCATGATTCCATTTTTTTAAAACAATGTTTCATGGTCATTTCAGAAATCTATACTTAAAATCGTTATTTTTGCGTATTATTCAACTTAGTTTTAACAATGGGTGATTAGTGTTTGGTGCAAACTTGCCATTTGTACATTCTTTTGGTCTAATAGCTGAGAATTTCGAGCAGAACATAAAAAAGTAAGCAAAACGTGAACTGCTTAATTTAATACGGTTGTGAACTTACTCAAAAATATGATACACTATAGAAAATTATAACTTGCTTTCTACTAAACTAATGTCATTAATGTTTTAAAAATCATGCAGTGTAAAAAACGAAACCTATAAAACATAACTTGATCGAGACAACAGCAAACTAAGCGCGCCCATTTTGCCCGCCATGTATTTGAATGGGGATAAATCTAGCAGACAACACATTTCTGCTGAATGACAGTGAATGGTCAATCACGTCATGACAACACTTCTTAAAAAAAGAATCCACCGTATCACTGAAAGAAAATCAGTCATATCATCGTAGCCATTTAAAAACAAACATTTTTTCACAAATCTTTTTCTGGGCTACCGATTAAATTTGATGAATAAAATTGATATCAAATTAAAGGTAAATAATATATATGAAGTTTTTAATTGTTTAAATAAGTCATCTTGAACAATAATGAAGTTTAAAATCTTAGCCCTTCCTTAGGCTTACGGCTTAGGTTAGGTGACACCCTAGCCGCCTAGCTAAGTTAGGGCCGGCCTAGTTAAATAGTTAATATTAGTTAACAAACTTATTTTTAAAAATTTTAACTTACACTAAGTAGCCAATTTCTGAACCTTTGAATTAGTTTTGTTACATCTCGAACTTTTTCAGGTTTTCGAAAGCTGTACGGCATCTTTATTAGATCTGATACTTCAAAAAGCCAGTATTATTTTTTTGTCAACAAACTCAACAGGAAGGTCAAACTTTGCTCTCCACATTAGGAGAATATATTCACTCAGTAAAGCCAGTTAAAAATTTGCCTATTGGGCCAAAATCTATATATATGTTAATTCTCAGAAATAGCTCTAATTTTAAAAATCGATTATAAGAGAATTCATTTCAATCTCTAAACATATATCTATGTTAAAATTACTTGTCTAGATGGACTACACTACACAGTATTATACATCGGACTTTTAAAAAATTGTAAAAAAAAAATGTTTTTTTTCTACAAAAAGGATTGAATAGTTATCATCCCTGTTTCGGTAAAGTGAATCTAAACTAACAGTAGCAATAGTTGTAATTATTTTTTTGGGGTGGGGGGGGGGGGGGGGCTAGTCTTTTAAGGCATGCCCAGCAATTTACTTAGACTAAGAACTTCATAATATATTCTAGAAAGATAAAAATTAAAAAAATAATGCATGAGAGGTGAGTCTGGTAATAGGTGAGGTAAATACTCGATTCTTCATCCCCGCTATCAGTGCTTTTTTTTCAGGCATCTTTTCAAATGGAGATTGTGTGTGAGTGAGGGGCGGGGGTGGTATGGAGAGATGCATGAAAGAAACTCTAGAGCAGGCAATATCCACATAAGAGAGATCTTCGAGAGAGAGAGAGAGTAAGAGATCGAGAGTGAGAGAGTAGTTGAGCTAACTTTCCTTTTTCTGCAGCAAAAACATACTCTCGCTTCGGCTGATTTCTTTTCCACGACCCTAACCTCGATCTGAGCACCTGTTGGTTGACGTCATCACTTCTACTCCAGCCCCGTTTCTTTTCGACGCATGTCTGTCATAAAACTCGGGCTCGTGAGCCGGCAATTAGTAACGACCTTGTTTAGATTGGGCTCAATCGACCTTGTACAGCCATAAAACACAGGAGACTACGCACATCACCCAGTTTCTTAGTCCAGGTAGTGACCCCCCCACAGGAGACTACGCACATCACCCAGTTTCTTAGTCCAGGTAGTGACCCCCCCCCCACAGGAGACTACGCACATCACCCAGTTTCTTAGTCCAGGTAGTGAACCCCCCCCCCCCCCACAGGAGACTACGCACATCACCCAGTTTCTTAGTCCAGGTAGTGACCCCCCCACAGGAGACTACGCACATCACCCAGTTTCTTAGTCCAGGTAGTGACCCCCCCCCACAGGAGACTACGCACATCACCCAGTTTCTTAGTCCAGGTAGTGAACCCCCCCCCCCCCCACAGGAGACTACGCACATCACCCAGTTTCTTAGTCCAGGTAGTGAACCCCCCCCCCCACAGGAGACTACGCACATCACCCAGTTTCTTAGTCCAGGTAGTGACCCCCCCCCCCACAGGAGACTACGCACATCACCCAGTTTCTTAGTCCAGGTAGTGACCCCCCCCCCCACAGGAGACTACGCACATCACCCAGTTTCTTAGTCCAGGTAGTGAACCCCCCCCCCCCCACAGGAGACTACGCACATCACCCAGTTTCTTAGTCCAGGTAGTGAACCCCCCCCCCCACAGGAGACTACGCACATCACCCAGTTTCTTAGTCCAGATAGTGAACCCCCCCCCCACAGGAGACTACGCACATCACCCAGTTTCTTAGTCCAGGTAGTGAACCCCCCCCCCCCCCCACAGGAGACTACGCACATCACCCTGTTTCTTAGTCCAGGTAGTGAACCCCCCCCCCCCCCCACAGGAGACTACGCACATCACCTAGTTTCTTAGTCCAGGTAGTGAACCCCCACAGGAGACTACGCCCATCACCCAGTTTCTTAGTCCAGGTAGTGACCCCCCCCCACAGGAGACTACGCACATTACCCAGTTTCTTAGTCCAGGTAGTGAACCCCCCCCCCCCCCCACAGGAGACTACGCACATCACCCAGTTTCTTAGTCCAGGTAGTGACCCCCCCCCCCCACAGGAGACTACGCACATCACCCAGTTTCTTAGTCCAGGTAGTGAACCCCCCCCCCCCCACAGGAGACTACGCACATCGCCCAGTTTCTTAGTCCAGGATATGAAACCCCCCCCCCCCCACAGGAGACTACGCACATCACCCAGTTTCTTAGTCCAGGTAGTGATCCCCCCCCCCCCCCCACAGGAGACTACGCACATCACCCAGTTTCTTAGTCCAGGTAGTGAACCCCCCCCCCCCCACAGGAGACTACGCACATCACCCAGTTTCTTAGTCCAGGTAGTGAACCCCCCCCCCCCACAGGAGACTACGCACATCACCCAGTTTCTTAGTCCAGGTAGTGATCCCCCCACAGGAGACTACGCACATCACCCAGTTTCTTAGTCCAGGTAGTGAACCCCTCACAGGAGACTACGCACATCACACAGTTTCTTAGTCCAGGTAGTTACCCCCTCTCAGGAGACTACGCACATTACCCAGTTTCTTAGTCCAGGTAGTGACCCCCTCACAGGAGACTACGCACATCACCCAGTTTCTTAGTCCAGGTAGTGACCCCCTCACAGGAGACTACGCACATCACCCAGTTTCTTAGTCCAGGTAGTGAACCCCCCCCCCCCCACAGGAGACTACGCACATCACCTAGTTTCTTAGTCCAGGTAGTGACCCCCCCCCCCCCACAGGAGACTACGCACATCACCCAGTTTCTTAGTCCAGGTAGTGACCCCCCCCCACAGGAGACTACGCACATCACCTAGTTTCTTAGCCCAGGAAGTGATCACCCCCCCCTACCCACCCACCATCCGAGCACGTCCACCTACCCCTCCCCCTCCCAGAGAAATTTTAAAAAGTTTATATAGATAATAATACTTTAACAATTGCTCCCCCCCCCTCTCCCGAGGTTTCAAGTGCCACCTGGAAGTTTTAATTGCCCCCTACTCTCCCGAATACAAATGTCTGAAAGAAACCCTTGTCCAGAGGGGATGCTGAAAGTTTTGATATGGCCTCTACAGCTCAGGCCTAACATATACATATTCGGTTTACGATTGGAGGTAAGTACATAAACATAAAAGACAATAAAACCATATTTTCTCTACTATGCCATACAAGTAGGTTAAGAGGTGTGGTTAGGAAAGCTGATAAACATTTAGAAACGTGATGCGAAACAATCAGATGGGCTCCTTTTATTACAACATCCTTCTTGGTGTGGGCAAATATAAGCCCGGGTCTATGGTCAACCTAGACTAGAACATTCAACAGCACGGCAGTCACCATGAACGTTCTGCTAGTTTTTATTGGACTCGTGGGTAAGAAAAAATTCCGGTAAAAAAATCTGCTCAATGTTTCCTCTAAGGGGAAAAAGCTAGTGTGCAACGTATGTTTTGTGTGCGCGGTGCTTTAAATGTTTATACAGGCTATATGTATTTTATAAAATTACTGCGCGGACGCGCAACCGCGCAGCTTAAAAGGAACATTGATTCTGTTTCCATCCGGTGAGCGCGCAGGTATCTGGGTCATCTGATGGCGGAAATATAACTTTGAGAAACAGAGTTCAACAATACACAACATGTTATTTGTTGTTTAAGTTTAAAACAATGGCAATCACGATTAATATAGAACACTGTTTTTTTTTTTAAAAGTTCCCTTTTCGAACCTAACGGTTCAAGTGGGAGGCGCAGTAGAGTTCTCGTGTTTCTGTGACCTCGGTATATGAAGGAATAGTATTGTCAGCACTGTGCCCAGTCGCTTTTACTTTCCCTAACATGAGTTAGGTACCCATCAGAACTGGATGGACTTCAGGACGTATTATTTATTTTAACCTGGATTCGAACTCGAGACTTTCGGGATAGCAGCCTAACGTTCTACCCCGTGGCCAGTAGTTTAGAACTGTCCCATTCTCTGTAAGTTAATTTACAATTTAGTTTATTGCAATTAAATGGCTTTCTAAGCGGAAACTAAGAATAGTTTAAAAAAACAATAAGCTAAGAACCAAAAGTGCGAGAAAAATTAAAGTAGGCTAATACTTTTTTGTTTTGAAGTCCCAACCCTTGCGGCCCCGGAGAAGCGAATCGTGAACGGACAAGCAGCCAGCCTGTTCGAACATCCCCACCAAGTTTCACTGCAGGCTTATTCGGCCCCCTACGGCTGGTATCACACATGTGGAGGTGTACTCATTGCAGTCGACAAAGTAGGTTTTCTCCAGACTGTAAAATTACCTAAAAAAAAAAAACACGACAGTTAAATTTTTTTTTTGCGAACTTTATACAGTACTTTAATGGATTTTTTTCTACCTCCTATTCATTGTTTTGTTGACTAACCACGTGACCAGGTGCTGACCGCTGCCCACTGTGTGGACAAGTCCCAGGCCAGGAATCTCCGTGTCATCGTCGGCGCCCTGAACCTGAACAGCCCCAATGAGTACACCCAGACACTGGGCGTGGCCTCCTACGTCATGCACGAGCTCTACAACGCCAACGGCAACGGCTACCCCAATGACATCGCCGTCATCTACCTGCAGACTCCAGCAACACTGAACAGAAACGTTCAGGTAAGTAAATAAAACAAACGTAAGCACAACTTACAAAGCTTTTAAATGCACTGAAAATTTAAACAATACACATATGTTATCTTTAATAAAAGCATTGGTTGCTCAAGAAATCTCTTAAAACATTTTAGTAACTATCAAAAAACGCTGTATAATGGTAACACTATTTCTACCCAATCCTCTGTGAATGCATAAAAAGTAAAGTTTCCCTTTCAAACTTGACGGTCTATGGGACAAGTGAAGTAGAGTTCACTTGTTTCTTTGACCTCGGCATATGCAGAGATAATGTGGTCAGTACTATGCCCAGCCGCCTTTACTTTCCCTAACGTGAGTTAGGTACCCATTAGAGTTGGGTGGACTCAGGGAGGTCTACTGACTTGAACCCGGATTCGTACTTCGAGACTTACGGGTTAGTAGCCCAGCTCTCTACCGCTAGACCACTCCGTCCCTGTGAATGAATTACTCTTGACTTATTCCTTTGTGGTCCCTGTGGTGCAAAGAGCTGCAATCACACGTCTCCACCGGGGTCATTTTTGAGCAGCCTCTGGGAAGAGACAACATTATTTCTACCAAATCCTCTGTGAATAGATAACATTATTTCTACCAAATCCTCTGTGAATAGATAACATTATTTCTACCCAAGCCTCGGTGAATAGATAACATTATTTCTACCCAAGCCTCGGTGAATAGATAACATTATTTCTACCCAAGCCTCGGTGAATAGACAACATTATTTCTACCCAAGCCTCCATGAATAGATAACATTATTTCTACCCAAGCCTCTATAAATAGATAACATTATTTCTACCAAATCCTCTGTGAATAGATAACATTATTTCTACCCAAGCCTTGGTGAATAGATAACATTATTTCTACCCAAGCCTCGGTGAATAGATAACATTATTTCTACCAAATCCTCGGTGAATAGATAACATTATTTCTACCCAAGCCTCTATAAATAGATAACATTATTTTTACCCAAGCCTCCATGAATAGATAACATTATTTCTACCCAAGCCTCCATGAATAGATAACATTATTTCTACCCAAGCCTCTATAAATAGATAACATTATTTCTACTCAAGCCTCGGTGAATAGAAAACATTATTTCTACCCACCCTTCCTGTGCCCCCCAGCTCGCCTCATTGGCACCCAAGGGCTCATCGTTTGCTGACACGACTTGCGTCATCACTGGCTGGGGCAGAACTTCCGGTACCGGCAGTACCTCCACCATCCTGCTTGAGGCCCACATCACCAAGATCACCAGAGAGGCTTGTCACGCCATCTGGAGTCAGTACGGAGTCAGCATCACCGCCAAGCACATTTGTGTGTACGAGGAGTCAGGTAGGGGGAACTACCCGCTAAATTCATTCTGTCTTGTTCTGACTTGCTACACCAAGACGCTTTATTTCAGTGGAATGGTTTTTGGTTTTCGTTTATCTGAAGTGCTTCCTTTTATGGAACGTCCTTCAATTTATTAGACCCCCCCCCCCGCCCACCCGTCTCTATATTGACACTATAGATTTTAATCAAATTATTGTTAAATTGTTCAACAACAATTTAAAAAAAAAAAGAATTCGACATTTTTATTTACCCCCCCTCCCAGGGGCGTAGCGAGGGGGGGGGGGGTGCGGACCGCACCGGGTGACACCATTTAGGGGGGTGACACCAAGGCAAAAAATAGCAAAATATAGAGAGAAAAACTTGAGGGGGGGGGGTGCAAATCGAAAACTTGAGGGGGGGGGGTGCAAATCAAAAGTTTGAGGGGTGGGGGGGGGGGGGGGGTGCAAATCGAAAATTTGAAAGTTTGTCCCCGGGAAGGGTCGCAACGCCTCTGGGGGGGGGGGGGTGACACCATTAAGTGCCGCACCGGGTGACACCCGACCTTGCTACGCCACTGCCCCCTCCTAACTTTCAAAGCTTTTGGACCTTTTGTGTGCAAGACGTCATTTAAACCTTTGCACAGCCTGATATAATTATAATGGAAATAATATATATTTGTTTCGTTAAATCGCATTTGTTCCGTTCATTTCAACTAATCATTTTTAAAATGTTCTGTTCCAGGTTCCAGCGGGTCCCGCCCCAGTTCCTGTATGGGTGACAGCGGCGGCCCTATGATGTGTGGCAGGAACTACGAGTACCGCCTTGTGACGTCATGGGGAGCCAGCTCGTGCAGTGGTGAGTTGACCTGTTGTAGGCTCCGTGATTCATGTTTTTATATGTGATTCTGTGTTTTTATATGTGATTCATGTTTTTATATGTGATTCATGTTTTTATATGTGAATTCATGTTTTTTATATGTGATTCATGTTTTTATATGTGATTCATGTTTTTATATGTGATTCATGTTTTTATATGTGATTCATGTTTTTATATGTGATTCATGTATTTATATGTGATTCATGTTTTTAATATGTGATTCATGTTTTTATATGTGATTCATGTTTTTTATATATTGATTCATGTTTTTATATGTGATTCATGTTTTTAATATGTCAGTTTTATCAGGCCGGCATTATACACAGTTCATCAACCTAGACATAAACATAGTTTTGACCACTCCATATTATGTTATACCGTCTCTGTTTGTACTATATATTGTTATAAATTATATTATAAGAACGTATACAATCCCACCTCACCTGACCGATCAATGGACACGAGCGAGAAAAGTCTCAAAGGTATTTGAGAGGTGCATAAATTAATTTAAAATCTTGCACGGCGTAGTTACAATTAATATGGTTATAAAATCCTGTCTTTCTGGTTATTTTTGGACTTTACTAAAGATTGGACGTATTTGATGTTTTTAATATTTTCGGTAACTAAATAAAATTTAAAAAAAAAGCAAAAACAATTTGGTTTTCACGTGTAATGGCGACATAAACAATGGCATCCTGCAATGGATAGGCCGCCATTGATTTTATTGTACACATTGTAAGCTAAAAATAGAAAACTAGGTCATGGGGTTTTAAATTTGCATTGTAATTTAAAAACTGATCTGCAAAGTTTTGTAAACAAATAGTTATCGATCACTAAGTTACTGTACAGCCAATCAATATTTGTCTTACGAAAGGTGAAACATCCGGTTATAACTTAGGCTTGATAAAAATAAATAGAAATGTAGCCTTAAACTCAACAAATTATTTTCAAGTTCTCTGGATTTGCAACTTTTTATAGGCATTTATTCTAAAAATATAAAATTTCTAAATTAATTTTAGGCTTAAGTTTTTATTTTTTATTTTTTTTACGGTCTAAATCTAAAAAGCACGTTTTTACTCCATGTCAACAACATTATAGAAGGAATCTCGTTCAACTCGCTCGCCTCCATTGAACGCTACAACCTAGTTACCCACGTTCTTTACTAAATATAATAATCTAAAATAATTTATAATGCACAATTCATAATCACTTTAGGTTAATGATTTTTTCTATGATATTGTCAACGTAGATGCACTTATCTGCAAGGTTTGAAAGAAATCGTTCTATTAGAAATTGGTTAAAAATAGAGTTACAGGCTTTTTTTTCCCAAAACTCAGATATTTTGAAATAAGTAAAAACTTGTAATAAAATTACGTTTAGCATTATTTTTTTTATATTAATGTAACATAAAGACATATGGTCCAGAGGAAGTAAAGTTCATTTCAATAACCTCGGTATACAGGGGGTATTAAGTAGTCAGCACTATGGCAAGCTGTCTTTGTTTCCCTAACTTGAAGTCAGGCCACTCATCAGAACTAGATGTACTCAGGGGACGTTCTGCAACTTGAGCCGGGATACGAACTCGAGACTTTTCTGGTTAGCAGACTAGCGCTCAATCTCTCACCACGCCCCACCCTCTTCTATTATAAGATATAGGTCTATTATTGGATGAATTGTCTCCAGAGTTTCTTCCAGGCATCTCTTCGGGGGGGGGGGGGGGGGGGGGGGGGGCGAAGCCCCCCCCCCCCCCACCCGAACGAAATGAAATTATATAATTTATTTAGAAAATATATACTTTTAACAGTGTCCGACCCCCCCCCCCCCGAAGAGAAAGTTTACCGCCCCCCCCCCCTCCGAAAATTTCAAGTGCCCCCCACCCCCCCACCCGAGAAAAAAGTCTGGAAGAAACACTGATTGTCTCTTATTGTGTAGCTGTACCCACCATATTCTATTAGTGCAGTCGTCACGTTTACACTTATGGTCGGGTTAGGGCTAGTGTTTTAGCTTTAGAGTTAGGGCTAGTATTTTAAGCTTTAGAGTTAGGGCTAGTGTTTTAGCTTTAGAGTTAGGGGCTAGTATTTTAGCTTTAGAGTTAGGGCTAGTGTTTTAGCTTTAGAGTTAGGGCTAGTGTTTTAGCTTTAGAGTTAGGGCTAGTCATTTTAGCTTAGAGTTAGGGCTAGTGTTTTAGCTTTAGGAGTAGGGCTAAGTATTTTAGCTTTAGAGTTAGGGCTAGTTTTTTAGCTTTAGAGTTAGGGCTAGTGTTTTAGCTATAGAGTTAGGGCTAGTATTTTAGCTTTAGAGTTAGGGCTAGTGTTTTAGCTTTAGAGTTAGGGCCTAGTATTTTAGCTTTAGAGTTAGGGCTAGTATTTTAGCTTTAGAGTTAGGGCTAGTATTTTAGCTTTAGAGTTAGGGGCTAGTGTTTTAGCTTTAGAGTTAGGGCTAGTGTTTTAGCTTTAGAGTTAGGGCTAGTGTTTTAGCTTTAGAGTTAGGGCTAGTGTTTTAGCTTTAGAGTTATGGGCTAGTGTTTTAGCTTTAGAGTTAGGGCTAGTGGTTTTAGCTTTAGAGTTAGGGCTATGGCTGAACTTCATTATTAATGATATGATCAATGATATGATCTAGGCGATCATGCAAATTGAGTAGATCGTTCCGCAGAGTGTCAGCGTGACGCCATCTGCTTCCATTATCGCCCGAACGTTTATCTGTAACTTATCTAATTTTATTTCCAGGAGATTTCCCCAGTGTGTACACCAGAGTGTCTGAGTACGTGGACTGGGTCAACGCTCACCTATAAACACACTACACACGTCACTGGCGTCTATAAACACCAGTGTGTTAGACACTGTGTCTCTAGTATGACAACGTTCAATAAAAACTACCAATTGATATCAACAAACATGTTGTTTTTTATTTAGCGTAAACAAAATTTATGATGATGTAAGTAGTCCCCGTAATTGCGTAGGGATATATTTAGTTGCAAAAAGGTCCAGGAAGCCATACTACGATGATGAGACCACACTACGGGAGATAAGCTTACTCGTGTTCTAAATACGATAATACATTAATTAGCATTGTTTTAAGTATAATTCAATTGGCATTGAAAAAAAACCCATCAAGGTTTTATTTATTGGAAACAAAAAGCTAGCCGGTATTTTAAAGACTTCGAATTGAAGACCATAGGACAAGCATGTGACATCATGGAAAAGAATCTCTCTATCTAACCTTGCAGCCCGCACGGGACAGAAGCAGTAGAGTTTACATATACATATGGTCATAGGAGCCTTTCATCATAAGCAACTCTGTCGAATCACATTTGAAACAACTGTACCTTATTATATCCTCTGCTACAACAAAACAAATAGGTTGGAGCAATGTGGTCTGGGGGTAGAGCGCACGACTACTAGACCTAAATTCACAAGGTCGTAGTCCCGGGCTCGAGACCAACTAGGTTCATGTGCTAAGGTCACAAAAATAGGTGTACTCTACTTCACCTGTCCTATTGACCACCAAGTTCGTAAACAAATAAACACGAATGTTAAAAACTACCCAAAGAAAACAAAGAAACAAGTTCAGTAATGTATTCATTTATTGCTGTTCAAAAGTTAGACCAAAAAATCAATCAACTTGCATAGAGAAAACATATATCACTCGACATAACAAATTATCTATTTTTAGCAGCTTTTCGCGAACATTTCGCGATCAGCTGAGATGACAAAGACAGCGTGAGATGATGAAATTATACGAAAAATCAACATTGCATTCATTATAAATAATCAAAGTATATTTATAATTATATACAAAGAAAAAAATCCGATTTGAACCACTGTCTACTTGAGTCGTGATTTATTTGTCACGGATATCACGTGACGTTATACACATTGCTTTTCTGGAAACTTCTCGTGAAGTTGTGCGCATTTTTCGTTAGACATCTCGCATTTTTCAACAATGGGTAGACTTATAGACGTTTTTTGCCATAGGCCATTCAAATAATGCTATCAGACGTTGCTAACTCTAATCTATTCGCTATATATAAAAAAAGTTTTTCTGATAAAAATGGTACCTGTAGTGTTATAGAGACGTAGTCGCCATCTTGTTGCCTACACTCCCTCGTGGCCTTACCCCTGAGACAACCAATCATTTCAGCGAACGTACTTGCTATCCAACAGAACAATGGCTAACATTATCAGCCAATCAAATTATAGTTTAGTGAATCAGCAGGCCACAACTGAACTCCACCCCCAACCGAAGCAGACGATAGTTTTGTTCGGCCAAGGGTCAAATAATTTATATCACGTGGGTTGGTCAGTTTGTGTGGACACGGGTCAACGGGTCAACCCGTGTATACTACTGAGTTCAATACAATTAACTGGGTTCACTAACAAATGTAAGTTTTTAAAATATAAAGACAATAACAAAATGTAATCGATAACAATCATGTAACATTACCGTCTGAAAGAATGTAAACTTCAGCGTTAAGTACAATAGCTACACGTGAACAGAGTTTTATTTACATTACAAAACACACTTATTCATCGTAAACTGATGCTGTAAAATGTGTAGTCATACATACATGAGTCACCGTAGCATCTTTTAGGCTCCATGGCTCTGATATGCTAACCAACCGATGGTAAGAATACAAACTTCAACGGTTGATATAATAAGATATTATGTAGATACATGGTTTTGTCGAGTGGGACGGCGTGGCCAAGCGGTAGAGCGCTGTACTGCTAGCCCAAAAGTCTCGAGTTCGAAGCCGAGTTACAAGAAACGTCTCTGAGACCCACAGTTCTAATGGGTACCTAACTAACGTGAGGTGTATTAACGGGGGCTTGGTAAGTGCTGACCACGTTATCCCGTCAAATGCCCTAGGGCAAGAAATATATGAGTTCTACTACATCTTCCCAAATGGATCGTTATGTCTAAAGAGGAATCTTTACTTTTTACTTTATGTTTGCGTTGACGATTTAAAAAAAAAAAGACTTTAAAAACGTGAAATAGTGGCTAAAATTTAATTTCTAACATTACTTCTTAAAATTGATAAGTGTGTCGTCACAGTTTTTACCCCCTCCACCACGTCACACATCGCCCCCCGACCCCTTACAGATAATTTGTTTAACTCTTGGCCTGTTGTCATCAGTATACCAACAACCATCCATTTTTGTCGAAACCAGATACAACAACAGAGGCGTAGCGAGGGGGGGGGGGCGGGGGGGGGGGACATATGTCCCCGGGCGCCGACCTTAGGGGGGGGGGGGGCGCCAAATTGAAAGTTTGAGGGGGGGGGGGGTGCAAATGAAAAGTTCGAGGGGGGGGGTGTGCAAATCGAAAGTTTGAGGGGGGGGGGGGTGCAAATGAAAAGTTCGAGGGGGGGGGGGGTGGGTGCAAATCGAAAATTTGCTCCCGAGGGGGGCGCCAAATTGAAAGTATGTCCCCGGGCGCCGGGAAGGGTCGCTACGCCTCTGTACAACAATGCATCGTGTCGTGATACGAAGCAGTTGTTGTATGTCAAGCAATTTGTTTCAGATTTTTTTATATGGTAGGACCGTCACCCACTGGTCCCGTGGGGGTAGTGCTGCACTGGTAACTTTTTTTTCTGATCATTAAGTTCAAATATCTCTTTCCAAGTTAAAGTCTCTTTATGAGTTAATCTCTTTTTTAGTTAAAGTATCTAAAAAAAAATTAAAATTATTGTGAGAAAAATAAACTAAATAGTTTAAATGTTAAAAACTCGACGGTCGAAATGGCAGCCTCGTTCTAATCTACGGCAATGTCTAATTATGAGTTGGCTATTTCTGCGTTTTACTTCAAATCAGTCTTAATCATCTTGCAGTATACTGTACAGAGTACATGTCAAGTAGATAATCTATGTGTTATAAATGTAGCGAGTAGGCCTATACCCCACCTGTCTGTAACCTTAGCTTTAGTAGACTACTGTCCTAACCCCTTACCATAACCACACAGACCAAAAGTATCTTACCAAGTGACCATACACTCTGATCCTAACTAACTATGGACGGTCTTCAACACTGTAAACAATACTGCCATGCTAGGAATAAAAAAGAAAAAGTGCCGCGTATGGATACATTGTCCACCCAGGTCATAGATCACTCACAACAAACAAAACCATAACAACAAAGTAAATATACATATCTATTCTTTAGGTACAAAAGAGTAAAAAAAAATCTGCTTTAAACAAGAGTTATACAAGTAATGATAAAACATGATAGTATGATGTGCGTGTTAAATAATTTAATTTAGGGATAAACATAAAACCACACAACGGAGCTCAAATTGAATTAGTCTTTTGTAGAGGGAAAGAACCATTAGTAATAATTAGTTATTGGGCAATTTTACGACATACTTCAGTTTTATTGTCTATGTTTCTGCTATTTAATCCCATTCTTGTTTTTTTTAAACTGTTGGTGATTACATACATTCATCCCAGTATATCCGCGTTACTTGTGTGCAACTACGGGTAGATAACCCATACTTGTAGGCGTTTAAATGGACGGAATTGAGTTGTGGGACTTTGATACATGCTAAAGAGGTTTCGTATGTTCCGTAACAAAATACATAATTTTGTGTCGTGGCAGAAGAGTATTTTCCCGACGATCAAACGATGAAGTAGATGTAGACATGGTTGATGTTTTGTGGCATAGCAGATCACATAACGACATAATTGGTGGCAATTAGGCTTTGGTGCTGATCGCGTCATAAGGGATCACATAATGACATAGACATAATGGTGTCCAGGGTGGTATGGTGAGTATCTTGATGATTGAAGGGGTGTCTCATTTGGTGATAAGGGTGTTTTATTGGTGATAAGGGTGTCTCGATGTATTTATCCAGGCGGGTATATCCAGACACCGGACAGTAAAATGGTGTTGATGGTGTCATGACAAATTTATCCTGGCAGTTGTACGCTGGTGTGGATGGTACCGTGACGCCATATCCCAAAAAGATCATATCCCGAAGATCACAAGATCATGACGTCAGACCTCCTCTGGTTCACCCCCCATGCTCTGTCGGGTCAGGAAATCGATGGCCAAACTCAGGCGTCTGTTTTTTGCCATGACCTGTAACACAGTGGTTGTATTGTGTATACAGAGAGACACGTCGACATACACACTATTAGACATGAATATGGCGATTGTAGTTACTACACTACTTTATATTTGATCAATACAAACATGTTAGAAAAGTGAGTAAAAAATTTGAATAGAAATCTAAATATTGAGAAAAACAGCAGTGTATCAAAATGAAGGCCACCAATCATTTGAAGAGTCTACCTACATAAAACATTTCAAGTTTTAAATTATACATTTAAATTAAAAAAAGACATATGCCGATTTTAAGTTGTGACATTACGTCTTCTTTTAATTTTTTTTTAGAAAAGTTTTTAGTTAATACGTCGATTTGGTATGCCATCAACTCTACCTTTAAAGACTCGGCAAAATAAGAGACGGGGGTGGGGGGGGGGGGGGTGGGGGGGGGTGGGAAGGTAAAGGCGCGTTGTATTAATTAAGTAAAGAGCATCATGAATGAGTGGGGCCAGTCAAGATGACTGGGTGCCAGAGGCGTAGCGAGGGGGGGAGGGCGGGGGGTGCGGACCGCACCGGGTGACACCATTTAGGGGGGTGACACCAAGGCAAAAAAATAGCAAAATATATAGAGAAAAACTTGAGGGGGGGTGCAAATCGAAAGTTTGAGGGGGGGGGGGGTGCAAATAGAAAATTTGAAAGTTTGTCCCCGGGAAGGGTCGCTACGCCACTAAGTGCCGCACCGTGTGACACCCGACCTCGCTACGCCACTGCTGGGTGCTCACCTCCATCAGTCGACTCTCAAGGTCAATCTCAGACTTCCTCCAGAGGGTGAGTACGTCCTCTTTAGACAGCGCCTCCAGCGTGCACTCGTCGATAAAATCTGCCGGCAGGTGGCTCTGGTAGCCGGACATGGCGTGGCGGCGTAGGGTGGACTTGACACGGTTGTCCTGGAAGTAATTATCTCTTTAAGTTTAAGAAGACAACAGACCACACAATAGACCAAATGTTATAGGCTACAGACCAAAGACCCCAGACCAAAGTCCACAGGCCACATACACAGACCACATACCACAGACCATATGCTATAGGCCACAGACCACAAACCACATACTACAGGCTACAGACCACAGACCATAAGCCACATACCAGTAAACTCACACCATAAACCACAGACCATAGGCAAAGGTCGTTAGAAAATAAACCCCAACGATAATGAGATCTTAACTTAGAAATATTATTATGTATATATATATATATATATATATATATATATATATATATATATATATATATATATATATATATATATATATATATATATATATATATTCTACTTAATTTTGTACTAAATTGTTATGATTTAAATTAAAACTAATAACAAAATAATTTCTACCTAAAAGAATGTTACTCGGCAGAATGAATCCCCAAAATATTAGCCGTAGATAATAGACTGTACAATGCCCACCTTAAGCAGGCCATGAGATTTCTACTGCCGTGCTACTTAACACCCCCTCCCCCCCCCCCCCTCAATGTGTTATCAAACAAACCATTATAAAAACAGTAAGAGCAATGGACGGGCATGTTGCCAGCCATTCGCTTAAACACCCGTCAAGTAGAAATAGCTTGTCTAGACTTGTTTTTTTTATAGCTAACTTTTACCGTAATTACAGTAACAGTGAGTAACATCACATAGCCAAAACACCACATTAAAGTGGGGTGGTCTTTTTCTTCAAATCACACACTGAACTCTCGTTATATGTGCGTGGCAGTTTGTGATACGACGTAAACACATTATGTAAATGTCATGAGAAAAGATTTTTACTAATAAAACACTGATCACATTAATCTCAGCCTGAGTTTAAAAGCATGTAAAATATAATTAAGAAAACTTGAAGAAACAGTCATCAGATGGCGTGATACACGCTTGGTGATACTATTTTCGGCATTTGTTACTTGTTTTTTTCGGTTTATCGAATTGAAAGTTCGAATGACGAGTTAAAAAAAAAAAGATCGATTATTGGTCGAATTCCATCTGCACATCTTATATATGAGTTGCCGCACCGTAAAGTTTACCAGAGGCCATGACCTTGACCTTCAAAGTGCAACCGTTATTATTTATTTTGAAGGCAATCATCACCTGTCTCTTGAAGCAGAGGTCATTTCAAAGGGATGACTTCAATCGGAGACAATTTCCATCGGTCATTTGGAAGCGACTTAATTAACTAGGACTTCGTTAAGATCGGATGGCAAGTCAAGAAGCCGCGACTTACCTTCAGCTTGAGGTTTCGTTGGAAATAATCACTCTTGGGTTTATCAAAACTCGCGCGCTGTTTCGTGTTGTTGGGCAGGTCACGTGACACGCCATCAGCCATGTTGTCGTGAACTTTGCCCTGGTGCTTGTCGCCTGGCGCCCCATTGTGGCCTCGTCTGGCGCCCTCGTGGGGGCGGTAGCAGATGTCCGCGTCGGTGTAGCTGCCACCCTGGGGCCGGGGGGTGGGGGAATGTGCTTGGCGAGGCACGGAGTCAGACGAGGCTGAGCGGGGAATTTTCGTCCTTTGTTGGTTTTTCGTTTTAGGAATGAGTTTCGTCCCCAGCTCGCCCGAGGGGGGTCTGGTATCTCCAGGATCACCCGTAAGGCAGTTGACACAGTGAGGAGGGTCGGGCTCACCCGGGGGGTGCGTGTCGTCGCTGTGGACATGGACGGACACCCGCGGGACCAAGTTTTTGCTGCCGACGAGGGAGGGCGTGGAGGAGCTACACACGGAGTCAGTGCATTCTGGGAAATCTTCCGTGCTGGGGGAGGTGGGGGACGGAAGGGGGGAGAACTCCCGCTTCTCCTCGATGGGGGACTGGAGGGAAGAGGAGGTGGGGGAGTTGTAGTAGACGCTCCCCTTGCTGGGTGGGGGGATGACAAACGTTTCAGGCGTGTCTCCTGTGTCCCCCGGCCCGCGTTGGATTCGATCCTCTTCAGCACAAGACACAACCTGGCAGTTCATGTCGCTCTCTTTGAGTTGCGATTTGTTTGAAATATGCGAAACGCCGCTCAACATCCCACTATCTACGTAGTGTCTATGCCGACGAGGGTAGTACAGAAAAAACGAATCGGAAATTTTCCTGGAGCGGGCTTCAGGACTATGTGGAGGGTTGCATAGCGACCGCGACGACAACTTCCGTCCTGCGTTGCCGCTGGGTTCAACGTGTAAGGAGTTGCCGAGCCTCGTTTTGGAGAACACGTCCTCGTCCTCGTCACTCGAGCTGGCCGTCTGCCGGGGGTAGAGTTGACCCAGCGTCACCCCGGAGTTGTCGCCAGTGTAGGCGGCGTTGTTGACGCCCAAGGTATCGAAGTCGTATTCGTCCTTTATTTCGTTGCAGGTTTCGCGTAAGTTCTCGAAATCGATTTCTGCTTCTGAATTTTCCGCCGTTTCAGAGGCCGACTGCAGTTGTCTGTGGTAACTGGAAATAAAAATGGCGATTAAAACTGACAAACATACTCGAATATACATACCCATACAAATAAGACATTGACAAAATATCATTGTTACATACGATACTATAACAAAATATTATTGGTACACACTATATAATGACAATATGATAACAAAATATTATTGTTCCCACGTTACCTTAACATGTAAACCAGTAAAGTCTCTTAATTATCGGTTCTCAAAACATTTTTTAAAAAATAAATAAGTAGGTAGGCTAAAAATAGTTTAGTTTTTTTCACAGCTTCTAAAATGTTTACAAATTATTACACACACTTTTTTTCATCACCGCTCCCTCTTTTAAGATCTATTTTTAGCCAGTCGTCCATCCAATATGCCCCCCCCCCCTCCCCCACCATGTCATCCATCACGTGACCCATGTACGTTAAATCTATTAAAACGTTCTTGACCACGGGTAAGCCGTCAACGGTGAGAGGATAACCTTCTTACTAAACTAAACCCTGATTAATGCCCGTCTCCCCCCGTCACAATACACTTCCCCCGGGGGCCCCCCGAGGGGAGCTCCCTCTAATCTTCATAAATGGTGAGCCGGCAACACAGTCCGGACCAAGATGGCGGCCGGTGAGAAATGATTGGCTGGGTAAACAGTGAGGGATCTGACGGTACATGTAAGCCGGTAGGGGGATCGATGTCCATGTTGATGTGGGGAACTTGAGGCCAAGTGGGGAACTTGAGGCCATGTGGGGAACTTGAGGCCATGTGGGGAACTTGAGGCCAAGGGGGAACTTGAGGCCATGGGGGGAACTTGAGGCCAAGGGGGGAACTTGAGGTCATGTGGGGAACTTGAGGCCAAGGGGGGAAATTGAGGCCATGTGGGGAACTTGAGGCCAAGGGGGGAACTTGAGGCCATGGGGGAACTTGAGGCCAAGGGGGGAACTTGAGGCCATGGGGGGAACTTGAGGCTATGTGGGGAACTTGAGGCTATGTTGGCGTGGGGAACTTGATGCCAAGGGGGGAACTTGAGGCCATGGGGGGAACTTGAGGCCAAGGGGGGAACTTGAGGCCAAGGGGGGAACTTGAGGCCATGGGGGGAACTTGAGGCTATGTGGGGAACTTGAGGCTATGTTGGCGTGGGGAACTTGATGCCAAGGGGGGAACTTGAGGCCATGGGGGGAACTTGAGGCCAAGGGGGGAACTTGAGGCCATGGGGGGAACTTGAGGCTATGTGGGGAACTTGAGGCTATGTTGGCGTGGGGAACTTGATGCCAAGGGGGGAACTTGAGGCCATGGGGGGAACTTGAGGTCCTGGGGGGAACTTGAGGCAAAGGGGGAACTTGAGGTCAAGGGGGAAACTTGAGGCCATGGGGGGATTTTGAGGCCATGGGGGGAACTTGAGGTAATGTGGGGAACTTGAGGCCATGTGGGGACCTTGAGGTCATGGGGGGGGGGGGAACTTGAGGTCAAGGGGGGGAACCTGAGGCCAAGGGGGGAACTTGAGGCCATGTGGGGAACTTAAAGCCATGTTGCGTGGGGAACTTGAGGCCAAGGGGGGAACTTGAGGCCAAGGTGGGAACTTGAGGCCAAGGGGGGAACTTGAGGCCAAGGGGGGAACTTGAGGCCAAGGGGGGAACTTGAGGTCATGGGGGGGGGGGGGGAATTTGAGGCAAAGGGGGGAACTTGAGGCCATGTGGGGAACTTAAAGCCATGTTGCGTGGGGAACTTGAGGCCAAGGGGGGAACTTGAGGCCAAGGTGGGAACTTGAGGCCAAGGGGGGAACTTGAGGCCAGGGGGGGAACTTGAGGCCAAGGTGGGAACTTGAGGCCAAGGGGGGAACTTGAGGCCAAGGTGGGAACTTGAGGCCAGGGGGGGGGGAACTTGAGGCCATGTGGGGAACTTGAACCCATGTGGGGAACTTGAGGCCATGTGGGGAACTTGAACCCATGTGGGGAACTTGAACCCATGTGGGGAACTTGAGGCCATGGGGGGAACTTGAACCCATGTGGGGAACTTGAGGCCATGTGGGGAACTTGAACCCATGTGGGGAACTTGAGGCCATGAGGGGAACTTGAGGCCATTGGGGAACTTGAGGCCATGGGGGGAACTTGAGGCCATGGGAGAACTTGAGGTCATGTGGGGAACTTGAGGCCAAGGGGGGAAATTGAGGCCATGTGGGGAACTTGAGGCCAAGGGGGGAACTTGAGGCCATGGGGGAACTTGAGGCCAAGGGGGGAACTTGAGGCCATGGGGGGAACTTGAGGCTATGTGGGGAACTTGAGGCTATGTTGGCGTGGGGAACTTGATGCCAAGGGGGGAACTTGAGGCCATGGGGGGAACTTGAGGCCAAGGGGGGAACTTGAGGCCAAGGGGGGAACTTGAGGCCATGGGGGGAACTTGAGGCTATGTGGGGAACTTGAGGCTATGTTGGCGTGGGGAACTTGATGCCAAGGGGGGAACTTGAGGCCATGGGGGGAACTTGAGGCCAAGGGGGGAACTTGAGGCCATGGGGGGAACTTGAGGCTATGTGGGGAACTTGAGGCTATGTTGGCGTGGGGAACTTGATGCCAAGGGGGGAACTTGAGGCCATGGGGGGAACTTGAGGTCCTGGGGGGAACTTGAGGCAAAGGGGGAACTTGAGGTCAAGGGGGAAACTTGAGGCCATGGGGGGATTTTGAGGCCATGGGGGGAACTTGAGGTAATGTGGGGAACTTGAGGCCATGTGGGGACCTTGAGGTCATGGGGGGGGGAACTTGAGGTCAAGGGGGGGAACCTGAGGCCAAGGGGGGAACTTGAGGCCATGTGGGGAACTTAAAGCCATGTTGCGTGGGGAACTTGAGGCCAAGGGGGGAACTTGAGGCCAAGGGGGGAACTTGAGGCCAAGGTGGGAACTTGAGGCCAAGGGGGGAACTTGAGGCCAAGGGGGGAACTTGAGGCCAAGGGGGGAACTTGAGGCCAAGGTGGGAACTTGAGGCCAAGGGGGGAACTTGAGGCCAAGGGGGGAACTTGAGGCCAAGGGGGGAACTTGAGGTCATGGGGGGGGGGGGAATTTGAGGCAAAGGGGGGAACTTGAGGCCATGTGGGGAACTTAAAGCCATGTTGCGTGGGGAACTTGAGGCCAAGGGGGGAACTTGAGGCCAAGGTGGGAACTTGAGGCCAAGGGGGGAACTTGAGGCCAAGGGGGGAACTTGAGGCCAAGGGGGGAACTTGAGGTCATGGGGGGGGGGGAATTTGAGGCAAAGGGGGGAACTTGAGGTCAAGGGGGGGAACCTGAGGCCAAGGGGGGAACTTGAGGCCAAGGGGGGAACTTGAGGCCAAGGGGGGAACTTGAGGTCATGGGGGGGGGGGGGAACTTGAGGCCATGTGGGGAACTTAAAGCCATGTTGCGTGGGGAACTTGAGGCCAAGGGGGGAACTTGAGGCCAGGGTGGGAACTTGAGGCCAGGGGGGGGGGGGGAACTTGAGGCCATGTGGGGAACTTGAACCCATGTGGGGAACTTGAGGCCATGTGGGGAACTTGAACCCATGTGGGGAACTTGAACCCATGTGGGGAACTTGAGGCCATGGGGGGAACTTGAACCCATGTGGGGAACTTGAGGCCATGTGGGGAACTTGAACCCATGTGGGGAACTTGAACCCATGTGGGGAACTTGAGGCCATGTGGGGAACTTGAACCCATGTGGGGAACTTGAACCCATGTGGGGAACTTGAGGCCATGTGGGGAACTTGAACCCATGTGGGGAACTTGAACCCATGTGGGGAACTTGAGGCCATGTGGGGAACTTGAACCCATGTGGGGAACTTGAACCCATGTGGGGAACTTGAGGCCATGGGGGGAACTTGAACCCATGTGGGGAACTTGAGGCCATGTGGGGAACTTGAACCCATGTGGGGAACTTGAGGCCATGAGGGGAACTTGAGGCCATTGGGGAACTTGAGGCCATGGGGGGAACTTGAACCCATGTGGGGAACTTGAGGCCATGTTGTCGGGAGAGAATAGCCACGGAGACGAGTTAGGGGACGCAAATCAACACAGGGTTGTAATGTCAATAGTCGTTCTTGAAATTGGCTTACACACTGTTTGGGTTTTAATATTTTCATGATTTTCTTTCTTTTTAAGAATGAATTTCAGGTTTCTAATGTTAGCCTAAAATAACAATAATATTAAATCTTTTTTTATAATATGATGAAAACGGAAATAAGTAGAATTGTTTAAGCCATGCATGTTTTAAATGGGACTACTTTCATAGAACTCGCCGGCAGTGAACAGTCTAAAGAAGCGTGTTTAAATGGGGCCGTCATAATTTCGTATGGGTTGTCATATTCGGGCATTTTTCAAATAATTATTGACTTCTTGTTAAAAAAAAAAGGTATTGACTTTTTGTTTTACATTGCAATGAAACTTTACCATGACAAGTTAACTTTACCTGACAAAGAAACTTTACCTGACAATATTGGCCGTGATTTCTTGAAAGACTTCCGCTTTTGTTTTGATACGTTTCTGAGTGTTGGCGCGCTGAAGAAGAAAACGTGTAATCAACTTAATTAAGCATGGCTGATTAGGTACATCCAATCTACCTTCTTTACAACCCAACACACATTTTTCATCAACATTTCAGAAGTTATCAGCGAGTAAAAAAAATCTTGAGGTGGTTGTGTTACATGTTACACTGGAGCAAAGCTAATCAACATAGCAGCCATCCCAGGCAGTTGCAACTTTGGAATGAAATTCTGTACTTAATGGTGGGTAATGTCAATCATCAAAATTTATTCTGTCATTCAAAATCTCATCATTCTGTTCGCTTAACCATCAGACCACATGTTTTTTGTATTGTGTTCCGGGAAATTAGCCAAATACACAATAAAGAAATTTTTCGAAAAAAAAAATGGAAATTGGATACGGGCGCCGGAATCAGACGCTACTCTTTTGAGCCCCTCCTCCCAACACATTCCTCCCAACACATTCCTCCCAACACATTCCTCCCCAAAAAAAAAAAAACAAGAAAAAGAAACCAAAAAAACAACCAAAATAAAAACCAAACGCAGACATTTATTGATGAGATCTACAGCGACTATACCGTCGCAAACCAATGGACATCGAAAGTAAAACAAGCAAACAAACAAACAAACAAACAAACAAACACACACACAAACACACAAACAAACAAACAAACAAAGCAACAAAACCCACCCGTTTCTGTAGCTCGTTCTTCTGTATGAGCCTGGTGAAGTCCCTCTGTTTGACGATCTTGATCATCTCCTGGGCCGCTTGCTTCTGGCTGTACAACATCTCGCTCCGGACAACCCTAAACACTCGCTGGAGAAAAAAAACAGACTGCGTATAGCCAACATTCAGCTAAACAATATCAATAACAAACTGTATAGCCAACATACAGCTGTACAACAACAAACTGTCTATAGCCAACATTCAGCTAAACAACATCAACAACAAACTGTATAGCCAACATGTAGCTAGCTAGACAACAAAAAACTGTGAATAATATTTTACTGGACAAGAGAAACAGACTATTCCACGAACCAAGTGCTTATATTTAGTCTCAGCATATATGTGTGAATACTCGCGACACGATTAACTTCATTAGGTGTTACGTGATATTTAATACTTTAATGACCTCACATTTATTATACGAGATAGTGATCTCACTAATTGGTTCTAATTATTGAGCTCTTTGTTGAGAATAACAAAGTAACCTCCCCCACAATAGTAAGCCGGGGGTGGGGAGGGAGAGGGGTGGGTGCTATGGACATCAAGTTGGTTCGATTACTTAAGCACACACCAATATCACAAAACGAACTGTTTACAAATGCGTGGTATTTTATAAGATGGAAAGTGGGACAGTTACCTGACTGATGAAGTGGGCTGACTGATGAAGTGGGACAGTTACCTGACTGATGAAGTGGGCTGACTGATGAAGTGGGACAGTTACCTGAGTGATGAATTGGGACAGTTACCTGACTGATGAAGGCAAGGTTCTCTGTTTTCCAGAAAGATTCAGGCGGCTGTTTCCTGAGCCAGGGCACGAGGAAGTGGTAGGCCAGGTGCTCCAGCACCAGAAACAGCACAGACAGGAAGACAGCCGACAGCATTATGATGAACAGCCCACCTGGGGACAGGACATAGCACACCTGGGTTAAGTCATTACACGACAGCATTATGTCAGTCATTACACGACAGTCTTATGTCAGTCATTACACGACAGTCTTATGTCAGTCATTACACGACATCCTGATGTCAGTCATTACACGACAGTCTTATGTCAGTCATTACACGACAGTCTTATGTCAGTCATTACACGACAGTCTTATGTCAGTCATTACACGACAGACTTATGTCAATCATTACACGACAGTCTTATGTCAGTCATTACACGACAGCCTTATGTCAGTCATTACACGACAGTCTTATGTCAGTCATTACACGACAGTCTTATGTCAGTCATTACACGACAGCCTGATGTCAGTCATTACACGACAGCCTGATGTCAGTCATTACACGACAGCCTTATGTCAGTCATTACACGACAGCCTTATGTCAGTCATTACACGACAGTCTTATGTCAGTCATTACACGACAGCCTGATGTCAGTCATTACACGACAGCCTGATGTCAGTCATTACACGACAGTCTTATGTCAGTCATTACACGACAGTCTTATGTCAGTCATTACACGACAGTCTTATGTCAGTCATTACACGACAGTCTTATGTCAGTCATTACACGACAGCCTGATGTCAGTCATTACACGACAGCCTGATGTCAGTCATTACACGACAGTCTTATGTCAGTCATTACACGACAGTCTTATGTCAGTCATTACACGACAGTCTTATGTCAGTCATTACACGACAGCCTGATGTCAGTCATTACACGACAGCCTGATGTCAGTCATTACACGACAGCCTTATGTCAGTCATTACACGACAGTCTTATGTCAGTCATTACACGACAGTCTTATGTCAGTCATTACACGACAGCCTTATGTCAGTCATTACACGACAGCCTTATGTCAGTCATTACACGACAGACTTATGTCAGTCATTACACGACAGCCTGATGTCAGTCATTACACGACAGCCTTATGTCAGTCATTACACGACAGCCTTATGTCAGTCATTACACGACAGACTTATGTCAGTCATTACACGACAGCCTTATGTCAGTCATTACGTCATATCGTGAGAAAAGACAGGTTGCCGTCTGTCATTATCTCCCCCCCCCCCATATTACTCCTTAAGGATAGGCACCACGGATAAAAAAATTTTTTTTATTTAACACATGTCTGGTTTTTTAATAAGTTTATATAATTATAGTTGTTAAACTATCGACAAAAATAATATATAGCCGTCAATAGCAGTACTGGTTGCCATGGAAACCGCGAAAAGGTGTGAAAACTAACACCTTTTCAAATCGCTAAGGCTTTGTTCCCATAAGAGATTTTAAAAAGCGGATGAAAGATTTAGATTTCTCAAACCAAACTATACATTTCTACGTTTACTCATTGCGATAGCTTGTACTCAATTTTTAATACAAATTTTTACGTAAATTTATGTACAAAAATTAGGGGGTGGTGTTACATAAATATCAATATTTCCTAAAGTATTGTAGTAAACTTAATGTACAAACGTAGTTTTGTAGATGGTATCATGCTGAATGCACGTGGAATGTTTTATTCTTGTATGACAAAGGGTTCCAAAGCCTTAGCGATTTGAATGTTGAATTTTGAGTAAAAATGCAAAGTTGAGAAAACGTGAAAAGAAGAGCGGGAAAAGGCACTGTGCGTTTTCTCTTATAGAAAACAGAAAAAAACGTCTTGTTATATGTGGAAGAACCATTTGTCTAATAACATACGCTTTGATTTATGTTGTAAGTTTTAGACAGATTTTTTCTATGTAAGCAGAAAATATGTATACAGCAGGTAATGAATGTATGACTTTTAAGTATTACACATCCTATCAATCGAGCGGTATTCTCAGAACAGCTATCTTCAAACCAAATCAAGTTTTGTTTGTTAGCCGGTCTTCTCACTTCAAAATATTGTCTTTCTCTACTCAAATTGTAGCTTACACAAGTTTATTGCCTTATGATAATAGCCTACAACACAACACTGGGTACAACGCTTGAGGCTAGACACGCCCCCTCCACCCCACCCCACCGCTGGATAGTGCGTGAAGAACCGATGAGCCATAGATTACCAATGTTCATTCAACCGCGAATAACACATCTGTGTAGATAGGGTCAAGTACAGGGCCTAAGTGAATGCTTCTCAGCTATCCTATCTACTACTATCTAGTATTTACATTCGTTGCTAGCAAACCCTATACGGAGAGATGGGCATACACATTAACACATATGTGTCGTATACAGTCCGGTGTAAAGCCTGATGAACGCGTTCAAGCCTATCACAGCATGCCGTAACAAGATTATAAACCGGCCGTTGGTTGAATGGGGAGAAGGGAATGAAGGGGGTAAAGGGGATGGACAGTACATTCTTCAAACTGATAGTCATGTCCATGACGCATTGTTTCAGCTTAGTATAAAGCGTACGAAACAGTGTTTGATATTGTTCCAGTGATAATCAACAGTACATTTCTAGGCAAAGTTTCAATTATTAAACTTAATGTTGTTGTATAACTTTAAAACAACAAATAGAAGAGTATACGCAAATGAGGTAAACAAACAAGACAGGCGATTGTTTTGTTTATCTAGAAACAAGATGGCTGCCTAGCACACGTGGTTAGTTGCAGCCTATCTTGAACTATTTTGATTTACTGTACTATAATATGATTGGTCAAGCGTATCAATAAATCTCTTCCCATTCATAATTTTTACGCGCATGCCCTTATATGGAGTTTGATATAAAATTTTACTTTGTAGAAAACAACTTCTATCTCACTTATTTTTAGAACAAAAGAAAAGGTCACTACACCAGCGGGTACACGAGTGCTTGGCCCTTAGATTGCTGTAAAGTTTATGGTGCCTCGCGGGCCATAAATACATGTAATACCCGTTCGAAGATAGCCGCTGTCCGCGTAGTAGTGTTAAAACTTGCCGGGGGGTACCATGTTTCACATCGCAATAAACGGATAACCGTAAGCTGTAGAAGTCCGAAATGTTCGGGTTAGATAGATAAAAGGTACTAGTATCGAATTAAGAAATAAAAATTTTGGGGAGCAAAATTACAATTTTATCGAAAACATGGGTATCTTGTTCCCTTAACATTTACCCTGCAGTTACTTTTTACTACTACCCTTACAAACTGGGAGCGTGGCCTAAGAGGTAGAGCGCTAGACTACCCCGGGTTGGGGTGAGGGTCGAGGAACGGGGTCACTGACTGGTGTGTTACAGTCCATAGGAGTTTTGCTGTCAATGATCTGGGGTGTGGTGAGTGTGAGGTCGGGGTGGGGGGGGGGACTAACCTGTGTGTTCCAGGCCGTATGGGTTGGCTGGCGGGGGGGGGGGGGGCTAACCTGTGTGTTCCAGGCTATATGGGTTGGCTGTCGGGGGGTGGGGGGGACTAACCTGTGTGTTCCAGCCCGTATGGGTTGGCTGGCGGGGGTGGGTGGGGGTGGGGGGGGACTAATCTGTGTGTTCCAGGTCGTATGGGTTGGCTGTCGGGGGGGGGGTGAGGGGACTAACCTGTGTGTTCCAGGTCGTATGGGTTGGCTGTCGGGGGGGGGGGGGGGCTAACCTGTGTGTTCCAGGCCGTATGGGTTGGCTGGCGGGGGATGGGGACTAACCTGTGTGTTCCAGCCCATATGGGTTGGCTGGCGGGGGAGGTGGGGGGTGGGGTGGGGGGACTAACCTGTGTGTTCCAGGTCGTATGGGTTGGCTGTCGTGGGGGGGGGGGGCTAACCTGTGTGTTCCAGGCCGTATGGGTTGGCTGGCGGGGGATGGGGACTAACCTGTGTGTTCCAGCCCATATGGGTTGGCTGGCGGGGGAGGTGGGGGGTGGGGTGGGGGGACTAACCTGTGTGTTCCAGGTCGTATGGGTTGGCTGTCGGGGGTGGGTGGGGGTGGGGTGGGGGGACTAACCTGTGTGTTCCAGGTCGTATGGGTTGGCTGTCGTGGGGGGGGGGGGGGACTAACCTGTGTGTTCCAGGCCGTATGGGTTGGCTGGCGGGGGGTGGGGGGACTAACCTGTGTGTTCCAGGCCGTATGGGTTGGCTGGCGGGGGGTGGGGGGACTAACCTGTGTGTTCCAGGCCGTATGGGTTGGCCGAGGCGCTGAGGAAGTGCTCACACTGGGGTCGGGTCAGATATTTCTTGCCCAGCTCCTGGATAAAACCGCTCTCTGTATACCGGATAATCTGGTTGGACATGGGGATCTGGGGGAGAGGGGATGATTAATGGTAGAGAGTGATGGGAGAGGGGGAGGATTAATGGTAGAGAGTGTTGAGGGAGAGGATGAGTTTTAGAATGAGAGAAGATGAAGAGAGTGCTTGAATAAGTATAGGAGAGTTAGCGATGGGAGGAATAATGGGAATAAATGATAGGAAAATCGTTAAGGAGTGCGTGAGTGATTGAGTGAGTAAGTGAATGTAATCCAATAAGTGAGTGATCGAGCGAGTGAGTGATCGAGTGATCGTGTGAATGATCGAGTGTGTGGATGAGTGATCAAGTGAATGAGTAATCGAGTGAATGAATGAACGAGTGAATGAGTGGTCGAGTAAGTTAGTGAGTGAGTGATCGATCGAGTGATCGAGTAAGTGATCGAATAATGGAGTGAGTGATCGAGTGAGTGATTGAGTGATTGATCACCTCACCTTCAGCCACGAGTGACGTGGCAGACCAAACGCGTACCGCTCGGTGCTCGAACCTTTCCCCGCCAGCTTGATCTTGCAGTCCTTGTCGTACCTGACCAGGGCGAACTCCAGCAGGGGGGCGTCGTCCAGGTACACGTCGATGCTGCGGTCCCTGGTGCCAGAGAAATAGGGGGAAGTCCGGATATGACGTCACGTAATTTTAGTCTTCCATAAAAAAAATCCTGACCCTCCCCTCTTACATTCTCGGCCAAAATTATTGCACCAAGTTCCAATCCCCGCCACACACAAAAAAAAAACATTTTTTAAAATAAAAAACTACAAAGTTTTAAACATTATTATATATATATATAAATACTACCCCAACTTAGAACATCGTCACAGAATCCAGAGTCCCCTCCCCCCCTCCGCCCCCAACTGCTTTCTATGTGCATAGCGTCATCTATAGACGACCGGTTCTTTTAAAACACGGTAACCATGGAAACCATGGAAAACATGCCGTACACTGTGTTGGCCCCTATCTCTATTTGATGGCGTCTTACACTCTTCCTGCAAGCCATCTAGTTCCACCATGCCGCCCGACCCTCATGTTTTAGATCCTCCGATATCCCCCCCCCCCCCCCACCCCCACACACCCTCCGTACTTCCTTATGCTCTTATCCTAGACTTCGGAGCATTCAATCTAATGGCCATTAGGAAGATAACAGATGACTTCACTGTAAGAGTACCAGGCTATATTGCACAAGACTACAATGGTGGTACCAGGCTATATTGTAGTGCAAGACTACAATAAAGGCACCGGGGTATATTGTAATACAAGCCTACAGTGGAAGTACCAGGCTATATTGTAGTACAAGACTACAATGCAGGTACAAGGCTATATTGTAGTACAGGCCTACAATGGAGGAACCGTGCTACATTTTTACAAGCCTACAATAGAGGTACCAGGCTATATTGTAGTACAAGACTACAATTCAAGTACCAGGCTATATTGAAGTACAAGACTACAATACCAGACTATAGATGCCAAACTTCAAGCGGCCAAACACATTACTTAGAGAAGTAAGAAAGAAAATGTAGTTTTTCTTTATCCATTATGATTAGAAATATTTCTTTCTTATTTTTCTATTAATTATCAACAGAACTTCTTTAAAGAATAAAAGAAACGTAAAAAATAAGACATCTAAAAGGCATTAAACGAATCAAAGATTGCCATTTGGGAGTAATTGGCCAATAATTGTTTTATTTACCAGAAATTTATTCACTTATGCCAGACAATCTAGTTACAGCATCGAAACTGTATGCTGTTCATTCCTCTGTGGTCTACTCAAACTGCTTACATTTTAACATACAGATGACCACATAACTTACATTCTAGCATACAAATGACCACATAACTTACATTTTAAGATAAAATTGATCACATAACTTACATTTTAAGATAAAAAGGACCACATAACTTACATTCTAACATACAAATGACCACATAACTTACATTCTAACATACAAATGACCACATAACTTACATTATAACATACAAATGACCACATAACTTACATTCTAGCATACAAATGACCACATAACTTACATTCTAACATACAAATGACCACATAGCTTGTATTAAAAACAACAGATATCCACAAAGTACACTAGTACACCTACACACACACACATACATACGTGCACAATCACATTATGCAAATGAGTGGATGGGATTTCCCGCCCACTGCCCCACCCCGCCACGAATACATTACATCACTTCCGCCTTGCTGCATAGCGCTAGAGCAGTGGTCCCCAGGCTAGTTTGGACCGCCCCCCTCCAAGACGAATTTAGCGTCACAGACTAACACTATTAGCCTCGTTTGGCTACTTGAGAGAGAGAGAGAGAGCGAGAGTGAGAGAGAGAGGGGGGAGAGGGAGAGAGAGATAGAGAGAGGGGGAGAGAGATAGAGAAAGAGCCAGAGAGAGAGAGAGAGAGAGTGGGAAAGAGGGAGAAAGAAAGAAAGATAGGTGTCGAAATATTTTATTTGAACACAATTACAAAAAACCCCGGAAGAAATCATTGATTATCTCTCTCCCTGCTCGAATATATATATATATATATATATATATATATATATATATATATATATATATATATATATATATATATATATATATATATATATATATATATATATATATATATATATATATATATATATATATATATATATATATATATATATATAACACATAGTTTGACAAACATAGACTCCAGACACATATGACACAAAGAGGCAATAAACATATTTGAGATAAATAAAACTGCTTTTGCAAGGATCAATAATATCTTCATTTAAAAAGCTGCTTCATATTCTAAACGATCTTTCATACATGATTCAATACAATTCCAGAAAATGGCGAAAAAAAATTCAATTTTTGTTGTTGAATTTCTAGGAAAATGAATACTAAAGTCTAAAAATACTTGAAATAATTAATAATGAGTTACTGACCCTTCCTCCCTCCCCCCTCCGGTACATTAGCTAAGCGTTGTTGTTTCATTCAAGGCGACTTGAGATGTACGCTGTATGTTGTTGTTTGATGTCGCAGGAGTTTACCAGAAACAGTCCAACGATACAGTCGTATGGTCCAGAACCCCACATACACACCGCATATTACGTTTCGACATTACGTCTTCGTCAGACAAAATACAATAATATACCTCGTACAGTGCTAGAGACGGACTGAAGAAAAATTTACCTCCAAATTCAAAGAGTTCTATGAAGAAGTCATGTTTGGTAGTAGGAACTTCATTTATACACGCCTATCTATTCATTTAACTCGTTTTCTTAAATATAGACTCTTAGACATTTAACTTATAGAAACCAAATTTGAAGTCATAGACACAAATGTAAACCATATCTAAAACCGGAGTGAGAAATGTAAAGAAGATTGAGGAAAAAAAATACAATCCTTGCCCCTCATCTATTTTCCGAAAGCTAATAATAGACCACGGGGCAGTCGCGAGAATAGGTCAACATGGCGGATCACACGTGGTTATTGGGCGAGAACCAGACGGCAAATCAACACTCGGGTAGGTTGACTTAGAGAAGAGAATGAAAACAGAAAAAGTATTACCGGAAGTGACGCCAGCACTCTGGATGATGGGGGGAACAGCGACGGTAATGTTTCAAGATGTTTGCGCTACTCCTTGAGATGTTGGACATCCCGCTAAGGCTGAGTTGGCTGTGGGTAGGTTTGTTGGTAGTGTACACACTGTACCCGTGTGTTCAACTCACACACGAATGTTCTCGAACACACGGAGATCTGGCTACAGACCAGACTAGCAGAACTACAAATATCTACAGACCAGACTAGCAGAACTACAAATATCTACAGACCAGACTAGCAGAACTACAAATATCTACAGACCAGACTAGCAGAACTACAAATATCTACAGACCAGACTAGCAGAACTACAAATATCTACAGACCAGACTAGCAGAACTACAAATATCTACAGATCAGACTAGCAGAACTACAAATATCTACAGACCAGACTAGCAGAACTACAAATATCTACAGATCAGGCTAGCAGAACTACAAATATCTACAGACCAGACTAGCAGAACTACATATATCTACAGACCAGACTAGCAGAACTACAAATATCTACAGACCAGACTAGCAGAACTACAAATATCTGCAGACCAGACTAGCAGAACTACAAGTATCTACAGACCAGACTAGCAGAACTACAAATATCTACAGACCAGACTAGCAGAACTACAAATATCTACAGACCAGACTAGCAGAACTACAAATATCTACAGACCAGACTAGCAGAACTACAAATATCTACAGACCAGACTAGCAGAACTACAAATATCTACAGACCAGACTAGCAGAACTACAAATATCTACAGACCAGACTAGCAGAACTACAAATATCTACAGACCAGACTAGCAGAACTACAAATATCTACAGACCAGACTAGCAGAACTACAAATATCTACAGACCAGACTAGCAGAACTACAAATATCTACAGACCAGACTAGCAGAACTACAAATATCTACAGACCAGACTAGCAGAACTACAAATATCTACAGACCAGACTAGCAGAACTACAAATATCTACAGACCAGACTAGCAGAACTACAAATATCTGCAGACCAGACTAGCAGAACTACAAATATCTACAGACCAGACTAGCAGAACTACAAATATCTACAGACCAGACTAGCAGAACTACAAATATCTACAGACCAGACTAGCAGAACTACAAATATCAACAGACCAGACTAGCAGAACTACAAATATCTACAGACCAGACTAGCAGAACTACAAATATCTATAGATCAGACTAGCAGAACTACAAATATCTACAGATCAGACTAGCAGAACTACAAATATCTGCTGTACAATGTGGTCTAGGTGCCGTGTTAGATTTAGGGCTGAAGCTGACATCTAATGAAAAACTTGAGGCAAGCTCGATTGTAAAATTTAGGGCTAAGGTTGATATCTAGTGTAGAAGTTAGGCCTGGGTGCGTTATATTTGATGATGTAAAGAACAAAATATAGAGAACTGCACAGGGACGCACATCACAGCTATAAACGTCCTTTAAGTATATTGTATCTCTATCACAAACCACTTGATCTTGACCAATGTCAGGATCCATCGATGTTGACCAATGTCGAATCAATCCACCGATGTTGACCAATGTCCCCTCGATCCACCGATGTTGACCAATGTCCAATCAATCCACCGATGTTGACCAATGTCACATAGATCCACCGATGTTGACCAATGTCCAATCAATCCACCGATGTTGACCAATGTCACATAGATCCACCGATGTTGACCAATGTCCAATCAATCCACCGATGTTGACCAATGTCACATAGATTCACCGATGTTGACCAATGTCCAATCAATCCACCGATGTTGACCAATGTCACATAGATCCACCGATGTTGACCAATGTCGAATCAATCCACCGATGTTGACCAATGTCACATAGATCCACCGATGTTGACCAATGTCCAATCAATCCACCGATGTTGACCAATGTCACATAGATCCACCGATGTTGACCAATGTCGAATCAATCCACCGATGTTGACCAATGTCACATAGATCCACCGATGTTGACCAATGTCCAATCAATC